ATTTTTTTAAATTTTATCATTTATCAAAATTGTAAAAAATCAAGTGCCCAAAAAAAGTAAAGTGCATCATAAAATGTATTATGAAAATTATATCATTTTTATATATTACCTAATGTATGATAATTCATTATCCGTCTTATACTGTGAGAATACCATGCAAAGTCTTGGTACATAATGAACAAGTCTTCTATGCTGTGACTAACAAAGAGAGTAAGACAGTAGTCTGAATATTTTGACAAATTACTGGTAATGTATTTGGAAAGTAAGTGCCTATAGTCATGTGAGATAATTTTATATGATTTTTGTAGGTTTTCGTAAAATTTAACACACATTTGGGAATCTTTCCTTCAATAGACATTATGGTATGGGGCTGACTTGAACCCTTTTTGTGGTCTTTCCCCGGGTCAAACGTGCCTTCGGGTTTTTGTAAAACAGGGCACTTCGACAAGGCGCCTTCGGGGTTTTCGCTAGCGAAAAGACGAAAAGGGGATAACATAAATTTTGTTTCGCTTTGAAACGCAACCCAAAAGTGTCCCCCAAAAACAGCCACCAATTATTCTTGTTGAAAAATACCTTTTTTTTCCCACATTTATGCAAATTTCTTTTCTGTTTAAATGGTCCATTAAACAATTATGTTAGCCTGGCTTCGGGGTTTTCATTCTTCAATAGATAAAGGGAGCTCTTAAAAAAGACTACACCCCAAGAGGGGAAAAACACAATTGGAAAATTGCGTCTGTTATAAGCTGTAAGTATTATTATTTCTTTTAATTGGGAATATAATTATTTTAATGCCACCGCTATATCTGCGATGCGGTGGCATTTAGTGATTCACCTGTGTGTGTACGTGTGCGTGATACGCGTCTGTTATATAGATTGTATAGTGAACTTGAGAAATCTTCTTAAAAACAAAAACAAAAGAGATAATGTGCACTAGACGTTCGTTATCTTGTTGACCAAGATTGCTCAAATTATAGTTGGCCCCGCCCGGAAGTCATAGTATTTTTTTTAAATCCTCTTCAAAACTAAAAGGACCACAGCTTAGATATTTGACATGAAATATTGTCTAATGGACCACTACCAAGATTGTTCAAATTATAATTTCCGAAACAAAATTGGTCCGGCCCCGGTCTTCATGGGTTTCCCTACAAACATATAATAAACATTTTGAGAAATTTCTTCTTCAAAACTACAAGAGATTTAGCATGAAACATTATTTATCGGACATCTACAATAACTATTCAAATTATGTACAGCCTTTGGGTTTTCTCTCTATGTTTACGTACTGAAAATATTTAAAAGAGCTTCTGCTCCAAAGTTCAAGGGCTATATCTTAGATATTTCGCATGAAACATTGCAGCAATCTTTTCCAAGAGTTTAAATCCGGTCAAAATTAGCAACAAAGGGAAATTTTGGGGTTTCCCTTTTAATTTTGTAATTTTTTTATTCACCTGACACTCAGGAAGTTTTTTAAATCGTTAAGCCTCTCCGTCCACATTTTTCTTTTAACCTAGTGGGCCATTTCTTCAATCATCAAAAACTTATCAGAACTTTCTATGTATTTCTCGATAGTTCGAAAAAGGGTTTTTCTCGTTTGAAAAACTAGGGCACAGGTAAAAAAAAAAAATTGTTAATCTCTAGTGGGTGCATTTGACTAAATACCCAGAAATTTCTAAAATTTGGATTTTCAGGGGAAGTTCGGGAAAGAGTCACCCGGTAAAAAAAAAATCACTCCGCCCAAATATGGAAAAACCTTGCTAACACTCTAGTAGTCACATTTTTGACTCGATTGTCATCAAACTTTGTCAGGATGCTTGTCTAGTTAATTGCTCAAATGGCTTTGAACATGGGTCATCTCAAATGAAAACCTAGGTCACAGGAGCTAAAAATATATAAAAATATATACATATAAAAGATATGTTAACTCTCTAGTGGCTACGGTTGTTATCCAAATATCCTGGAAATTGGTCTGAAAGTTTGTCTTGATGATTTCTTGGGCAAGTTTGAATATGGGACACTGCCCAAATATGAAAAACCTTGTTAACACTCTAGTGGTTACAATTGTGACTTAATTGTCATCAAACTTGGTCAGGATGCTTGTCTAAATAACTGCTTGGATGAGTTCGATGGGTCAGGTGAGCGATCTGGGGCCATCTTGGCCCTTTTATTTAAAAAGTAGCCCCTCCGATACTACATGGGCAAGAGCTAAGATATTTGGCATTAAACATTGTCTGGTGGACCTCTACATGACCAAAAGTGGTCCCAGCTGGAGTTTGTGAATGCAATCATTACCATGTTATCAATTTATTTGCTTAAGTATATATATATATATGCTTAATTGCAATTAAAGTTGCAATTGAATTGAATATGTATTATATAGTAAAAGGTCTACTCGCCAGACTTTGATCATTGTGATGTAAGGCGGTGTACTGATATGTTCAAGTAAATAGTAATCTACTTTTGTTCAAGCTGACTCTACAATGTGGTAGCATTGCATCATTTTTAGCTTAACTTTTTTTTTGAAAAAAAAAATGGAGATATTATTACAGTCATGTCGGCGTTCCCGTTGCCGTCCTCAAACTTTAATCTTGATCATAACTTTTTAAGTTCTTGGTGTATTGTCTTAATACTTGGCTAAAGCTACTTTAGGGATAATATTTGCACCAGGAATGACTCATTTATTCAACTTCAAAACAGTATCAAAAAGGCTAGACTAAACTTGACCTTTATTCATACTGACCTCTACCTTCAAGGTCAAATGTCTAAATTTTGCCTGATTTTTGCTGCATTTGGCTATAAATTTGTCATTCTTGAATGAATTGTTTTCAAACTTAAACAGAACAGTCTTTTAAGATAGATCTTTAAGCTAACCAGACAGACTTATATCTGCACTCATAAATTACCTTGACCTTGAATGTCAAATTATTGAAATTTTCTTCTTTTTTCCCCTTGTTTTTGCTGTAACTGGCTATAACTTTTATTTATGAATGGATTGACTTCATATTAAGACACAACATTCTTAAGGATAAGGATAAGATCTTCATGTACGTATATCTGTCTATACAAACTCAAATTGACCATAACTCATTAATGAACTTGACCTTGAAGTTTAAATTATTGAATTTTCACTGATTTTGCTATAATTGACTGTAACTTGGTAATTAATGAATAAGAGGTTAATACACGGCAGGAGAGGGCCGGAAGGTGATAATCGGCCCGCAAAATGAATAATGGACCCGAGGGCTTTAGCCCGAGGGCCATTATTCATTCAGGGCCGATTATCACCTTCCGGTCCTTCTCTGACGTGTATTAATGTCTTTAATACACTTGGTAGATCTTATAGTAGCATTTAAAAAAAAACACAAATACTTTGAAGTTCTTTCGTTGAAATTCTTGTCTACAGTACTCTTCTACTGTTCTGTACAGAGATGTTTAGAGTCTACTGTTTGTGTGTTCAAAGCAGTAGAATCTAGAAGCAAGTTTTATTTTCATTATTTTTTCGGAATGAATTTGTCGTATTATTTCTTCAAATTTCAATAGTACCAAAAATGTGTTTGTACTAAATATGCTTAAGCTCTCATAATAAAAATAAAGCGATTCGTGCTGACAACCTACTTTCACTTTTACAGTTAACTGTTTGATGACGTAAAATATGACGTCACTCTTTCAGTTTGTGAACGTGCACATGTTCTGCGGGCTGATAACTAGTTTCTCGGCCCCGGGCCGCAAACTCATAATAGGTCACGTGACACTCATAATCAGTTGAAATCATAGGCAATTTTGTTTCTATATATAGTAACAAGTGTATTAATAGACTATCTTAATACTTAGACAAAACAACATTTTGCACAAGACCTTCTAAACAATGGAACTGACTTTACCTTGAGCTTTAAATGACCTTGACCGTCAAGGTCAAATTAATGAACTCTCTTCTTTTTTTCTGTTTTTGGCTATAAACTTTGCAATTTATAAATGGATTAACTTGATATTTATACACAACATTTTTAGGTCTTAAACCTTGATGTATATCAAACTCAGATTGACATTTGCTTATGTATGAACTTGACCTTGAAGTTCAAGTTTTTGAATTTTCACTCATAATTGCTTATTCTTCTAATTGACTGTAACTTGGCAATTTATAATGGAATTTCTCCAAATTGACAAAACAACCTTTTTAAAAAGGTTAACGACCTTGAACCTTCAGCTTTAAAATTGACTTTTCCCCTCAGGGGCTTTAAAAAAGCATAATTTTTCCCTTTTTAAAAAAACTTTTATAAAACAAGACTTTTAGCCCAAAAAAACATTTTTTAAAATTTTAATAGACCTTTTCTTTAATTGAAATTGATTGCCCTTTTTAATTAATATTGAATTTATTATCTGACCAGATTTTTATGAATTTAAATTTATTTTGTCCTTATGAACATCTATTAAATTTTCAAGGGACATTTTTGATTAAAAAAAGAACGTTATATTTCTGACCTAGTTTGAAATCACCTTTATTTTTGTTCCTTTTTTGTATAGCATGAAATTGGGAAAAAGTGCACAATTTTAGATAAAAAAGAATTTATTAGCGACTTAAATATTTATGAATTACCTACTTTTCCTTTCATTTTTCTGTATGAAATTGAAAGAGCACTATTTTCATTAACATTAGGGAATATTTAATTTTGACAAAACTGTGAAAAAAGGAAAAACACCTACCTATTTACCCGCGGGGGCCTTGTTTTTAAAAACTAACAACAAATTTTTTTTCTAAATTTTTTTGTAACTTTTTAAAGATTAATTTAAAGCCAACAAACACATCACTATCAAATTTTTCCAATTTTATTTTAAATGGGTTTATTAATCTAGAACACTTTTATATTTTTTCATTTTTATTTTTTTAGTTTATTTCAGATATTTTTGGGTTTTTGTTGAAATCATGTCTTTAAAATCACATTTTTTTCTTTTCTTTGAATTTTTTCCCATAGTTCGTTATTTTAAAGCAAAATGGGGCCTATGTAAATAGAGTTTTAAAAACAATTTGGGTTGTCAGTTTTATTAGACGTCATTTGGGTAAGTAAAGCAAAAAAAAAATGCAAAACCTTTGCTTAACTACCAGCCCTGGTACATGGTCTTTATTGGCAGGTAAATCTGAAAAAATAATTTAATTAGTTTGTTCTATAATTATCAATATAAGATAAGATAAGATAATCATTTATTATAGTGACTTGTGTTTTGACAATTATTACAAAACTATATACATAATTATAATAATAATAATAATAATAATAACACCCGGTCCTATACAGCCTATAAGTCACCTCGCTCACAGTGTGTTTTTTCTCAGTAGTGGACGCAACATATTATTTTTTTTTATTTTTGTTCACGTATTTTAAGGTAAAGTATATATCATTATTATTTTGAATTAATTAAAATGGACTTTATTTATGTGTTAATTTCGGATTAGGTTATTGCTCAATATTAATTATGCCAATGTCTAAATTTATTTGTTTATGTATTGAACAATTATTTCAATGCCCTACAGAAATTTCCTTCGATCAGACAATGATGCGAAGGTTCCAATGGGAGAGCGTACTTTTTATATTTATTTATCAATATATTTATTTATTTATTTTGTTGTTGTTGTTGTCGTCGCTAATTCGGATTACTGCGACATCTTTGCAGTATTATTTAAATATATGAAAGATGTTTCATACAGTATCAATTAAGATATTAGTTTGTTTTGTAATAACAGACTTCCATTTTTATAAATTTACACTTATGTTTATTTTACAGATGATTGTTTTGCTGTTAAACGAATTATGCAGAAAATGCTGCTCCGAGCCATTGTTACCATTTTGACTAAAAATCACGATCTGCAATTGAACAATGGTTCTCTTTATACGACTTTCTCTACTTTCATATTTATATAATACAAGGGTAGGAAGAATGTACCCATTGTTAAAAGTGTCTGTAACATGTGCTACAAGAAACCAGGGAGGTAATAAGATTCATATGGGAATGCAACATAGATTTACGGACGGACGTTGATGTAAACAAACCAGGTCACCTGAAAAATCTGCTAAGGTTACATATAGACTTATATTATAGTAAATTGAAAATTACATAACACTGTGCACAGTCTTAGAATATGATAACAGATATTTGGTGGCGAATTTTATTACTTATTAGAATATATCTATTTGAAAGATACTAGATGTATTTAAATATTTAACGTACCGAAACATGTTCTAATTTGACAGATTAATGGCTAGATAAAGCGACATTACTTTAGTTATAACGTTATTATTATTTACTGAAAGCACTTTATTTAAAGTTGGATGATGGTTCTCATCGTCTGTTACCTTCCTAAATAGTTTCATTGTTTATGTATATAGATCTGTGAATCCTGATTTCTATTTTGTATTTATTAAATACATGTATGTAGCTATAATAGAATTATTTATTTTGCATATGACTTCAGTTGTAATTCTGTTTATGACAGGTATTTGTTGTTCATTTTTTTTTTGCTATGACCACTTGCATATCATATGAATTGTTTTAAAGGCATATGCTAGGGTCACACATAGAAATAAACTAGTAACTACATGTACTTGATAAATTTTATTTAAAGTTTGCTTATATTAGACCATGATTAATTTCAAGCGAAACATACTGGGGATGAGGTGCGGGCAGTCACACACTTCGTATTCGAGTTATTTGTTTAGCTTTTTTACTATTTTAAGTCATTACAATCGCAGATAACTTAGTACATATTAAGTAAAACCATTTTTACTACTTCTTTATTCATTTATTTAGTTATTTTAAAAAAAAATTATCCTTGGTTACAGTACAAAATTTTAAACATAAAAAAAAAATTCCGTCATTCAATGTAAGTACATAGACTAGTTAACAATTCTGTAGAACTATCCTATTTTTAAAAAGAAATGAAATTGGCATATCTTTAGATTAAGAAGAAAAATAAATAGACTTCTCATTAACAATTCTTGAACTTTGCACAATATTGAAAAGGAAGTCAGCTACATAAAAATATGTAGGAAAGACCTTGCTGAGACCATGCAAAGTTTAAATGAATGCTATTATACAGACCTATTTTTCATCTTATATATGTAAGCCTAGCATATACCTTTAAATAAAACTGAAACTGTTACAAAAACGCCCATTCATATCATTGTCTGACAACATGTTACAGCTCTTAGCCGAAGTCTTAAGCAGTGACGATATGGGTGTCGTATGAGTTTTGAAAGAACCTTGAGATATGTTATATTTTTACACAAGATATCCTCAACTCAAGTAGCTAGGATGGATTTAGTTCCTCACATAAATTCCAACGATAATGATCATTAATACGAAAGTACGAATACGTTAAAGCGACAGCACCAAAAACAAATACTCGACATTACGATGTAATGATATCCGCCGCTTTATCCTTATCGTTCTATCCCATAATCGTTATCGCACTGTCGCATAATCGTAATCGCACTGTCGCATAATCATTATCGCACTGTCGCATAATCATTATCGCACTGTCACATAATCGTTATCGCACTGTCGCATAATCATTATCGCACTGTCGCATAATCATTATCGCACTGTCGCATAATCGTTATCGCACTGTCGCATAATCGTTATCGCACTGTCGCATAATCGTTATCGCACTGTCGCATAATCGTTATCGTACTGTCGCATAATCCGTATTGTCGCATAATCATTATGTAGTACTGGCGCGTTTTCATTATCGAACTATCATAATTATCGTAATGTCTCACTTTTGTAAATTTAGCGTTACAATTATAATTATATCTTTAGTATTTATAAGGTTCGAGCTCAGTCTAACCACCTGGATGGGCTAACTCAGGAAAATAATGCAACAATATCATGATGATAAAAATGCGAAATTATGATAGCGAAAACACGACACTCTATTGCATTTCCATTATTGTAATAATTTACTTATTTCGCTGTGACATATTGTCGTTATCGTCCTGTCATATTTTCGTTATCATACTGTCTAGAATCATGTTTCAAATAAGTTACGCACACTTTGGGGATGGCAATAACGGTATTCCGTAGGGGAAAAAAGATAATTCTAAATTAGATTTTAAAAAAGACTGACTTCCATAATAATATATATAGAGAGAGAATGAGATAGTTTTTATTTAATATTTTGCACCTAATAATCACCATAATAATGTATTACGTTCAATGTACATTGTACTACATGTTTTTCTAGTATCTGCTTACGTCCCCTTTATCTGTTCAATAGAGCTTAAAAATATAGGTCATACGTGTTGTTTTTATGATAATCGAACAACCGGCTATAAAGCTGATTAACGTATCAAGAGGTAGGTTATCGTTTTTATTTTCATTTTCTTTAATCTTAAATTTTTTGATTTGGTTTAAACAAAAATTATATTTGAATTTGACCTGTATTATACTTGAACTGTGCGTTGTACATGCATATAGTTCACCTACATTATATCAGCAACTCAAAAAGACACGCACCTTCAGTTGTAGGAAAATTAACTAAAACATACATGTAATAGGTTTTAGAACGTTATATAATTGGAAAGTTACATAAATAATATTTTCTTTATACGGCTTCTCCTTTCCGTGTAATCAATAAATATCATGACGAAAATCTGTTTTGTACCGTAGGTCGTTGACATCTTGAGTACGTGTATAACAGCGTGAACTAGTGTAGCGAAAATAAACTATGGAAGCCCTGGAGGGACATTTGAAATTAATATTTAAAACTTATTATTTAATTCTTAATATTTAAAATTTAATTCTTAATATTTAAAGATTAAATCTTAATACATGTACTTAAAATTAAGATCAGAATACATTAGACGCGGGTATATGAATTCAAGGTTTTTTGCACAAAAAAAAGAAAAATAAATGAACCCGCCCAAACCAGTCCTCCCCATGAAATAAAGAGCGTGTGCGTGTCCTAGTGGGATATTAAATTTTAAATATTAAGAGTTACATTTTAAATTGTAGGTTTTTAGTTTTAAATATTAATTTGAAATGTCCCTCCAGGGCTTCCATAATATATGGATAAACTATTTAAATAGAAAAATAGAATACCTATAAATGATCGAGATGACCTCTCCTTATAAAGCTTAGCAACCACGGCTAAATCTTGAAATCATTAGTCATTAAAACTTAAAGAAAATGATGATATTTAAACTGTGGCTGTATTTTTAACGTGTCAATAACGTAACTTGTGTCATGACGTTGTTTGTCAAATAATTATACTTGTTTAACGTAACGCTGTTTTTTTTTATTTCAGTAAACGTCGGGGATGCTAAAACTTTGCCACCAAGTTTGTTTTTAGCGTTAATCTAATAAGAAGAGTTTACTACGTTAATGTGTGGGGTGTAGTCGTTTTAACGTTACGTTGTTTATCTCGACCGTCTGTTTACCTGGATAAAAGACACAATGTTGGGCATTGTAAGCAGGTCTTTGCGCGCAAACTCTGCCAGGCTCATACAAAGATGTACAATGGTATGATATCGATTCGATAATTTCTTATAGATAACCTTATGTGACCGTTTCTATATCATGACAGCGTTTGTAGCAAATTATACATCCGTTTTATTGTTTACAATTCATCATTCATAGGCGATGGTCCTAACGGAGCACCGTATTTAACGTATAAAATGAAAAATATACCTCTTAAATCCATATGTTGTCAAGACAAACATCTTGAATACCACTGCTGGATGTGAAAGCATGCACATGTACGTGCGTGTGTGAAACGCCAGATTTTTGTTATTGTTGTGGTTTCGTCATTTTATTTATATATTAAATTCCGTGTTGTTCTAAATGTATATGCATGGAATGATGGTATCTCGTCCCCGAATTGTGTACATGTATAAACTTCTATACATTAACGTTTGATTCATATCTTAAAACATTTGTTGTTGTTGGGTTTTTTTCAGTCCACACAGAGTAAACTTGAAGGAATGGTGGTTGCGCCATATACTCCATTTAACAGTAAAGGGTAAATACATCAAAATTAGAAAAAAAAATGTTGAACAACTTATCTTTAATATGATCATTGTTATGTAACTTGTAAAGAGGAAAACTGCATATAGAATAGAAAAATGACAGGTTTTTTTTGTATTTTAAACAAAATTGGGTATTTAATGTGAAAAAAACGATGCATGTGCAAACCTCTTGTTCAGTGATGGTAACGGTATTATAAAAGAAAAAGCGACTTGGCCAGTAATATGATTTTATATTTAATTACACTGTTCACACCCCTGCATGGAGTGGATTATAGATTGTAGATATACTTTATCAAATTTTGGTAAATTTGAGATACACATTGTTACATTTACAATTTAGAAAAGCTAGTGTAATAATGTTTTATTATTTTTTTTATATATATTTGTCTCTTTTTATTAACAGTGAGGTAGATTATACAAACTTCGAGACGTGTGCCAAGTACTTCGAAAAGTCCCATTTTAACGGAATGTTCGGTGAGCAGTCTTTAAATTTCTGTTGTCGAATTGAAACAAAAGAACTTCGATTCACGTGATAATCGAATTGTGGTACTTAGTTTCTAATATTTTAAAATTGCTCTTTGTAGTTTTAATGGTTATACATGTATATTTTACAGTTAATGGAACGCTGGCGGAAGGTATGAGCTTATCATGTAAGGAGAGAATGGAAACAGCCGAGAAGTGGAAAGAGGTCTCAAACAGGTTAATATAAACCGTTCTTATTAATAACAACGAAAAATAGTGAGTTTTGAAGAAAGAAAAAAATGATCGTGAAGTTTGAAAGCTGATAAATTAAGAGTACATAGTATTGATGATTTTGAATATGTTTCCACCGTGCTTAAGAAATTCAATAGAAGTCCGTTTGACAAAAAGGGTAGTGCATTTTTAGCGGGCTCGTGGGCGTACGGAGCATACTTTCTTCATGATTAAAGGGATCTTAATTATTACTTAATACACACATATTGACCATTACGAGACGCGGTCTCTAGGTCAAAGTTCAAAGTCATTCTTAGAGAAGAAAACGCTTGTTCAGAGCCAAACTTGTGCATGCATTGGGGTATTTAAATGTAACTTGGCAAAATGTTCACCATTGTGAAGGGGTGTTAAGCGCAAAATTTAGGACCCTGTGGCCTAAGTCCATGGTCACATGCAAAGGTCCGAAGTAAAAAATGAGTATTGAACATTTAGTCATCATGAAGATGGATTTTTATGTTAATGTTCACTATATTGAGATCGACTACTAGTATTTGTGACGATCGTTTATTTTGTTACACAATGACACTATTGTTTGTCATACATAAACTTTTCAATTTTCAAACAATCAAAATCATTCAAACAAATTGAAAACCCCTTTTTGTGAATGAACTACATGTATATTCATGCTTGTCTTAATTCAACTCAATGTCCTTTTTATGTTTTACATTTATAATGACATGTAACGTTTTTTTTCAGGTTATTTATCATCTTGCATATTGGTACTGGGAATCTGAAAGAAAGTCAGGAACTGGTATATGCTTTTATTTTATTATTATTTAATGCATCTTTAATACATCCGTTGTCATAATCGTTGTCATCTTAATCATTTTTGTGGAAAACTCCGTGGCCGAGTGGTTAAGTTTGCTGACTACTAATCACTTGGCCTTAACACTTAACTTTGCTGGATAACAGTATGTAATTTGCCTTTACCGCCAGTATAGAGCCAGACCAGCCTGGACAACTGTGGAGCCATTCAGTCTGACAATGCTCTAAATTGTTGCCTTATTTATATAAACTATTCATCTTGATGTACTCAACATTGATAATAGACTATTAAAAACTGTGGCTATTCAAAGAAAATCAGCAATTAAATTCAATTCAATTCACGTAAGGGACCTTGGACTTTTACATTTTAGGAAGCTATCAAGGTAGCCTTTGAAAGCTCGGTAGTTCAACTCATTTGCTCACCCGTGCCTGAAATTATGCTCGAAGTAACCTTTTCAACGAGTAAAGCATGAAAATCGTCATTTGACCATAACATTGTCAGTGTGACTTTAATATACCCAGCAGAAATTAAAATAAACAACACACATTCTGTCGTTGTCATTTTCATTAAACGTTCACTTCTGGTATACTGCCTAAAAGAATGGCAATGTGAGGGTCAATTAATAAATATATTGGTTTATTATATACTTATAAATGAAATATTGAGAAATATTGATGAAATAAAATGAGTATTTTCATTTTCCGTATTTTCACTGTAAAAATTTATTTTTCACTGCAGTGAAACATATTTTCCGTATTTTCACTGGTGTCTTGTCGGACTACTTTCTTTTAAATTCTGCCAGTACATAAAATTTAAGGGAAAGTCTTTCAAATTTTATCACAAAAAAGAGAAAAATGTATATAATAAACAGAAAATTCAAGTTTTTTCTATAAATACACGATTTATTTTCATCTTGTGGCATGAAAATTACCATATTTCACTCGTGGCTACCGCCACTCATGAAATATTTATTTTCATACCACTCAATGAAAATAAATCATGTATTTATAGAAAAAACTTAAATATCCTCTATTTATGTTTTAGGCTAAGCATGCTGAATCTATCGGCGTTGACGCGATAGCTGCCTTGCCACCAACCTACCATAAACCAACTACGGAAGGTATACCAACGTTTTGTCCAGTAGTTATTCAATTACATTCATAGTTTGAACATCTTTTTACCTCGATTATGATGAAAGCTTCACGTTACGTTTTTTTTCGAAACAAAATCTATTTCTTTATTGTTGTCTTATTGAAGGATGTATATGCAAGACTTATCTTATTATACATGTAGTTATATAGTTAGTTAGTCTGTCTTGTACTTCATTTTATATACAAATAGTCAATGTACTCGTATATGTTTGGAATTGTATAAGGTAAGAAATGACATAATCTAAAAATGTGTTAAATTTCGTTTTTTTAGAACAGTTAGTTGCGTATATAGAAGAAGTGGCAGGAGCGGCACCCAATACGCCTATGCTGTATTATGAATATAATGTGACAACGGGAGTTTATTGTAAGTTATTAATGATAAATGATGCCTATACATGGGTTTGAGTGAGTGAATAATAATAATTCCTTTCAATTGCATAATTTACTTCGAATGAAGGATAAATAACCCACGAGTCCCGAAAGAATTTCAGTGAATCGACCTGTAACGTTTAATTTATAAAAAGATTGGGGCAGACTTTTTTGTATTTTAGGCAGATTTATATTTATCCTAAACATTTTACAGTATTAATTGTTGGTCAATCAATATTATAACAGTCAATGTTTTGTAATATATACTCAGTTCAACTTAACTTGAGCATATTGACACTTGAACTCTGTATAACTTGACGGAACTCACGGTTCATATTCCGCATATACCACATACGGTAAATAGCGTGGGTTTCCGAAGGACATCAAAACACTGAAAGTCTGATAAAATGTGTTCATGGGAAATAATTTTGATTAACATCCTGTTATCATTATCTTTCAAACTATTGTATACAGTTTTGTTTCTAACTAAACTACAATAACGGTCAGCAGACTGCAATGCACTATTTTTGTTCAGAATCATCCCCATACTCGGGTTTTCTGGTACTAGAAATTGCCTCGTTTTGAAATGTTAAATACCGATTTTGAAATACGTTTTCGCCAAGGCTTCGTTGGTAGTGCAGTGAATAGTTTTTTTATGATTTGTTAGTTTGTTGTTTATTATCATCATCACCAATATCATCATTATCTTTTTTCAAGCACGAAATGAAAATAGAAATGATCTTTGCAAGTTTTTGTATTTGCAGTGAAAATTCCACGATTTCTTGAGCTTGCTGAAAATAGAATTCCAACATTATATGGACTTAAACACACTTCTCCGGAGCTCAGCTCTGCTGTGAATTGTGCCAACGTTTGTAATGAAAAATACAAAGTTTTCTTTGGCACCGAAACGGTATGTTAATTTTCTACTGTTTATTTTAAGATGATTATTTATTTTCTATATTATTAGTAATTTTGTTGTTTTTTTTCGAATTTTGAGGACCGGCTTAAGGGCAACTAGGTTCGGAAATGTACTGTTTTGAGTATATAAAATCGCCAAAATTTTAAAGAATCTTTACTTCTCTTTCTTTTCTGGCAGATATGATTTTCGTTCAAACAAGATGTGTTTGTAGTCGGGTTGAACCGTATCTGTAAAAAGATAAGTTCATCAATAAAAACAAGAAATTGCATTGTGTACCAATGGCGTTTGTCTTGAAAATTGTCTGTTTCTCATTATACGGCAAGGTCAATTTGCACAAACATAAATGGACTTTACGTCAATTGCATTCGCAAGGTTCTGTCTCTTTATGAATAGATAGCCGTACCTTATTCCGTTGGCTTTTGTTCTATTCGTTGTGTGTACTGCTGTGGGTTATTTTCTATTTTCTTTTTCTTGAAATTCAAAAATCATTATTGCATACAGTTAAGCTCGACTAGTCGAAGAGTTGGAAATGCTATATTGTATTCCGTTTTACCCATGCTTCGGCGTCGTTGTCATACGTTGGTTAATTTTGCAAGTTAGTTTTGTTTCCAACACCACTGAGGGAAATGGGTTAAAACTTCACACGCTTATTTGAGAGCATAATAGGAGGTCAGTGTTCAAGGCCCGTAACTCTAACATGGGCTTTGACTGAATTATGGTACGTTTTGAACTTAAAAAATCTACATTATCTGGGCTCTTGTTTTCCTATCAAGCACGGAAAATAGTCGAGCACGCTGTTCTACCGACAGTTCTTTTTTAAAATTCTCTGTGCAGTCAAAATGGTTACAGTATTCGTAGTTGTACAAGCTGATCAATTAGCATCAAACTTTATATTTAGGTAAAATACTAACATTGCAGAAAGTTATTGAAATCTAGTAAATTCTTCCTGAATACATGTCTGTATTGAAACAAGTGAATGTATAAACTATGTTTGGGAAACTGCATTCCCTGTTACTTGCTGAACTGATTTGGTCTATCCTTTTAAAAGCTGTCATTTTTAATGGAAGTATGTAATCATACTGTGATTACCTGTAGTGTGTAAAGTTAACATATTTCTGTATGTGTATTCAAAAGATGTTTATTTTACATTTCAAAAGAGACTGTAAAGTAATCATCAGTTTTTTTTCAAATATCAAATATCAGCATAATATATCTTTAATGTCATATACTTGAAGCTTCGCATAGTTACTTAAACTATATCATACTCTATTACAGCAATATTTACCAACACTTTGTCTTGGTATACCGGATGTTATAACATCACCATATTTGGGCAAATGTTTCTATAACCTGAAAGCTGCCTTTGAGAAAGACGAAAGAGAACTTGCCCAGGAATATCAGGTAAAATCGTTATCTGCCAATTGCAACATGTAAAAATTAACTTATATTAGAACAGCATGATATCGACATTATATCATGATGCCCTTTGACTTACAAAGTATTTTCTATGGTTTAAAGCAGCATGTCTTCAAATTCATGCTAATTTTCATTATTAATTTTAAAATTTATTAAAAGGTCAAATATTTTCAAGTGACAAAAGAAAGTAATTTATACTTTGCAAATAGCACTTAAAACTACGAAAAGTATCAAATATAGGAAAAGACCTAACTGCGTAAGTCGCCCAGTAGAAATATGGTGATAAATTCTACAAAATCAGTGATTTTTTGCATGTAACATGTAAATTATTTCTTGAAGTGTGAATATTTTTACTTTTCTTAAAATATATTTACATTTTTCTTAAGGTAGATTCTAGATATTTCTTGAAATATTTTTTCTATCTGGAGGCATGCAGCTTTATGGATCAAATTTACATTGTTTGTGTCAAAATGTGTACTCAACTATGCATTATTAGACATCGAATAAAATAATTTCTTTACTGTGTTCGTTATGTTCAAATGGTATATTAACCTAGATTTTATATCGTTATTTTTTGTCTAATTTGTTTGTATTAAAAGTGTGTTACTCAGGCAGAATCTGATGATCGCTCTTAGGATTTTCACCGTATGTTTTCTGATTCGATTAGTAAATTATAAGAAGTTTAAACTATCAAAATTTTTGAAATCTTTTTTTTTTCAGTTAAAAGCTCAACAACTTAACAATATACAAATGAAGCATGGTAAGTCAGTTATTTAAACTTTGTTTAACTACGTATTTGACATATAGATAAACCTGTACTCGTATGCTGCTGTTTACAGTGAGCATTGCAAGAAGTTAGTATATGGATAATTGTAATTAGCTGCATGGACAGGAAAAAGTGAAATTACTTTGTATTTTTCCGGCCTATTTAACATGTACTTATCGTGACAGAATTAAGTGTTTTTCGGTATATTTACCATTGATTTTATGTTTTAACCAGTCACCACTGAAATCTGTGTGTAAGTACTATTTGGTCTCAGATAAGGACTATGTTTATTAATAATTGATGAGATGTTCCGAATGAGTTCGGTATGTGTTGTGCTAAGGCCTCTATCTTTCATTTTTTAAGTCCATAAACGAGACACACCTTCAACTAAAAGTAGCGGAGGGCCTTAAAGAAGGTATAGTTATACCTAATAATGTGTTAAGGCAAGGCCTCGGTTCTGATCTTCAATCCGTAGACATGACACGTCTTCCCCTTTAAACATGCGTCATATTACACTCCACTAAGGTTTACGACGGGACCCGGGAATATTGTAGGGAGAGCGTTGGACTGTGAATTGGGCGAGCTGTGTCCAATTCTCGGACGGTGAAGGTCACCTTCGTTGTGCAGAAGTAAAAGTAACTTAAAGTAGTAGCGGGCCTTGATACTACTTTATAACGTGTTATACTTGAAATTGAGACTTTGAGGTTATTCTGATCATCAAAATAATTATAGCAAATAATTTTCATTTTCAGGTGGTGGTATTTCATGCTCGAAAGCATTATTTGAGATTGTTTCAGGAATCACGATGGGGGCTCCTAGGCTACCATTATCACCAGTGCCTCAGCAAGTTAAAGATGCTATGAAGAAAGATTTGATAGAGGAGGGTTTTCTCGCCGACATTACCTTCACGGAGGAAGATTTTGACAGTATTTTACTTACATATTAGTGGTGGGAATTTGGGCAAGAAATAGGATGAACAAAAATTATAAAAATGTTGTCAACTAGTGTCAGAAAGTAACTTACCAAAGAATATATTTAAAACATATTGTTAAAGTTGTAATAGTCAAGTTTTATGAAAATGTCAACTCGTTCTACAATATATCTTTTAGAATCACGATTGAGTTTTTTGTGCAGTTTTTGAAACATATTTTTAAAAAATCAAGATAATTGATTGATCAATCATTACTTATGACTATGAAATGGGGTAAAAACTCTGTCGAATGATTCGTAAACATATTTTTAACATCGCCGTCATTCCATGACTTCCTAATCAGTCCATCATTAGTACATAGGATTTACATGGAAAATAGACGCTAAACATAAGTTGAACAAATATTTTGGCCAGGGGACAAATGAAATTTTGCGGGTTTTATTGCTCGGAATTTTATAACTTTAATTATTTTAGATCTTGTACTTTTGGATTTAATTATTCAAATAAACCGTTGTTAATTATATTCAATTTTGATATAGGGTTAAATTGTACCTTGTTTTAATTTGAATATGAACAATATGTTTATTTTGTACGGGTTAACATTTCGTTAATTACATGACAGTGTTTATAATTGCATTTTGTTCTGTTTTATAACAAAACTCAAGGATTACAAATCTAAGTGATCGGTAAATATCGACTTATGTCGAGTAATATGGAACGTAAGTGGTTTGACTCAGGTGCTCCGAGATCTTCCTCTGACATTAAAGCTTGAAAGTCACCAGATGACTTTTACAATGTTCATTCGGTTCCAAAGAAAATAAAAAAAACAATTATGTATGAATGTTTAATTGTTTATGATAATATTTTCATGATAATATTTCCATGTCATCATGTTTGATTTAATGATATATATGATATATCAGTTATATGTGATATATAATATCATGTTATAAGTGAGTCGACTGAATATTAAGTTTTACTAACATAGAATTTTTTAGCTTTTATTTACTGTTTAAGTTGAGATGTAAACATTTTGTTTGATCTTATATAAATGTATAGTAATGCCAAGTATGCTTTTTGCCATGTTTTATTATTACATGTATAATGTTTTGTTGAAATATGCATATAACCAATTTATATATTGTACAGTGCTGTTCTGGGCATATTAGCATGCATGTTATGATAAAATATAAGTTGTAACTTGAACAACATAGTCACAAACATTTACAGATGTTCTATATATACTTGACTTATATTATTAGTTATAAAGATCGTTGATAGGTTATATGGCCCTATATAAACGGCTATTTGTAAATATAACCTGAACCGTTAGGCGAGTACGTTTGTAAACGGCCTTATAACCTGTCAACAATCTTTAGAACGAATTTATAATACATCAAACACCATTTTTTAGAGAAAAACAGTAAGATTTGTTCATGAATCGACAGCAGCCATGTCTATTATTAGTTATAAAGATTGTTGACAGGTTATATAGCCCTATATAAACGACTATTTGTAAATTTAGCCCGAGCCGATTTGTTCATGAATCGACAACAGTCGTATATATTAAACTATATAAACGTCACGATTATCCAATGAAAAACGACGTTACAAACATGCAGTATTATAAAAAAAACTATATAGACTTCACGATTATCCAATGAAAAATGACGTTACAAACGTGCTGAAATACCAAACACGTTTTCTTCAAAACATTTGTTTGAGTAATAACACGAAAAATCAATTAGTTTTCTTCAATTTATTTTTTTAATTGAAATGTTTTGAGTCACTCAATATAGTGGTAAAGAATGTCATCTGTTTTACAAAAATCTGTGTAAATGTACATGTATGTGACACAATATTTTCTTGTAAGGTAAATTAGCACTTTTGTTGTCAGCTTATCCAACAGGTTTATCTGTGACGGCAAACAGAACATTTAACAACTGAAAAAATAAAACAAATTATAGTCCAGCATAATTATATTTTATAAAGTATTACTGTAATAGATACTACTAGTACTAAATATGTGTACTAATATAATACACTATAAAAAGTATTTACATTTCTAGTCTGAAAAAAAAATTCGCAAAAATCGTCTAAACCTTTACTATTCCATAAGATAAGGACATACCAAACCTTGAATTAGAGGTTTTTGTGTGTGATTTCAGTAGTCAGTATTTTATATCGTGGTCAGACTGCACTGTTGGTCAGACTGTACGGGTGGACACACTGCAGGGGTGAACAGACTGCCCGGGTGAACAGACTGCACGGGTGGTCAGACTGCCCGGGTGGACACACTGCACGGGTGGTCAGACTGCCCGGGTGGACACACTGCACGGGTGGTCAGACTGCCCGGGTGGTCAGACTGCTCGGGTGAACAGACTGCACGGGTGATAGACTGCACGGGTGATCAGACTGTACGGGTGGTCAGACCACGGGTGAACAGACTGCACGGGTGATAGACTGCACGGGTGATCAGACTGTACGGGTGATCAGACTGTACGGGTGGTCAGACCACGGGTGAACAGACTGCACGGGTGATAGACTGCACGGGTGATCAGACTGTACGGGTGAACAGACTGTACGGGTGATCAGACTGTACGGGTGATCAGACTGTACGGGTGGACAGACTGTACGGGTGGGCACACTGCAGGGGTGACAGACTGTACGGGTGATCAGACCTGCACGGGTGGGCACACTGCAGGGGTGGTCAGACTGTACGGGTGATCAGACTGTACGGGTGATCAGACTGTTCGGGTGGTCACTTTTTACTATTAGTATTAGTTTATTAGTAGCGCAATAAGCACATATCAAGATTTGATACGGGTGTATCTGTATATTTCAGACTAAGTCAGTATTTCACAATCAAATCAACACATGAAGCATTATGTAAATTATATCAACCTATACTCACACGAAAATTAAAGGTATGCTTTTCGTTAGAATCTTAGAAAAGCAACGTGTAAGCAAATTCCGTATCAACGTGTACATAAATGTGTTTTCAACCTCTATTTTCCTTAATTTTTTATCTATATGTTATAAGTGTTTACAGAAATCCCAAAGCAAAGTACAAACAGTTAAAAAAATATTAAAAATACAAAAAATTATGTCAATTACTTTTCACTTCAACGTTACCACATAGTATGATTTTTTAACAAAAGCACTGTTTGTTTTTTTTCGTGTGAGCATAATAACATAATTCTTTATTTGTGAAGATATTTTTTCTATTTTGATAAAGAGTTTATGCATCTATCTAATCAGGTTTTTTTTTCATCATACTTAACTATTGAATGTGTAAATTAGGTTATGCTACATATTTTAAGTGTAGTATTGAATGTGTAAATTGCAAGAAACACCTCTTATAAATATATTTATGATTGTGTATTATGTATAATTAAACAGGGGAAAAAACTCACTTGTTTCTTATATATTTAAGATATAGGAATATGTTTTAGTGTTTAAATGTAAAAGTTTGCCTGTAAGCCGGTGCTAGTCAGGATGTGTGTGGAAGCTCTCAGTACCACTGCCGTCCATAAACAATGAGCATTTTAATAGTATCAACCTTTATTGTTTTCCATCCTTTATCATTTAATAAACATTAACGTTTTATTTTCAAAACAAAAGAAAGTAAAACTTACATTGATGTAGTACTGCCTAAATTCATCTTTTGTCACTTTCTGATTTTCTGTAGAAAGAAAATAATTATATATTAAGATTATGTTGTAACTTTGCAATCGCATTCGGAGTACATCGCCGAATACCCGAACTATGACGGAAAGGGCCGAAAAATACCGGTTCACTAGAAGGCCTACCGAACTTCTGTTTGACCATCCGATGCTCCATTTTACCTGGGAAAACGTATCTTTTCAGTCTTCCCGGATGTTACATTGCTATATATGAAAGTGTTTCGAACCTCGAACTTCAACTTGAAAAAATTTAAAAAGATCAGTGATAGTTATAAGAATCTTTGCAAGTCACTTCTCTCCGTACGTTTAATGACTAATTAACACTCTTAGATTCTGTGTTCATATTTGTTTAGGGGTATGTACCGCGACTGCCCATTACGGAGGTAACCATTTAGTTTATGAAAATGTATTTTAGTTCGATTGTGTTGCAAGCGACTGCCCATAACAGAGGTAACCATTAAGTTTATACAAATTTATTTTAGTTCGATTGTGTTGGAAGCTATAAGCTTATTGCAACACTCTCGAATCCGTTCCTGGAACCAACTACTACTAAGCAATGAATGTAAAGTTTCTTGCTCAATGAAACAGCAGTTTGTCCCTGAAAGGGTTTGAACCCACGCGGTCAGCAATCCTTAGATTACTAGTCTGACGCATTAACCGCTCGGCCACGCCACCAGGTAACCATTTGTCCTATACAATACACGGAGCATGATCCATCCGAAAGATTTATAAACTTTTATTAGCGGGAGATAGAACTTGCTGTCCTTTAATTTTAAGGCTGATTCACGCTCTTACACAAGTTTGACTCAGACGAGTATTAGTAACTATACATATACAATATTATACCCTGGTACTTACTATCTGTGTCCATGACGGCAAACTCTGAGGCAACATCACTAACTTTGAGGCAGTTTGTGTTGTGGACGTCAAAATGCTTGTATATCCTAGAGGCAACTTCTGTACCCCCTGCAGAGAAGTTTTCGTACTCTGTTATTGTCATACAGCCGTTATCTGAAGAGAAAGTAGAAACAACTTATGCCATTAATGTATGTACTTTGTTGTTGTAGCATACCATTTGAAATGTTATAGCAATAATTTCATTTTTAATGCAGTCTTTTTCTAAAAATACACGTTTCTAACGGAAAGTAAATATTTTATGAATTAAATGATTTTAGAATCAAACAAACTAGATATGTATCCATAGGATACAGATGACCCCGCCAAATAACATTTTTTGCCTCAAAAAACCTTGACCCATGTGCTGTTCTTTATACACCCTCCACCCCATGTGAAATCGGCCAAATGTTTTGACAATCCGTCAAGGAATAAGAAACATACAAGCCAAAAATGGTTAAACACAGTGATACCTTTGACCGCCAAGTACAACCTTGCCCTTGAATGTGAGAATATTTGTCTAAAGCACAACACATCTGACTGATAAAGATATGTGTCGAAAATTTCTACAAGACTAAGTTATCATTCAGATTTCACCTTGGACCTCTAAGTGTGACCTTGATATTCAATGTGTTGACGTGGGTCTTGCACGCAACACATCGTTTTACGGCCCAAATATTTCAATGATCCATCAAGTGATGGCAAAATTATATAGCCAGACATATGTATACACTTTTTCAAACAGAAAAAAAAACATACGTGCGGATGCGCACGCACACACAAACATGGACACGTGTTATACTGAGCATCATGTATAATATATTGGACACTTACTATCACTATCAGCTACAATAATCAATGTATCAAACTCGTATCTCTCGATAAAGTTGTCATGATCGTTGTCGAAGTTTTTAAAGCTCCCATCAATAATCTTGTCTAGAGCTGCGCCAGTAGGAATGTGAATGTTCCTGTAGCAAAGAATAAAATACAATAATCGCTAGCGCATCAGTCACTAACGCCATTTGTAACCTTCTCTTGGCGGGAGAATAAGGCGGTTTGATTGCCGCCAAATTATATGCGTATATACAATGTGTATCAATGCGAGGAATTATGCATTGACTGTTTCTACAGTAAGGCGGGCACTCCAATAGTACTTTGGAAAAAAACAAGAAGTGCTCGTTATTCTCAGAAGATCGATGTAGGGTTTTCATATATAGGTACATATCATCTCCACGCCCGTTTAACTCACAACGAGTATAAAATATCCATCGGTAAAAATGTTGTGAGCAACTTCCGTTCCTCGTTGTGAGCACCCATCTAGGACGTGTGACACGATAAACAAGGTGAGTTTTTCATAATTTTTGAAGATTACAGACATTTATGTAAAAATGTCGGAATGCAGTTAGCTAGCGATGTGTTTTCCGAGTATGCACATGTAAAGATATTGCCTGTTGGTCGACAATTTGATGGAAATACCGTGCGACGCAGTCACTCGGGGTAGCTGGAAAACTGGAGACAACTTCTCTCGGGACCAAATTTAACATTGAAAACGTCGATTCTGGTGAAGTTTTGTGCATTCTAACCTAAAACAAATGCCCACAAGACTTCAGCGTAAATTATTATCTGAAAGTCTTCATAGAAACGAAAATATACCCTTTTTTGCTTTAATCCTCGTTGTGAGCACCATAACCTCGTTGTGAGCAAGACAAGCGCAGTGCTTGTCTGGTTTTAAAATGTAATTCAAAGTGCGAGAATACAATTTTCAATCTAGCAAACGCAATCAAAACGTTTTTGCAAAATAGTTTTTCTTTTTTGCAATAGTTCTTCTTTTTCTTCATAACTTGGCTAGTCTAACGTGAATAAAGCTTAGGATAAATATATGTTTATATCACACAGACTGCCCTCTATGTTAACTCTTGCAACACGAAGTATATGCAATTAAATACATAATTTACCTCCCCTTATTAGTTCACCACCATTTGCAAAAACAGCAAAACATTTGCAAAATCGTATGTATATTCACAGGAGCTTGAAATTCTATCAATAATCGCTCAAAAGTCCGATCTAAAAAAAAATCCATACCTATATATAAAAAAAACACAAGGAAGGAAACAACATTTTTACCCCACCCACTTTAGACAACAGCAATTTGCCGATAATATCATTTGTCACGTAAATATCCGAGCTAAAACAAATTAAGTAAACATATAAACACTATTTAACTATTAACGGTTATCAATTTCGGTCCAGTCACACAGATTCCTCACGTAAACTATAGGTTTAAGTTCAACACAGGTTCCATTTACCCTGTTGTTGTTGTTTTACCCTGTTGTTGTTGGAACTAAATTCACTAACGGTTGAGCAGCTTATATTAAGTTCTTGACCACTTTGGACTACAAGACAATTCTATTGGCTAATTCGTACACACCTTTTCTTAGAAAATCTATAAAAGGCGCAAAGACCATTCAGTCGTCGGCAAATCACTCCGTAAACACGGACATGGTTTTAAATATTAACTGAGGAAACACCCAGTAAATCCGTAAGTTTCAAGTCGTAAGTTCTCGTCCGCAAGTTTGGTAACCATCTATGATCTTGGAACAGTCGCTAGTCTAAACTCCGTATATATAACGGTCGCGAGTCTGTACTGACGACGAGTCGCTAGTTTTGAAACTCACGACTATCCGATAAAAGATAACCTTATGTTTATAATGTATTGTTGAACAGAACAAAGCTAGTTTATGTGTCGCTACTCACGACCTATCGTTAGTCTGAACTTTAATGTAATATTACAGTAACAAGGTTAGCTTTTAAAAAAGCTAGTAGCGACTCGCTTCGTAATTTTTTTCAAGGGGTGTGTTTAAATGTAAAAATGACAGTTCTGTTAGCTGAAGAGACTTCAGCGAACATCAAAATAAAAGTGAAGTCAACACTGGTCCGGTGCCCGATGGCCAGTGTATATAAGTTCAGGCCAGTGTAAATTTAAGAAAATTTTGTTAATTATTTAGTAGAATAAATTCAAAACTGGAATTCGGCCAGTAAATTCAAAATCTTAAACTCATTGACTGAAAGTGACATATAAAGTTCTCTCAGTTTAACCAAGATGAGTATGAGTATATATGAAGGTGCATGTAAACATATAGAATGAAGAACCTATGTCTATGCACATTTACTATATGGCCTGTTGACCTTGACCACAAAATGTTAGATAGGTAGATTTCATAAAGATGTCTCTTTATACAAAATTAAGTTGTAATACATGTATTTTATTTAGTATTGGAATAAGAGGCACAAGTCCTAAAGTAACACAAGTTGTCAATCAATTCAGCCAGAAAAGCCGGGATCCTATTCAAAAATATAGGGATCCCGGAAATTGACCAGTCTAAGAAGATGTTTTTCAGATAAGCCGGGATCATATTAAAACATATAGGGATCCCGGGAATTGACCAGTTCAAGAATATAGTTTTCAGAAAAGCCGGGATCGTATTAAAATGTAAATAGATCTCACGGATTGGCCAGTTCAAGTATATAGTTTTCAGAAAAGCTGGGATCGTTTTAAAACATATTGGGATCCCGGGATTTGACCAATTCAAGAAAATAGTCTTTGATTTTTCCAATTAATTAGGCATATAATTATAAGTATTGTGATTTCCGCATTTTAAGTTTGTTAATAAATAGCTCTAAATATATCTATATTCTAAGTTAAATTAATTTAACGTTCATTAAATAAAAAAAATAACGTTTAATGGCCTTTCATTACGACAACAATCAACACAAATATAGTTCATTAGGTTTTTCCTCCATATCTTATACGATCCCGGATCCCGGGCATCCCGGATCCCGGCCAGTAAATACATACACTAAATACCGGAAAGGATAAAATGACCGGAAAAAAAGGAAAAATAAAAAATGCACAGAACCAGATGTACACTTAATATGTTAATTAACCAAACGAAAACTTACTACAGAGAAAACAGGTGAAATCGCTAAATCAGAAGTCAGTGTAAATATGATTTATTGAAAAGAATTCATAAAGACAAACATTTTAATCATCATTATATCTTTGCGCTCAAAACAATACTTGCTGATTTTTAAAAATGGCGTGAAAATTGAAGGTTTTTTGACGCTATGTAAGATTAAATTTGATTGGCTAAATAATTTTGGGTCCTAGCCCTGATAGATAAATTTTGTAGAAAGCTGGAAGCCAAGCTTCGATTAAATTTTTGGATAGCTTCGGAGTTTTAGGTTGTTTCTCAGTAAAATCCTACCGTAATACCGGCTCGCCGTGGCGAGCCGGCATAATACAAGAAAAGCATTGATGCAAAGCATCAAAGGGCGACGCCAAAAGAATTTGATCCAGATTTGCACCTAAATACTTAACAAAAGATGTGTACTTGATAGCAGTTCCATTACATGTGACCTGGAGGCTAGGGCCAGGTTAAGTTGAAACTTAAACCAAAAAAGAATAGACTCTGTCTTGCCAAGATGCAAAGGCAATTTATAGTCAATTAAGCAATCTTATAAGACTCATGTTATAAGAAAGAATTTCTTCAGATTTAATTTATGAGACACAAGGATTCCTGAGTCATCAGCATATAATCACTGGCACGAGTATCGGACCTGGGAAGAAAAAATATGACCAGATGACCAGATTGATAAAAAAAAACTGTGTTTATAAAAACCAAAACAAAAAATGTAAATAATGATCCCCTTTAAAAATATACTTTCAACTTGAAGTATATTTTTAAAGGGGGTCATTATTTACATTTTATTTTGGTTGTTGACACTTTTAAGATGAACATAGGTTTTTTTATCAATCTGGCCATATTTTTTCATCCAAGGTCTGATACTCGTGCCTGTGCATTATAATAAAAGCTTATTGCTTAGGGTTGAAGACATGTAATTGACATATATTAGACATAAAAGAGGACCTAAAATGAACATCAGGGGGACAGCATAGGTACTCAGAGCAGTAGTAGAATAAGTACCAGCAACATCAACCAGCTACTATCAGAGATAAGACTTAAACCATGTAAGAATGTCATTATATATGGCAGATGCTTGAAGTTTCATGAAGAAGAAGAAAAACAACTTCTTCATGTGCAGGATAGTGTGTTCAACTGTATCAAATGCCCTTTGTAGATCTAAAAGTATCATGCAATACTGCCTTTGTCCATTTCAAATAATGCAATCTGTTAAATGAATCAAACATGTGTCAATTGAAAAACCACTTCTAAACCCTGACTGAAACTGCCTGACCATGACTCAAACCCATGACTTTCAGAAGACCAACAGAGCTATCAGTCCTGCTACACATTTTCTCTTTAATAATGAAACAGTTCTAAACCACAACATATTTCCCCACTATATCGATTTGTGTTCGTGAATTTCTTATGTTACAGAGCATAGGAAATTGAACTCATGCTTATATGCAGTCATAGGATGAGAAAAACTTTGAGCTTGACCAGAACTCATTAACCTGTGACCAACATAAGAAGAAATTTTATGAAGGCTGATTTGTATTTTGCATCAAGGGCACCGGGCAAAAACATGAAAATGCAACAAACAAACCACTTTGTGGTAGATTGTATTTTCATGTTTTCATCTGGCACCCAGTTACTTTTTGTACTATGTTGGTTTTCATGTGGCACAAATCACCCACTATAAATTTAGTGCACAAATTTATTCAAGGGCAAGTAACAATCTACTCTATGTACAGTCTGTTGTCGCGTTGACTCAGGAGACCTGGAGGTTGAGACTGGTGTCCCTCCATTACAAATAGATATAAGACAGAAGCTGTCCTTTTCAAACTATGCACATGTTAGAAAAGAAATTACTATTCAGATTATGATTTTTTGAGACTTTATTAATTATATTGCTAGATCCAAGTTTAAGGACATTTTCAATAAATACATGCATAATCATTTATAACTTTAAATGAAAGTCTCATCCCTTTAATAATAATGGCATAACTGTAACTCTTTAAATGCAGAAAAATTATAAGTCTCAACATATCAATATACTACTGTCTAAGATATACATGTACATGCACATAACATTAATAATTCCCAGTTTATATTAAATAAATATGAAATCCTAACATTAACATGCTTTTGATGACCTTACAACTGGTGAATTATATACAACAAAAATATTATTATAAGTAATACCTAAGATAGACAGAAAAAAACAAATAATTTAGTAAACATAAGTTACTTCCCCTTAAAATAAAGAAAACCTGAAACCCAAAAGAACACGATAAACAGCAAAGTTATGAAATGTTGCAGGTTCAATTTTATCAAGCCATGCAAATTAATGGTAAAGTATTCATAAAAAAATAGATGGCCATGTGTCAGCAGTAATTGCAGAAAATCGGATAGCTTTCAACATCCGGATACTGGTACACTTTGTAAAAACAACCATTCTGCGCAACAGATAAATGTAATAAGGATAAAATCAATAGGATAATCGTTTACAACAGTTTCATTACCTATCCTTATACTCAATTGCAGGTGAACTTTCTTCTTGTAGGAAAATTTTGAAAATGTATAAATGATACGGCCTCAATCTAGACCACAACGATATTCGAAATCCGGGTTTTAGTATTGTCATTAAAACTAAGGGACAAGCTGTTAAACTTAACCCGCAATTTCGTGAAAATAATATCACAATGCACATGCTTTTTACATAAAGTTATTAAATACAAATATAACAACACATTTGTTTACTTGATTTTTACGAATCAAAATAAAACTAATTTACACAACATGAAATTAACTGCTAATAATAACAGCTCCTTCCATAGGCAAAAATAAAAAGCGTTCCATAATAGACGACGCCGCTCACCGGCGTCGCCAATAAAGGATAGCTGAACACTCGGGAACTACGATGACTGACACCTAGAACATAACCCCTCCTCAGAAATAATAATAAAGAATCTAACAATTAAATAAACCAATATATATGTGTTGTTCAATAAATGTTCATGTTGCGTAGTGCATTTATCTGATTTGCATCTATAAATAAATGCATTTTGGTATTTGAAATCTATCTTTGCTATTTCTTATGGATTCTGATCATTGTCGGTAGTTCATCCTGATATAAATGCCGTGCCGTCCCGTACTACTACCGCACACATACCGATACTCTAATAATATGTAGTTTTTTAGTTAACCATTATCTATTAAGCTAAAAATATACTTGTGTAGTGTTAAGATAGCGATAATCGCATAATAACAGATTCAAATAGTTCTCAGCGTTTGTTTGCTCTGTAGAGCATTTTTCATGATTTTAGTTGCACTGTCTTTCCTAGAAAGCTCACGACAGTCTGTGTTTGACATTTAAATAGCATTTTCATCATGAAATAGTGGCATTTTTAGAAATCTTCTTGACTTCTTAGGCGTTTCACCACTAGTACAATTTCAGGTGATTTTAAAGTGTGTTTGACTGAAAAGAATGTTTTGCAAGAGACATGACTCAAACTGTCTTTTGATTTGTATGCATCACTGACAGTTTTTCTAGTAGTTCTAATCTTTTTCAGGCCAGGGCAAGTACATACTTGATGCCTCGCTTCGGTCTTCCCTTGAACGACCCCATGTCCAATCATAGAAAAGAATAGTACTACAGTTGGAAGGCCTTGTCCAAAGAGGTGTTGTGCCTAAATATGAATTAAATTGATTTACTAATAAGGACATTATGGCCAATTTTAAGTTTTTGGACAATTTGACCTTCAAGGTTAAGGCCATTCAGGGGTCAAGGTAAAAAAATACAGGTCCGTAGGAAGGTCTTGTGCTAAGGGATGTTGTGTTCAAATATGAATCAAATCCGTTTACTAATTAGGAAGTTATGGCCAAGTTTTCGGATGGACGGACTGTTTAAAAGTAATATGCCTCCTTTCGGTGTATGCACAACGTCTTGCAAAGAAATGCTGCTGTGCAAAAGCGTTTTAATTGCTTTGGTAGATTGAAAATTATATTTTCACCATCTGAATTACATATTAAAACCAGACACGCACTGCGCTTGTCTTGCTCACAACGAGGTTATGGTGCTCACAACGAGGATTAACCGATGGACATTTTACACCCGTTGTGAGTTAAACGGGCGTGACCATGGTGATGCCTTTATAATGACAAAATACTAATACATACACGTAACTGCAAATTTGTCAAGACTTTATTAACCTAATTTCATTTATTTGAAATTAAGCTCAAACTAGACCTTTGAATTTTGTAAAATCATCAGAACGCTGGCTGTGATATCATTTTACAAAGAACATGAAAGAGAAACTTATAACGCAATTAGATTTGTCAGTTCTTTCTCATAAACCCAAACGTGACATAGAGCAGTTGGTAAACAGTATCTATTTAGACCAAATGTGTGTTGATTGCCCACCAGAACGCCGGAACAATTTCGGTCGAATATAATACAATGTAAAGTTTTGTGAATTTTGATTAGATACTGGCATGCGTTAGACCAATAGTAAACAAACTTAACATTCCCGCCATATGCCATGAAATGTAACATGTTGCTTTTGAAATTGGAACATCTTACCACATTTAGTTTTTGGGGTAGTGCAGATCAAATTAATATTTTTTAGCAATAAAGTAAAGAAATAAAAATTTAAAAAAATTTAATTTCTACATTACGAATTTTCATTTCGTAACAAAACTAATATTAAAGTACACCAGCTGCAATAATCTGGTTATTCTGCAAAAAAATAAGAAGCATTTATATATATTACTATACCAACGTAGTTCAGTCACGAGGTTTGTTAAGATGACAAAGAAAATTAAACTCACCCATGTGACGCGGTTGTAGAGGCATCGGCTCTGAAAGTATATTAAAATCAAATCAGAATATACAAGTGTGAGTGAACGAGCTATAATGTACATAAAATAAGTGAACGTGTCTTTTATATTTTTAATATATTCGTTTGGTGTAAGAAGACTATAAAAATGCCATGACTGGTGTGTACTCGTTAATTATAGATGGCCTTATAATATTTAGAATTTACCTAAACATGAATACGGAATAAACTTACCCAAACACAAAACACGCTGCTAATAAAGCTATAAAACTGTTCATGGTCGTGGGTCTGAAAAAAAAATTTAACTTTCTATTTCAACGCATCTTTCATAACGAAGAAACTACACGTTATATCTTTAAGCTATTAAATTTTAATTCGTTTCTATTACAAATAGAACCAGTTGCTCTCAATGCCTAGAATAAAGACAGCCACTGCCATGTGGGTAGTTTTGGCATAGAAATATCAACCTGAGTACTCTCTTAAAGAATCTCCAACAGGGTATCAGACCATTCAATCCCTTGGTCAGCTATTAGTCGATCTATCTCAGTTCCCTTTAATCTTAACAAATAAAACTGCATAAACAAATTAATAAATAATCTAACATAATGAAGTACTAGTATTGCTTCAAATATGAACCCTAGCTAAAGAAAATACAAGCGTGTTGTTAGTGGTAGAAATTTGTCGGAATTGCTAGATAATCAGACATATGTATTTCGAAATCATTAAACAAAAATTAAAAATCAGCTAATTCGTCTTACCTGACTTGGTCACAAGCCTGATATGTGAATGCCCGTTATATCTTCTTACGTAAATACGAATATTTTTTGCACCAGGACGAGTCAGTTATTTAGATAAGAAATGACGTACAGCAAGTTTAACAGATATAACGCACTATTTGTCATGAAAGGGATTTTTAGTGCTTCCGTGCTATCTTTATCTTTTATCATATTGATTTGTACATTTATCTAAATATGAACTACTTTGTTGTTTACTTTATGACACAGCGGTACTACGAAAACTTATGCTCAACGTGGCAAGTCAGCATTACCTCTTGGATCATGGGAAGTTAAAAAAAAATGTCCCATCTTGTGCACGCAGGCCGGATAAAAGGCGCTTGTAGACAATATCAGGGCTTGTTATAAGCACCAAGTGTTAATGGACGTTTCGACCTTTGTGACAATTTTATTCAGTCTCTGACTAAATCTGAGTGATAAATCTGACTGATAGCCCGTTCAGTTCAACATGGATAGCATTAGATTTGTTATACATGGGTCACTGGTTCGATCCTCAGGGAAGGCATTTTTTTATCATTATAATTTTCTATTAACATTGATTCTAATGCTCATTTCTTTTTCACCGCTGATTCAAAAATCATAAGTCATTTATGGAGAAATCAATAAATTACTGGCTAGTTATCCATTATTCAGAAAAGCCGACTCGGTCGACAGACCACCGAGATATGACCAAAATGTGTTCAAACATACAAATGAGCCGCGTCACGACAAAACCAACACAATGCGTTTGCGACCAGCATGGATCCAGACAAGCCTGCGCATCCGCGCAGTCTGATAAGGATCCATGCTGCTCGCTATCTGTTTCTCTACTTGTAATACGATTTGTAAGCGAACAGCATGTATCCTGGTCAGACTGCGCGGGTGCGCAGCCTGGTCTGGATCCATGCTGGTCGCAAACCCATTATGTTGGTTTTGTCATGACGCAGCTCAAATATTAGTGAACGGCAACTTTAGATTTGCTCACAAATTATCCGCCATTTATAAGCATCATCTATATTGACATATAAAAGAATAATTAAGAACTCGTTCCAAACATTCAAAGGGTTATTTTTAAATATTTACTGCAAATTTAGCATATCAGGCTCTAACAATAACTTTTTTTTTAAATCATACAAGTAATATATGTGTAGATATAGCTGACTTTTTAAAGTTGATTTTCAATAATTATTTTGTCTTGTAAAATAAGCGATTGTATACAGAAAACGAATCATCCTTTCAGTATATTATCTTGAAATACATAAAGATTTCCGCACAAAAAGGATATAATATAATTGACAACAAAGAGGGAGCATTTACTGCTGCTATGTTTTTATTTCTCTCATTTGTAGAAGTTTTTTTTCACTCGTCTGTCGTGGCATATTAAAAAAAATAACTTTTCAAATATTTTCACTCTCGTCAAATCAAACGAAAAGAAATGCTTCTATAGTACTGTTGTCTAACCAACAGTTGCCGTGTTGAACAACGTATGGAGTAACTGAAAAATACAATTACATGTACATGTATATACATAATTATGATTGCCTTTAATTTATTGCATACAGTGAATGCATTGTTTATTATATGTTAATTCAAACATACTTTCAACATAATTGTGCAGAATTATATATAGAAAATCGAGACATTTTGTGTTTCTGTTACATGAAAAGTGCGTTAATTTATAATCCAGTCGCAACATTTCGACTGTTGTCGTCAATCATCGGATAACGGAAATCGCCGAGGTGTCCCGAAAGTTTTTTTTTTGATAGTTGTATATACAGTTAAAGGCACATTATACCCCAGAATGCTTTTACTTAAACTTACCTTAACATAGTAGCTTTCAAACTCACGCAGTGTTACAGTGTTGCTATCTGTAATGATTGTAATATTTAAATTATTTCTCTTCGTGTAATTTCCGATGTTTTAAGAAAGATTGAAACATAATTCAATCGTTTCTTAAAATATTTTAAGAATATATTTATACTGACATATGTGTTTTAACATAATAAGATATATAAATAATGCTTCAGGTATTGTAGCAGTTATGAAATATGTAAGACTATGGGTTCTGCCTTATTGTTGAGTGACGCCCGTACAATGTTGTCGTGTATTTTTCTGTCAAAAATGAACATCTTACCGTGTCTACTAATTTGTGCCAGTAGTCTAGATTTATCTCCTTATCCAGATTCGGTATCATTCTATTTTCAATTGAGTATTATAATCATAAAAGGTGTTATGAATAAATGAATATATATGCTTTGATATAACCAACCGCGAGCAAGAAAATATTAATACTAGATTTAACGGAAAGTACTAGATATAACGGAAAGCGACGAAATTTGCCGAATTGCCAAGTATACTTACGGTCGGAGTCCATTAAATTAAACTGATCATACACGTCGTTCACCTGGAGGCAATCAGTATTGTCTGTGTCAAAGTGCTTGTAAATCATCGTGGCAATTGCAGGTGTACCTGCCGAGAAATTCTTGTACTCCGCAAGTGTCATGCACCCGTCATCTAGAAATGATGAAAAATATATCTAAATATGGTCACATGTCGTAGTACCGTGATTGTGAGTATAGAATATTCATTGCGTCACATAGTTAAAATCGTGTACGTGTAATAGCATCTTAATGCATGTTCTCGTCCTGTGACTTCATACCGTCATATTTAATTAAAATGCATTTAAAAAAAGACTACAACTATGTGCAAACTAAAATCAAAGTCAATGACCGCATCTACTTCAATAAATCTGCGATAACTTTGCCAAATTAAATCAAGATGGCGGATGACTCCAAGCGCCAACCTCTTATCTTAATACTTTCTATTTTGTAGCTTCTTATCCCTTAATATAGAACAGATCCAAGACAGAGTAACAATGTATTTTATCTTGAATAGTTTTCACTTTCATTTTTGATAAAGTATATAACCGTTAACGTACAATTTAAATCTTTTTAAAATGCAATTGCTGTCAATCAAATACAACCCAATCATTAAGGCTGAGTGCCATTTCATAGATACAAATAAATTAATGAATCAAATCCTGTAGTTGTAATAAGGATGTATACACAAATTTCCAGAAATGTTAAATGATATATTATTCTCTTAAAACAAATTTCCAAACAATCCAAGGGAGTATGTTAAATTTTATATGTACTTGCAGATGATATTCACATTAAGATAATCCCTTAAATAATATGCGATCATAATTTTGATTTGAAAGTTTGGAATATAGAACTATACAAGAATAAATTTCTAATACCTGACCTTATTTTCACTGTATGTAAAATTCGGTAGTATCTTTACAGATAATGTTTTTGGAAGTTACAATATTGATACATTTTCATTTGAGCATCATATTTATAATATAAAACCATAAAAAATGAGTTACTGCAGCTATTTTTGCAGTGCTTACCGTCCTTGTCAGCTACAATAATCAATGTGTCGAACTCGTAAGGCTCAATTAGACCATCCTGGTCACTGTCAACGTTCTTAAAACTCTCGTTTACCAATCTGTCCAAAACAGCACCAGATGGCAGCATTGAACTGTAATGAAAATGTATTTCTAAAATCATATAGGTTACGCGGTACAAAATGTGATATTAATAATAATATATGTTTTGAAAGCAAAGCATCGTACAGTATATGAGGTAGAACATATGAGAACTTTTATCAACAAGGAATGCCGATATTTAATGAACGCAACCCGCAACAGAAGACCACCAACAAGAATTGAAAATGCCTGTTTGTGATTAATGCTTGCACGTGCGCCTTAAATGCAAGAAAAGGTTGACGTGCTGGAATATCATATACGATCGAAAAAGCTATGATTTACCTGTAAAGTTCAGATACATTAAACATATAATCAGTAATATTAAGTATGTCATATTTAATTACATAATTTACAAAATTGATATTCATAGAGAAAAAAAAGAAGAAAGAAAACAAACGTAAAGAAGTACTGCAGTTTTGCTTAAATCAGCCGTTAATACTCATACAAAAGACCAAATAAACTATTTAACTATAGGTCGAAATGTTGCGATTTGCGTCCAAATCACAAATCTCAAATTTTTGACTCTCCCCGTCAAACTTCAGATATGGACATGAGGTGTTCCGAATGTCAAATCGCCGTACAGAAATTTGATTGGTTCGCTCGTCTGTGTACCGGCGCATAGGGAATCACTGCGCAGAAGTTTGATGAAGAATATGCATAAATATATGTTTAATATATGTATCAATCTAATCCTCTTACCCGGCTGGTTTCGTTGTCATCCCAATTCTGCAAAACATAATTTTTAGATAAAGTTGTATAATAGAAGATTAAACGTGTTCTTTTAGAAGTTTAGAATCGATTTCAGTTCAATGCAACTGTTTTACTTTCGGTCAATGAGATTCATTTCATACAATTTTTAAGTACTGATCTTTTAAACAAGACAGTAGGAATATTGTACATCGATATGTCAGGTCATATCTAAGATATTTTTAATAGACTTAAAAGATAAACAGTGAATAGTCAATGGAATCACTGATTAACAAGCGGTGTTTCAATTGATAAAACAAGTTTCAATTTTAAACGAATTTCCTTGTTTAATATTATGTCCGGATAGTTTACGTTTTATTCACTGTTGTTTTCTTTTTATCAATTGTTAAATATCTTACGCAACACCGATACACACGGCACAAATGATGCCCATCCACATGTTCTTCATGGCTGAAATAAAAATAGATAATCTACAGGGTTCCAGCAATAATAAGTTTAAGTTCAGAGATACCTATTTTAAACCATAGCGTAAAGATGAAAACTTGGTTATATGGTCCAGTATAAATGGTTGTTCGCTTATAAGGACGCTGGACCCGAACCGCAAGACGAGATAATATATATAGCAAACAGCCTTTTATATAGCCATGATCCTGTCAAATGATTTAATTGTGATTTTATTGCACAAATCCTTTAATTTAATCTTATTTATTTTTATTTAAGTTAATAATCGGATGACCTCGCCGATAATCCATAATCATCCGAAGTTTGACGAAAGGGGAAGCAGTGGAAAATCAACTTTAATAAGTATTTAAACAATGTCAAATAATCTTATCAATATTATAAACTTACAATTCATGCCGTCAACGTAAATGCGTCTATTATCACTTAATCATATCGCATTTATTAACATTAATTTATGTCCTTGTTTGAAAAATTAGAAAAACTTCAAAAAAATATGAAATGATATCGAAAAAAATACCCCTTACCTTTTAGTGCTTATAGTTGACCTTTCACTACTAACAGGTGATCTGAAAGTAAGGGAGAACCGTTAAACTGATAAAGGTTTGTCTTAAATAGTTTAAACACTAAGTATATATGACCTTTATTGACCTTTATTGACCAGGAGCAAACGCCCTTGTAAGATAAGAATGACCATATTTTTGAATTGTAGCTATCTAATAAGCTGGTGGATGTGAAATCCATATTTTGATATGTTTGAGTTAACTATCCATGTTGTTATATACAATTCTCATTTTCATTTTCAATTTGAACATGCATTATGGTGACAAGACTTAGTGCTTGCAAGATTTACACCATGATAACTACCTTTAATTTCAATTTTTAAGCTATTTATTAATCATGAAAACTAATAAATATTTATTCTGATACGGCTGCCATCATATGGAGTAAAAGGGAGGTTCAAAGTAAGTAGTTGTTTGTTTTAATGAAAGATTTTTTTGCAAGCAGACCATGCACATAATTTAGTGTGTGGTCACAACCAATATGTTGCTTGAAGTAATAGAAAGAGGATCGAAACACGATGCTATCTGATTTGTACGAGGGGGCATAGCCCCCGAGTATTAATCAGATTGCCGAGTGTTTTGATGTTCTTTCTCTTTTGTATCATAGTCAAACATAAAAACACGTTCCCTGTTGTCACAATATGAAACCCCAGGAAAAAGTAGCCAATGAACGAACGTCTGAATATGATATATCTATCGCGTTTCCTTTCGCTGCCGCTGATACCCCAGCAAAAATGAACCAATCAATTGGCGTGCTCTGGAGTGCGGGTAACAGTTAACGCACTGTGCATGTATATGTATACGATTTAACTTTTGCAAATTTTCAACTGAAAAGTTCCCAAACTATAATACAAGAAAATATGGAACACGCACAATGGATTGATTGTTAATAATGAATAAAACATATCATATAGGTCCTTGTAATTTTGTTACAATTGAAAATAAAAATTAGTTTAGCTCAAAATATTACCCCCGACATTTTCGACGGTGTGCTTATTCTTTTCTTCCTGCTCTATAAAAAGTGATTCGTATCAGTAAAATAATCTGGCCCATGGTCTCGTCACGTATATAACAAATATAAATTTTAAATGCTCCAATTGACTTATAAATCTACTTATGAAACTGTTTTTATTTTATTCATGCTACATATGCATATCAAACGTTTTAAACTGGTTATTTCAGCAAACGTTTCCAAATTATGCAAGCATCGCAATGTAAGGAGCACTGTTGCGCACGTAACAAATGCAAATCTCGCGTACAGCTATACACAGTGAAAAGATAAACAAAATAATGTCACTCGTCTTGTCAAAAACTGGAACACGATTTAAAACTGGAACACGATTCAATATAATGCTGAATTACAACCAGTTGTCAAAATGACTGCGGCTGTGCAATCCCGTCGGATTGCCGCTGTCGTCGGGGCGCTTGTAGCCGACGCTTCAGGTATTTCATTTTAATAAAATAAACTCATTTTTCAAACGCATTAATTTCTCAGATCTATTTCATATCATATCTTTGTTCAACAGAATTGTTAAGTTTGAAATTTTTATTAATCACTGTTAATTTAAATTAATTATTCGTATAGTGCATTGAACTTATGTGTGTTCAATATATTCACCGTAGGGAACGTGTTACAGTATCGCGTTTTTCGGTTACAGTATAGAAATTTCAAGATGGAGGATTATTTATGGGAAGAGAGGTAGGTGATTTTTATTCAGGTCCATACTACTAGTAGTGTAATTTCTAAAAGATGTTTTTGTGCTTTGCTTGTAAGGAACAGAATCCGGTATCTAGTCATATATTTCTTCAGACCCTGCACCGCAGAATTATCTCCATATTGTCTCATAAATGTGCAGATTTGACGGTTTAAAAATTTGAATCGAGAGTCCAACGCATTTTTTCTCCCCATTCCGACATTATTTAAGCATGCCTAGATAAAGTAAATCTACAAAACGTTAGTCCTTTATGTTTAGAAACGTTTATAAAAGAAAATGACCAGTTGAACCTATTTTCCTGTTGGTAAAATGCGTTTGAAAAAATAAACAATGTTACAGTATAGAGCGAGGTTAATTTTGAAGGGTTACAGCATAGACCTAGCGACTTTGATCCAATTTTGTTACAGTTTATACCCAGATTTCTGTTACAGTTTAGCTACTTGCCAAATTTCAAACAAAGTTCATGTATCCATTATTTTTATGAAATAACTCATACCTTTCTATCTAATACATTCTTGAAAGGTTGTATTACTTTTTTTCAGTTACAAGTTTCAGATTGAGACTTTTTGCAGAATAAGTAATGTCCTAAGTAAGGACTGTTTTCACGACAACAACAGTAACTTTTATCGAATTGTAATGAGAGAAGAAAGATTATTGCTTGATTTCATTATACATTATAATAATGCCTTTTAGTAATAAAATAGAGAAAAAAGAATCCTTAACAGAAGTCCAACACGGAAAACATGAAAATGTTGCAGGCTCAGTTTGACTAAACCTGTTTATGGACGGTAGTGGTAACTGCGAGCTACCGTTCACGCCTCCTAGCACCGGCTTCAGCAGAATTCACATTAATCATAAACTGGTACACTTCAGACTTTTAACATCTGTGGATGTGTTCATATGGCGGTTATCATGGAACCTTCAATGTGACACGTTATTGCCATTCTATGAAAAGCGGCATATTACCCCCCCCCCCCCCCCCCCCCCCCAGGTTAAAACTTGTGTGTGTGTGCCCTAAACAAGAATACAATGAGTGAAACTAAACAAAATGAAATTTTGAGAGGGGATCGGGGGTTATGAAGCCTGCATACCATAGATAGGCTGTCAAAAGACACAATTAACAAGCAGGCAATACCCTAGGAATGATTAAACAGTATTTAAATGAGCAATACTGCAACCTTAAATTCTATTTTAAGTTGGAGTTTCCATCTACCAAAAATGTATTTTATAAGTATTTAAAAGGGTTTATGAACATTTTCAATTTTGTTGTGTTGGAATTTCTTTAGCGATTCTGTTTAACTCTATTTTGTTACGTTTGTCTTTCTTGTATTTTAAGTTTCAACGACACTGAGGTCAGGTTAAAACATTCCTGCTTTAGTGTAAAGAAAGACCCAAGATACCCTTTGTGAAACATTTCAGACACGATCGCCTGACTAGAACCACCGAACTTCTGTAAATTAGCTTGATAGATTCCTCACATACAAAGAATCCAAAGTCATGATTGGATTTCAACTACAGCAGTAAATGAAGGATGATTTGAAGTCGACGGCCTTATCCCGACTCTGCCACTATTATGTACCTCCATCAGGCTCACTAGAGAAGATATTGTAATTGTCTGACCTTAATTTATACTCTATAACTTTCAATATTATTTTCTTTTTCAGAAACATGAAAACTGTTATACATGATGTCTGAAATAAAAAAAAACGGCTTTTTATTTAACAATGACAAAATAATCGTAACTTCAACAAAGAAGCATTCGAAATGACGCCATGATCATGATTTGATTTGAATGCTTTTGGTTCGAGATGAGAAGGGTCTTTAAACATTGCCTTTTTTCAAAATCTATGTTTTGGGTTTCAAAATCTATGTTTTGGGTTTTCGTATCCCCGATTGCAACCGAAACCATTTGAACAACTTAATTGGTAGAAAGTCATGTAAATTTCATCACATTTATTCAAGTAGTTATTGAGCGGTTGAGATTGCACAAGCATGTGTACGACAGACGGACGAATAGCCATCGGGCCAATAAGCTCACAGAGATTTAAAAGTCTATGTAACATTCATACATTTTACCTAGTATAATTATATAGAAAATATCGACGTCTAAACTGTAACCGAAATCTGGGTATAAACTGTAACAAAATCGGATACAAATCGCTAGGTCTATGCTGTAACCCTACACAAATTACCTCGCTCTATACTGTAACATTGTTTATTTTTTCAAACGCATTTTACCAACAGGAAAATAGGTTCAACTGGTCATTTATTTTTGTAAACGTTTCCTAACATAAAAGACTAACGTTTTGCAGATTTACTTTTTCTTGGCATGCATAAATAATGTCGGAATTGCAGAAAAATGCATTGGTCTCTCGATTCAAATTTTCAAACTGTCAAATTTGCATATTTATGAGACAATATAGCGACAAACCTGCGATGCAGGGTCTAAAGAAATATATGACTAGATACCGGATTCTGTTCCTTACAAGCAAAGCACAAAAACATCTTTTAGAAACTAAACTACTTGTAGTATGGACCGGAATAAAAATCACCTACCTCTCTTCCCAACAAATAATCCTCCATCTTGAAAATTCTATACTGTAACCGAAAAACGCGATACTGTAACACGTTCCCTACGGTGATATTGATTCGTTTCGAATATGAATCGATTATCTTTAAAACCTTATTACGTAATCAACTTCGCCGCATTTCGGATATGGAAAGGTTTACGGATACGGCTTAAATTTCATTTCTGTTGTATTCTCATTTCGTATTATTTTGTATTTGTTTATATGTTGACATTGTGTTATAAACATGTATGTGTTTTAAGTCGCCAACTTAAATTTTGTTGACTCGTGTATTTTATGCTCTTTATATCGTTTTGTCTATGAATATAATATCTAGGCCTGTAAACTCCACCAACGTCTCAAAAACCTTAAAAGATAAAATTTTAATTTCGTACATAGATCACCTGGGACACTTTAAACAGAAAATATACAAATGATAGTGAAGATATATACATTATGTACTCCGAAATATATCGAGAATCGTATTTGTGTGCTATTCTATGCCCGATTTTAGTGAAAAGCGTTGTAACGCTTTTCAAATCTGGCTACTTTTCACAATTTGAATAATTTTTTTCTAGAAAAACGGAGTGATCGAATGTTTTTTAAATTTTGTGTCTAGACCTACGCGAAATGGAACATTTCCCAGTTTTGTCATGTCAAAGAAGCCCAGTGGAGTCCCTTTGAACTAGGCTGGCATAGTTCCTGTTCGAAAATATTGATTTCGAAGCCAATGTTATATTTTATATCTAGCTTTTGAACTTATTTATTGCTCTTTACCGTTGTTCTTGGTATTTGGTGGTAGTGGTGTTGGTAGTTATCATTCCGGATCACGGCAGTAAGCCACATTGAATTTACCAGAGCACAGTTCGATCAGTCGCCACATCGTTCCTGGGCATGCTAACAAGCAGTAACCAGTACGACCTGCCTTCACTTTCGCCAGGAACTGATTATTTCTGTACATGCCAGAGCAGAGGAAAGGATTTCATGGTGAATCACAACAAAAGTGACCTGCACCGTCCGGGAATCGAACCAGGGTCGCCCGATATACAGTCCAACGATCTAACTAAACTAACTGGACGGCTCGTTGTTCTATTTTGTGACCAGTGTTACATATATTCGTTGTTCTATTTTGTAGCCAGTAATATACCGATAATAGCTTTAAATCGTTGTTCTATTTTGTAGCCCAGCCAATTCATTGGAACTACAATGTCAACAAATTAGACGCTTTGTTAAGAGATGCGACGGAAGTGGCATTTTGGGAACCATCTGCTAATCCATTCTACAAACTTCCGCTCGGGAGCCAGAGTTGCTATGGAGATCAATCATTTGTCATTCTCAAATCACTTGTAGAAAATGGAGGTAAATAAACAAGCTAAATAAATAATAAGTGGAATCACATTTTCAATTTGTTTTTACGTTCAGATTTTAAAGAGGAAACATATAGTATCGAAAATACATACATGTTCATAATACCCTATAAAGTATACCAAAATTCCGCTATAAACGGTTGTAAAATATGAACCATTATATATATATATAATTAATTTAACTTTACATTATTTGTGCATGTATGCATACACATGTATTAAGATCATTCAATAGATGCCAATTGCTATTTCAGGGTTAAACATGGAACATTTGAAACAGTCCACTTTTGACTGGTTTGGTCCAAAATCACAGTATGAGAACCCAACAAACGCGGTTTATAAAATCAAAACAGGTAAGTTTATCCTAAAAGGACTTATCAGTTATCACTAAAATCCAGAGTCTGCCGGCTTTCTCTAGGATGGGTCGAGTTGCCTGAGAGTTAAACTTATAATATATCACGACGATATGTCTGTCAAACTGCAACGACCGATCTTTCTGGACTCTCAGCAGTGTGAATTAAAAGCTGCTAGCTCGGGCGAAATAATATGGAGGGCGTTCATTGCCAAAATTCCAGACATGTAAATTGTTCCTTTTGAAAACTATTTTTGAAAATGCGATCGTGTAGCATTTTTATTGTATTCGTGCACAGCAAATGGTATGCCTCTTAATCCAATCTTTTAATTGAAGGCACCCGCTTTTGAATAACATGTTTACATGTAGATCTTAACAATTGACTAAACATGGAAAACAACATCAAATTTACAAGTTCGTATCTTCCATTGCAAATAATTCATAAGCAAGTTTGCACACTTACAGATATCTATCTGTATATACCTGAAATATACAAATGAAACGTAAAACTCGACTACAGAAAATAGAGTTTAAGAAACGTGTTTCGAGTTGTAGAACTACAAGGGTACGTTTACACAGTAACAAGTTTAGAATGACAAAGTTAAACGATTTTAAGTCATGCGTGACGCCCTGCCCCTCTTTTACTTATTTATGAATTTCTGTTACGGAAATGTACGGACAGGTATAAAACCCGGCGCCTCTCCCCTATTTCTCAATAAAGTAAAGGAAAACACGGCGTCCCTCATAACTTTTTTATATTAAAAAATGGTATCAAATGAAAGATAACTTCTAAAGCTTTCTATGAATGCCTCACAAATAAAGGTGAATCAAATAGATGTATAACAATTTTTGGGTCAAAATTTATGATATTTTCCTCTGAGAAAAAACACTCTCATATTCGGTAAAAAAAAACAACACGGTGTCCCCTCCAAACTTATTTTTTTTAATTTCTCAATCAATTTATTTAATTTTGGATTGAAAAAAAAGAGTCCGTCATAAGTTTTATAGTCTATAATTATGTAATGCCTAAATATAAAAATGAATAAAGGAGAAGTATTAAAATTCTCGTTTCAAAGAATATCATGTTACGTTCTGAAAACCACACTCTGAAATTCAATAAATAAAACACGGCGCCCATTACTTACCTTTTTTTCTTTTTTCTTTACCAATTTGTATATTTTTGGTGTCAAATGAAAGAATCCTTCATGTTATTTTTAGTGAGTCTTAAAAATGAAAATTAATTATGTAGAAGTATTTTCATATATTCGGCAAGAAATCACGGCGCTCCCTTTAGATTTATAAATTAATCAATTTCAAAATAGAAAATGAATATAGAATGAAAGTTAAGACGTATATTAAAAAAAGTATTTATTCATACTGAAAAAATCTTATCAAAGATTGCACATATAAGTTTGTACGATAAGTACTTTCTCGATTTCGGAAAGGAAATCTCGGTGGTCGCTTTAAAATCCTATTTTTTTCAAATACTCGTATAGATTTTGTTTAACATGAAATTTGTGCCTATACTTTTTTCAATGATACCAATGCAAATATTGGCTGATTTTTAGATTATGAATAAAATTACTCGCTTGAAGTTGGTCATTTTCCCCAATCGCCGATGTTTCTCAGGAAAACACGAGGTAAAATAGTAAGTTAGTGCATAAGTTATCTTAATCATTTTGTATAAATAAATGGTAAAATTAGCAATTTTCAGGTGATGTAGCTAGTGATAAAATTTTTGTAACAAATGCATCAAAAATATGTAAGGGAGGATTGGGCGAGTTTCCCTTCAGTTTTATTAATAAATATGGGAAAGGCGCCGGGTTTTATACCTGTCCGCAATAGAAGTTCGTAAATACTCAAAGAGGGGCGGGGCGTCATGCATGACTTAAAATCGTTTAACTTTGTGAATCTACTTTTGTCACTGTGTAAACGTACTCTTGTAGTTCTACAACTGGAATGAACAGAAAATGTGTTTTCTTAAACTCTATTTTCTGTATTCGAGTTTTACATTTCATTTGTATATTTCAGGTACAGATAGATATCTATAAGTGTGAAAACCTGCTTATATGTTTTATATGCAATGGAAGATACGAACTTGTAAATTTTTTGTTGTTTTCCATGTTCATTCAGTTGTTAAGATCCACACGTAAACTTGTTATTTAAAAGCGGGTGCCTTCAATTAAAAGATTGGATTCAGAGACATAGCAATTGCTTTGCACGAATATAATCAAAAATGCTAGACATACACGTTTGCATTTTCAAATTGGAACCCATTACATGTCTGGAATTTTGGCAACGAACGCCCTCCATAAGATAACAGCAACAGTATTCACGATCACGAGTGAGGGCGAATTCAACCAAAACATATTTGCGACACTTGATTTCTGTCACGTCTAAGATGAGCCATTTCTTTTATTTCATGACTGATGCTGACAAGTGATTTTCGATTGTGTTTTCGAGGTTGTTGGTTTTTTGTTGTTGTTTTTTTGTCATTTGCGGTTGTTTTTCTTTAGAGATAGGGTTTAGGGGTGTTAAGTTAAAAAAATGACCTGGACGTGTATATGTTACAATGATAGAAGTGAAAACTTGTTAACTTAATGTGCTGATTGCGACAAAAACCGTTAGTTCGTGGTTTTCGTTTCCATATCCGTATGGTAATCATATTTAGAAGTTTTTATTTGCAAAGGTGATACTTTGATTAACATCTTTATCTTCAACCAAGTGTATTTCATGATATTTCTAGATGCAGAAAAGGCAACCACGTATCCTATAGAAGGACCATGGAGACATTTCAGTATCAAAGATTTCATCAAGAATATTTTGGAAGAGAAGCCTACAACTGGTACTTACTTTATATTGCCGGATTGAAAATAAGTCTTACATATACACTTTTACACTATTATGTTTGGTTCTCATAAACATCTTTTACATATATAAAAGAGTCTCATATGTACAATAATTATGGCATAAAGCATATCCCGGCTCTTCATTGCATTATTTCATATATACTAGCATGCAATAGCTGGATATTATCTGAACCGTCAATTGTATGTTCGGTGTATATTTTTCAAGCGTTGGAACAACTTGATATTTCAACTTGATATACGATGTGTGATTAATAATATTTTGATGTTTTGAATATCCTTGACGGTACTAACCTTGACCTGATTTAATACCAGAACTATTTAATGTGTGTAAATGTTACAGGATCTGAAACAGACGCTCAGATGGATTGTACATTACGGATTGTGTCAGTGGTGGCGCTGTATGCTGGTCGACCGGAAATGCTTGATAAAGCGGAAGAAGTAATCAGGTCAACTCAGAATTCTGATACTAGCGTGGCTGTGGGACTGGCTGCCGCAAGGTTAGTTGGCATAGTAACATTTTAAATGTGTTTAAATATAGAAAAGTTTTGACATGATATTAATAGTATAATAATGTTTCGAAGCTTCCGTGACTGGCTTTCGAATCAGTGATTTTTGCCGCTATAAATTCTAATTACATGTGGTACTTGACTGCCCCATTGTGCCTTAGATAATACACATCAATAGGTGCACCCTGAGCTCTGCCTCCTTCACCACTGTGTGTAAATCAATGTATCTGTACCATCACTTTTTACCTGAAATGTGTATACATATAATAATTCAATAGCTTGATATGGTGTGTTGTATTCTAACAAAATTTTTAACACATATTGAACATCTCGTAAAAAGATATTCTTTGCTTTTCTGGAAGACAACTATCGCATTTTTTTTCTTTTTTCAGATTGTTAGAATACTATATTTTGAATGGCAAAATGGAGGACGCGGTTGACCACGTGATAGAAGATCTATCAAGTCAGAATCGAAAAAACGCTCAAGATCTCGACAAAGCCTTGGCCTCCTTTCTAAGAGAAGTACTCCGGAAGAGGGATGAGCCGCACATTAAGACGGCTCGAACCTTCCGGATTGACTGAGGTACATGTACCTTAATTGCATTTCTGTGAAAACAATTTAATTCAAGTAAAATGTGATAACTCATAGATCATGGTCCCGATTTTAAAAAAAAATAAATATGCAAGTTCTATATTATTCATGTACATTGTATATAGAGAATGTGTCCCTAACTTTTTGTAACACCAAGGCGATTATCCATATCAATGGTCCTTTATTACAGAAAGGGTCAGAAAGGATATGTTTGTTCCGTAGGATGCAATCTGCAGAGTGACATCCTCTTCACTTTAGGCATTCGCCAGATTTCATGTTGTTTCTGAAATATCGGACATATATAACGTACAAGTTTCTTGTTGTTGTTTTTTACTTTATCAAATTACACGTACCTTGCTTATAATTATTTGTAGATTTTTTAACTTTTCTTATGGCAGCGAAACATAAGTGTTTTCGTTTTGTTTTGCAGTAATCCCGGGAGCTTTTCAGTCTGCTGTACACGGTGTGATAACTGGTAAAGACTACCGCTCAGGCGTTGAAACAACTCTCCGTGCTGGAGGTTGTAATGCTTCACGTGGTGGATTTATCGGCGCATGCCTTGCTGCGCAGGTAAGTTACTTATGACGTTTTTCAACTGCCACGTGCTTAACAACGTATATTGACCACGTTTTGGCGTTTTTTCTCTACATCTGTCATTTGAACAAAAGAATTTATGCAACAGACAAATTTTAGACAGTGGATAATGATTTATCCGTTGGCTATCTCTAACCAATGTTTTGAACACCGGGTCCTGCTTTCTTTTTATTGTTAACTGATACACGTGTAGAGACATATTATGAAATATTTTTGTATTTTTGTTTTTTCTACTGATGAAGGACAGCGCAGACATTGTAATACTGCATTACATAATTATGTTACATAGATTCTTTTTTATTTCTTGATTTCAAGTTTTGTCCCTTAAGTTTTATCATTGCTTTGGATGAATTTGTATTGGATGTATTGTAAATAAAATAGTCTGATTTTATTTAGTATGTGCATGTGCAACAACTGACCTGTGTTGTTGTATATTTTAGCATGGATTGTCAAGTATCCCGGATAGCTGGAAGGAAAAGACCACAAGATATCAGGAAATATTACAACAAGCTGAGAAACTCGTGCAAATTAAGCTAGATTAAATTTTGCATATTGTGACGGTCCCGTTTTTTAAGCTTTTATTATATAAAAATATTTGGTTTGTGATATATTTAAGCTCAGGAAAAAAAACAGATATAGTCTAGTGTTTGCTCAAGAAGAATATATGCAGTCAGCCTGACGTACGAAACTCTTGGTTACCTATGCCAATTCAAAATTGTGCGCTCGAATAGTTCTATGGAATTAAGGGGGGTAATTTTTTTTGCTGATGTCATTAGATTTACCACCTAAGAAGCTGTAGCTTTTAAGAGGCTGTAACTTATAAGAAGACCAATGCTCATTAAAGAGACTCCACTGAGTTTTTTTGACATGATGAGACTAAAAATATTTTCCAGATAAATGTACCATTTAATGTAGGTTTAGAACACTAATCTTTGTGCAAAATTTCAGATCATTCGCGCTTTTTGTTTTTCCAGAACAATTATTAAAATTGTAAAAAACGACCCACAATGAAAAGCGTTTAAACGCCTTTTCACTCAAATCGGGCTAAGAAAAGCATAAAAATACGATTTTCAATTTATTTCAAAGTATATTTCTTTACTATCTTTGCAGATATCTCTGTTTTAAGTGCCTCAGCTCATTTATTTAAGAATTTCAAATGTTATGTGTTTAGGCTTTTAAACCTCAGTGGAGTCCCTTTAAATTTATTTCTTTGAAAATGTATTAAAAAGTGGATAAAGGGAGCTAATCTAGCATGAAATACTTCAGGGACACGATTGTCACTTGCTTTGTCATCTAGACCATCTTTTAAAATGCAATGAATATTTAATTTATATATCGCCGATACAGGTTTAAAGTTAAATATTTGTATGTTTGTACATAGTTAAAATATCAAGTGTTCTTAATTGCTGATTGATTAAAATTATTTTACTATAATCCTGACATAAGCCCATACACATGTACATTACATTGATCTTTAAAATCGATTTAAATTATGTACACATGTCTAAATCTGTTATACATATACTGTAGTTATATTAGTATTTTGCAGTCTACTTTTATATATACATGTAAGATCAATTGATCACGGTCGGGTGTTTATGAAAAGTGTGCCATAAAACTTTGTTAAAGTTGGCACGTTTTGAAGTCTGACCCACTTCTGATCTATTGATATTATTTAATATGTTAAAAGTAGATCTGGCCTCACGTCATGTATATTTTTATGTTAATGTATGACGCATTTAATCAGTTTATAAAGACAGAATTGAGATAAGCTAAATGTATGCAACTGAACAAACAAAAATGTATACACATACACGTACGTTTTGAATTTGTATAACTATATATATGGTTATGTAATATATAGACAATAAATATTTGTTTACTTATTTTCGTTGGCATTTAGTTCAAACATTTATTTAAATCGATTGAGACTTTCTTGCATTACCCTCATATCTGCTCCATGTACCTTACCACTACTGGCTTCAGAATTTGAAACACGGGTTCGAATACATAAATATTAACCATAAGCCCATTACTCCTCTTAGTTGGCATTGTGTCAAAACGTAAGTCTATTACGATTATCTTGGAAACCGCATAAGAATCTAACAATAATACTATCTAAAAGTATATTCAATAATGAAAGCACAACAATTGCACGGTGTTTTCTTTTAACGATATTTTATTTATTTCAATAGAGAAATAATAACATCGAATATTCCTTTCAATAAATGAATGGAAATCGTACATACTTTATGAACAAGGCTTATAAATATTTGAAAGGCACTTTAATACATAATGTAAGTAATGAAAAGAAATATTGATATTTGTATGCAATATAAATTTTAAGCCAATAACATACAGGCTATTTTAGTAAAATCAATGAAAAAGGCCTCTAAATGTTACCTCATAGAGGTTTTAATATATGTATAAATGTGTAAAAATTATTCAAAGTACCAGTGTCTTTCTCTTGTCATGAGGGTTCATCAACGGGTAGTCCATCTATAGGACAATTTCTGGAAGAATTTTCGAGCCACATGTCTATACACTTAGCATGGAAAACGTGGTTACAAGGCAGAAACTTTCTATTTTGTCCGATTTCATAGGCGTCCATACACACTGGACAAATATCACCAGCACTGTTGTTATCAACCACGTCAGTTTTGAAGTTGTCAAGTAAAGATTTATCAACAGTTTTAGGAGCAACAGATTCGTCAAGTCGTAGAAGGAGGTCATAATCTTCGGGAGTCAAATCCCTGTGTTGCAGATTAATAAGAACACTTACAAAATTTGATTCGAAATGTGATGCTGCGTTTGATTTTTGCAGAGCAAAGCGCAAATTCTGAGCTGTGGCCGCTCGATTATTATTATTATTATTACTAGGAATAGCCCCGTGTGGTTTTAATCTTGATTTAGTTTCATCTGCACTTTTATTAGATCTAAGGTCAATAATTCTAAAATTAATCCCTGTAGGTATATAATGCGTCAACCTTTGTACTTCAAAATTGATTAGTTTGAATAATCGATGATGAATAAACAACTTTCTGCGTCCTTTGTTATTTTTTACACTCGTGCAATGTTTGTCTTTAATTTGTCTTCCAGCCTTCCTAACTTTTCTATCTCTGTCATTTCTGGCAAGTTTATCATTTTTCTTGCAGTTTCCCTCGAACAGCTCAGTTTCTGTTGTGTCGAAATCCCTGTAACTGTCGACCAGTTTATCATATTCTTCAAGTTCGTTTTCTATTTTGTCAATTATTTTAGATTCTTCCTCGGGATCAATCATTTCAGGTCGCGTAGGCCTTGGAAAAAGCGAAAGGTTGAAGCCGAGGTCATTTAGAGAGACCGATTTCCACTTCTTTTTCTTTTTCTTATCTTTCATATCTGGTATTTCAGAAACATCTTTGGATTCTATACAGTTTTCTGTCATATCTTGAATGACTACCTTTGGTATTTGTAAGTCTGAAAATAGCCAAACAAATAAACATCCATTATGCATGTACATATTTCTATTCCGATCATAGCTGTGACAGCATGAATTATAGGTCGCTCTTCACGTGATTATTATGAAAAGTGCTCACAATAATTTGATAAAAATAAAGAAATTACTCTTGAAGGAAACTTTTATGTCAGAGATCCATGTTTTATGGACCTACATAGACAACTATACTAATATACATGTATATGTGGCATTTATTTGACATACTGTTTTTGTTTTTTTGTGTTTTTGTTTTTTTGTTTTGTTTTTTTTTGTTGTTTATTTTTTTAAAGGTAAAACAATATGTAACAGTAAAGAAAGAAAGAAAGAAAAATAGAAATCAGAAAATCTATCTCTATTTTAATAATTACCATTTTCAATTTTCTCTTTCCTCTTCAGTTTCCTTTCCTTTGCCATATTAATTCCTAATTTAACTTTTGCATTTTTGTTTGACAACGAGTAACATACACTCGGTGGGTCTGTCACGCCCATTTTCTGAGACAATTGTGGATATTCAACGGCACAACACATAATTAAAAGTCGTTTGAATCTTCTCAGCACTTTTTTGGACGCCGCCAACGGGCGGAATGGTAAAGAATTGCACAACTTTGCCTTAAATTTGCTGAACCTATCAATTCACGCGATTGCACCACTGTTGGTAAACATAGGTAATATCTATTTAAAGTAACAAGTAATTTATAACTCGACCGATCATTGGTCGCTGTATATGTAATATCTATTTAAAGTAACAAGTATTTATAACTCAATTGGCGTTATTTTGGTATAACTAAAATAAGAAAGTGACTTTTTATCATGAAATTTAATTGACAAAAAGTCCGTAATATCAATAACAAAAAAATATTACAGCTATTCATTAATGATAAAGCGATGACGATGTAATATGTTGATACGCTAATAAACTAATTGAAACAAATTTAATTGATTATATTATGTAGGTTATTTCTGTGAATTAAAGCTGCATGCCTCTAGATGAGCCAACATTAAAGGAACCAAGGAATAAAACGTGAGAAAAATACAATTGAACAGTAATATGGCTCAATATTCATTTAACAATTAACATGTCTTGTGAAATTAATAACTGATTTTGCAGTTCTTTTTTTAAATTTACGTGGAGTGTAAATGCCGTTTGCAATGTACAAATCACTTTTTATGACAATTAGGATGAATCTGAAAGCATGTTCCTTTAAACCTAAAAATAACTGTAGTTTAAACATATTCGATCGTGTAAAAGACATATTCAATAAATATCAATATAGAATAAACAAAAACAACAAAAAAGAACAAACAATACAACGACTTTTATTCTAGTTTCTACTATTTCACTTAGGGAGATATGAATATCCGTGTAAATTTTATGCAATCGCAACTTTTCAGCCCTTTCCGTAAGTCTTTTGTCTAGCCTACGCTAACAAACCAAACATGTAAACAAATAGTAATTTAATGCTGGGAGTTGGAGACAAGTTTTAACTCCGAGGTTATTATAGATAATAGCCGAGGACGTTCCGATTGAATTGTATGGTGTTCCTGGAATGTTAACACGAAATAAGATCTCGTCTTTAAGATGATGGACCAATTAAGGTACGTACATTTTTACATTCTAAATTTGTAAATACGTTTTGAATATTTGATAAAATTATCAGTGACATTATTTCAAATACTATTTTCTTTGAAAGTGATATTAATTTCAATGCAACGGAAATGCATTAGACTATATTGTTCGCACAGTAAAAAAATATTCACACTTAAATTATATTTGATTTATATATTTCAGTACTTTGCACTTTCCATTTTATAAATTTATTTCATTCATATTATATTTATTTGTATCCTTTTTCTGATATGTTTTCCGTGGTGGAAACAATATAGACAAGAGAAATAGTCGAGGATTTCAAATGGATCGTTCAGGAACTCGAGCAATGCGGAGAAGAGATTTCTATGCGAGATTCTCCAGCCGAGAAAAATTTCCAAGTTGGACGGGCATGATTTTCAACTCGAAAAGTTGTGAACAAAATGATGAAGAAACATTTATAGGTTCGTCCAGACTCCTTCATATCACTAGAAAAAAGACTTAAATACCTACGTCATGACGACAAGAACTTTTACATCCTGGGGCAAATGAAGGCGAATTGTTAAAATTACGTTGCGCCATTCTCAGGGCATTTTTAAGTACTCTCCGTAGCAAATAATATGTTATAAATTTAATATATATAAAAACAATTATGCAATGTCAATATTAAATTTTGTGATATTCATGTTTTTTAAGTAATAAATCTGTTATGTTCGTAATTATTAAAGATAAAAAAAAAATTAAAAAAAATATCTTTTCAATTTTAGTGGCTATATATATGTGTGTAGTATTTTAAGGGAATAAGCTAGGCTGTATCTTATGAAACATTTTTTTATAAAATTAATGATTTTAACAATACTTATGATTTTGCTAATATAATTTTTTTTTTCGCCATCCTATAATTGTACTTTATCTTTATTATAACTAAAATTTTGAATGAACTCGACCATAATTTTAAGTAGGAAGTAATATTTTATAAAATTAAATACATTTTACATTTAATGAAAATTACAGTGCGCTTCCTTTCGCTCACTATCGTATTTTAGTCATACCGGTGTTATTCACGTATTTTCCCGCGAGATATAACTCTATTTTTGGAACTGGGAAATTCCGACTTAGAAGGCATGCTTCCCACTAACCTTACTAACATGTAAAAAGACAACAAGAAAAGCATTGATGCAAAGCATCAAAGGGCGACGCCAAAAGAATTTGATCCAGGTTTGCACCTAAATACTTAACAAAAGACGTGTACTTTATAGCAGTACCATTTCATGTGACCTGGAGGCTTGGCCCAGTTTATGTTGAAACTTAAACCAAAAAGAATAGACTCTGTCTTGCCAAGATGCAAAGACAATTTATAGTCAATAAAACAATCTTAAGATTTACTTTACCAGATACAAGGATACCTGAGTCATCATCATATAATGACAGGCACAAGTATCACCCCCTTTAAAAATATACTATTAACTTTAAGTATATTTTTAAAGGGGGTCATAATTTACATTTTTTTTTTGGTTTGTGACACTTTTAAGATGAACACAGGTTTTTTTATCAATCTGGTAATATTTTTTCTTCCCAGGTCTGATACTTGTGCCTGTGCATATAATAAAAGCTTATTGCTTAGGGTTGCAGACATGTCATTGGAACATATATTAGACATAAAAGAGGACCTAAAATAAACATCAGTGGGACACCATAGGTATTCAGAGAGAAGGAGTACCAGCCACATTCACCAGCTGCTATCAGAGATAAGACTTGAACCATGCAAAGAATGTCATTACATATGGCAGATGCTTGAAGTTCCATGAAGCAGAAGAAAAAAGAACTTCTTCATGTGCAGTATAGTGTGATCAACTGTACCAAATGCTTTTTGTAGATTTAAAAGTATCACGCAATACTGCCTTTGTCCATTTCAAATTAAATGCAATCTATTAAATGAATCAAACATGTGTCAGTTGAAAAAACCACTTCTAAAACCCTGACTGAAACTGCCTGACCATGACTCGAACCCATGACTTTCAAAAGACCAACTGAGCTATCCGGCCGGCTACTCATTTTCTCTATAATAATGAAACAGTTCTAAACCTAAACCTTTTCCCACTATATTGATTCATGTACTTGAATTTCTGATGTTTTATTATTACAGAGCATAGTAAATTAAGCTAATGGTTATTTGCAGTAACAGGATGAGAAAAACTTTCAGCTTGACCAGAACTCAAACCTGTGACCCACAGAATAATGTACCGCGGCTGTAGCGATTGAGCTATCTGGCCGCTTACACATTTTCTCCCCTAAATAGTGAACAGTTCTAAACCGTGACAGATATTTAGATTTTTAAATTAACAGATAATTAATTCTTAATTAATAAATAAGAGAAAAAAACCTTACATACTCATAGTCTTAATTAAAATAACAATTTATATAATTATTATTGTATAATTATTTTTACTAAAAAGGGCTAAGACAGTTATTGGTTATGCCATTATTTATAACAGGTCAATTTGAAAGTGAATATAACTGTGCTAATACATGTACAATATCTATAAGAAATTTTATGAAGGCTGATTTGTATTTTACATCAAGGGCACCGGGCGAAAACATGAAAATGCAACAAACGAACCACTTTGTGGTAGATTGTATTTTCATGTTTTCATCTGGCGCCCGGTTACTTTTTGTACTTGGTTGGTTTTCATGTGGCACAAATCACCCACTATAAAATTTAGTGTACAAATTTATTCAAGGACAAGTATCAATCTACTCTATGAAAAGTCTGTTGTCAGGTTGACTCAGGAGTCCTGGAGGTTGAGACCGGTGTCCCTCCATTACAAACAGATAAGGCAGAAGCTGTCCTTTTCAAACTATGCACATGTTAGAAAAAAATTAGAATAACTATTCAGAACATGATTTTTTGAGGCTTTATCAATTATATTGCTTGATCCAAGTTTCAGGACATTTTCAATCAATACATGTATTATCATTTATAACTTTAAATGAAAGTCTCATCCCTTTAATAATAATGACATAACTGTATCTCTTTAAATTCAGAAATATTGTAAGTCTCATCATACCAATATACTAAGATATGAATGTATGCACATAACATTAATAATTCCAAGTTTCTATTAAATAAATATGAAATATTGGGTATATAAAGCCAGTAAAAGTATATATATATATCAATATTCACTCATCAGGGCCTCTATGCTTTTGATGACCTTACAACTGGTAAATTTTATAAAACAAAAATTGTAAGTAATACCTAAGATAGACAGAAAAGAACAAATAATTTAGTAAACATGAGTTACTTCCCCTTGAAATAAAGAAAACATGAAACCCAAAAGAACACCCTAAACATCAAAATTAAGAAATGTTGCAGGCTCATTTTAATTTATATAATGCCATGCAAATTAATGGTAAAGTATTCATAAAAAAGTAGATGGCCATGTGACAGCAGTAATTGCAGAAAATCGGATAGCTGTCAACATCCGGATACTGGTACACTTTGTAAAAAACAACCATTCTGTTCAACAGATAAACGTAATATGGATAAAATCAATAGGATAATCGTTAACAACAGTCCATTACCTATCCTAATACTCATTTGCAGGTGAACTTTCTTCTTGTAGGAAAGTTTTGAAAATATATAAATGAATGAACATCAATGTAGACCACAACGATATTCGAAATCCGGGTTTTAGCATTGTCAATAAAACAAAGGGACAAGATGTTAATCAGAGCCTGCAATTTCGTGAAAATAATATCACAATGCACATGCTTTTTATATAAAGTTATTAAATACAAATATAACAACATATTTGTTTACTTGATTTTTACGAATCAAAATAAATATAATTAACACAACATGAAATTAACTGCTAATAATAACAGCTCCTTCCATAGGCAAAAATAAAAAGCGTTCCATAATAGACGACGCCGCTCACCGGCGTCGCCAAAAAAGATGGATTCTTCAGGTGATTTATATCTGACTTAGATGAAAATTGTTTATTTTTATAATGGCGATTATAATATTTTATCATACTGTATTTGCTAAGGAATTGCATACGATACGATACCTAGTAAATAAATTATATTGGTCAAATTTTCGCACCAGAATACATTCGTACTTTTCTCAATTTATCTGGTAATTAATGGTCCTAGCCCCTTTAATTATTTTCTTAAAGTTTTGTCAGGACTACTTCTACTTATGGAATTTGAGTGAAATTTTACAGGATTGATTGAATCTCAAGTAGTTCCACATATTTAATGGATTTTCCAATTTAATAATTTTGTCAGAGTTATGGCCCTTGATTAGAAAAAGCGTGTTAGCCTATAAATTAATGATTTTTGTGTCTTGTGCTATAGTCAGTAGAGCTTTGCAACATGCCACAAAGTAGCTTTAACATATAGGGAACATACTGTCCAGTCACCCCTATATACAACTGCTTAATTGGCTATCATCTGGTGACATTGTTCACTGATTGCTGTTGTCTAAAATATTAAACAGTTTAAATTCTTAAACATCACATTAGGGCCCATATTCTTCACCTATTTATTTTCATGGTCACACAGTCTTAGGTCCATTTAAGGTAGAGCTGTCATTGATTCAGTGAAAAGCATATCAACGATATATCGATATCAAGTGACTAAAATCAACGATACACCGATATATCGATAATATCCTATACTCACTTGTCTGTCATTCGCTTTCATACCTGTTTCAATGATTTCAGTCAAAAACATGTTCTGTACAGTGTCTTGTCCACTGCTTGATTTTTTCCAGACAATATTTTTTGTCACCATTGCTATGAAATAATTCCACTATATAACAAAAGCATAACATTAGATATAAATAACTGTTTCTGCATATATTTTGGGTGAATTGTATAATTTCTAGACATTTAATATATAAGTCAAAAGTATCGATTTTTTAAAATGTGTATCGATTATTGATCGACAAAAAAATATCAACGATACATCGATATTGTCGATATCGATGACAGCTCTAATTTAAGCTTGTTGTTCCCCGCCTTTTCGAAGAAGAAAGGGGGATATAGAAATAGGCTCCATCCATCTGTCCGTCCGTCACACTTTTGTTGTCCGGTCATTTATCAAAGGAATCTGAAATAACTTGGCACAAATGTTTGTTATAATAAGTCAATGTGTCATGCGCAACAACAGGACCCCTACCTCCAGGGTCAAGGTCGCACTTGCTCATTCAAGGTCAACATGTGTCCCTACGTCTAAGGTCAAGGTCACACACAGAGGTCAAAAATTTACATAGTCTGTTATAGGGTATATTTTGTGTCCAGTCCATAACTTTTTCTTAGATCAAGGGATTTTAAAAACACTTTGCACAAATAATCACAATAATAAGATGATATATCAGGTGCAAAACATGAGTCCCTACCTCCAAGGTCACACTTAGAGGTCAAAGATTAACATAGTGTGTTATAGGGTATATTTTATTTTGTATCCGATTTATAACTTCTTCATAGTTCAAGGGATTTTGAAAATACTTTGCACAAAAAGTTACAATTTTAAAATGATATGTCATGCACAACACCTGCACCCCTACCTCCAAGGTCAAGGTCAAATCTTAACATGATAGATTTTTAAATTCGCGTTTCATTTTATTTCTTTAATAATTTATTGTTGCATTTGCAGATCTAGCATTGATCATAATTTTGGACTGAAAGTCCTGAGATCCATTCCTCAATATTTTGAAATAGCACAATTTTATGCTTCATATAAAACTTTCATGAGGTGGGGGACGTTATTAACTCTGTTACAAATTCTTGTTAACTAAGAATGGATGCTTTTACAATTTTAACACTTTCAAACCAGAACAAGACATTGACCATCCAATATTACCTTTATTATCTTGACAAGTGTAATTAGAATATCTTCAGCCCTGAAAGATCTCCAGTTGATAAAACATTTTTATGTCAGTTTGCTGTGAGACATTTAACCTTTAATCTATGTTATTAATGGAGAGAAAATTTATGTTATTTTATTCATTGAACAGATACACTTGTGACATGCCTTTTAGAAGAATTTGACTAACAGTAACCAAGGCCATAGAAAACAATAAACAAAGCTAAAGGAACAGAGTTCAGCAAGCTAAACCTAAGAGTCATGACAACTATACAATTTAAAGATCACCCAGTGGTTTGTAACTTTTTTCTTAGATAGAATATCTATACTATCCTACAAGACAATAATTATTGGTGTTATGTTTACAGTAATAAATACATGTAAAATCAGTCTTGGTTTGAAATTATTCAATTACAACTCTATTTTGATGAAAGTTTTTTAACCTCTAGGTCCATGTCCTGAACCTGACCAGGCAGCACTGGTGTCATAATTATGAAACATAAACATGATCATATGATCATGAACCTATGATCTCTGGGTTGAGAGGCAGACACCTTAGCCACAAGACAACGACTCCGAAGTGAATTTAGAGTGTAAGATGCTGATTTACCAACACTAAAGTTGACTCACTAAATTAGTAAATACAGCAAAGAAACACATCATGAAAGTTAATGTCAGTATTTTACTTCAAGCCTGTTTTATAATAATGTTAACCTATGACTACCAACCTGAGAATATGTTAGCAGACTCTGCCTGTTCATTTTTACAACCAAGAATGTTAATTGGTTAAACCATCTTTATAAGCATATACAAAACTATAAGCATATATAAAACCCCTTATGTATCTTTTTTCTGTCCATGAATTTATGGTTAACATCATGGTAGTCAAACATTTACAAAATAGTTTTAAACTTACTGGAGCTTTACCTTACAAGTGACATGTCAGATGTACAGACAATATTCTTGAGGTCTGGTTTGTCATAAATTTGATACTCAAGAAGCACAAATTGTAATAAATGCAAGTTTTTGGATGTTTTATGTTCACATATTTGATAAAAGAAGATGTTCTTCTCACTTTTTCACAGTGGAAAGATATCCAGGACTTTGGAACTAAAGACAAAATTCAAGCTCAGATCACATTTATGGTGTACATGGAACTTTGTGAAGGTACTGTCTTGACAACTGTTGTCATGGAAAAAAATCTGTCAAATATTTCTGTCAAAAAATATTTAATAAATATGTGATGGTGTAAGATTGAAGTATGGCTTTATATCTTTTCTTATAATACTGCATGTTTGTTATGCTTTTCATTGGATAATCGTGATGTTTATATAATCTTTTACAAGGCTGCAGCCTATTAAAATTATTTAATTTTTTCTCTAAAAAATGGAAGTTTTCAGCATTATAAATTTGTTCTAAAGATTTTTGACAGGTTACATGACTGTACTGGTCAGAGAGATAACTCCGACGCATAGATAACCCCGACACTTGATAAATATAATTGTTATAGCTTTGTTTTTCAACAAACAAGCACATGATCATCTAATAGTATAGGAACAGGACAGAATGTGATGATTTGTTATAATTTGGTAAACTTTTTAATGTTTTTCAAATAACCTAAACATTTTGTAGGCAAAAACTGCTTCAAAACGTTCTTTTTACTAAATTACAATAAGGTAGTTAGAAATGTATTGACCACAGGCCACTGACTTGGGAAAGATTTTTGAAAAATTGTTTAAATATTTACAAAAAATAGATAAACCATATAAGATGTAAAAATAAATTATTGGTGCTGATTTTCCAGTCATTTTTTAATTGAACATTTAAGTGTCGACTTTATCTACTGTTGTGGGGTAAAAAGACCATGTTTTGTATACCTCATTCAAGACCTTAAAGAAGTACCAGATTCCATTTTCATACATAATTTTTGTAGTGTAATGTAAAGTCTTTGAACTGAACTTTGTTTAGGTTGTTCAATATTTAAAATATACTGGAAGATAATTAAGATATTGCAAAAAATATGTGATTTAGTGTCGGAGTTATCTCTCCAACCAGTATATAAATGGTTACAAACAACTGTTTATATAGCGCTATATATAACCTGTTAAAAATCATAATAACTGATAATATACAGACCAATGGTGTTTTTGTTTAAAGTATTACATCATTTACATGTAAATCAAATTTGTAGACACATCAGGGTCTTTCAAATAGAAATTTCTATTTGAAAGATCCTGGACACATGTAACATTTCTTTAGAACAAGCTCCTTGATAATGGAACCGCTGCATATAAAAAACATAAGAATGATCTGGTCTTTAGTGAGATTGTGTTTAATACTATTTCATGTTGTTATGTATAAGCATTACACACATATGCATTATATCAAATTTGTAGACATATTACTCTGTTTTTATACTGAACAGAATAGAACAGCTATTTTATTTTTGACTTGTACATCTGACATACATGTATATTAACAATTTTACAACACATACTAACATAAATCACTATTTTATGATATTTTCAGATAAAGATTGGTGGAATGTAAGGTCACACATGTGTGAAGAGCTCTCTATCGTATTTCTGTCTGGTCATGCTAGCCGGAACAAACCAAGGGAGATAATTATACCTATGACATGTGACACTCAGCTTAGTCCTGCTCAAATACAAACATATATACATACAGTGAAATTACCAGATCAGAAAAGTAACAGGTAAGCTTTTTGACATTAGAATTCCAAAAAATAAAACATTTTCAGAATTTTAAAGATCCTAACAAGATTTCTAATTTAAGCTTTAAGCTTAGGTACCCCACCGAGATATTTTTTGACAATCTGGGACTAGAATATTTTTATCCAGTTTTTTAATTTATTCCAATGATATGTGTGCAAAATTACAGATCATTTGTTTACTCAAGTTTTCTAGCATAATTTTTTTGTGTGCAAAATTACTTACAAATGAAAAGCACTTAAATGCTTTTAATTAACTCAAACCGGGCTAATAATATTGATTTTCAATTTAATTTTGAGCATAACTGTTTAGAATCTTTTTTAAAAATATTTTTCTGTTTTTAGTGCCCCAATTGATTTTTGTAAGGATTTTAAATTTCATGTTTTTTTTTAAGCTTTTGGACCTCAGTGGCGTTCCTTTAAGATTCTCAAAACTAATAAGAGCTGAGATCTCTAAGTTTTATATATAACAGATATTAGGAATATCTTCTCTTAAAATAAATTATCATTTTCTACAATTTCAAGTCTTACATATATAAAGAATGCTTTTATTTAGTTTAAAACCAAACAGATTGCTGACAGGATGTCTGTGGTTCACACAGGGGCCCACATTTTAAATTTCTGACAGGATGTCTGTGGTTCACACAGAGGCCTACATTTTATTGCTGACAGGATGTCTGTGGTTCACACAGAGGCCTACATTTTATTGCTGACAGGATGTCTGTGGTTCACACAGGGGCCCACATTTCTGTCTAAGAGGATCAGCGTTCCTCTTTTTTTACCGGTAAAGATAAAAACTCTGTATGACCCTGTATTATCAGTGTTGTTAAAACTTGCAACCAAACAAAAACAAAAGATCTTAATGTCTTCAATGAAATGCATGTGGATTGTTTTGTTATTTATTAGTTTATTATTATTTCAGTATCATATTGGCTATATGTGGAGGGGATTCTGGAACTGTTTATTACAGATTAACAGATGGTTTGGTGACCCCTGACCCACCAGAACTCACAGAGTGGAAAAAATATAGGTAGTTTATAACTAAATTAGTTTGAAAGTTTAAAGTATGTGTGGGATTAATGTGTTAAAACTCTGCTAATTCCATGAATCCCTAAGAACATTTTTAAACAGTATTTCAGTACAGCCTTCAAGGGTTGATATTTTTTCAGGTTATATATGTCTTGAAGAGTCCATTGCCTATCTCAATACGAATAACATTGGTTTTGTAATCCAGAGTTGGTGGCTTGATCCTTTAGCCAGGCAAGATTTCTCTGTGACAGTTGATTATGATATTGAACATCAAATGTAATGGTCTTTTGTCCAGATATCATGCAGGATTAGTTGTTGGTCACTTTCAGAGAAATTGGTAATTACTGGTTAGTTATCCAAGGAAGGCAAGTTAGGTGGTCTGTATGCTGACATATAGTGATGGAAATCGGATGAAATTTGTCCCAATCGATCATCGGTTCAATCGGATGAGACATAATCGATAACTTTCCGATTAAAGTCGCATTAAAAAGAAATAGGGAAGAAACATTTCTTCCCAAGGCATTTGATTATATTCAGTAACATGAACTTCATTTAGCACTTTTCAACACAGTTTTAACCCTATATAGTTATAATTTTACAAAATAGATTTAATTTTCAAATGATGTCAAATAATTACATTCACATCACATTATATTACAATTGTTTTATTCACGTATTGATCATATTCAACTTCAAATTGTCTCTGAGATAATTTTTTTGCGATCAGCGAGGTGTTCCTAAAAGAAAATTACCGTCATAATTAATTCCCTTTGATACTTTAAACATTTTCTACGACATCGTGGAACAAATTTTTGGGAATCGATTATTGTCGCTTTACATAACAGTAACTGATTATCGGCGACTTGCGACAATCGGAACATCACTACTGACATATGACCAAAAATGTATAGAGATCAGCTGCATATAACGGGACACACAAGCATGTCTTGAACACTATAATTACCTATTTATTATATTTGTAATACTGGTTTTAGTATCTGTTTATCAGGTTTCATTTGTTTTGTGTGAAACATTTCTACATTAATATGTACATGTGTATATTTCAGGCGTGATGAAATGCAAGACTTGAAGCGTCACCATATAAGTGAACAGACTGCCATGTATATAAACAGAAAACAGGCAAAAATTTCAACAGAAGAGACACAGGTCAATGATAATACCTGAAAACTGGTAGAACATTTTATATCAACTGAAAAACAACTCTTCTACCTCATACAAAATAAAATTGTATTCAGTGGAAAATAATATACAAACGGCACAGGCATGTGATTAAGGCCTTTTCCTAATGAACAAAATTGTTGAACATTTCCCCACAAACCAGGTTGTAGAAGAAGATAAATTTTGACTGGTTGTCAGTATTAAAAGTGAACATATTCAGGAAAACGTTTATATAATTCAAAAGAATTATGATAGTTTTTTTATATGATTTAAGTTCAACATTTAGCTTGGTTATTCAGAAAATAGTACTTTCTCTGGTATTAGCATAACTCTTTGTTATACTATGAATTCACTTAAATGCATGGATATGAAATTTTGTAGTTTTGTCACAAAGAACAATTTTGTGGGTACTTAAATTTGTGGACTGTTTATTTTTCCAAAAGGTAAAATGTAAATAATATGAAGATAAGTAATCTTAAACCAGACTAAATGAAATTTCATTGCATCTTAAAGTTGTTGATTGACCTATCCACAAAACCAAAAAAATTAGTGCACCACAAACAATAATGATTTTACAGTAGTTTTTCTTGCAGCTTCAGATCTTATGAAACACACTTAACTTCACATTTGAGTTTATACATGTAAAACTGTTTGTCCATAACTCAAGCATGGTTTGTCAATGAATTATTCTCCTTTGTGAGAATTGTTATCCTTTGTCAAATTGTGAGAATTATTCCCCTTTCTCAAATTGTGACAGTTATTTCCCTTTGTCAAATAGTAAGAGTTTCCCTTTGTCAAATTGCAATAGTTATTCCCCTTTCTCAAATTGTGAGAGTTATTGCCCTTTGTTAAATCTTTTGTTCTTGTTAAACTATCCAGCCCTGATGATAGTTAAGCAATTTGATTTTCATTACAAGAAACATGTTTGTTACTTCTGTTTATACATGAACTCTGTAAGTGGCTTAGTATTTGCAGACTTATAGTTAAAGTTCATCAGCATGTGTTAATGTACATGTATATGGAGACAATATTGACTTCCTAAAGTGCATGTTTAATTATTATAATTATGTGTGTTTTATAGATATGTGTTGACTTATTATAATGCCAATAAAATTTCATGACTTCATTGTATAGAAAATAAAAATAATGAAAGTTTATAGAGTGCAATTCTTTATTAGTATATTTTACATTTTAAAAATATTCCTGAAACTCCTTTTAACATGTTCATTCATGTTCATTCTTAAAAAACAGTAATGAGTATGCCTCAAGATTCATGCTTGTTTTCATGGAAATTTTGAAATTGTATTCAAAGGTGAAAATTTGTCAAGTGAAGAAAGTAGGGATGGCAACGAGTTACCGGTTAACCGAGTACTCGATCGAAAATACAATTATCAGTTATCAAAATTGATATTCGATTACTTGGAAAAAATATTTAATTCTACTTTTTTGCAATTTAGAAAGATTAGTTCAGAAATTCGGAAATGTACATGTATCTGTATAAATACTTGTTAAATGCAATCAAAACATCCTTGCAGAGGTGTGAAAATTATATCGTAAGTTTAACGAGGCGATCAGCAGTTTGACTGAACACAGTCCTGTGTTGTTTACATCATTCGGCCTCTTATGATATTTAATCACCTTTAAATATTAGACAGTTTGTAGCCGAAACTTGTGAATTATAAAAACCTATGTAGCATGCAGACGGTGTTGATATTGTGAGATCATTGCAAGTCAACCGAGTAACCGAGTACTTTATCGGAAAAATGACCGAGTACTCGAGTATTGATTTTGGTATTCGTTGCCATCCATAGAAGAAAGTAATTTACACGTCATTACAAACGTGCCTTTTTCAACCCACTTAAGTTATCAAATAAATGTCAAAATATGCTAGAATAGCCCTTACTGTGCTACATGTTATCCTGCTGTAGATATATGGTGACAAATTTATAGATACTAAAAATCTGTCATTTATTGCATATAACATGAATTGTGAATACCTTTATTTTTCTTAAAATCATTTTTGTCAAAGCAGATTTAGCATCAAGCGGTTCCTTATATATTTGCCACTTTGCTTTGTCAGGTACCACTGTTAGTTCAAGTTGTGTCTTCTAACATTATTGAACAATACTTCTTAGTTAGAGAAAACAAAAATTCTCCCTTCCAAAAGTCCTCACCTTATTTTAACTCCGAGATTAATTGTCTTCTTTGGATGAAAGTTTGTTGTTCACTGCTATGAAAACAATTTTTATTTGTTTGGGTCGTCAGACCAAACAAATAATGGTAGCGAAATTTCAGACCCTGATGCTGTTAAATGCAAATGCTGAAAGAAGTCCTCTTTTTTTGAAGCGGTTACTTCCCTTTATATGTACACTAATGCCGAAAAATTCAGGGGATATCACTGCGTAGAGATTGTCAAATGACAGGCGTATTAATTTTCAAGCGAAATAGTTACCGAATGGTCGAAGATTTCTAATATTGTTTTATTCTTTATAGATCTACATGCTTATAGTAAGCTCCATGATTATTTACATCTGTGTTAAACAACAGTTAGCGTCGAAATAATAAGGGTTACAAACCCTTATTTAGAATAATATGGTTTTCTTTAGGCTCTTAACATATAACTTCACCGTGGCCGAGGGGTTTCCGTTTGTACGCTCGCTTAGGAAGCGAGAGGTCTGGAGTTCAAATCCCAGTTAAGGCATCTCATTTTTTTTTCAAATAAACATTGAATTGAATATCAGTGTTGCAATTAATCTTATAGCCAATTTACTGCTTTCAGGACTGTTTAATAAAACCACATTATGCTAGATTCCCTACAAGTGTCAACTTAAATTGATTGCAAATAGAATTCTATATTTTATTTACATTTAGATCAATCACTTTTACCTTGATTTTTACTGTTTCATGTGGTCTCTCTGATCTAAGGGAGGTAACTATTTAAGTATTTAACATTAAAACTTATGCAGTTACTTCCCCTGGAGAAATATTTCGTCTACAGTATTTTTACAAAATTAGTATTATTGTATTAACCATATACACAGGTTTCGGTTTTGGATAATTCAACAAATTTGTGTAGGAATGTGTAATTATGGATTGCAACGATTTTAATAAGTAAGTATAACGAATAATAATCCTTTGAAATTATCAAATAAACTACGAAATATTTTATGTGATTTCAATTTTCGCTAATTAAAATTGACAGGTGCCCGATTATGAGAAAAAATAACTCGAACGCCGTTTCGTTGGTAACATGACGCTTTTTTTATGCATGAATTTTCAATTTCATTGATTTTGAAAAAATGGACAAAAACGTGTTTCAAAATGAGGTGGCACGAACATTCACATAGCAGAATACCTTAGCAAAATCTAACCGAATCTATAAGGATTTCAAACACTGCTAACACTGGTATAAATAAGGAAATATGTCATTCATTGTCAACTTGTGGACTGACTATATGCAACATGTATATTTTTATTGACTATTTTTGTTAGTGAGTAGTGTACTTCAGTGAGTAAAACAATCTCGTCTCACTAGTGTTTTGATGAAGTGTAAGGCAACATAAAGATGATTTCCCCTTCAAGTATTGATTTGATATGTCAATCATGCATGTCCTGACATGATTTTTAAAGTGTCTGTTTTATTAGGTTTTTCTACTAGTATTAAAATAACATGTATTATAGGCTTAAAGGTTCATGTGGAGATCATTAAATGAATATAAATGTTAGAAATTATTTTAGTTAGTAATTATTTATTTTTATATTTATTGATTTTAATATCATAGATCTAATTCATATTATGGAATAACTTTTTTAGGGTCAATTAACATCTAGTGAATAGTCCAATTAACTGTACTTTAATCAAAAGCAAAAACTTGCATGGTGTAATCATATTAGTGAACTTTTTAACACTCACAATTGGAAAAGAATGAAACAATTGTCAGTGCTGAAAAATGACAATTAAAATTTAATAAATGTCATTAATGAGGAACCTCCTCATAGGGATGCAGTCATGGTGGCATGCACTTTCTGATAATGAATAAAATTATGTGCACAAATTAATCGGTAAACATGTATGAGAGTGAGGAATATTTTACTTATGATCCCTGCTATTATTAAATAAATGAAATAATAAAACATCATGTCATAAGTAAGACTACTGAGGAGTCTGATATGTAAAATAATTTAATCAACCCGAAGCATGCTGGGGGATACAGAATCTACCCATGCAACCAGTGCAGACAAAGATCAGCCCACACATCTATCTGTTTGCTTTTCAGTCTTTACATGAAAATTTCCCTAAAATGAACAATGATTTTTTTAAAATTGAAAAAAAATGGACATGTCCAACTGTAACGTGTACCGAGCGGATGTACAACGAATATTTAATAAATTTTTCTTTGGGCTACCTGCCGTTTGATTAGATACAAATGATTATGAAATTATCATATATCATAAACAATCAGCTTGAATCAATACTCCAAAATACACTATTAAATTCTCAAAAGTCACATTTACAAAATAACACTATGAAATAATTCAAAAGCTATAGATATCACGCTGCAACCCGATAATTTCCTATAGTCCAGCAACTACCTCCCTATCTATGAAGCGAGGCTTCTATTTAGATAGAAAGATAAGCTGCTGGTAGGGATTTACAACAAAGTTCCAACTATACAAAGCTTATTCGTTTTAAATCTACCTCTGGATTTTTAATACCTATATGTTACCAATTTTCTGATAGCGAGGCTTTCAGGAAATGTGGTGGTCTATAAGTAACCAGAGTCAAATACAATTTCACAACTAAACTATATCGACACTATATCCATGAAGCTAGGCTTCAATTGGATAAACAAGGGTATTTAGTTTTGCCAATTCTTCTTTTCTACCTATGAAGCTAGGCTTCAGTTAGGTAGACGAAATTATCCTCTTTGTATGAAGCGAGGCTTCAATTACATAAAGTAACCTGGTGCCGGTGAATTCCTCTGCAGACTGAATAATTTTGATCTAATCGCCGTATTTATACCTGCTGAGATGATCGCTCAAGCATGACTTAATTTTCATTGGCTGATTAGAATGATCACTATCACTGAGACGATTATTATATTATATGATATAAAACGTTTATTGAAAATACGTATACTAAACGTATATTGTAAAGTACCGTAAACTTAAATACATTGTCGCAACATAAACAATTAACATAATAGTAAAGTTACACTAAAATCATTTCAGCAAACGATAATCTTTAATAAAATCTAGCTTAGTAAAAATGTCAAAACGTTACACTACCCACGCCTCCGTTTTACATGCGCCCCGCATGAACATACAACATACTTTTTTAATGCCACTAACAATTTATGGCATGCACAACTTTCGAACTTTAGATTCCGTAACTTTATGTATTCTTCTACAGTGCTGTCTTATATAAGATTTCTTTTTAAATTTCATTCCACAAAAATGACACATCACACGATTACAACCTATCGGACCTTTACATTTCAATTGTATCTTTTTACCATTGGCTGTCAACTGATTATTCGGAACATCTATTACAATAGTACTTGCTGTCATAAAATCTAATCCTAATATTGCATCTTCCTCTATGTCAGAAACTATAAAAGGATTCGTCGAAATTTCATTATTCAATTTAATATCTAAATGTGTCCTACCTTTTATTTCTAAAGGTTTTCCAGAAGCATTTACAATATTTGTTTCAAACGGTTCTAAATTTACTGGAAACTGACATCTATTTATAAAACTTGAAGAAATAATTGAAAGTGTTGCACCAGTATCAATTAAACAATTAGCTTTGATGCCATTTATTGTAGCTTCAACAAATAATCCTGAACCACACGAATTAGACAATTTTTCACAATCTTTTTCTAACACATTAATTTTTCGTTTCGATCTGCCACTGAACTTTCGACAATTGTATTTATTATGACCTTTCTTACCACACTCATAACAATTCAAACTATTTGTATTTGGCTCATTAGCAAATGTTCTTGAAGACGTTCTATTATTTTGATTTTGCTTTGAAGTATTTCGGTTTCTTTTATCAAAAATCTAAAAATTATTTTTGCGTCGAAACATTGATAACATATTCTTCATTTTCTCTTTTTAGGCTATCTAACTTGCTATCTTGACTTTTCGAACACTCATACTGATCAGAATTTAATTTTCTCATATAACCACAGGTTTCATTGGATTTTCGATCCGCACTGTTGAAAGCCTCAAGCTCAACAGCGTGTCTCACTGCTTCATTCAAGCTAGTAGGAAGAGCTTGTTTTATTCTAAGCCCCATATCCGAGTTAACCAAAGAATCTATGAATTGTTCTTTCGCTAAAGATTCTTTCACATCTGATGGTGCTGAAGGGTATGCTAAATTAGTCAAACGTCTTATGTCCTGCCCCATCTCAGATAAAGATTCTTTAGCTTTTGTCTTCTTTTTCTTAGTTGAGCTCTATATAATTCAGTGTGATTGGGTGGTGAAAACCTTTCTTGTAATGCTAATACAAGTTCATCATAATTCGGTGATTTGCTTGTCAGATTGCCAAATACACCCTGAGCTTGACCTCTTAATAAAACAGATAAATAAAGACCTTTTTCTTTGTTTGTCCATTGATTTATTTCTGAACATGCTTCAAAATGCGCTTTATAGTCTATCCATGAGCTAGTTCCATCATACGTAGTTGGCTTCATCATAACACTTCGTTTTGAATTTGAGTTTTTAGGGTCACGTTTTATTTCTGTTGAATTTGAAGTATCCAATTGTATGTTGCTGTGTAAGGTCTCTGTTTTATTTGCTGGTTGTGATTTTCTCTTTCGAAAGGTAACAAATCGATCTCTCGGATAATTTAAATCAGAGCCCCAAGAAGATTCCGTAAACCTTTGTTTTTCAACTAATGGGGTTAAGACACTTTCTATTTTAAAGGGCTTTTTATCTGGGGTCGGTGGTTAGAAACGTCGCCTTCTTTCTGATAGAGGTGTTGCATATTGTCTTGTTAAAAATTTCGGTGTTGACGTTTGTTTGTCTTCATAGTTTGAGTCATATTGATTTTGAAAAGATAACTGCATACTGTCAATCTGTCTTTCAAGTATTGATATTTCATTTTGCAATTTCAAAGCTTCATTTTGGTGCTGCAAATCTCTGAGTCTTTCGTGCAACAATGTAAGCTCATTCTCATGACTATTATCTTTACTCTCAGCCATTGTTAACGAAATTTATTTTAACGTGTGGGTCTAGATAATGGTGTTTTTATCTATATTATCCCACCGCTGCCACCAATTTTTGTAACGTGTACCGAGCGGATGTACAACGAATATTTAATAAATTTTTCTTTGGGCTACCTGCCGTTTGATTAGATACAAATGATTATGAAATTATCATATATCATAAACAATCAGCTTGAATTAATACTCCAAAATACACTATTAAATTCTCAAAAGTCACATTTACAAAATAACACTATGGAATAATTCAAAAGCTATAGATATCACGCTGCAACCCGATAATTTCCTATAGTCCAGCAACTACCTGACCCTATCTATGAAGCGAGGCTTCTATTTAGATAGAAAGATAAGCTGCTGGTAGCGATTTACAACAAAGTTCCAACTATACAAAGCTTATTCGTTTTAAATCTACCTCTGGATTTTTAATACCTATATGTTACCAATTTTCTGATAGCGAGGCTTTCAGGAAATGTGGTGGTCTATAAGTAACCAGAGTCAAATACAATTTCACAACTAAACTATATCGACACTATATCCATGAAGCTAGGCTTCAATTGGATAAACAAGGGTATTTAGTTTTGCCAATTCTTCTTTTCTACCTATGAAGCTAGGCTTCAGTTAGGTAGACGAAATTATCCTCTTTGTATGAAGCGAGGCTTCAATTACATAAAGTAACCTGGTGCCGGTGAATTCCTCTGCAGACTGAATAATTTTGATCTAATCGCCCCCGATATTATATACTGCTGAGATGATCGCTCAAGCATGACTTAATTTTCATTGGCTGATTAGAATGATCACTATCACTGAGACGATTATTATATTATATGAATATAAACGTTTATTGAAAATACGTATACTAAACGTATATTGTAAAGTACCGTAAACTAAAATACATTGTCGCAACATAAACAATTAACATAATAGTAAAGTTACACTAAAATAATTTCAGCAAACGATAATCTTTAATAAAATCTAGCTTGGTAAAAATGTCAAAACGTTACACAACATCCATTTTTAGATATTTTACACATTCTCTTGATTTACTTGTTTATTTTACACATTAATTAGGGTAAATACACAGATATATGAGTCCACAGATACAATGTTGCTACATTGTATTTCAGTCTCATGGCAAGGTATTCATATCTCCTTTTACATTTTGAGTGAAGATTTACTAAATTTTCTTTTTATATTAATTATAATATGATACTATTCTTAAATTAATATCATGTATCATTTCATTAATACTTTAACAGTCCTCGTCACTGTTTTATTATTCTATATCTCTAGAACAGACACCACCCTGTAGAACACATTTAGCAACAAAAATCCAACCTTAATATTTAAACATATAATTTATAGGAAAATAAAATGGATCAGGGTGATAAAATTCTTGTGGAATATTGTAGGGCTTACTGTCTTGAATAATAAAAACTATTTAGATATCCTAAACATGCCTCAAATCATTCAAAATCAATTTAAGGGCCATTGAAGACCTATTATCAATGAATTATTGATTTAAATACTGCAGCTTATGAATAAGAAGTTCACATTGCAATAAGATACGGGCCTGATACGCGTTCTATGGCAAAGTTTTTTTTTCAAAATCAGGTGATAAAAATGTGTCTTCTAGTGTTTAAGGTTTTAATATCAAATTGAATATTATTCAAGTGGTAAATACCTTTATTTAAGAATTATTTACATGTTGAATAATCAATTTGGCTGACTACATGAGGCAATTAATTCAAATAGATTTGGTATTTAAATCGGGGGAGTGTTCAAACCTTAATCACTAAGAGAAGCAGTTTAAAAGATTTTTGTGATTCACAATTTCACAAGTTTGTGATCATCAGACATACAAAGTTGCTTTATCTGCTGGAATAAGTTTCAACATGATAGGTTTTTTTTATCTTAATCTAGGTCAACCTGTATGGACAAAATAATAAAGTTATAGTGATTGTTATTAAATTGGACAGGATATTATATTGTTTTGTTAGGAGTAATCCTCTAAAATCCTTAATAATCCTTGAAAAGGTGACATTTTAAATTATTTTTCATTTATTTGCCATGTATGGGAACTTTTATTATTCCCAAAATAGTATGTGCATGGATTTTGTTGAAACATTGACAAAAAGTTTGGACTTAGTAAAATTAAAAGTTATTTTACAGACTTAGTGAAAATATAGAAAAAAATCCTTTAAAAATTGACTTATAAGTTTAGTTGATAACATAGATAAGTCCATTTTCAGAAGGAATTTTTATCTGTGGAATTTGGATGTATTATAATTCTATAAGTGGATTGATTTTGGATGGTTTCCAAATTAGATTGAGATTGATTTAACAAGTTCAAAACAAATATCTACAGAATTTTGTTTGTTTAGATGAGTTTTGTTTGTGAAACAGTTGTATAGGTGATCATTACATGTATTATGCAGTGAGTGAATATTTTTCATCTTCTTCTTTTTCTTCTTCTTATATAATGATGATAATAATAATAATAATATTATTATTATTCATTATCATTATTATTCATTATTATTATTATCATTATTATTATTATACAAGTATTTAAACTTTATAACCATTTTTTAAAATACTAATTTTATACTTGTATAATAATAATAATGATAATAATAATAATAATTATAATATTATTATTATTATTATTCATTTTCATTATTATTCATCATTATTATTATCATTATTATTATTATACAAGTATAAATTAGTATTTTAAAAAATGGTTATAAAGTTTGAAGGTATTCATATTTAATTTTTTGAATATCTTGTAGCTTTCGAAAGTTTGTGTACAATTTTAAATCCTTCATAATCCTAAAAACATTATGGTAATGTTTAATCAAGAAAATCATTATGTCAGTGTTGGTTGTGTTAACATTTATATATTTATTTTTCATAAAGTATTCTGAAAAATAATGCTAGTTTTTGAAATGAAAAACAAATGACTAAAATGCTTTTATCTTTAAGTTTGTGTATTGTTTTTGTTATAACATTTAAACATAGATTCAAGTGTAGTTTTGGACATAAGCAATACTGTGATATAATCTTGGTATATCAAATGTTACTGCATGTTGATTCAAGTAAGATTTCTGTGTCCTAAGGGCATTTAAAAACAGTCTTGGTAGCAAAGCTGCAGTAAGCACATCTGAACTTAACAGTGTTTATCAATAATTATTAATTGAATACTGAATGTATCAAAATGTATTTTAATTAACAATCAATATATTTGTTGTCAGGGAAGGTTTTATTCAAATATGACATTCTAAGATTATTTTATTATTTATATTTATTATAAATACCGGTATATACCTTTAGTAAAAAAAAAAATAATATTCAATAATTGTAATTATGTTTTTTGAAAATGATTGAAAATGTATTTGGCTGATGATACATGACTGTATTATGCACAACAAGTATTGGAAGCGCTACCAAAATTATGGAGTTCTGTGGTTTTCTTATTTTTCTTTTCTTTTGTTTTTATTTTTAACACTGTGTAAGGAACATTTATCACATTTTGATACCTTAAGTACTATTTTTTTTCCACTTGCTATTACATGTATGTCAACATAAACAATAATAATTAAACATAATTCTTTTACTTCTACTTTATAGATCATGATGGAACTGAGGAAGTATTAAGCTTGACAGAATTATGTGAAAATTTGGCAAATAGAGTTGACTACAACAAAGTGAGTGACAGGCAATGAAATAACTGGAAATAATACATGTAAAAAGTATGGCATTTCTTGGAGGCTACAGTGAAGATTTTGATCTAGATGACGATGGAATTTTACGAGATTCTGTGGAATGTAAGTACAAAATGTATCTTGTTGAAAAAAAGTAAACCAAAATGGTCTACAACAAGCTTAAAACATAACTGTAAAGTTAATTATACATGTATATGTATGTATATATCGGAAAAGTACAAATAGTGTCTGTATTATCAGGGCCCTCGATCAACCAAATCTGCGGCCGATATTCGGCCGCAGTCCCCCACCAAAATAGTATGTTTTTTTCCCCCTAACAGAGGTAAAAATTCCCCATCAAAACATAAAGTGTTAAAGAAAAAAAAAGAAAACTAATGTTGTTTTTGCAAATTAAAATCCATCTATTTGACGTCTATTTTGTAAATGGAATATCGTACAGTACATGTCTGCACGTTTCCGTTTGTTTTTTCCCCCAAAATCTACCTATTTGACCATAAAAGAAAAAGAGGAAAATTCCCCCCATACACCAAAATTCCCCCTGCTGAGGGTAGCGACCCGCTTCCCCCAAATTGGATTGAGGGCCCTGATTATTAAAGCAGCATGTCTCCAGATTTAGGCTAATTTTTACGAAAATTTTGAAAATGTCTTTTTATTAATAAAGTAAAATGTTGTGAATTTTACAAAGAAATTAGAGCAATTTACTTATTACAAACAGCATCCACCTAAATTACCAAAAAGAGGTCAAAAATATGCTAAAATAGCAATATCTTGGTTTGAAAAATGTTTGATATGGGCTAATAATTATGGTATAAAATGATTCTTCATCAAGTTAATGCAAGAATATGTAACATTTCAGCTGGGGGACATTGGATGGACTGTATAATTGATAATAAAAGTAAGCTTAACATGCACTGTGTTTGAGAGATACTTATGTTTTTGTAGAGCTATGTGTGTTTTCAGAAAGATAGTGTTTTTTTTCAAATGACCTTTTTTCAAAGGGAGGTTTTTTTTCCCTTACATGGTGGCACAAAAAATAAGAAGCTTTGTGTTTCAGAAACAAAATACACATAAATTTAATTTTTTACATTTTAGCAATAATTTATTGATCAATTCACTAATTCAATAATGTCTTGGTTTTTTCAATAATTAATTTATCTTTTAAATAATTTATGAATCATGTCTCTTTCATGATTATAGGTAACATAAGATGTTTCAACTGACCTTGAGACATGGTACTTTTAATGAGACTTATCTAATTAAAGATTTATTTTTCCATATCATAACTATCCTTTATTGTTGTTTTAAATGACCTAAAATTTTGAGCTAAAATTTTTTATTTACTGTGAGTGCCATAATTATTCTATCTATATTGTCACAATAAAGTTACAATGTTCGATCATTTTAGGTGGTTAAGGTATCTGTTCCTTTAAGATGAGCGCATTTGTTGCCACAACCATGTTCCCTAAAATATGTGTAACAACAAAACTTGTTAGTTCCAGGAAGCCAAGTCAAGAATGCTTTGCTTTAAATATTTTAATGCACAATCAAGCTTTATAGATAATTAACCAATTGTTACTGGGTAATTGTGATTTCTATTTACCCTAAACACTATTATAGTAACATTGTTTATACTGTAATTGTATAGTATTCTCTAATGTGATTCATTATCAAATATAATTATTGTGTCTGGATTGCTATCAAGAAAAAAGAGGATTTATTAAAACCCAAACTTAGACAAAACAAATCTCTGAACATCTCCAATACTACAGAAATACTGGAGTCATTGATATTTCGCACAGATTTGGTTTTAAAAAAGAAATATTATAATATGATAATACAGTAACGTACACAATTGAAGATGAATTTCAGATACTGTTTTGTTTGCTATGTTATAATAAGCCAATCTGAGCAATTTATGAGCCAAAATAATAGTACTTGATAGCTCTACAAACACCTTGATTCCTTGCCAAAAGGTGTATCAAGTAGTTAAATCAGGTGTAAAATTCGCATGACTATGTCAAACTTGGCAGATGGTCAAGTCAAAGGATCATGTATGGTCAACTTAATACAGAGAAATTACACTTCATACAGTGACCCTGACAGTATAGAAAAAAATTATAGTAAATTATACTTGAAATGTTAAAAATCAGGCTTAATGATTGTTAAACAATTAATTTTTGGAGCATTTTCAAGAATTTCTGTCAAAATGAAAGAGATTTTTTTGCATTTATGCTAGTAGTTCTTATGAATGGGCTCTGGCAAAAACACTTATTTTATGTGAAATAAATGGTCTGTATACCATTATTAAAGTAGTATTTTAGCAATGTTTACTTTTAAGAGTACATTTATGCTTCTTATAAAGTTTTAAATAACCATCAGACTGCTTGTTATTAAATGACTGCATGATACCTGAGTATAAATTTTCATTCTGTCCATTACTATAAAATTAATATGATGAACTGTGATAAGATTGGTAAGGGGGAGATTATAGTAATAGCAGTTAAAATGTCTGTGCCTGTCATCACAGGGATCATAGGTTAGAGCCCTACTGTCAAAGGCACGCCTCCTTTATTTTCTAATGTGGCACCAGTCAGTCCTGAGATTGGTTTATCTTTTAACACAGTTGAGCTTAAATACATCATGAACTTAAAAAAATAGAACCAATTAGAAAAGATTGATACCTGGTTATGTTAAACTATATTTTTTTTAACAGTTTTATGTGTGAAACAGCTAGTTTATTTGTTTAACTGAAAATGATACCAAAAATCATTATTAAGTGATTTCTTACTTGTAAATTTTGCTTGCTCATTCTCTGTTTACACAATTATTTGTTCTGTTATAAAATAATATAAAAGACAGGTTGCTTTGGCTCAAATGAGAGAACTGTTTGATGTTTGATTTTGATATAATGAGGTATAAAATGGCCTAATGTACTAATATTGATGTAAACATTAGATGGTAAAAATAATGTTTGCTTGCTCTTTGACTCTATCTTTGGTTGTTTCCTATATCGAAGTACTTGAACAGTTGTGTTTTATTGGGAACTTCATTACATTGTAGTGTTGTGCATTTTCTTGGAAAGTTTATCTCTCTAATTTATAAGGAGGTTAGGGGTTGTGTGGTTGGCATAAGGAGATGTGTGTTGAGGGGATGGGGTGGGGTGGTGTTGGGGGTAAAGCATTTGCTATTTGTAACATTTGCACAGAAAGTGGAAGAAATTATCAAATTTTTTATCCCATGTGTGTCCCTGACTGTCCCTGAACTGCTGTGTCAATGTTGTGGCTTCGTTTGGCACAAAACTAGTTGAGAAATGTCCAACTCACATTGCAGAGACAGTGAATTTGTATTTTCACAGGCCTTTACAGGATGTTAGTTCAAATGACAGAGACCCAACTATAATTCCTCAGGAATGTTGGTCCAGGGGTTACATTGGACTGGTGTTTATTATATTTGCCCTTTCCTCCATGTAAATCATCCTATTGATCACTTGAAGGATTATGATGCTTGTGTAGACATACAAATTGTCATAGAAAAACTTGTGACATGTCTGTTAACAATCAGCTCACTTACTGGAAATCACTAAAGTCGTTGTCCCCCTTTTGACCAACCACTTCCTTACCATGGCTTTTTCTTACAAATGAAATCAGAAGTTTACCATGTCATTTAATAGTTTTGAATTCTAGAGAAAAGCTATTTGCTCCTTCAGGTAGAATAGTTCAACACAAATAAAAGGAATTGACAATATTTCAATTATATTTCTATTTATATAAACTTTGATCATTTTAATATACAGTACAAGGTGCGATTATGTGTATTTTTTTTCTTTGATCGGAATTCAATCAACAACCAATTAAGATATATACCATGTACACAATTTTCACTCTATTTGAAATAGTTTAAATTGTTAATGTAATCATTTTATACGTAGATAGTTGAATAGAACCAGAATTAAAGGCCCGTTTGATCGGAAAAATTCTTTTCACAGTATTGCTGTCACATATTTTGAAAATGGCTTAATGATCTTAAATGGCAGAGGGTTTTTACCTATAGAAATAAGGGAATCTTCGGCCAGTTGGAGGAAACATTTATACTAAGGATTTACTATATTGAAGCTTCAGTTTTGAATAGATTTTAATATATCAGGGGGGGATATTTGTGATCCTTGAACTTATTGAAGTCTCTCATTTTACTGTGATTTATTATATTTGTCAACGTACATTATATCTTATATAGATAGGTATGTATATATTTAAAAGTTGTTTATTGAAGGTGATATTCTGGATAAGGGACTTTGATAAAATACTTTGTGTGGAAGTATAAAGAGAAAGGAAATAAATGTGGGATAGTTTCATTTTAAGAAAGGAATTTAGCACTGGAGTCTTTAAGGATTGGAGTTTTTAAAGTATAGTTTTTAAAATAGAATCATTTTTTAGCAGGATTATTTGATTATCATAAAATTAATATGCAGCAGCAATAGGTATAATATATAACAAAACCAAATGTTTTATTTTTCATGGTGTTAACTTTAGCAGTGCATTAGGCGTGGATGACTGCAATTTAGTTAGGAGTGGTCAATATGTAATTATTTTGAGATGCAGGTTTATTGTAACATAACATAGAAAGATATGTAATACTTAATTGTACCTTTAGTTACTGGACTCGCAAAATTGATGATTAATCCATACAGAACACAATTAATTTGTCGAACTGACTTGCCCTTCTTTCATTTAGCTTTTATCCTGCTGGAACTGTTTGTTACCAACCATTGCCATGAGTACAGAGCCGGCGTCCAGCTAGCAATTCTGTGCACCGTCTGCCCAAGCTGACTGTACTGCGGGTGGAGCTAAATTTTTGTATTTTGGTAAATCCCTTAAACTTAGAATGGAGTGTTCTAAATTCAAAGCAGGGCAAATACATTATACAAATACTGCAGGTCATAGGTTCTTATTTAAAGGAATTCCATGTTTGGGTAGTCAAAATTTATAGTGCCTGGCCAGATTCTGTTCTGAACCTCTTTGTAATTCACTTAGATACCTACATGTAGACAACTACATTTTCAATGAACAGCGCCTTCGACCTGTTTGATTTGATTTTCTTTAAAGAGTAAAGATACATGTATCAAAAGCAAAAAAAAGCATCTATCTTTAATTATGATAATTGATCTTTAAAGAACTTTCAAATTTCTGTTAATCTAAGTTTTCTTGTTCAAATATCGCTATTATTAATTATTTCATAACTTTTCAACAAAAGATTTTATTTGTTCTTCAAAAATCCATCACTATCATGATTTGTTACTGCTGTTAAAGTAGGAAAGCTTTTAATTGAGCTCCACTGAGTGAGGTCCAAAAGCCTGAAAACATTAAATTTTAATTTCTTGCATAGATTAGTTGTGGCACTTAAAACAGGAAGATTTGTAAAAGATAACTAAGAAATATTCTCAGAAGTACATTGAAAATCTTATTTTTGTGCTATTCTCAGTCTGATTTGAGTAAATAGGCTTTGCAATTTTTTTCACAATTTTAATAAAATAATTATTCTGGAAAAGCAGTGAGCTGAAATTTTGCATGCAAGTTGTTGGTCTTAGACCTACTAGTATGTTAAATGAAACATTGATCTCAAAAAAAAATATTTCCAGTCCCGTCATGTCAAAAAACCTTGGTGGAATCCCTTTAAAAACAGCATTTTATTTACTGCTCAAACGAAAATTAGTGCTCTTAAAGTTATTGATTGCTTAATAGTGGCGATTTTCAGGTTAAAAGTAATAAAATCTGGTTCCAACATCAATAAACCCTCGGTTTATTTAATTGTTATTATTCTATTATTCATACAGATAATTGTCAAGTATTTATTGAATGTTTAATGATCCCTCGCATATTTTCCCTGTGGTACACTTAGAATTTAGAATGATTCCTTCATTTAATGATTTATTTCACTACAATTGAATTTGGGGTAAGTTTGTTTAACTTTGGATTTGTTTAGTGAATATTTAAAAGTAAGTGAAAAGTTTCTTATCGATTTTATTGTTGTTGAAATCTGATTGTTCCTTTTATTCTGGTACAAGGCAAAAATAGGTTGTGCCTTTTATTCTGGTACAAGGCAAGAATAGGTTGTGCCATTTCTGATTACACATATATATATACATACATGTATATCATATGTCACAAATGTAAAGTTTCAAACAATATGGATAAAACTAGCAGGAAAAAAGAATAAAGCGATGCCTTTTCCAATTTACATTGTAATTATTTATCAGCAGAACTATTTTTGTAATTAAGGAAATATCTACCGGTTTCACCGGTTAAAGCCGGATCTCCAAGATATTATACTTTTTCCTAATTATATTATAGTATGACCTGTTATAAATAAAATACTGATTTACTTTCACAAAGGTACTATTGATGGAAAATATGTCTTTTAATGTATTTTTGTTATGCTAGCTTTAATATGCCATCAGTATAGAAAACCAGCTTGCACATCCTTCTACATTCTGTTGCCGCCCAAATTTAAAACTTTAAACATTGAAATCACTTTGTTATTAACTCTTAAATCCAACCGTTAGGGATAAGGTAAAAAATTTAATATAAGATATACAGCTTAGTAATGGTTAAGGCAAACTAGTCTATTTTACACCTTGTATAAGTTCTGAGAATTGAATGTCAACATTTTAACCATATGGTCAGATTTTACCTTGATTATATTATTGATGACCTGACAGGAAACTTAAGGTCTTGATACTATTTATATCCATAGTTTCTTCCCATTCTACAAAAGGTGCTAAATCAATTAATAATTATAGACGCATTGTTGCCGAAATTTAGCAATATTAAATGTATGTCTTGCAGAAATGTGTGAAATTATTGCCTTTTTTGCGTCTGTTCTTTTAAACAATTCACAGATGTCATATTATGTCTGTTTTCTGATTCGGAAACTAGTGGGAAATTTTATTTAGAGTGGATATAAAAATATATCAGCAAAAAGTTGAAAAACTTGTGAAAAAAGGGATGAACTGTAACTGACTTTAAAAATGGAATACAAAAAGAAAATGCAGAAAATGTTTTTCAATAGGAGACCTGTTAAATGTAAGGTTAAATTCCTTTGCTCACAATGTCTTTTTTAATTTATTGCAGAGATCTAAAATGTTGAATAATTTTGATATATAACTCTTTGTATATATATTTTCAGCTGGCGGGATTCTTATTGACGATGAAGGAATTGTACGAGACGACTTTGATCTGCTAAGCAAACATGGTAGCTCCACCCACTGGACAGATTCAGGTCTAGGGGGAGATAAACAATCAAGCACTCCCTCAACATTACGTCAACTAGACCTTCAATCTTATGACTTCGAAGACGTTTCACGCAATTTTGATGAAAGTAATATAAATATCAGTGATTTAGAGGCGTCGAAAGATGATTTAAGTTTTGATGCTGATTTTGATGATACAGGTGATAAGTCTCGAGGCCGACTAACTCCAAAAGGAAATAGGAGTGGTCTTAGCAGCAGAAGTAGCTTTGATCATTCGTTAAACTATGATGAAATTCTTGATCATGGGATTTCACAAGGAGAAGATAAAAAGCAGGATTTATTTGGTGAAGAATATTATCGACAGTTGCAAGAATTAGGTGTTCTTGTTGACGAGGAGGATTTTGCAAATCCAAGAGATTCGTTACAGGAGTTTGAAAATCTAGAAACAAATTATTCACGAGATTACGATAATGACGAAACGCGAGATGAAATTGAAGATTTTTTAAATCAAGATGGACCGGACGCTACCCGAGAGTCTATGGACATTGAATTACCTGAAAATAATGGCAGACATGCAGAAGTAAAAGTGTTTGAGAGTCATGGTTTTGATTCTTTTGATCACCGTCAGTTTGAAGTAAATGAGGGAAAACGTACAAGACCAAATACTGCTAGCTCTACTAGAACAATAAGTAGTCGATCATTTCCTGAAATATCTCCAGAGGAAGCACTTGAACTTTATACCGAAAGACTTCAAACTCTTGATCATGATAATGATAGTATAACGTTTGAACAAACACAGAGTCAGCGAACTGATCACAGTGATACTGAGGATATAAATGATGATGAAATATTCTTTGTTGCAAGTCAAGAAAATGATGGAGAAAGTCCAAAACCGGCAAAAATGCCAGCCTATGATAATGAAAATAAGCCTTCGTTAACACCCCAAAAGAGAAATAAGAACATATCAGGACAGCACAGTGATGATAGTAGGTCAAATACTCCTCAAGGTCAAACATTAGATTATGATGACGAGTCTGACAGAAGTAGGTCAGTAACTCCTCAAGCAGATGACAATAATCAGGAAAATAATGGTTATCAAAGCAATGATGAGAGATTCGTTGATTCATTAACGCAAGTTTCTCGCCTCGACTCGCGTAATAAAACACAAAGTGAAAGTGACACATTTAGACCGGATTCTGCTCTTAGTGAATTATCCTCTGCCGCGTCAGAAAGTAGGTCAGCTCGACCAAAAATGAGCAAATCACAAGGGAAGCCACCTATGCAACAAAAAGGTGGTATGTCTCATGCAAGGTCTCAGGAAAGTTTCTTTGATCATGAAACTGGGATGTTCAAGAAATTGGAGAAAGGTCCGAAAAGGTTGTTACCAAAACCAAGCCCAGTTGATGAAAATCAACCCCTTAAAGTCAAAAGTAAAAGTGCTACAAATCTTAATGTCATGGGTCCAGTGAAACCAACTCACATGACCTTGTCTGAAATAAGGAATATTAATATTGACGATCCGTTACTGGACTTACAGGACTTTGATAAAAGTGAACCTAAGAGCAGTGCCTCTGATGTTCCGAAAGGGGAGTTAACTCAGAAATTGAAGCAAGAGTCTAGTAAGCGTCAACAAGCTACTCACCTAGTGAGGCAACTTCAGTCAGACTATGATAAACTTTTGTCAAAATATGCTCTAGCAGAGCTTACAATCGACCAGATGAGACTCGGTGCTAAAATATCAATTCATGCCAATTCACCGACTCCAAGCCAGGCTACAAGTGGTTCCCTGCAATCAGCACAGCATTTACAGATGTTACAGCTAGGTGGCGCTCACCGTGGTTCAATAACGTCTGCTTCACCTTCTATGTCACAACAAAATGTCTTCTTTCCAGGTAAGTGTGTACTGAATAATTTGATCGAAGAAACTGATAAAAATTTAACTTTTGATAGTTGATAAAACAAAAGAGTTAGCACCATTGGCAAGGAAAACATCTCCCATTGCATATGATTCCAATGTTGCTGAAAAATAATGGTATGTCTTCTACAGATTCTGGGAATAAATGTTTTGGGAAAGAAAAACACTTTAGAATATTGCTGACACAATCATAAACCAACTCAATACAGGAATACAGTGAACGTTGGATCAAGTATTTTTGGGTAGATGTTAATTAAGGGAGTACATCTGTAGCAGTTTAAAACGTTGATATTTTTCATATTTTTGATCTACAAGCTGTTTGTTGTTACCATATTTTTTGCACATGCATGTCAGGTTTATCCGCTTCAAATGAATAACTGGTCAAATACTGGTAAAAGATATATAAGGTTTTCATATTTAAGCCCTCTCATTGGGCAAATAAGTAGGTCAAAGAATGTAGCTGATGTCAATTAAACAAAAAAAGTATCAAACTGCCGGTAATAAAATGTATAAAATATCTAGGGGCCAAGTTACTTGAATCTTAGCTATTAAGTTCTAATAAATAACTAAATATATAATATTGATTAAATGAGTGGGAAATAAAAGATTACTTTTGAAAATCAGATTTCATTTAAATATCTACTTTTTTATTTAAAATGAAAATAAAATTAAGGTATTTAATTGAAGATTTTGTTTTTAAAATCAGATTTTGAGAGATGTGGAATTTGTAAATCTGAACTGTAAATTTGACCAAGATTTTAATCTGGTTTTTAGTAGAAATTTAAGACGGCCAAAAGAGCTACCGCTTTACTACTGGATACCGCATATAATAACCTTAAAAAGAACCTTTTTGTGTAAACCAAAACAACAAAACAATTTATGACACTTTTGTGTACAACAATAGCAAGGCTTTGTCTTCAGTCTGTATAGTAAACTAAAGCTGTTTGAATTAAACATTGTACAATGATTGTCAATCCCCTTTAAGCCTTTCTCGAAGATTATACCAGTATTTTAAATTCTTTAGAGTTAGACATCTTTTTCAAAAACTTTAAATATCCAGTTTCTGATTTTTAATCAAAATGCAAATCAGTCAGTTACAATATATATATCAATATTGATTTTTTTTAACATTTTGATAGAAAATTTGTCTTATTTTTGCAGTGTTGTTTTATTTCTAGCATTTTAGTGCCAATTAAAGGTGGACTGATGCTTTAATTGTTATAAGAAAATTGGACTAATAAATAACTTTATACATGTATGTATTTGAACATGTGATTTTCACTTTTGTAAATGAAGCTTTAGCAGATCCAGCATTTTCTGTGTCCAGACAATATTTAATATATTAATAAAAGAATGTTATGCAAAGACAAATTCGGATTATATTAAACTATGTGCAGCAATTCTATACAATTTATGAATAAAATCATGGAGGCAAAAGGTTGAAAGATGCGAGGTGGGGGCAGTGTGACCCTACAGTTGTTGGGGTTTCAAGTTCGAAGCCCACCTCTGCTCTATGCCATTAGTGAAGTTTCTGAAAGAAGTGTGTATGATGAAGATTTTAGTAAGTTATATTTCATAGATATAAAAATAATTTTTTTTTGTATGTTGTAAATTCTCTGTCAATTAACATTTAGCTTTTTTAAACGGAATTTCTTGACTTGTCCAGCTTTCATTTTAGGAACTAAACATTATAAATTTTGAGGATACTTAAAAAAATAATCTAAAGTCAGCAAACAATATGACTACAGGGATGTGTAGACTCAAAGAGTCAAACCTCTAGGGGAACAAAATCAATTTTTCTAGGTCATAAAAAGTGAAATCATGTCAGACTATTATGTACATGTTTACAAACCAGTTAATTAGTTGTCTTAAAAATAGTAAGTTCATTTTCCCAACAGTACAAAGGGATCAATGACCGTATTGATATATATATTGTCTGTTTATCAGAGAAAGTCATCTATGTTAGATAACATAGAATAATTGTCAAAAGGATTTAGAGGCACAGTTTGTACATATCCTAGCTAATTGTAAATCAAATTGTAAACAATAAGGTGCGGGTCTGAACAAATACAGGCGTGGCTTCAGGGGTACTTTATAATAAAAGTCTAAATGTTTACATTGAGGTGTTGAACAGTTGAAAGTTCATCAAAGTACAACGCTATTTTGTAAAAATATCTGACAAAAATATTTTACTTTTGCTATAAATATTGATTTGAGGTTTCATGTGGCTTGAAACATTTTCTTTCAATGCTTTTAATAAAAGTTAGTTAATAAATGTACAAGGTAGTATGATTTTTATCATGATGAAATTTTCAAAACTTAATTTAGAACTTTTGTAATTACATGATCTTCATATTTGAAAAGAATTATCTATATTGTATTCATAAAAATATTGTCATTCAGACCTTATTTAGTACAGGTTTATCTGATATACAGCTTTTGTGCTGAAACAGTTTAACAATAAGGGGAATGTGCAGTTAATTATAATCTGTATGAAATAGGGCAGTAACGTATAATTATAAGGCATTTTACATGCAGTTTTTACATATTTCATAACTCTTTGAATGTTAGCTGTAGACTTTCCCCACTATAAAGAGTTTGACCAGGATGAGCACCTGTGGTCTGCCTGCTTAGTTTGAGTTAGGGAAGGCATCAGATTTGTATTCCAGGGGTCAATAGTTCAATGTTCAGGTGAGGCAAAATATTGTGATTGTGTCAATTGATCATAGCTGATTCAAAAATTGTGTGGCAATTTTAAAAATAAGTTAGGTCCATCACTTGCAGAGAAATTGGTAATTCCTGTTTAGTTATCCAGGAAAGCAAGTTAGGAAGACCAGCAAAAAATATGTTGAAATTGGCTTAAAACCCGGGCAAACTGGATTTCACCAGATCCTATCATTATTGCAACCTGCATACCCAATCTTAGCATTTTGTTACTGAATTCCCTTGACATAACAATAGATAGTTTCAAATACAAGGCAGGATGAGTCCATTATTCAAATTTAGCATAGCAACTGTGTGAAGTCCAAGGAGATATGACAGTATTGCATTCTGGTCCATAATTATATCCTCCGAGATTGCATTCTTGTCATTTTACGTTTTACGTGTAAAAGGTAATCATGAAGGTATATCAAATATTCACAAATAATTCATATCATTACAAAATCAAATAACTGATATTGACTGTTTGCCAAGTGATACTTCATACCTGTTTTAAATGTCTTAAAATACCTATTGATAAATTTAACCAAGTATAGATTTCCAATATTGCTGACGATCATTATTATACTATTATTACAAATATTGATTTACAAAATTTTGAATATTTGCAATGGTATTTTGAATTCAATAATTTATAAATTTTAAATTCATATATTCAGATGTAAACTGTTTGCATATGAAGTCTTTAATAAAAAAAATAAAATCTCTGCAGAAGAAATTAACATTACACAAAAAGTGAGGGGTTTAAATGCTTAAGTGTTTAAAATGTTTATATTTTGTATTTAACCCTTACCCTGCTAAATATCTAATTAAGCATTCAATTTGCATAAAATCTTTTATTTATAATCTTAAGGGAAAAATTTGAATAAGTATGAATAGCTTACAGTGCCAACCATGACCTTACAGGCTAACTTGGCCTGTCACAGCTCAGGTGGCCTGGTTATATTTAGTTGTCACCAGCAGCCTATTAAGGCTAATTTGTTCAAATCTTTCACAGACAATGTAGTCTGTTGCAAATACAAAGCAAGACCAGTTCATTTTAAACATATACAATGTATATATCGTATTAAAGCTGCATGCCTGCAGAAGAGGCAAATTATTTTTTTAGAATTCAAACTTGAGAACATGTACTAAGATTTTAAGAAAAGTCAAAAAGATTAAAGCAATAATTTACATGTTAAATTTGATTAAAGACTGATTTTGCAGTATTTATCACCATATTTCTATATTTCTACCATATTTCTATTGCGTGATTAACGTCTTAAGGGCTATTTTTGCATATTTTGACCTCTTTTTGGTTATTTGTGTGTAATTGCAATGTGGGTTCATTTCACAATACTTAACTTTGAGATACTATTTGAAAATTAGCACGACTCTTATGAATCTAAAAAAAGAAAGAATCTGGAGGCGTGCTGCTTTAAACTATATAAAAAAAATGTTAAAAACCAATTTTAAATTTTTATGACATACAGCCAATATGTTGGTTATCATTATTTCAAAATTTAAAATTTGCCGCAAAGTGTTTAAACAAAAGCATTACAAGGTGTTCACTCAATTTTAACTGCCAGACAAATATTCCAAATCTCACGAGTAGCAATATAAATTTCCTATATTACAATTTCAATTAGCAATCAATAGATTACTTCCCAATAATTTGCTGACCAGTCATATTTGTAACAAGTGAATATAAGTATTTTATTGTTAGATTTATTGAATACCTTGTTATAATAAATATTTATATAGTCTATTATTGCTTGAGTGTTGGAGAAAGATTTACAAAAGGTCAACATTTGTCATTCAAGTGTTACCATAGGTCAGTTCAAATTGATTGAGGGGATAGTCTCCTGTAACACTAATGTTATAGCCAGGAAAACAAAATGTTTATTTCATGACCCCATATATCTATTGGTTTAGTATTCAATCCAGCATCACTTACATTATAATTTTCATAGTCACCGTGTCCAGTTTTTATTTAATCAAGTGAGTTATCTTCCCTAACAGCTCTTTTGAAAAAAAATTGTATTGGATTGAAATGAAATGCTATGAATTCATTTAATTTTGTGGCCAAGAAGTTTCGTGGTTTTGTCACAAGAAACATTTCATGGCTCCTTAAATTCATGGATTCTCTATTTTTTTCAAAAGAAATGCAAATAAAGTAATGATTTTACAGCTGACAAAATGAAATTTGTTGAATCTTAAATTCATGGGTTGACCTTACTATGAAAACCATGACAATTAGTGCCCCATGAATAATAATGATTTTACAGTACTCAAAAAAATTGTATTTTTTCAATTATGACATTTTATCAAACAGTACAAAGTCACTTGTATGTACATATTATCATCAGAAATGGATCTTAATTAAAATAAATTATCATCATCAATTTCACATACAAAAGTCTTTTACCATTTTAGGAATATGAATGCCCATTTGTTATAATTTATGACAAAATGATTCCTCAAGTCCTCTTACACAATGTCAGGGTGGGGGCATCATTATGTATACAAAATTTGACAACAATAATATTAAGATTGATAATATAAATCTGTTTAATTGACTTTTATAAGTAAAGATACCTGAACCCTTATTAATTAATGGGCAATATCTTTCTATATTTTTATATTCATTTTTCAAACATGCTTATAATATCATGTATAGAATAGGTGTAATGTTTACAGATATGTCTTATTTGTAAGTTTGTTCAAACACAAAGTGGCTTACAAAAATATGTAAACCTACACTTTTGGATTAGCCTAGAATAAAGTATTGGATATTTACTTTTGAAATTCTTAAGCACCATTGAGAAATGTCTCTACAGATCAATATCTAAGTCTCATTACGTTTAAAACTTATTACACCTATATAGATGTATTGACAAAATAAAGTAGGTATAGAAATATGGGGAAAAAAGCAAAATTTCTTTTTATCTTGGTAAAGACTTTAAATTTTATGAAAGAAACTTCTAATTTACTGTCTTTGTGCATTCTGTATTTATTGTCTATTTCGAACAGCATTGTTTTATGATTAGACAGTGTTATACATAATGAATAAAGAAGCAAAAGATTTGAATTTGGTTGTAGAATTTTTAACAAATGAAGAAATATGCTTTGGCCAATGTCATTTAGATTCCAAAAAAGGATTAGAATTAGATTTATGTCTTGGGCCTTATAGCAGTCTAATAATACTATATGTAATTATAGTTTGCAAAACAATACATTCGATTTATAAATACAAATACCCTATATTTTCACTTACCTTGATTAACTTACTAGAACAGAACAGATGTACATGCTATTTATGTCTATAAATGTTTTCATAAATATTTACTTATTTTATAATAACAGAGAATCAACCACAGGATGGGTCAGAAAGTCGCATGCCACAGCATCGTGGTACTTCCCCTGCATTGCTACCCAGGTCAGAATCCACCAACAGTATGGACTCTACGAGCACGCCCCGGGGAGATGTGGAGGAGCCTGGAGGTATCGCAAACGATGCAGAGAAAGTCAAACTGGGTCTCCTCTTCCAAACCAGAAATCTTGATGAAAGGGTAATTCAAGCAAATTTCTTAAAAGGCTGTCACACACATTTCTATCTAGAAACACTGGATTTTTTCATTTAAAATTTTGAGTCTGGCAACCAGTCTAGCAAATTTTATAAACGCCATGATTGGAAAATTTTCAAACTTAAGTTTTCAGCTAATGTTTTATTATTGCTTTAAAATCATCATACATTTTAACACATCACCTCACTACATCACCACATCACTTGCATAATTATGATATTTTTGTTTTAAGAGAAAAAAAAACATTTAAATAAATCATTTACATAAGTATTATATTAGTTTTCAGGACAATTCCTGAAGTCCAGTGTTTTTACTCATAAAAGATCTTTTTTCTTTATAAATAAGATGAAACAATGCTAGATTCAAAGTTTTCAGGATTAGTTTTATATTTTGAATTTACACTCATGCATTTACTGACTGTATTTCAATAAAAAGAAGACAAATTAAGTTTTATTAGACTTATTTCCTTCACCCTTTGAGGTTTTGCTTTAATACTTTGTTAACTTGTTAGTTACCATCATCCTCACCTCCAGGCAAGTACATGTGCTTACAATACTCGAGCACAATGTGTAAATTGGACAGTTCTTGTGTACATTTTGAACCTTTTTCCATGCAATTACTTTTTATTTTCAATACAACAAACACAAATAAGTTTTTATGTCTGCAGTTTATCTAGTGGTACTATATTTATTACTGGAAATATTTTGTTTCTATCGCTCAATTTCATGTTTAATAGAAAATGGAATGTTTAATTGAAGATAAGTTCTATAGTATTATCAGCTACTCAATAAATAAACCAACTCTTTATAATGTTCATAAGGCTTTCATGAAGTGTGGCTTTTCTTAAATTTGTATGATAACTTGGTGATTTCAAGTTAAACAAGTCTGGATATTTTTGCTTGTTAGTTTTTATGTGCTGGATTTTTTACAAGCATGGTGACTGTGATTTCTAGTTGACTTATCAACAGTGCCAGAGGAATATTAGAATTTTAATCTCTTTTCCTGCTCAACTTTCATATAAATGGACTTGGCCCGCTTCCAGTTTTAGAACTGTCCATTATCATTATTGGGGGTATCAAAGTGAATATTTGAAAATGGTCCGCCAACAGTATTGAGCCTGGTCAAATCGCACAAAAGTGCAGACTGGACTGGCCCTATGTTTGTGGCACAGTCTAATCACCATCTGACTTAGTGGAGCAGTCTAATCACTGTCTTATGGTTAAGAATTCATTATCTTTTTTTATATGTAATGTCTTGTCACTTGAATGGAAGAAATTTTCATTAAACATACACCATAGGCATGTCTTCTTTGATGTGCCTATTTTCCTATTTATAGATTCTGTTATTGAAAATAAGTTTTTGCAAACATAACAATCATAGCAGCTGATTTTGTAATACGCAGTAATGTAATATAAAGGAGTTTTTCTTCAATTTACTACAAATATAGAATTAATGTGGCTTTATTTATGTATCGGTAATGACTTTTTACAATTGTTGCCAGAAATGAAAGAAGCATGAAAATGCACCATTTATAGGTGGTTATTTTTTGTAGCATTTCAATATCTAATAGCTTAAATGTATGTATGCATAGATGAATTTGTTATGAATATTCAAAGGAGACTTTTGAAACAGCAGAAGTGAAAACTTTTTGAGTAGGTGGTGAATTATTTACTGTAACTTGTTGATTAAATTAATGTTTAGACTCATACTTACAAGTAATGACTACTTTTCAATTAAGTTTTGATTCAATGATAGGGAAACAAATAACATAGTAAATAATCTTAAATTCAGAAAGGGATAATTTGTTTGGAAAATAAGCCAAACAAATAAGTTCTTTTTCGTTTTGGAATTACATAAAAAACGTACATACATGTAGTTGCTGCATTTAGATATAGTACATATTACTTGAAGGAAGTATCCATTTTTTTTTTAAATATGTATAACAAATGGAACATTGCAACTATTTCGGACAAAGATTTTGATAAAAGTGAAAACTGTATTTTGTTACTGCATCAGTTATTTAAAATGTGTTGCTGTTGTTGTTTTCAGATGCAGTCATTCCAAGCATTACTTGGTGATAATCAGTTGACAGTAGAAGAGCAGGAAGGTGTTTTTGATAAAATACGTACGGATCACGAAAAACTACGTAGAGATTATTTACAGTCAAAAGAAGACTATAATGTATTACGAAGGTCAACCCCAGCAGGGTTAGATGTCGCATTTGACCAGGAGAAAGAACTGGAAGGAGAATTGTTCAAACTAGGAATGAAATTTGATGAAATTCATGAAAAAGTGGACGAAAACTTGAAAGAAAAATCTGCCCAAAGGCAGCCATTTCAGAAAAAGCATCAAGAAAGTGGGACCTCTCCAGACACTTCTATGGATGTGGATCCAGCAACAGAAAATGTCAAGAAAAAGATGGAGGGTATAAGTGCAGGAAATGACCTGTTAGAGCCAAAACGTGATTCTGAGTTTGATAATAAGTTAAAACATTTACATGAGGAATATAATGCATTAATGGATAGATACCGGAGATTAAAACAAATGGCTAAAACACCAGAACGTGAGAAAGAGATAGATAATCTAGTGAAGGTTAGTATTGTCTTTCATATATGACTTTTTCATATGTGAGCAATTGTTTTCATCAAGGATAACTGATTTTGATATTCATAATATTTATTTTGATCATTTCTCTCAAAGTCGTAAAATTCTTTTCTTGTCCATTTTGATGACAGATATTAGGTCATGTTCCAAATGCCAAAAAGTCTGTGTTTTTTTCCCAATTTCAAGAAGAAAGTTCTCAATTCAAGGAACAAAAAATAAAATAAGTAAAATTATTGTCATTTTGTTACCTTAAATTGCACTGTGCCAAAGAAAATTGTAATCTTGCATTCAAAATTGTAATATGTGCTTTTGAGTGAAATAGAAAAGTAGTTTAATTAACCAAATATTTGATTTCTTTTGTCTTATGTGATGTACACAATATGTTGTTAGTTTTTTGTTAAATTTATTGTGAGGTCTTACTTTGTAAAAGAATTGATACAGTTGTTGTAAAGAGGCTATGGGTATTGCTCTAGTCAGTCGACTGTTCTAAAGAGGGTACAATGTATGAATTATATTAATTGTAACAGGTTCATATTTTGAAAAGAAAATAACTAGCCTCCACACTGTTTAAATCCAGTGGCTTTGAGCACTACTCTTATAACTGAGGTCACAACATTGTTACCTTAAATAACACCTGAAAGTACAAGTGGAAAATGGACTTGAAAATTATTGATATATTGATGAAGTTTTAAACTAAAAACTAAAATTATTGTGATAACTTGTCCTGTATTTTATCTTATCTAATGAATTTATTATCAGAATGTGATTGGACTTTACAGAACACATTAGGCATGTGATTAAAATATAAAAATGTGCTAGCATTACATTTTATCTATCTTAATAATAGCAGATCACCCACAATGTATGTTAAGGCATAGAATTTATTGCAGTTAAGCTTTGAATTTCTAAAATTTAGATAAAGATAAGTGCTTTTTTCACCTGCATAGAATAAATGTAAATTTATTTTATCTTATTTGATGAATATTTAGACAATTAAAGTTGTTATATTTAAGTGACACTGTCCTTTGCACTGGGTATGTCCCTGAAGTTGACAAAAAAAACCATCAAAAACACAGCTTATTTGTACTGAAAAGCATGCAGGGTGGCAAATTGACATTTTGGCTGAGATTTAGCTTTGTCAATTTAATTATAATATCCTACCAATCACAAACAGTTGATCAAACTTTTACTGCAAGTAAATCAAACAGTGTATAAGGACTGTGTGACATTGTACATAATGAACCCAACTTAAAAAAAATCAGAATGATATGCATCAAAATCACATTGCAGACTTTGACCTTGTTTAAGTATATGCACCACTCTGCTCTCCATGGTGACCCCACCCCTTCTTCCACTTCACCACCATACAAATATTTTATATCCTCAGCACTTTTAGAGCAAAAACAAATATTTTATATCCTCAGCACTTTTAGAGCAAAATAATTTATAAATCAGTAAAGTAACCTGGCAGTAAGGTTTAAAACATTGGATTATTTCCCCTACCATGCCATGTACCCCTTTGTTGATGGAGCTACCGGGATTAAGAATTCAATTCCACATGCATTTTTCATTTAAATTTTAGCCCTGGAGACTTCAAAGTGTTTTCCACAACATGTGACGGCAATGATAGATGCTATTACCTGTTTATAATAATAAATAAACATATTAACAAATATGTTTTCTATATTCCAGAAACTGAGGAAAATTTGCAAAGAAGAGCCAGAAATATTCAGATTGCCGTCTGACCTTCAACCAGGGTAAGACTTCAACACTTTTTTTTTAGGTTATTACATATACAAAAGTTTGTAAGAAAAGGAATCCTGTATTCTTCCTGTGGTATGATATTCTCTTTTAGCTTGTATTTCATTATAAGTTTATTTTTCTATATGTAGCCAATGGTTTTTTTTTTGTATCTTGATGTTTTAAATCCAAGGTTTTACTTTTAATTGCATGCATTCTAGTCTTTGTATAATGGTAATAGAATACAAAATTAATGTAAACCCTATACTATATTCTATTTATAATGTTTTAAAAGTAACTTACTGATTTTTGATTTTCTTAGTGATTTTTGTTCAAAGTTTTGTTTACTTAGAATCCTACTTTGAGAACCTTTTAAAAGAGCTTTTGTTCAAAATTATATCAACAAAGCAAGATTACAAGTAAACCTCTATTTTGTATTAATTTTCTAGTATCAATATTGCTTATGGTGTTATATTCATGAATGCTTTTTTTCTTTTCTATGTTGTTGATATTCAAGTATAAATATGGAGTTTTTAATGAAGAAAAGAATATCGTTATAACTTTCTATACAAAAAGTCTAAGGTTTGGCTGTAAAATTGAAATTAAAACTTGATTTATTAAAGCAATGATACGCCACGTTCTCAGAAAGCAATAAAGTCTGAGACGGCCCATACGCAGAAAACAGGAAACGTTGGAACCTCAGACTCGGTTAAACCTCCCACTTCCGAGAAACGTAAACTCCCGCAACCAAAGTCTGATAAAGCTCCGGCCAAGGTTACGGATAAATCTCCGGCCAAGTCGTACGAAATTTTAACGGCTTCGGAAACATGGAGTCTTGCGGAGAGTATTGATAGGTATTCGCTCCTAGCTAGCCAATCATATCACTGCTAGTTACATATATCTTAAATACTGGTCACAGCTTCGCTATGAAAGCATATTTAATTTACTACACACATCATGATTTCCATCTGTTTATTAACATTTCAGCTCGTGCTTTTTGTGCTCTCCATCCAGTTGAAGAATTTCCAGCTCATTTTAAATTGACTTTATACTTTATTTTTCATTCATGTTGAATAAAATTCTGATACCTGGAAAAAGTCATGTCATAAGTTATTAATATTTAGTTCATACTAACATATATTTTATAGCAGCTTTCCAGATACATGCATACTTTTCCCCAAATTCTACCCTGTTAGTTATCAAACTTACGACAGGGCTTCCATTAGTGGATGTTTGGGAGTCAATTACTCCTTGTTTTGGCTTGAGAATTCTAAAATATAACCCTTTTCTTTCTTTACCTATATAATGTGACTTCCAGTGCCAGACAATTTGCAGCCTCTGACTTCGGAATTTTAAAAACTAGTGGAAGCCCTGTGGTCTTAACTTGAAGAGTATTACCTTCAATCATCTCACTGTTGATTAGTTTGTGTTGTGTATAATTATAAGCTAAATAGTGATGTCATAACATCTCCACAGTGTCATAATGTGACTTAAATCAAAACCAAAACAATTATGGTGGTAAAAAAGTTAAATGGTTTCTAATTTGCTTTGGGTTCATATCCTGCAACTTGGAATAAAGATTCTTTCATTTGAGGAGGCTGTCCTTAAAGAGGATCAGTGGCTCTACTCATAACAATAGGCACAGAAAGGCAGCCTCCTTTAGGGTCTTGCTTCACCATCAATGTTTGAAGTTGCCATTAGTAAACCTTAAAAGTGTGGATATTTGAACAATGAATTGCAATATAGTAAACTGGTAAATACCAGATTATTATTAGTGAGTCAAACTAAAATGCAAAAATGTATGCACATTGAATCATATAGAGTAGGTAGTCTAGCATTGCTATTTATTATATTCATACTTACTAACAACATGTTTGTATATGTTATGACACATACATCAGATTTGTTGGTTTCCAGTGAACAGTTTAAAGAAAAATTGTAAATTCATGATTACTATGATTATTTTATAATATTCTATAATAAATTCAAGTAGTTTATGATAAGTACAAGATATTTATGATAAATTTAAGTAATTCATGACTAATTCAAGTAATTTAGAATTAATTCAAGTAATTTATGATTAATTAAGCAATTTATTATTTAATTTAATACCTAATTTCATGATTTATTCAAGTATGATTATGTATTTTTGAAAATACTGTTATTTAACACTCATTTTATTTATCTCCTACCACATCCATTCCATATCCTTTAAACTACAAAGCTAGTGTACTGAAAAGTTTTTAAAATGACTTGGAACATCATATAACCATTATGAGATGCACAAAAACAAGGTCACTTTTTCTAAGGTCAAGGTCGGTCAAAGTTTACAAATCATATTGTGGCAGAGGATAATAAGGATCTTACACCAGCTAATAGTACAGACAGGAATATCTAGCTTGTGGGTACGGTAACTGTTTATGGTGGTAACAAGGCTCTACAGGACTTCAATATTGCTCTCAATACCATACATTGATAATTGTTTGGGCACAGAGTAGAAGTTTTACTGGTTTTTAATGTATATTTTAGATGGGCACAGAGTAAAGAGGCAGCTGACGAGGAGAGGAGACAAATGTCAAAGTCTACAGACAATCTAAACTCTTCAATGGCCTCTAACAGATCATTCCGTAGTGACAGAGGTGGTGAGTTTATAACCTGTTTTATATCATTAGGCAAACATTTGATTTAAAAAAAGTGAAATTATGTTTGCTATTTTTATCAAAACTACAAGAAGGCATGGCAAGGGTGAGTTTGTTAATAACAAATCTTAAAAAAAACTTAGATATTAAACACAAGTGCACTATAATTATGGTCTTTTCAACATATACACATCCTAGCATTGACCATAAAATTTATTGTGATTAAAAGTACAATGTCTATAGTCTAGACATGTGGCATATAGCATTTCCTAGATCACATCTACAAATTTCTAGAATATATGTAGATGACCCTCTTGTATAATATTTTAATTTGCAATTAATAATTAAATCAGTGCAATGACAGACGTTTTGCAGCTAGAAACTTATATTTTTCAAATTTTGAATATTTCATCATTTTAGAGAAAATACCACAGTATGAATTTTTAGCTTCTTTAAAGTCATTTCCTTTAAAATTAAAAAATGGCACTTCTGTAGTAAAAGATATACAATGCACATGTTGTGAAACTGATTTATGTGTATGTATAACAGGGGATTATCATGACGAGACGGACTCGCGGCTTCAAAACAGACATCGTAGTGGTAGTTACAGTAGTTTATCCAGTAGAGGGCGCCACACACCTGACTTCTCGTCACATGATAGAGAATCACCAGTACCAAGCCTTCCTCGCCCTCGTCGACATGACTTTCCTGACAGGGAGAGACGAGATAGAAGGGAACTTAAAAAGGTGTGTTTAATTTTGCTTTTGAGTGTCTCACTAGTGTTGTTCTGACAAAATTATTGTCAGTGCATTACTTAGAAAAAAACTAGTTTTAGAAATCACAGAGGCAGAGCTGGCCTTATGGTTAATATGTCTGCCCCTATTACTTTTGGGAATGTATGTTTGAGCTGCAACAGTGTCACATCTATGTTTTCTCAAATGGCACCAGTACTGGTTAGTTCCAGGAAGCAGACCTAAGAGTGGTTACAATTTATAAGCTTCAAGCTTTCTTTACAATCAAGCTAAAATGAATTTGTTTAGATATAAAATTAAAGTACATTTTTATTATATTTAACCATGTATGTGCATAAAGCTCAGTTTGATGCTAATAAAAGCTCAGTTAAGATGCTTAAAGCTCAGTTTGGATGCTGAAAGCTCAGTTAAGACGCTTAAAGCTCAGTTTGGATGCTTAAAGCTCAGTTTGGATGCTGAAAGCTCAGTTAAGATGCTTAAAGCTCAGTTTGGATGCTTAAAGCTCAGTTAAGATGCTTAAAGCTCAGTTTGGATGCTTAAAGCTCAGTTCTGATGTTAAAAGCTCAGTAGATGCTAAAAGCTTACTTGAGATTCACACTATTTGTAGAGCATTACCATCACACTCACTATGAGGTAGCTTCAAAACTTTGTCATGATTAAATAGTAGTTAGTACATGTAGTCCAAAAAGTTATTTGTCATAATCTCACAATGTAATAGTTAACTCATTTTAAATTTAACATTTTTTAACTATCAGAGCATGGAGTCATTGCGGGCAAGCACTAACAGTCTTGCCACAGACAGTGGTATAGATTCCGTTTACACCCCAAAGTCTCGTACTAAGGTACTATTACACCAGGCCAATCACCACTTTGCCTGCTGTGTGCACTGTTAATGTCCACATGTTGTACATTGTAATGTTAACGTCCTTTTTGCTTACAAAATATGCACTGTTAGTTACTGTACTGTACTGTAATGAAGTGAAGTTCCTTTGCTGTGACACTTTTAAAGTTAATCTGTTTGGATATTTGTAGATATTTAGATTTTTCAATAAATTTTTTTTTTTTTTTTTTTTTTGTCACTTACTGTAAAATCAGATAGTTATAATTATGAAAAATCTTTTCTTGATAATTTCAATACAAAAGTTGTTTAATTTATGATTGTTGAATGTGAATAAAAAAATCACCAACCAAAGTTCTTTATTTATTCGCCATGTTATTTGGAAGTTGCCACATGGTTTAGATATGACGAACACCCAATGAAAAGACAGGCTTCTTTTTAAGTTTTTATAAATCATTCCTGATTTTACAGTACTAGTAATTGTTATATTTTTATTTTATTAGTCAGATTTTATTTGATTTTGTTGTGATGCATTATCTAGGGTGACAGTTATAATGTTTGTCATACTTTTGAATTTTTCATCTTTATTTCTGTATTAATTTAGTGAAGCAAGTTTCATTCAATATAATGATTTAGTGGCTGAATTTGTATTTTGCAGACTTTTTTTCATTCAAAATGTTAACTATTTTTTGTGTTCAATATCATTGGTTTCAAAATATAGCATTTGTTAACTTTCACTTTGAGTTTGTTTATAAAATTTTGAATTAAGTTAGTACTTAAGATCTGTCAGATAATTTGTAGACTTTTTACATACCAGCTGTTTGATGGACATTTGTATTTTCTTTATTTGTTATAGATGTTTGCAATCAGTGACATATTTTTGTGCCTGTTATATTTCAGAAGCCTGACTGTGGAAGCACAACAAGTTTACAGGATAGTGGTATATCTGAACATGAAGGTGGGGCAACAGGAGGTCAATCTGGACAAAGTAGTCCCCTGTCAAAGTTACCTGGTATGATTTATTCAATTTTATTAAGAGTACGTGAATACTGTCCATCACTAGAGCAAATTTTTAAATTTGCTCTAGTGATGGACATGTTGAGTGTTGGTGGGCAAATTGAGGCTAATGGGCATACCGAGAATTGTCAGGGGTGCTGAGGGACATATTGAGGGTTATGGGGCAAACTGAGGGCTGATGGATATTTTGAGGGCTGTGGGTCGGACTTAGAGTTGAGGGACATAATGAAGGCTATAGGTCATTTTAAGGGTTAAAAGTCATAATGAGGGCTGGAGACAACAGGGTTGCACCTTGCACTTTATAAAGTATGTAAAATTTAATTTGTCAGTTCAACAGGAACAAATTGTATATTATAATATATGAAACATTGGTAATATTCATTTGCTGAAGAAATGTTTCTGACTGTGTTTGAATATTTCAGGACCAGGGAAGTTCAAACAGATGACCGGGCGAAGAGAACTTGATACAGACAGTGGCTTTATTGGGTCAATGGTAGGGTCAGAGGTCAGTGCTGGTAACCTGTCATCAAGGCGGCAACCTCCTCAGTCACCTGTACGGTTAAGGCAGCCTGGGGATATGCCAAATCAAAGGTGTGTAACCTACTTGAATGGTTTATTGTGTCGCCTCTACGGAGTAGTGGCGACATATAGGGATCACTTCTCCGTCGTCTGTCTGTCCGTCCGTCACAAAACTTGTCCGGACTACTCCTCATTAACTACTGGTGCAATTTCATCCAAACTTTACAGGAATGATCAGTACCAAGTCTAGTTGTGCATATTGTCAGCATTTTCCAGTTCAATGATTTTTGTCAGAGTTATGGCCCAATAATTTTTAATTTTAAAGTTTGTCCGGACTACTTCTCTTATACCACTAATGCAATTTCAATGAAACTTTACAGGATTGATCTGTAGCTCAAGTCCTTGCGCATATTGCACGGGTTTTCCGGTTGAAGGATTTTTGGCCGAGTTATGGCCCTTTGATAAAAAGGTTTCTTTTTCTGTGTGTTGCCAGATACACAAAAGCTTGTCCGGACTACTCCTCATAAACTACTGGTGCAATTTCATCCAAACTTTACAGGAATGATCAGTACCAAGTCTAGTTGTGCATATTGTCAGCATTTTCCGGTTCAATGATTTTTGTTCTAGTAATGGCCCTTTAATAATTTTTATTTTTAAAGTTTGTCCGGACTACTTCTCTTATACCACTCATGTAATTTCAATGAAACTTTACAGGATTGATCTGTAGCTCAAGTCCTTGCGCATATTGCACGGGTTTTCCGGTTAAATGATTTCTGGCCGAGTTATGGCCCTTTGATAAAAAGGTGTTTTTTTTCTGTGTGTTGCCAGATACGCAAAAGCTTGTCTGGACTACTCCTCATAAACTACTGGTGCAATTATATCCAAACTTTACAGGAATGATCAGTACCAAGTCTAGTTGTGCACTGTCCGTCTGTCTGTCCGTCTGTCACAAAATTTGTCCCAACATGAAATTGGCCATCATGAGGCGACACATGTGATTACTGATCGCTCTTGTGATATTTTATACAAGAAATTATTTTTGTTTATTAATAGTGGCATGTTTTATACATAAAAACATTTGAACCAGTCTCTTGTAGTTATCTAGTGATTCCAGTCTGTTATTACCTTCCTACAATTATTCAGTAAGTTCTATATTTTATGTAAGCAGATTTACAGGCTTGATATAGAAGAAGAATATAAATAAAGTCAATAACTGTCCGGTCATGAACTATTAATAAAACACTAAAAGTGATAATTAAATTAACACTTTAAGATAATTATTGTATTATTAGTTTTCTCTCTCCTACGCTTTCTGTTATACACATATTACACAAATGTACTTTTTCTGCACTTTGTTAAACATATATTTGTACTGTTAAAAAATACAAATTGCAAATATAAATTGAATGTGAGCATTTTTATAACAATATCATATGTAGAAAAATGATGTTTTTATGATGGATAAAACGTGATTTTAAGTCTGTTTTTAAGAGTAAGTATTTCTCAATTTGCTCATTAATATTTGATTTAGTTTACCTTGAAAACTTGTGCATTTTATTTTTATTTTTTTTTATGATTTTAATTATGATTATAATGGTTTACAGAATTTTCATAACTCATTTTTACATGAAAAATCACAATATATGTGTGTTTTGTGGAAGTAAAATAATATGAAGTTATAATATTTTTGAAATTCATTGTTAAAGTAGAGTGGAAAAAAATTGTAATTATTTGTAGCAAAGTAGTTTTCTTCTAGTACGGGTACATCGAAAAACAAGTATTCTAGTTTCAGCAAGTTTAATACATGTAAACAAACTAGACAATAAATTAAAGATGTTATTATTATGAACAATTTGTAGTTGCTTCATAACATAAGTTACATAGTTTGAAATTCTTTCTGAAGTAGGAAGAAATTTAATAAACAGATTTAATTGTTGAGAGAGGAATGTTTTTTGAAATAGCGGCATATGGATAATTGCATGAATAAATTATGTATAAAAAAGTGTGTGATATTTTGTGATGTAGCTAGACACTTTCTTAACAGAATGTTTACAATATAAGAGTATTAACTATTTTAGTAATAGTGTACGTCATTAAGGAAGAAACTGAATCCAAAATGACTCGGAGCATCTACGTATGAAGTTAAAAACAAGTGGTCATCTGTATTAAATACCTATTTAGTTCTTTGAGTTTTAAAAAGTGTGAAAATGTTTTAAGTAGATCATCTGCATATTTTATAAACATATTTCATTTTAAAGGTATTTTGAAGTATTTTATGAAGTAGCTACACAGAATTATACATCATTAACAAATTGAATTAGGAAAAAGCTTGAACTATCTTTTGTGAAGTAACTACTCAAATAAAATATTAAATATCCTTAACAAATTGTTTTAGGAAAAAGTGTGAACTATTTTTTTTGTGAAATAGCTAGAGATATTAATATTAGTTTTATAACTTGTTGCCTAGTTTGAGGAAGTTGGGACTATATAGTTTTAGTTCTGATTTTAAATGGTATGTATAGAATGTTTAGTGGTATGACCAATATTTGTTTTGTGTGTGTGTTGAAAAATATGTTATGAAGATTATAGGATTTGAAAGAGAGGTCGATGTGTTACTAAAAACACTTTTAATATTCATGTTTATTGTAAAGTAATTTTCACAATTCATGGCTATGTAATGGACTTGTCTAGCTATGAAGTTAAAAGTAACTGTCCACAGTTAATATGAAGGGTTTTAGTATTAAAATGTTAAACAGTATAATTTAGAGACCAGTCAGAATGTACGGATGGGTGTACAGGTCTGTCTGTATATTGTAGACATAGACAAATAATCCTTACTGTTGCTTGTAGTCAGGGTTGAAAAGCATGTTTTTTAATGTGTTACTTCAACCATTCATCATGAACCTATCAAATCCTAGAACAAAATATGATACATTTTTGTGTCATTGTTTATTGAACATGTGCAAAACTTTCATTAACAAAACAGCTTTTGATTTACTCAACATAACCTTAAAAAAAATGTGCTATGTGTTTTGCTTTTTTTACACCATTTTGAAGAAATTGCTGTTTTTAAAATGTTGCTTAAATTGCGTCATTCTCATGAAATGTATCAACTAATTTGCTGTTTGTACATTTTGATAATGGAAGAATATAATGCATAAATGCTGTTATTGATATCTGCCTGGGAGATTTTAGGGATAAAGAAAAAAAACTAATTTCAGGAAATAAAACGTTAAACTATGCTATTAATGTTCAATTTGCTATTTGTTGTTCTTCATTAGTGCTGCTAGCTTTATAATGCTAGAATTTTAATTCATCTTATTGAATGCAAATAAAAGATAATATGATAATGCCTATTGTATGCTTAATTATTCTCATCAATTATGACAAATCATTGCAAAGTAAGTGCTTCATTCATTATGATAATAATTCAATTAGACATATTGAATTGCTAGGTAAATGTATAATCATAAAATTGTTTCTTGTTAAAATTTGCAGGCCAAGTTCCCGCCAAAGTAATAGATCAGAAGATAGTGCAAGGGGGACAACTCCCAGGTCCGCCAGGTCTGTAGCATCATCCAAGTCATCAAGACGCACACCTACAAAAGCTTTCCCGCTTCCAGAATCACAGCCAACAGAAAATGAGGCACGGGCTAAAACACCGAACAAAGAGGAACGAAGAACTCCATCCAGATCTGATAGCAAAGCAAAAACAAGAGAACAACAGGTATGGATTATATAAATAGACAGTCTGTGTTACATGGAAATGCTAAGAACGTAGCAAATAAAGAGATTTAGATTGCGTTAAAATATTCCTATGTTGATCGAAGATCTCTTTAACATTAAACATCCATCATTGAATAACTTAGTTATGAAAAGCCTTTAAATAGGCATACTCGTAGATTGTTTTGTTGTTTGACTTTTTTATTTAAAATGATTGATACTTGAAATTATTTCTTTCATGTGAGATAGCTATCCTGAGCTATTAGTTACAGAACATCAGTGGTTCTACTTGGATGTGCATTTGTGCCTGAAATAATGTACAGAGGGGCACCTGATGTCTTCCTCCAACAGTAAAGCTGGAAAGTTGCCATATGACCTATACTGTGTTGGTGCAGCGTAAAACCCAATACAAACAAAAAAAAACAAAAAAACAATGCTCTACTACTGCTTTTTGTGAAAGAAATCTTTTATCTTTGCTGTTTGATAGTGAAAACAGAAATAAATATACCTATTTAAAATTTTAATTATTCTTCATATGAATTGGAACTGTTCAAAGTGACTTTTACCCTAGACATGCTGAAACCAAAATTGATTAGCCTTTGCCACAACTATAGAGCCAGACCAGTCTGCACATCCAATGCATTGTGACCATGTTCTATACTGTTGGCTGACAACTTCAAACTTTTTTATGTAGATATCTCAGAAATTGATAATGAACAGTTCCAAAAAATAGAATGCAGACAAGTCCTTTTAAGAAATTTAGCAGGTTAAGGGTTTACAATATCAAAATAAAAAAGTTTGAGCAGTCAACAATGTAGAGTCTGTACAGGTGTTCAGATTTTAACCTGGCTCTAAACTGATGGGGTAGGCAAGTCATCATGGTTACTAGAACTCAAGAACTTTATGATTTCAGCTGCAGACGTCGGGTAGATCACGTGACTACACAGATGATAGCTATACTTCAGTTACGGAGAGCGAGATGAGTTTTGACTCGGAGATGAGAGGACGAAGGAGCAAGCCAAATAGTCGCAACACGTCATTACGAAACATCGACAAGATCATGGAGGATAGTGAGGAAGGTATGTTATCATCTAACAATTTCACTCATTGGAATATCCTGGGATATTATATAGTTATTTCAAAGCAACTTCTTCTCCCTACGGTTGACTTAAACACCCATATACATGTATTGACTTTTGTTTACTACAATAGCTATTGTTAGGGCATATATTATAGCAATTATAATGCCTGTTTACAAGAACATGTCCATTTTGTCTTCCGGATAGTCTCTTCAAATCTTTGTCTTAGTTTTATTGAGTTGTACTTGAAAGCTCGGCAATCATATATTTTATACACCAATGCACTTAGGTTAGAGCATAGAAAATATTTTGTTGTTGACACAACACTTGTTTCATTTCAATGATTGAGCTTACATAATGTTGTGCTGTAATGTGTTAGAGAAATGTCTGTAGTAGGTAAAATGTTTGTATAGAATTTTATTTTTGATATCAACACACATAATTAATACCTTTAACTACTTGGTAGATGTGATGAATTTTTTTTTTTATTGAAGGTACTCTGTTAAACTTTGCTATTAACATAGAATTCAAAGTAATCGTAGAATTTTATTTATGCATGTTTACTTTTCTGTAAATTGTGAGTGTTAGCAAGAGCAATAGGAGCTTGGAATTTTATCAATACGCATTCATAAATGATCTGGTTCCTATTACAATTTGGAATAGTCTATTAAAAGTTTAAAGGGATTTCATTAATAAAAGAAAACAACATTCAAACAATTGAGAGAGCCTGATCAGACTACATGGATGTGCAGGCTGGCCTAGCTCAACACTGGTGACAAAGTAAGCTTTTGAGGGTTCCAGATGTTTAATGGTTGACAGTCGACATGTCCAGCCACTAGGAAAAGTTAAAAAGTTACATAAAAAAGACTATATACATTTTATGGGAATAGAATCCAAGCTCCTGTGTATAAAAGTGCTTTCAGTGTTTTGTTTTATGCAGTATGTATTAACATTTTGTTTCAGACCAGTATTCCATAGATCCAACATTAAATGAAACCACCGATCTCAATTTATCATGGATAACCTCCGACTCTGGTTAGAGATTATTTTAGAGAGTATTTTAATCTTGCAGTGTTGTATTGCTACACCCTCCAGTGCACTACGTTTTTGTTTGAAAACCTTATCACATTTTTAATTGTAGTTGCTTTAAAATGTAGCATGTTGTTTAGTGATATAGTGTTGGTTAATATATTTTACAATTTTAATTTTTCACCAGTCCTCTTCATTTTGCATGCGCACAATGCCATACCATTGGCATATTAACATGGATGAATTGATTAAGCATGTCTTCTCAAGTAAAAACTGAAAAGTCGCCATATGACCTTAAAATGTACTGAATTTTGAAATATAATGAATGTGTAATTAAAGTTTAATGAGTGAAAGATGTTGTCAGTTTAACTTTGTTGAACAATTTCTTGATGACCATCAGGACTATCATTATATCTTAAAAGCAAGCTTTCAAACGCTTTCACTACCAAACAAGCAGGTTATCCAATGTGCTTTATACATCCTTTTTCCCTTATTTGTTAGTCTGTTTTGAAGAAAATGTCCAGCTAATATGACTGTTCTGGCAACATCGTTGATATCATTGTTCTAACTTTTTTATATTAGCCCATTTTACAAAAAATTTTAAAGATTGAACTAGGGATACTTATACATCATGACTTTCAGTTGTAAGACATGGGACATTACTCTGAATGATAAAGCATTTTTTAGCTCGACTATTCGATAAGAATAAGTAGAGCTATTGCAGTCACCCGAGCGTCGGCGTCGGCGTAACCACTTATGTTAAAGTTTTTGTAATAGTTCAAATATTTTCAAAGTCCATAGACATATGGCTTTGAAACTTTGCACACTTGTTCACCATCATGACCCCAACCTGTAGACAGGAGGAGGTAACTCTATCAAGCATTTTGACAGAATTATGCCCCTTTTTCGACTTAGAATTTACGTTAAAGTTTTTGTAATAGTTCAAATATTTTCAAAGTCCATTGACATATGGCTTTGAAACTTTGCACACTTGTTCACCATCATGACCCCAACCTGTAGACAAGAGGAGGTAACTCTATCAAGCATTTTGACAGAATTATGCCCCTTTTTTGACTTAGAATTTACGTTAAAGTTTTTGTAATAGTTTCAAATATTTTCAAAGTCCATTGACATATGGCTTTGAAACTTTGCACACTTGTTCACCATCATGACCCCAACCTGTAAACAGGAGGAGGTAACTCTATCAAGCATTTTGACAGAATTATGCCCCTTTTTCGACTTAGAATTTACATTAAAGTTTTTGTAATAGTTCAAATATTTTCAAAGTCCATTGACATATGGCTTTTAAACTTTGCACACTTGTTCACCATCATGACCCCAACCTGTAAACAGGAGGAGGTAACTGTATCAAGCATTTTGACAGAATTATGCCCCTTTTTCGACTTAGAATTTACGTTAAAGTTTTTGTAATAGTTCAAATATTTTCAAAGTCCATTGACATATGGCTTTGAAACTTTGCACACTTGTTCAACATCATGACCCCAATCTGTAAACAGGAGGAGGTAACTGTATCAAGCATTTTTTTTACTATCAAGCACTAAGAATAGTCGAGCGTTGCTGTCCTACCGACAGCTCTTGTTTAGAATTTCTGTCAAAATTGCCATTATTACTGGTAAGTAAGATGGTTTTAAAATGATCACAGCTTTCATCATGAAACTTGGAACACTTGATTATCATGACAAGGAACAGTTTTTAGACATGGATCATTATCCCTAAAGCAATATAGGAGTGATGTCCCTTTTTAACTTAGAATGTGTATGAAAATTTGTTAACAGATGAGCGTAAACACGGCATGTGGTGTTCTTGTTAGACACGTGTCCGACTACAAAAGCTCTTACATCATAGAATTTATTTTTTTATATTTTAGTGTGCCTGATATGCAGTTGCCAGATTAGTTTAGATCAATTTATGCAAATATATGTGTTATAGATATGTGCAGATTGTAAATATTATAATTTTGTTAAATAGGTATCTTTATACAATGCTGAAAAATAAATTGTATATACAAGAAAAGAATGTAATTGTTTGTGGAGTTTTTATAAATTATTATCAAAATAAGTGTAACTTACCCTCTTTTATAAAACATCTTTTGTTCTGTCACAATAATTTTTTTTCTTGATTAGTATGTATCTTAAATTCACAAAATATATATATAATATACAGTTTGATTTGATAAGACCAAACAATTTTTGATTTTGCAAAAGAATTAATAACAATGATCAAGTGCAAAGTAGAGAAGGAAGAATAAAAAAAGTCTAACATTATTCAATGAAAGATTGTATTATTTTATTCCACAGAAAGGCCAAGTACCGTACAATCAAAGCGAAAGGAGAAAATACAAGCTACACCAAAAAAGTCACAGGAATCTTCCAAATCTGGGTCAAAGGTCACTACAAAGCAGGGCAGAGGGCAATCACAGCAACAAGGTAGAGGTCAGAGTCAGACGCCTACAAGAGGTGGAGATAGAAGGCGTGGTGAAATGACAGATGAAAGTACCACATCAACGATGTCAACAAGGGACGTAACTCAGGATATGACTCAAGATACGACACAGGATAGCTACACGTCAGACGAGACTACGCCAAGGTATTTTAAGGATTTTTTTAATCATCTATACACAGTTTATTTTTAACATTGACAGAATATTGGTCATAGAACCAAATTATAAGACTATGCTAAACTGTGTCTGCTTTAAATCTGTTATACAATGGCAAAATTTCTCTGAAACGGTGTTTTTTATAAAGCTGAAAAGAAAAGAATGACAAGATATTATTCATTTTATGCCCCTGCAATGATGGAAAGATCTCTGGGCATATTGTTTGTGTCTGAGACATCTGCTTGTTTGACTGCAGACAACTAACATTTATTCATGTTGTAAGGTAACAGAACAAACCAAGGTGTTAAAAGCTTAATTTTGAAGTTTGGAAATCTCACTTTGATTCTTAGATGACCTTGATGTTTAAGAACGAATTTTAGTAGCTTTTAATTTAAGTTGTTATTTAAATGATTTTTAAAAAAGGGCTTTATTTATTCTATATATATTTCTTTCTCCTAGGTCAGTGATAGAAAGAGAAAGAAAACAGGCCAAATTAAAGCAGCAGTCAAGGCCAAACCAGGAAACAAAAACTAAAAGAGGGCCTTCCCCAGCAATGGAGATGGCGCCACCTCCACGTAATACAACACCTGTCAAGGCTGCAAGGTAAATTTATGTACATTTATAGAATACAAAGGGTCAACACTTATCATTCAGCATGATACAGGATAAAAACAACATGAAAAGCAGTTTCACAAGGCATTTTTCATACTTCATTTTTATAATACTTTCAGAGACAGAAAGGAATATTTTCATTATTACCTAGTGCATTTTTTCATTTAAACTAGATTTTTCATGTCAATGTCAAGATGCTTTCATAATGCCAATAACAACATAGATTCTGGTCAGAGAACATGAACATGTATGTGCAAGCTGACATGGTTTTATAATATAAATTGATATAAATTTTGGAAAGATAATGTTTAAGGTATTTATAAACAATACAAAATTGGATTAGACTAGAAGCAACCTAATGCTTATTAAAGTCTTCCTATGTATAATTAAGTATAAGATAAGGCAAAAAAATTGTTTGTTGACAAAGAAGGCTGTTGTGTTTCATCTAAGATTGAAAAATAAGAATGTTGTTATGATGATACCATTATTTTTGTTATAAAATGCATTAATTTGAAGAGTTTGAAGAGTGCATTTATTTCAACACTTGACACAGCACATTTTTTATGCCCCCACAATGTGGGAGCATATAGCGTTGCACTTGTCCAACCGTCCGTCCGTCAGTCCGTACGTCCCGAAATCTTGTGAACGCAACTCCTCTTAAACCGGATGGCAGATTTTGCTTAAACTTACAGGGATGAACAACCTTAATGTGTAGATGGTAGTAAAGGAAGGAATTTTTGCTGCGACCAAATTTAACAGAATTATGGCCCTTTGTTGATTTTTTCACTAGATACTATGTAGAAATTTTGTGAACGCAACTCCTCTTAAACCGGATGGCAGATTTTGCCTAAACTTCCAGGGATGAACAACCTTAATGTGTAGATGGTAGTAAAGGAAGGAATTTTTGCTGCGACCAAATTTAACAGAATTATGGCCCTTTGTTGATTTTTTCACTATATACTATGTAGAAATTTTGTGAACGCAACTCCTCTTAAATCGGATGGCAGATTTTGCTTAAACTTACAGGGATGAACAACCTTCAGGTGTAGATGGTAGTACAGGAAGGAATTTTTGCTGTGACCAAATTTTACAGAATTATGGCCCTTTGTTGATTTTTACACTATATACTATGTAGAAATTTTGTGAATGCAACTCCTCTTAAACCGGATGGCAGATTTTGCTTAAACTTCCAGGGATGAACAACCTTAATGTGTAGATGGTAGTGAAGAAAGAAATTTTTGCTGCAACCAAATTTAACAGAATTATGGCCCTTTTTTGATTTTTTCATTATTTACTATGTAGAAATTTTGTGAACGCAACTCCTCTTAAACCGGATTGCAGATTTTGCTTAAACTTCCAGGGATTAACAACCTTAATGTGTAGATGGTAGTAAAGGAAGGACTTTTTGCTGCGACCAAATTTAACAGAATTATGGCCCTTTGTTGATTTTTAGTTTTCAACTTGTGGCACATGTAGTCCAAAAAATATTTGACCTAGAGTCATAAGATTGACAGAACAGTGGCGTGTGGGGGCATCCGTGTCCTATGGACACATTTCTAGTTCATATTTAGAATGATATTCGAACTCTGAAATCTGAACTTTATTATATGACATAAATTTTGTGTTTGTAGGTCAGAAGTTCATCCTAAGAGATTGTTAGACAGTACTTTAGACTCAAGCCCAGAAAGGCCGAGGGCTGAGCCTCGCAGGGCTCTAAAACCAAAATATGTGGACAGAAGTATAGGGTCCGGTGGCGAGGAGACGATATTAGCCTCTGATGCTGAAACCGCGGCATCTGGTGCTACCAGAGGCTCGGCAAACAGGTAACATATTTTATATAATAGAACACTTGGAATAGAAAGATAACTTGAGGGGCTTTAAAATGCAATGTTCTACTTTAAATTTAAGTGTTGATGCAAAATTCACTTATAATTTTCAAAATTTTCTAAATTTCACCTGTTTATTAAATTTTAAGTGCATTAATAGAAAGATTATTTACTTCACAGAAAGTCTGTTACAACATCTTCAGGTCTCTTTTATTTCCTGCTGAAATATTAACTCATTTAGCAATGTTTGCAATGAAAATGTTTGGTTTGATCATATATTTACCATAATTATTTTTAATGTAACAGTGCCAGAATCAAGTTGTTATCTGACGAGATTGGAAAATTAAGGGAGGAGTTTGTAAAAGCCAATAATGAGAAAACACTGCAGCAACCTTTGGCCCCTCCCCCAGCTCTGCCTCAACAACAACAGGATCAGTATTATGACCAATATTTTGACCCGACTGAGGATCCACTTGCATTTATGAGAGGGCCTAGGAGAAGAGCCAACTCATTTTCTGGTCATGGAGGTAAGCCAGTGTACTGATAAACCAATTTGTTTAAAGTCTTTTCAATTCTATTCAGTTTCATAGAATACTAGTGTAGGCAGGGTTTTCATTTTTATCTGAGACAACAGATGCTCCAAAGAAAACAACCGATTTTGCCGAGGGTCAAGGGTTATACTTTAATCTACAGGATGAAAATACAACTGACTTTAACAGCATTTTAACTGATGGTTTGAATTGCCAATCGGTTAATAATGAAAACCCTGTGTAGATAAAGGTTGTTTATTTATCCCAACAGACAATGTCAACCTTTGTTCTTGTATAAGATTTACTCTTCAATTAGAATCATTTCACTGACTATTGACACTGTTATTTCTTTGTTGTAGAAGATCTGGGCACCAATATGTTTTCAATTTAATGTGGTTGACTTTTTTAATATTATGAATATGAAATGAAATGCTGTTATGAAGTGCTATCTGATTAAAGCTATAAATTGTTAGTAAATTCAATATATTTTCATTCCGTACTTAAGGGCGTGATTGGGATTATGATTGGACGTTGCCGAATGTACATCGTGACGGTGATATTCCCCTTGGATACGCTGCAGCAGACGCCTACGCTACACCTAGACATAAACATAAACAAGAAGAACCTCCAGTTGAGGAGAGTAGAACAAGGGGAAGACACAGACTGAGGCGAAGAATTCATCAGAGAAGTATGGGAACACAACATATACCTGATCAAAATGGTTACGAATCTGACCAGTCTCCAACAAGGGTACACGCAGAAGAAGTGCAAGCATCTCCAAACAAAGTTCAGGGGCATTATGGGTATTATTCGCCTCAGCAGAGTGCAGGAGTCCCGACACAACAAAACATCCAAGTTAAATCTCCAGGTACATATATATATGATAATAAATGTTACTTTATTCATGGTTTTGTTTCTCTATGATTTCAATTTCAAACTAATAAATCTGAGTATTTTACTTGGATGGCTATAAATGTTTAAATTAATTTTAATTTTTTTATTATTATTATTTTTATGCACATTGATAAAATATGATGTAGAAGTGTTTTGCAATAAACTGGTCTTTTTACAGTAAACATGCAGCCAGGAAGACGTGTTTTTGGTTCCCAGCCTAACTTAGCTTACACAGGGTATCAACCACCTCCCCCACCTAGATCTACAGCCTCCGGATCAACAAGATCAGCCAGCCAAACATCATCATCACGACCCCTCAGACAAACACTTTACTCATACGCTGCCAACCCAACACAAAATAGAGCGGGTTACAATCAGACAGAAATTCAACCTCCACCATACGGTCATCATCGACATCGTCAATATGCCAGTGACGATATACGTGTGAACGATGGACAGACAAGGTTTATACCTAATGGTGCTTCTGATATCCATAGTGCACAAAGTGAAGGTGGGATTTATACATCGTCCTGCCCTATGTGTGGCAGCTCAAGTTACCACTCACATGGAGATTTTGTGTACCCCCCAGAAGATCATAGAGTGCCATTAGGATACATTGTTCATGATGGAAGGTAAGTTACCATTTCTTCTATTAACCTATATAGTATCTTGCTCTATAATAGAAACAAAACATTAAGAAACAATCAAAACAAAATAAAATAACCATTCCTTGCTGGTAAATTGCATAAATGAGATGATTTTCATTATTTTGTCTTGCTTTTAATTTGTAGTTTAGAATAATTTTCATGAAAGTTCTGGCTTTAGTTTATAGTTCAGCTTTTGCTGCTTTGTAGAAGCTCTGTCCTTGTTTTGTCCAGCTCATTATTTTCATAGTTTTCACTTTTTGTATTTCTTCACATATTTAGCTTAAATCTGCAGCCAGTACTGTAAGTTTCACAATCACATTTTGAGCATGAAGTTCTTCACTTGTTATGATTCCCACCATTTTCAGACAAATTGTTGAGAGCATTCAAGTTCCTGTCTACTCACTCCCTCCAAATGAAGCCCCTCCTACCCCCAGACCATTATCATCTCAATCCTTCAGGAGCTCATTACCATTCAGAATGTACAAGGCTCCACCTCATATAAAACCACACCTATTTCCTATTAACATACCCAAGAAAATCACACCTTCTCATGTAACATTCCAAACTCCGCCCCCTGCAAGAAATCAGCCAATGACAGTCATTCATGATGCAGAGAACGAGCCAATCATAGAGATGGACTCTCCCTTTGAGGAGAGGTAAAACTGTATTTGGTGTTATAGTGTTACATAATTATTTTTCAATTCATTAACATTGGATGGATTATTTAGTGCTATAAAATTTTGTTAACTTTATTACATTTTGAAATTTACAAAAATGCGTGGAGGTTTGGATGTGTCAGACACAGTTTGGGTTGAAAATGTTATTTCTTTAAAATTAGTAAGTTTTTAAATTGTGGATTGGAGTAGTTTTGTCATGACTTTTAAAAATCACCAACTTAAAACCTATTTGCATGCAGATGTAACAAATACCTAATACATTGTTCTCATTCTTTCATTTCTGCTAATATTTAACTTGTGTGCATTAACTTCATTGTGCTTTATTTATTTTAAATCATGTTGGCTTATATAATGTTTAAAATCTGATAAACTGTCTATGTGATAAACTGGCTGTGTGATAAACTGGCTATGTGATAAACTGGCTATGTGATAAACTGGCAATGTGATAAACTGGCTATGTGATAATCTTGCTATGTGGTAAAATTGCTTTGTGATAAAATTTCTATGTGATGAACTCGCTATATGGTAAAAAGTATGAAAAGTTTTATTTTATTTTTTTTTTTTTGTCATAAATCATAATAAACTTTTTGAAAAATGAAAAAAAATGGGTCAAACTAATACTTCTCACTGAAAAAATCAAATGTTATGCAATTTAAGCTGCTTCTAATTGTACTTCTATGCAGAATTTGAATGTCTTTATAGCTTTCTTAGCTGGTAATCAATATAATATACATTTGTATATTTATCATCATAACATTTTATTCTTTCATAATCAAACTAAAATGTTTTATTCATTCATTCAAATGCTACTTGATTTATATATTCATATTTTTAAAATCTTTATTAGAGGTAATCCTAATAAACATTTAAACTGCCGGTTGTCATAAAACAAACGTGTTCGAGCTTCCATTTTTGGAGCTGTCCAATATCAATTTTACGTGAATATCAAGATGGAAACTTTGGAGATCATGTCAGTCAACAGTATAGAGCCTGGTCAGACAGCAAAGATTTTCAGGCACGTCTTGCTCTATACTGATGGCAAAGGGATTTTGGTTCAAGTATCTTAAGGTTAAAATAACTGTATCAATTAGCAACTGTTATCAAAAATTTAGAAAGTCTTCTTGTGCTTTATTTATTGTCCTTTTTTGAATTATTAAATTTTCTGATTGCAGCCCAGAACCAAGGACCAGAGCTAGGTCAAGGTCATGGGGTCGTGCAGGAAGAATACGGCATTATTCACCAGATGGTAGAGTTAGAAGAAGTAGATATTTTGTGCGGGAATTTGGCAATGTTGAAAGTGAAAGTGCTGATTCAGAGGAGGAAGAAGCACCTAGAAGAAGGTAAAATACATAATCTTGACCTTTATATAACCTATGACCTTTCTTATGATTTTTAGCTTGTCTGTTTAGAGGAAAGAGCTATTCTGATTGCTGCATCATTGTTATTGTCATCAGGGAGAAACCCATAATTCAAACATTTTAAAATAAATTTTAATCTTGACAAGGTGCAGAAGTTAGACAAGGGGCATAATTCTGAAGGCTTAATTTTTTTAGTAATACCCCTTTTTAACTTAGAATCTCAAAAAGAAGAGCATTGACACTGCATGCTGTGCTCTTTTTTTTTTTTAGATTTTATTTTTTATGAAGCAATTACTGATACTGAATACAAAGCTGTTGATATCTATAAGGATATATTAAACACATAATTATATTGTTCTGCTGTTATCATTCTGTGAAGTTGATTTAAGGTGCGAATATTTATTTCTTTAAGACTATTTACTTACATGATACAAAACTGACTTCATTGTAGAATTTGATATTTTGATTACATTATTATAGTTGTCATTGTAATATTTTACGTTGTTGAATTTTGTAACAGAAGTCGAAGTGTTGGTAGACGAAGGATGCGGCACGGACGTAAATATCGTCGTGTTCGTGGAGAGGAAGAATATGAGAGTGACAGAGGATCACAGTCATTGAGTTTGGTAAGCTTGGTTTCTTATATAGAATAAAAAACAAATGTCCGTCATAAATGGATTTTAATGCATAATTGTATACAATTATGTTCATTTTAGTTTAAGTCCAGCAAGGAGAACACTGGATCTGTAGTCAGCTTTCTTTGTAAACTTGAAACCAGGCCTTGGTAAAGGTTTTTTTGTGAAAGACAATATACTTAAGCGATTCATATATCATCTATAATGAAATGAAGAGATTTCTATTTAAGTTGACAGTATATACATATATATATTAAAAATAGGTTTGTACTTTGTACAGAATTAATAACAATTTTTTAAGTTATTAAGTGCCCAAAATGTCAACCACAGAACTGATTTAAAATGTTTTTGTCACTTGATCTTACACTGTTGATAAATATTTAATTTGATCCACTAGGGCTTTATACAAAAGTGGCTTATATCGTGATTATACTTATTCATGGACTTATTAATTTCAAATCCAACTACAATTTGCATATAATTTCTGTATCCATATTCTTATAGAAAAAATCAAGAAAAAAGAAAGTGAGTCTGAGTGTAAAGTTTAACTTAAGTGTATATTATTGCTGATAATTTTATATTTTATAATGTTATAACAAACTATTATTTTGTTGTGGTAGTATTTCATCATAGAAAATATGTTTTAAAGGTATTCCATTAATTATCATGGTTTCATTTTAAAATAAATCAGAAAGCTTTAATGTGATAAAATTCTTCTGTATTCAGAGCTTGTTAAGTCCATTACACAATTCTAGCTTGCCAATGTTAACAACATGGATACCATCTTTTGAATACTAAAAGCATTAAGATATCCTTACTTTTGGAATAAATCAAAATTGCAAGTTAGAACAGAACAGAGCTTGTATTAAATTATGTACATGGTTTGTTAACATAAAATTATACTGCATATTTTCTAATTAATAGGTTTATTTTAGTGCAATCAGTCAATGCAATAATATGATAGAAAAATGTTAAAGCTAGTTATCAAATATAAGTTGATTAAAGCCAGACATTGGTGATTGATTGGTGGAATATCTTTAGTGTATTATTAGAATGTTACAGTGTACATTAGTATTAAAATTAATAATGTGTTAATCAAAATGTACCAGTATGACTAACAGTAAAAAGTTGTTGTGAATTTGGTCAAAGTTTTAATTCAATGATGTTATGTACATTTATATGATTCAAATTGTTTAACTAGTAAATCATAGGTTCTTTATCATTTACCTTAAGAATCTAAAGTGACCAGCCTTTGCTACTGGTATAAAGCTAGGCCATGGGGTGACCCTGTATAATTGTACAGTCTGACCTGGCTCTTTACTTTTAATGTAGCTTTGATACTGAAATCCCTATAACTTTGAATGAAGTGTTCCAAAATTCATATCAGGGCAAATCCAGTTCTTAAATTCAGGAAGTTAAGGGTTTAATCATTTCATCTGCTTTAATTGTTATTAAAACCAGTCTGGCTTAATTGTTTTAATACCAGTCTGGCTTGAAAATTATTACTTTTATCATTATGTAATCATTGTTATGTCTATATAGAAAAGATCAAAATCTCAACCAAACATCAATGATGCTGCTGAGGAGACAAAGGGGGATAATCCATCCCCTGATATAAAAATTGTAAGAATAAAGGGAGTTAACTCTTAAATTGCACACAAAAATATTAAAATTGGCTATTTATAGAACTTGATTTGATTTTTTCACTTTTGTGTTTGTTTTTGTTTGTGCTAATTGATCGTAAAATCATTAAAAAATCATAAGTCACCATTTACTATTCATCATAATGATGTGAGATGCTAAATTCGAACTTTTTTTTAGAAGGTATTTGTTGATTTATAAGATAATAAATTTTACTTCTTTGTTATGTCCAATGGAAAGTTGGAAAAGAGATTTCCCAAGGTTTGCTTGGAGACTAATCTGAATAATCATAGATAATCTTAATTTGCCTAATGAATAAAATATTATTATTTTTAAGATGATTTTTGACATTTTACATGATGCTACTCCTTCAAATGATCCTTGATAATTTGGCGACAGTCATTTTTTTTTAAATTTCAAATAATCATCTTAGACTCAATGGCTATTTAATATAAAGTTTGCTACCAAATCAAATGTTTTTATTGATTGTTGGCTACATAATCAAATTTTATTGTCAGCTAGTTTATCAAATGTCATCATTTGAAAGGACCTATTTCAAATATTCAAAGTATCATGTGTTTAACTAAATTATACAATGGTTAGAAATAAAAATGTTTCAGGATGAAGCAAAGGCAGAAATTATAAGATATTACAAATCATTAACTGCCTCGGAACAAGATTATGTAAGTTTAGTGCCAAGCTTAAACTTAGTATCCAAGTAGGTCTTAGAATCTAATTAGGTCCATTATAGAGGTTGTTGAATTATACCTCCTCTCTCTCTCCCTTAGCTATAACAAAAAAAATCAATTAAAGCTTAGATATCTAAAGTTACTAAGATTAGGATTTTTTTTTAAAAAAACACACGCCTCAAAATTTGTTTGCCTGATTGCAAAATATTGTAATTGCATGTACATGTATAATTCATGCATATGAATTATTCCCGTAGGAATGCTGTGATAAACTAGACTTAGCTTAGTTGCTGGTTAAGGGTATAGACTCATCACATAGTTATAGTCCCTCCCTTTTAAAGATTCAAGTTGTCCGTCTGTCTCTTCATATAACATGTTTATAATGATGTTAATTAAGAACTTTATGTCATTTATTTTAATAAAAAGCTGAAAAAGTTACACACAGATTACTTAATATAATAAATATTGGTTCAAATCTTATTTTATATAAATCATTATCCAATATTTCTCACGATTGTGGTTGTGCTCAATCAGATGCTGTATTTATGAAAAGAATGGAATAATCAATATAGAGAGACATTTTTCCAATCAGTCCTTTAAATCTATGACTTACTTTCTTTTGGAGATAATTTTGTAGTAAAATTTAGACAATTGATATTTTGATATGGAATAAAATCACACCTTTGACATGAAACAGCACTAAAATAGATATGTAAAACACTGCTTTAGAGAAAGCAAATTAGTTTTAGATTAGTTTAATTACAATGTTTTTAAAAAAATACATGTAAATTGTGCTATTTAGATTGGTCTGTAATTGCAATTCAAGACATCATAGGACCCATTCATAGCATTGGAGACATAGTCAACATGGCTTAATCTTAATAAACCTTAACAAAAACTTTAAAAAAAAACCAAAGTTTAGCCAGATTTTGCTTCAAACTCTAATATTGCATAATACTATATACTACATTATATCAGCCATTAAATGCCTCCTGGTCATAGTTTTATAATGCTAGACATGCTTGATAAGCTCATGTCATTAAGTCGTTCATCTTCATCAAGAACTATTTTAATACAATGTACATTAAAATCACAATTTAATGGCATATTTTAACAGTTTTTCTTAATAATAATGTGTTCTAACAGTATTAATTTTATGTATGTTAAGTCGTAATATATTCTAAACTGTATTAATTATGTGTAAAATCATTCTAACATTTTTTCTGTGATTTCTAACTGCAACGTCACTGTGCTAATTTTGTTCATTTTAAACAATTGTAATTGAAAATAATTTATTATATGCTATTTTACCATAAAGTAATATTAATGTTTTTAATAAATAAAAAAAAAGATGAATGAATAAACAAAGATAAGTTAATTTAAGAAAGTTGTTATATTCAATAATTTCTCCCAATACAACTTTAATGCTATAATTACTTTTCTTTACTGTGCAAACTCTAAAATGCAAATCTTGCATTAATGCTTATAATGCGAGATGATGGGGTACATCATCGAGGTACAGAAATATTATAAGATCTTGGTTTGCCTTTTATTCCAGCATGCTAAAATTTTTTGTTGTGGGTGCTGGGTATTTGTTCTACAGGTCAACTCATCACTGCAAAAAACTCAAATCATTTTAATGACTACATTATGTTATTCAGCCCTATGGCAAGCATTTTTTTAAATGTTGTTTTTCTTAATATTTCTAATAAAATGTTTTGTTTTGATTTTTTTACAGTCGGCAGCTGGGGAAGATGATTTAAACCGGTCATTACGATTAGTCGGGGAGATTGACGAGTTAACTCATAAGATGATGGATACAGTAAGTGGAGAACTTGCAATGTCACGTCGGAGAAAAGATTTTGGGTCATCAGTTTGGTAGGATGAATCCGAACATCAGCATTATGATGGTGAAAAATGTGATATTTGTAATGTAGATACTGCAATGGTATAGAGGACGAATTTCATCAAGTATCACTTTATTGACGACAGAACAGAATTTCCCAATTGAAATTAGATTTAATAGAGCCAGTTTCATTTGTATAATTATAATCAGGGACTCTGTAGATATTTCATAAAATTTCAGTACTGTTCAATTAAAAATGATACCATAATATATTAAATTTTCTGTAACCATTGTAAAAATTGCTGAAAATTTTTTACATGGCTTTTATAATATACGTGTACATGAAATTAAATTAGGGAAAAAAGCATTAAGTATGTATGAAATCAAAATGATGTTGAATATAAGTACATAATTGTATTAAAGTGAAATTGGATATGAATGAAATATGGAGTTATGTAACTGGCATACAATTTCATGAGCTTCATCCAGTACAAGAATGAATAAAATGCATTTAGACATGGAAAACAGAATTCACAAATGGAAGAATTGTGAAAGACTGTCCTTAAATATTTAATAGTGTATTACAAGTTAACACTTTAGAAAGTTTTTAGTTTTAAGCTAAAATAAATTTCAGGACGGAGCACCATTTGTTCACTGAATTGTTACTGTTTATTATATAAATTGTTAAAGTATAATTATGTTATATTAACCTGGAAATCAAAATGCTTTTTATTGCCATGATTTCATTTTATTTATCATATTGCATTTAGTGTTAATGTCTGTGAACTTTGGTTCTTGGAATGATATTTTAGTCTTTAGAACAGCTTTTTTCTGTGAATGTTTTGACTTTTTTTGTCAATTTTTTCCGTCCATGACTTTTACTTTTTATATGTGTTAAGACTTTTTTTATATCCATATATAAACTAGAAATTAATTATGATATTGTTAGAATGAACCAGTGTTAAACACTTGCTGTGGTAAATGGTTGACTTACCTTAGCTTATTAACTTATAGAGGAATGAGTGATTAACTGTAGGATTCTATAAGAAAACAAGTAAATAGCAACAACCAGTAGGGGAATGAGATAATAACAACAGCCTATTGGGGGGACTTAAGGACATTTATGTAGTGACTATGACACTGACACTAGAAATGAGGCTATGAATGCCACATCAAACATGAGAGCAGGATACAAATTGCCACCTTAGTGCAATAACTGGTTAACTCCTATTAAATTCAGAAGGACTTAACCTGTTAATGCAATAAGGTGACGAAATTTGATTGGTTAAAATTACCAGATGATTTCATAGATTATTTCAATTAAAATTCTAGCTATCAAATTTGTTAAGACTTTTTTATATCCATTATACAATGTAAACTAGAAATCAATTATGATATTGTGATAACAACCAGTGACTTTCCATAGCAACCATCAATTTCCATAGCAACATAATAATGGAATTGTATAGCTATATCTTATACACACAGCTTTTATAGGGTAGATTAGCCGAGATTAAATGTATTATTCCATTCAATTCTGGTGACTGAGAAAGAACATGGGGATGCTTTAATGTATCTGATATAACAATACATTTGAATCATATTTATTTTTGGATTTAAATCTTGTACTGATTTGTGATATATTTCATTTTAATTTATTTAAAAAAACATTGTCTTTTTACCGTCCATTTTTTTCCATTTCTTGTTGTTTTTTTTTGTATTTATTTGATATAATATCAATGTACAGTATTGTTATATTTATTTATCATAATGTAACAATTTTGACATTATACAGGATGGCCTAAACAAGGTTTGAACATTAATTAGCATTTAATTTAATTGACTGTTATATAGTCGAATGGTACTCATACCTGTATTTGGCATTCATAATTGTGACTTATTGTAATTGTTAAAGACAGGTGGCTGTTTAATTCAAGTAAATACAATGAGGAAATAACATTTTATGATAAAGAAGATTGGCTTTTTAAAATAAATTTTAATACATAGTCTTTGTTACCAAAATTTTAAGTTAGACCGTAAAAGCTTTGTTTAGCACAATGTCCCTGACATTTAGTTTAGATAGTTGATCACCAACCACTAAAACTGAGACCACTAAAGCTTAATAAAAACTCCATGTGTAATGTATAGGAAGTATTCACTAACATTTGAAACCTTACAGAAGGTAATATATTTTTTGAACATGGTTCCACAAAGTAAAAGCTTATGATGATTTTGATTTTATTTTTATTACCAGTAAAACAAAAAGGCCAAATATCTTGCATGTATTGTATATTGTATTAAAATGTTTTGAGGCACTACTACATTAGAGTAGTGATACCATGTGATAGCTTTTTATGTATTTAATACTTAATTTATATAATGCTGTACAAAATAATGTACGGATATTTTTAACAAGTGTGATATTTTAATCTACATGTACATTTTTTTATACTGAAAATAAATATTTATGTATAAATCTTGTGTTTGTTTGTGTATACTTACCTTTAACACACAAGACTGTGTTCTTTTGAAATTTAAAAAAATGTAAAAAAAATTTACAAAAATGTTATTGAGCTCTGTCTGGATCATAGGATTCTGCAGATGTTTATGTGCAAAATGATAAAAAAAAAAATGGATAAATATCAAAGCAGTTTGAAACCCAATCCAGAATTCACGCAAAATATAACCCACAAATGAAATAAATGTGGTTTAAATATTTGAAGCAAAAAAATAAAAATAAAAAAAATATTTACAATAATAAGACGATATGCCATGCACAACACCTGCACCCTACCTCCAAGGTCAAGGACACATTTAGAGGTCAAAACTTAACATGATAGATTTTTAAATTCCTCGTTTCATTTACTAGTATTTTTTTAATTAATTTGTTGTTGCATTTGCAGATCTAGCATTGATCATAATTTTGTTCTGAAATCCGTACCTCAATCTTTTGAAATACCTTTCATAAAACTTCCCCCCGAGGTGGGGGATGTTGGTAACTCTGTTACAAATTCTTGTTAGCTAAGCAGGATATTTAAACCAACTGGATAGATTGCTAACATGTAAGAGTTTATAATCCCTGGTGGGACATAGGATTTATGTAGCTTCCTTACACTAAATATTTGAAGGTCAACAGCAGGATTACAACCTACTGTAGGGAGTAATAAGTGATTTGAAAATAAAGATGTAAGTGGGATGTAATAACTTTTATTTATAAATCTGAACATGGTGACAGTGTTTAAATAAATCTTCATCTACATTCTATTTTTAAACAGAATTTTTAACAAACAATTTGACAAAAGGAATATATGGCACTTTTAGTGTAACATTTCAAACTTTTTCCAAATGTCGAATTTGCAAACACATAACTGTCCTTGTTAAGTGAATAGTCAAGAATGACTGCCCAAGTGCTCTTTCAGTAATTGGAATCACTGGTCTAAAAACAAACTACATTCTAAACAACATTTACAAACATGTTACTGAAATGATCTGTCCAATAGGACTGTAACAAATGATGAGATATTATAAAAGAAAAAGATTGAAAAATCAGTAATATTAAAATTAAAAGTTTTAAAGAAATGGCTATACTTTGATCATATCACTGATCTAATAATTCGTATAAAGTGAATTGGTCTAGAATAGAAGATCTGTAATAAAATAAACAATTATGTTGATAGTAATCACCATCATATGTGAAAACTAACCTCAAAACAATTATATATGGAATGATGTTGAATACATGATCTGATATGACATTTAAATATATACTAGCAGATAATAAATTGTTCTAGAACAAAATACTATTATTCTTTATATATGTTCATACTGAATCACCTTAGAGCTCTATCAATGGTCAGTTTTCCAGAAATAGTTCATAAGAACACCCAAATGATATATTTCTATTGCTTTTATCAATATTTGAAATACTCATGAAAAATATGCCCATTATAGACCAATCCACTTTAAGCATCATTTAAATTAGGGCCTTAGATTAACACTCTAACTTCACTAATGTACGATGTAACTTAAATAACCATAAAGAAAGAAAACATTCTATTCAATAAAATGAGTTCTAAAGGTAAAGAGAAAATAAGCAACACTCTGGTAACAAATCAAGCAATAATAAACAGTATAAGTCTATAAGAATATAAACATTGATTTAAGAAGTCTATATTATGACGATGGATAGGGTATTTCCGGAGGAGGTTCTATGTTTAGCTCTTCTCGTAATTCTTCAAGGTCACGTTCCCAATGTTTCTCGAAATACACGCACATCAACATCTTACCATTGCGTCCATTTCTAATTGCCCATGGTAGATATGTGGAAATGTACTTTTGTCTGTGTCTACAAGAAAAATAAAGGGTTTGAATGATATATACCAAAGCATGCTTTAATGAAACAAGAACTTTCTTTCCAAATTGATAGAAATGGGCTTAAATGTGTTACAATTTAATTTAGTATAAAATACACCAATTTTTTTTTCGCCCTTCTATGTAAATATCTATGCAATTTAAGATAATGTTTACTCAAACTCTGTATTATCAACGCATTCCTAATATTTTGTAATATGCAATCATGTGTTTGTTGATCTTAAACAAATTTGACCCAGTTCAACAAAAAATGCCATGTTTATGGTAAAATTATTTGCATCACACTTAATTTAAATATAAACTCAATGCAAACATAGCAAAAAATGTTAAGTACATCAGTTCCATGCTTTAATTAATTAACAAATTCTTTGAATACAGTATATATAATACTTCATTCATGCTAATTTTACGTCCACTTTTTCACAAATTCACAATGTGCAGCACATGCACTCAAGTAAATAAAGAAAGCCATAAAGTTTTGTTTTACTTATCTCTAAGCCTGCTAAAACTAACAATGTTTAGCATTTTTTGCCACCAGTAAAGAGCTCGTCCAGCCTACATATCCATGCAATCTGACCAGGCTCTTATACTATTTGCTGACCAATTTCCAAAAAGTATTCTTTCTGATATATCCAAACTTACTTTGTAATAGACAGGTCCAACAATGTAAGCTGGAAAAGTTTATTTAAGACTTTCAGCAGGTTACGGGTACTTACACAGGTCCAAGCCTAAGACCTCCAAAAGCTGCCCCCATTCGACACATAGGGAGTCCAGTCTGTATTGCCTCAAACCATTTGACCGCTACCTCTCCTAACATATTTGGCTTCAAGCCAAGTATTGTATGGAATAAATCGTGACATTGACGGTATCGTAACATCACATATACAAGTTCAGGATCGTCAACATAATGAACAGGCAGGCGACCATCTGGTGAAAATCCCTGAAATACAACCATTTCATATTCATGTATTTGATTAAAATGGTCTTTGAATTGTAATATGACGCTGCAGTATTAACATGAGGTGTGACCTTGGCATTTGCTCATTACTTTTATATTTGACATGCTGTTTCACCATTGTGAAATTTAAATAATAACAAGAAGCTCCGCAATGCGACGAAAACCAGGCTTTCAATGATCAAGTTTTGATGTGACAGCAATCAATATGTCAAAGTGTACTGAAGTTATTGAGTAGAAGCTGTAAACTCTATTGTAATCAAATGACCTTAAACTTGCTCCCAGATATCTATGGCAATCCAAAGCTGCCACACAGCAAGTTTGGTGTCAAAAGGTCAAAGCAAACTCAAGTTATTACGTGAAAACTGAATATATTAACCTTGATCAGTCACCTGAGTAGCAATCCAAGGCTGCGTCTTGATACATGCTACCCATACACCAAGTTTGGTGTCAATAGGCCAAAGCAAACTTGAGTTATTGAGCGGAAACTGAATTTCTATTTTTAGTAACAGTGAACTTGACCTTCACCACTGACAACTGGGTAACAATTCAAAGCTGCCTCTTGATATAACCTACCCATATACCAAGTATGGTGTCAATAGACCAAAGCAAAATTAAAGTTATTGAGGGGAAACTGAATTTCTATTTTTAGTAACAGTGACCTTGACCTTGATGACCGACGCCTGGGTAGCAATCCCAAGTTGCCTCTTGATATAAGCTATCCATACACCAAGTTTGGTGTCAATATGTCAAAGCAAACTTAAAGTTATTGAGCAGAAACTGAATTTATATTTTTAGTAACAGTGACCTTGACCTTGATCACAGACACCTGGGTAGCAATTACAAGATGCCTTTTGATATAAACTATCTATACACTAAGTTTTGTGTCAATAGGCCAAAGCAAACTTTAGTTATTGAACGAAAACTGAATTTCTATTTTTAGTAACAATGACTTTGATCTTGATCACATACACCTGTGTAGCAATCCCAAGCTGCCTTTTATATAAGCTATCCTTACACCATGTGTTGTGTCAATAGACCAAAGCAAACTCAAGTTATTGAGCGGAAACTGAATTTCTATTTTAAGTAACAATGACCTTGATCTTGATCACAGACACCTGGGTAGCAATCCCAAGATGCCTCTTGATATAAGGTACCTACACACCAAGTTTGGTGTCGATAGGCCAAAGCAAACTAAAGTTATTGAGCGGAAAACGAAAGTTGACGCCAGCCCACCACAGCATTACAATAACCCGGTTTTCGTTGAAAACCTGGTTAAAAAGAGTAAAAAGCAATCTTTTTGAAAAACCTTACATAACCTTCAAAGAAGTTATTGTTAACAAAATCATCAAGATTTTTTTGATTTTTTAAAATTTTACATGATCAAATAGATGACCAACAAAGATTCCATTTGGACAAAATATTACACAATTTTTGAAAAACTCTTACATGATTGCTGAGGAATCTCCAGTATTCTTTCCCAAATGTATTCCCTGGTAAATTACCAAGATAATCTATTGAGACTGTACTTGTGTTTATAATAGGTTGCTCTCTGAAATCATGATCATGAAAATATCAATGAATATATTCTGAAATCTCAGAAAGCAAAATTAATTTTTATGCTTTCAAGTGAATGTTTCTAAAGACTATTATAGAAGGTCTGCAATACATTGAATAATTACTTTGAACAAACAACAAGAAGTTGTACATGAAAGTTGTTGGTCTGATACTACATATATTTATATAGCAGATAATTAAGTGTTCTAGATCCAAAAAGTATTATTCATCAGACAAGAGGGCCATGATGGCCCTAAATCTCTCACCTGAGTCAGAATACTCGATAATTTGGGGTTTTTAATAGAAGATTTTTTTGTTTTTACTATTATACATATAATGAAAAACAATGCAAGGCAGGGCCAATTTCATCAATGACTCCCTGGGGCGGGGCCAATTTTGACCCCAGGGCTTTTATTTAAACAAACTTGGTAGACACTCACAAGAACATAAAGGGAAAATCAATGACCCTCTGGGGGTGGGGAGGGCTTTTATTTGAACAAAATTGGTAGACACACACTGGAAGATGTTTCATGCCTAATATCTAAGCGCTAGCTCTTTGCATTTCTTAAAAGAAGATATGCAATATTAATATCAAGTTTTTTCTTACGGTTGCCATGGCAACCAGAGTTTTGCATGGAATTAAATTCTTTGAACAATTTTTAAAGGTGACCACCAAAGGAACATTCCTGTGAAGTTTGGATGAAATTGGCTCAGCTGTTTATGAGGAAATGTCGTTTAAAGTAAATGTTTACGGCTGGACACCGGAAGAAAAGCAATCACAAAAGCTCACTATGTCACTTTGTGACAGGTGAGCTAATAAATAGTCACTCCAAATTCTTTAGAACTTTATCAATATTTTTCTTCAAGCAGCATTTTATAAATATCTGAAATACTACAGGAAAATGTGCTCATTGCAGGGACTGCCTTCAGGGCGAAGTCGGGCGAAAACTTCGCCGTAAATATTTTCACTTCGCCCTATATGATCTGAAAAGGGAAATTCTAGTCGCCCTAAAATCTCTATGATATGTCTGACATGTATATTTCTCCACTCGATAATACTGCCTGGAGACAGATTTAATTGTGTAATCTGACGTAATTAGCACACGCGCTGAAGCGTGGTCATAGCGACATTTGGAATTCACACTTGGAAATCCACATCGCTTAAAATAGTGCATTGATTATACGGTAAATTTAAGCTGTGAAAGACCCTGATATGGATGCAGTAGATGATAAAAAGCAAGCTAATTGATAACTAAGTTACCTCAAACGTATATTTGTGTCTTATTTACAATATCCCCTGTACGTTTTGTTTGTTTCACAATATTCCCTAAACGTTCTGTTTGATTTACTAGTTCTCCTATATATATGTCCTGTTTGATTTACTATTTCCCCTATATGTCCTGTTTGATTTACTATTTCCCCTATTTGTCCTGTTTGATTTACAATATCCCATATACGTTTGTTATCACCATTACATTTAAGATAGTAATATTCATCATTAAAACTGATGTAAATTGATAGAATTTGGATAATTATTATGAATTAAAGAACTTTTCATTTTAATTAATAAATTGCATTTAAAAGTTAGAGTCAGAAACTGTTGAACCTAAAAAAAAAATTAAAAAATGTTGTGTTGATGTAAATCAAATGCAACTAGTACTTCATTAAATATCATCAATACACATTTGTTTATTTTCCATGCCATATACATGTATATTTTATATGCATGTACATATAAAGGTGTACATGTATATTTTGTGAAATAAAATTAGAAAAAAAATCCAATGATATAACTCGATTTGATGATCACTTCTCCCTAAATTTCAAAACTTCTCCCTATTTTTCCTGAAGGGAGAAGTCACTTCTCCCTAAATTTTCAGTCCAAGGTAGTCCCTGTCATTGTAGACCTATCCACTTTCAGTAATATAATATGTTTCATAGCAACCAAAATTTGTCCAGGCTTTTGAGAAAATAAAAGCAAACCTTAAAATTTGTTGTCCAACAGGATCTACCTCCATTTTTTGTTTCATATATTTGAGTGCTGAGGTTGCTGTCACATCTCCAAGTGTAGCTACCATATCTGTAAACATAAATAATCATCTTCTCAAAGTCTATGTGTTCCTTCACATCATGTGCATTTATAATATTTTTCATGAATTTTGCTTTAGATACCAAGTAAAAAAATATCTGACATCAGTGTTGTCAAAGAATATCAAAATATGTTTATGAAGCTTTCCAATTTGTGTTTTCATATAGATTCTACATGTAAAATAATCTTAATTATCTTTATAAACTTTAATAGGAACTTATACAAATAAATTGTCATCAAAAGAAACATGTATACTTGGGGACTTCAATGTTAACTTTGATTTACAAGAAATACAAGATACTAGGCATGGCCAAGTTGTTAACATGCTAAATTAATGATTGCTAGTCACAATGGGTTCAAACAGGGGCAGTGGCAAGTTGCTGTTTCCATTAGCAAATTAACTTTACACTCATTGCTCAGTACTGGTTGATTCCTAGAACGGATTTAAAAGTGTGTATATAAACTTATAGCTTTCTACGCAATCCAACAAAAGTAAATTCTGTTTAAATCCAAGATAGGCATACAGATGCCATAAGGCATGTAAATTAACCCTAAGATTATGATTTTTTTCCGTTTGTTTTCCATTTCATACATATTACTTTTTTTGACTACCTTATAAATCAATAGCAATTGAGAAACAACTTAATTTTATCTAAAATGGACCCATCACAATTTTCCTAATGCTGAACATAAAAATATACTAGTTTTACTAACCACCCCTCTCAGGATTATATAAAGCCATAGCAGCAGATCCGGCAGTAAGGAGAACCTTCTGGAACACAGTTGTTGGTATATGACCAGGATATCTTTCTCGATTTGAAGCAGACTCATCCTCTACTTGTTCAGTATCACTTGCTGAAAATAAATATTTGTTCAGTATTAAGCTGGACGAAGAATATAAAGTCCCTGTTGGGATTCTAACCCCCAGCCGTGAAGTTCAAACAATTTGCCTCACCTTAAATGCGTATTAAACCGATAAATTTTAAAAGGAAATCGAAAAATTCCTTTCGCCCGCTCCATAAAGTGCATGATTTATACATAACCTAAAATACAAGCTTTGTTTTCGGTTTTGGGTCCTTAAATTTATGTAAACAAACTGATTATGAAACTTTCTAGCTGTCTATTGCATCGGTGAGGTTCTAATGCATCGGAAAAGTTTATAATGAAAGTTTTGCCAAAAAATGCAGGATGAGTAGCATAGCATGCTCCCTGGCTAGCAAAAATTTGAAGCTTATCGTGTGGCTTTGTAAAAATATTTTGCTCCTATCCTATCCAGGGCCGGCAAAATCTCAGAAAATTGGACTTGTCCACGGACATGTACAAATGTATTTACTTACAAAATTAATCTTGCATTTATGTCAAACCGCTTGCGGCGACGTAGACATGACACTTACACTAGTCACTTCAGAGACAACTATGGGATACAAGGGAATCCGGGAACCAGTCCCTAGCTCTTATTGAAAAGACCCCTTGGTTCAGTGTATAGCACTGATTCATGTGAGGAGGATTACCTGGATTTCTTACCGGTACACCTCTAGTTAGGTGGGAAACACTGAAAGTGTCCCTGAAAAATCCCAAGGGTGTTACCCAGGATCATACCCTGGACCTCAGGAGTGACAGCCAGTGGTCTAGCCAACTGACCTAGGCTATAGCACCACCTATTTACATGTAAAAATGACAGTAAAAAATTACAGGAAAGGTTTTGATAAAAGGGAGAACATAAAAATTGGTATAACCGTTCAAGCGTAATAAATAAGGGTACATTATACAAATAATAGAAAATGCAAAGTTTCAATGCTAGGACTTTAATTCTGGCATAATGGACACTGGAATATTTTTTACCCCTTCACCTTCAATTTCACCCGGAGACAACATAAAAATATTCTGTACAAACAAATTAAACCGAATTTCAAGAAAAACTCTATAATAAATTAAGATTTCGTTACCTGTATTCGTTGCAGAAGTAAGAGTTCTTTTAAATGTTATTTCTTTGCTTTTAAATAATCTGAAATACTCTTTCAAACGAGAGTATTTTGTGTAGCTGATCGCACTCTTCATGTTTACGGAAGTTGATCCACGCACATGCGCGTTGAAAACGGAACCAGCATGTGTCCAAAGATAAACAAATAATTTGACAGGAAGGTGCCTTTCTGACAGTTTTTAAAATAACGAAAACTTGATTTAGAGCTAACTGGTTGGTAAATTTACACCAAAAATGAGTACAACTAAATTTATAGGATTTTCTAGACTCACAAAACAGTGCTGGCATTTCACAGCAAATGTAATGGCAAAAAGAAAATTGCATCAGTTTATAACAACAAATTTAACTTCAAAACTGTATCAAGTTCAAGAATATCAAGGACGACAATGTGTAAAACCTATTCAACAGATAAGAAGCTTTTCAAGGTCTAAATGTTTACCATCAGAGTCAACTGGTGGAACAAGTAGTTTGCCAGAAAAACAAGAAGTAAAAAAATTTTTAGCTTACACTTGCAAAGTGTGTAACACAAGGAATAGTCACATGTTTTCAAAGTTAGCATATGAAAAGGGAATTGTTATTGTCACTTGTGAAGGATGCAAGAACAAACATCTAATAGCAGACAACCTTGGATGGTTTAAACATGTTGAGAAAAGGTAATAAATGTTATATTGTGCAATAATAAAAGGATTATTAAAGATAACAAAATATTTAATGTTTAACAGATTGATACACCACTTGTTTTTTTATTTGAATTTCTAGTACTATTTTATATTACAGTTGATCATGTTTAGGTTTTGTTCTGATGATTTGATACCATTTAGAACATTAATTTTATGGTCAAATATAAACAAACCTATGATGTCTGCTTGTTTATGTTGATAAATTGTTTTCCTAGCTCATAAATACTTTCTTATTCCAAAGTATTTGTTTTCATTTCAGAAACATTGAAGAAATTCTAGCAGAAAGAGGAGAGGAGGCTCGGTATATTCTAAATGACAGTGATGATATTGAACTAATTTTGAAGAATACACCAAAAACAGATGAAACTACATAAACAGTCGGTGTCAGTGTTTGATAGCATATACTTCTAAAAAAGGTTGATTATTTAAAACACAGTGTATAAACAAAATCAACGTACCTGTCTTGCAAGATTCTACCATTCTTGTGATTAAAAGCACATGCTATGTACGATCACTGTACCTCTCTTGGGAGATAATATTACTTGTGTCTTTCTTGCAATAACAAAAGTAAATTTGTTTATATGCTGTGCAATATAAGGCAGAAGATCTTTTTGAGACTAACCTTTTAAATGGTGTACAGTTACACACTGCATTTTTGAGAGGCATTAAAATGAGTTGATAAATAGCAAAATTACTACTTAGGTGATAACGTTCAACTAATATTTTATGCAAAACGTTGTGGATATTTTAAAAGATTCTATACAAAATATTAAAATCTGATTTATTATGATAATGATAATAAATAGATAATGTACAAAGGGTCTTTTAGTTATAATTTGTGCTCACTTACTGTGTCTGACATAATTTGCACAATTACAGGTAGCTAAGTATTTCTTCCACAAGTAAGCTGGAAAGTCACAAAGTTCTCTTACTTGAATATTTCTCTCTTCTATTCTTTTCCCAGACAAAAACAATTTGATTATAAGCTAGAAACAGTCTTTGAAAGGAGTTGTGAATCTGTTAAAATATTAGTAAATATTCAATGTTATCTCATGAGAAAAAAGGTTGAATTGAATTTATCTGTGGAATAGATTCAAACTATTCTGTGTTGAACTAGTGTTTAGAGTTTTACAGCAGGTTTTACATTTTTTGATTGACATTTTCAATCAACCAAGCAAAAACTTTAACTGAAGGCAATGAAAAATGCTGTCAGACAAATTGAAATTTTTGTCATATCTTACTGATTTGTTTGACCAAAAGTTATCTTGTAAAATATCTTGTAAATTTTTTTTCCTAATTTTTATTACTGAACATATTGTGAACCATTCTGTTTAATCTTTTTCAATTTGCCAGGCTGTGAACCAGTTTCCACAAGGAAACAGAGTACAGATTTCTGGTTCCCATTCTTACAGGATTTTAGTTGGGATGGGGGAGGGGATCAAGAATAATTTTTTACTATTTCCTCTCACTGATTTATACCAATCAGTGTTATTTTTCTCTACTTTGGGAATGGTGCCGGTACCAGACTGATTGGGAAAAAATGCATTATTTTGACTTAAATTGGGAATTTTTTAAAGCATTTTTTCAGCTAGAAATAAGATTAGTCATCATGAATATAGATAGCTAACAGCTTCCACTGTCCAGGGAGAACTATTGAGTGGTGATTTATATGAATATGTTGGATTTAAATGATTTCAGAGAAATCACTTGGCCTTGTGGTTATTTTGAACAGCCATTTTGGGAATTTAAACATTGGAAATTGGGAATTTTAATGTCTATTTTCTATTGGGAACAGTACCGTTTTAGGGTAGTAGTTATATAAAGAAAAAAAAAAACACTGCCATTGAATGCATAGATCCCTGACCTGTCCAATTCTAATTATCAGATTAGTGGATACAAGAAGAATTTCACCATTGTTATCATTTTTGTGTCGCCTCTACGGAGTAGTGGCGACATTTCCGTTGTGGCGACATATAGGGATCACTTCTCCGTCGTCTGTCTGTCCGTCCGTCCGTCACAAAACTTGTCCGGACTACTCCTCATAAACTACTGGTGCAATTTCATCCAAACTTTACAGGAATGATCAGTACCAAGTCTAGTTGTGCATATTGTCAGCATTTTCTGGTTCAATGATTTTTGTCAGAGTTATGGCCCTTTAATAATTTTTAATTTTAAAGTTTGCCCGGACTACTTGTCTTATACCACTAATGCAATTTCAATGAAACTTTACAGGATTGATCTGTAGCTCAAGTCCTTGCGCATATTGCACGGGTTTTCCGGTTGAATGATATTTGGCCGAGTTATGGCCCTTTGATAAAAAGGTGTTTTTTTCTGTTTGTTGCCAGATACGCAAAAGCTTGTCAGGACTACTCCTCATAAACTACTGGTGCAATTTTATCCAAACTTTACAGGAATGATCAGTACCAAGTCTAGTTGTGCACTGTCCGCCTGTCACAAAATTTGTCCCAACATGAAATTGGCCATCATGAGGCGACACATGTGATTACTGATCACTCTTGTTAACAAAAGAGCACATATCAATGTTTGTGGTTAAATCTATTGTTATTCAAATGAAAGGTCAGAGAAGGGATCTATCAGTTATGTAGTGGTCCAGAAAGTGATGTTAGATGCCAAATATCTAAGTTCTGGGTATTGTTATTTCACACAAGTTTGAACCTGTTCATACAAGAAGTTTGAACCTGTATTCTGCACATCGTCACATTATAAGTAATATTTCTACTAAGTACTTTCACTTTTTTCCATTGGTTCAAAAGAAACAGACAAGACATGAAAATTGCAAACAGACAGATTGATGATCAGGTGCATAAAAATATACTCTAAAATGCTTTTGGGCGTATAAAAAAATGTTGAGGATACAAACTTGCAACCATGCGATTCAATTCTGTTGTACTTAACAACACAAGGCCATTGGACTGACTAGTTGTGGAAAAAATAAAACCTATACTATCATTAATACCCAATGTGTAAATTATAATAAACTATGGAAACTGACAACAAGAGCGATCAGTGATCACATGGTGCCGCCTAATGATAGCTAATTGCATGTTGCAGCTACTGTGTAGCAGGAGACACAAAAATCATTAACTGGGCAAAATGTGTTTTTTATTCAAGGGTCATAACTCAGCCAAACAGTTATTAGACTTGGTACTGATTATTCCTGTAATATTTTGATGAAATTGCATCAGTAGCTCCTGAGAAGTAGTAGGGACATGCTGCAACAACTCTGTAGAGGCGACAAAAAAAAAACACACGGAAATTAATAACTCTTGGGTCAATATTGGCAAATAATATAATATTATATGAAGCAGAAAAATAAAACACCTTTAAATAAAATAACTTTATTTATATTCTTTATGCATCTTTAATTCTTTATACATCAATTATTTGTCACCATATTAATCACAGGCTTGAAATATTAACATTTCCATAGAAAACAAGATATGTTTGTAAAACATGTATGCCCCCTATCAGCAGCCAATTAGTCATGTGATAAGGTTATTATGCATGACGTCTGACCCAGTGATCAAACAATTAATAAGGGTTATAAAGTATCTACTGGTCATGACCTTGACCTTTGACCCAAAACTCAATAGGGGTCATCTGCTGGTCACGACCAATCATCATACAAAGTTTGAAGTTCCTAGGCCTAGGCGTTTTTAGTAAATTGATCAGAAACCGTTTTTACCTACAAGGTCAATGTGACCTTGACCTTTGACCCCTTGACCCCAAAATCAATAGGGGTCATCTGCTGGTCATGACCAATCACCATGCCAAGTTTGAAGTTCTTAGGCCTAAGGGTTCTCTTATTATTGATCGGAAACCGTTTTAACATACAAGGTCAATGTGACCTTGACCTTTGACCCCAAAATCAATAGGGGTCATCTGCTGGTCATGACCAATCACCATGCCAAGTTTGAAGTTTCTAGGCCGAAGCGTTCTTTAGTTATTGATCAGAAACCGTTTTTACTTACAAGGTCATTGTGACCTTGACCCCTTGATCCCAAAAACAATAGGAGTAATCTGCTGGTCATGACAAATCACCATACCAAGTTTGAAGTTCCTAGGCCTAAGCGTTCTTGAGTTATTGATCAGAAACCGTTTTTACTTAAAAGGTCAATGTGACCTTGACCTTTGACCCCAAAATCAATAGGGGTCATCTGCTGGTCATGACTAATCACCATGCCAAGTTTGAAGTTTCTAGGCCGAAGCGTTCTTTAGTTATTGATCAGAAACCGTTTTTACTTACAAGATCATTGTGACCTTGACCTTTGACCCCTTGATCCCAAAATCAATAGGAGTAATCTGCTGGTCATGACAAATCACCATACCAAGTTTGAAGTTCCTAGGCCTAAGCGTTCTTGAGTTATTGATCAGAAACTGTTTTTACTTAAAAGGTCAATGTGACCTTGACCTTTGACCCCTTCACCTAAAACTCAATAGGGGTCATCTGCTGGTCATGACCAATCATCACACAAAGTTTGAAGTTCCTAGGCCTAAGCGTTTTTAGTTAATTGATCGGAAACCGTTTTTACCTACAAGGTCAATGTGACCTTGACCTTTGACCCCTTGACCCCAAAATCAATAGGTCATCTGCTGGTCATGACCAATCACCATACCAAGTTTGAAGTTCCTAGGCATAAGGGTTCTTAAGTTATTGATCCGAAAGCATTTTTACCTACAAGGTCAATGTGACCTTGACCTTTGACCCCTAGACCCCAAAATCAATAGGGGTCATCTACTGATCATGACCAATCACCATCTCAAGTTTGAAGTCCCTAGGCCTAAGGGTTCTTTCATTATTGATCGGAAACCGTTTTTACCTACAAGGTCAATGTGACCTTGACCTTTGACCTCTTAACGCCAAAATCAATAGGGGTCATCTGATTGGTCATAACCAATCACCATACCAAGTTTGAAGTTCCTAGGCCTAAGGGTTCTTTTGTTATTGATCAGAAACCGTTTTTAATTAAAAGGTCAATGTGACCTTGACCTTTGACCCCTTGACCCCAAAATCTATACGGGTCATCTACTGATCATGACCAATCACCATACCAAGTTTGAAGTTCCTAGGCCTTAAGGTTCTTTAGTTATTGATCGGAAACCGTTTTTACCTACAAGGTCAATGTGACCTTGACCTTTGACCCCTTGACCCCAAAATCAATAGGGGTCATCTACTGATCATGACCAATCACCATACCAAGTTTAATGTTCCTAAGCCTTAAGGTTCTTTAGGTATTGATCGGAAACCTTTTTACCTACAAGGTCAATGTGACCTTGACCTTTGACCCCTTGACCCCAAAATCAATAGGGGTCATCTACTGATCATGACCAATCACCATACCAAGTTTGAAGTTCCTAGGCCTTAAGGTTCTTTAGTTATTGATCGGAAACCGTTTTTGCTTTTAAGGTCAATGTGACCTTGACCTTTGACCCCTTGACCCCAAAATCAATAGGGGTCATCTACTGGTCATGACTAATCACCATACCAAGTTTGAAGTTCCTAGGCCTTAAGGTTCTTTAGTTATTGATCGGTAACTGTTTTTGCTTTCAAGGTCAATGTGACCTTGACCTTTGACCCCTTGACCCCAAAATCAATAGGGGTCATCTACTGGTCATGACCAATCACCATACCAAGTTTGAAGTTCCTAGGCCTTAAGGTTCTTTAGTTATTGATCGGAAACCGTTTTTGCTTTCAAGGTCAATGTGACCTTGACCTTTGACCCCTTGACCCCAAAATCAATAGGGGTCATCTACTGGTCATGACCAATCACCATACCAAGTTTGAAGTTCCTAGGCCTTAAGGTTCTTTAGTTATTGATCGGAAACCGTTTTTGCTTTCAAGGTCAATGTGACCTTGACCTTTGACCCCTTGACCCCAAAATCAATAGGGGTCATCTACTGGTCATGACCAATCACCATACCAAGTTTGAAGTTCCTAGGCCTAAGGGTTCTTTAGTTATCACTCGGAAACCATTTGGTCTACGGACCGACGGACCGACGGACCGACGGACCGACAAGTGCAAAGCAATATACCCCCTTTTTTTCAAAATGGGGGCATAATAATTGTGACTTTTGTTACCAATGGTTTCATGATATAGAACAATTGATACTTAAACTAACATACATAATAATGAAATATCTATTTATAGAAATGTCTATTAATAGACATTGAAATATCTATTTATATAGATGAAGCAAAATTTTATTAATTTAGGCAAGATAGCCTATTTAGTACAGAACCTAGAAAACATCCAAGTATTTTTAAATAACTGACAGTTTTTACAGCTAAATCAAGATTCCAGACAATTTAGTACATGTTTACAAATACAGAATCATGAGAATGATGTATTGTACTCTCCCATGTTGATTTATATAAACATTTGGCCACATAACAAAGTCTCCATGCTTCAAAGACAACAAATGAATGTCTCACTCTTTCATTCCAAAAATAGACACACTGTCCTCTAGAAACACAAGACCCTTATCCTTCCTTTGATGTACTTTCTTTTCCTCTCCTTAAAGCATTCAATATAATGTATCATCATAATTCATATTTATAGGCAGGGAAAATGTTTATGGTTGATAACTATTTACAAGCTTCTGATTAAACACTGTCATTATGCACACATTTTAGGGACTGTGATTTATCCCAGAGTTATCTCCCCTAATGATAGAAGCTGGACTCTCAAACTACAAGCATTTGTGTAACACTGATGATTCAAATATGGTTTTCATTGTGATATAACTAGCACCATTGAAATATCTTAAAAAAAGAACTTAATTGAATTATCTGTTAAACCCTTTACATGTTAATAATAATGATAATTTACCTATGTCACAAGTACCTGTACCAATTTAAGTTAGGATGGCTAAATAATTTTAGCACTTTAACATCAAAACCAATTATTATACTCGTACATGTTAGTAGAAGAATAAGTTCATATCACTAATTTAGTATGCTATGCATTGACATGTTTTAGTTGTTTTGTAGATATGTTTGTACTTTCCGTGTAGATTAATCATCTATAAGCAAGGCCTGGGACAAAAGAAAAATAATTAATGCTTAAAATAACTTATGGGATTCTAACTCTAAGCCTGCTGATGGCATCAGATATCTACATGTACCTATGCCAAAAGTGCTGACAAAGATCTGCCGGCATATCTGTGGCATCTGACCATGATCTGCACGGTTCACTATTAAGTCGGTATTTATTTTGAAATAAATGGTTTTGTCGAGATTGAAAGATGGACAAGTCCATTTAAGATAATTAGCATGGTAAAGACTTAAAATGTCAAATCCCCTCATTGGAACATTAACATGTGTACTGAGATCATTATTTTGAACATTAAAATGAATTAAAACAAACATCTGTGGTCAAAATAATCTAAATAAAAAGTCAATAGTTTTCAAAAACATTTTTCAATAGTAATTTCATTCTATTTGTCATAACAATAAAATACATAAGTTAGAAAATACTAATACTACATAAATATGTTTAGCATGAATAACTAAAAAAAGGTTATTACAAATTGCTACATCACCTGTGTCGTTTTATTTTCTTATTTTTGTCCAAAGAAAAAAAGTAGAAACTGTTGAATTTTTTTTTTTACATGAAAAATTTGTACATGATTTTATATTTATCCTCCTCACTGTAAGAAAAAGCTGCGTACATGTATATACACATATCCTGGATGTTCACAAGCCTTTGGCAGATTTAGCGATTTTTTTTCAAATTAATTACACAGACATATATTGTATAGAAATCCTGTTTGTAAAACTAACGTCCCATGATAACATTAATAGAAATATCATGTTCACAACAGGTTTTGGTTTTGATAATCATTATTTACATAGAACATACAATATTGTAATCTAATATACGATAAAAATGTACAACCACATGCATGTTATGTGTATTTTAAATGGCAGATGTTCACACCACAAACAAACATACAGTATTTCTTTACAGAATGAGCTGCTAAGACTATCTGGGATTTGAACACAAGACCCTTTGGATACTGTTTCACAGCTTTTACCGGCTGAGTTTCACATTTCTCCCCAATAACTGACAGTTGTGTAACACGACATGAAATTTGCAGAAACAACTGCTGTGTCTGATATTGTCAATATATCAGCAACACTTCGAAAAAAAAAAATACTGAATTCCTTGTCCTTTGTTGTTGTTTTTTTTTTTGGGATATTATGAATTTAGTTCTCTATGCTTGCGCTGAAAAGTTATATTATCATTCATCTATGCTTAAAAATGGTCCCCATCTCAACTGAAAAATTGTTGATGAAAATGCATAATATAATGGAATGATTTCATAAAGCAATGAATGGGTGTTAATGACCTGCAAACCGTTATAATCCGTTAGTTGTTATTATTTTAGAGGAAACAGGTCATAATGAAGGACACATATCCTTAGAAAAAACAAAACATGGATAAATATTCTGCCGTTTTTATTTCTGTGGTGCTGAAACTGACCGCAGAAAACGCAGAAATAAAATCACCTCAGAAAAACCACTTATATGGTATTTCTGTCAAATTCTTCACCCCACCCACCTGACAGATACAGTACAATAATGCTTATGATAAAACTGTATCATACACAATTAAAAATATCATTATTACTTATGCATGTAAAAATATCTGTTTAATCTACTGATACCTTCAAAATAAAAGAAGATGTAAAACACTGTGTCAAAGTCTATAAAGCTAGCATGACAAAGATTAGATTAGTTTATTATTCAAACCAGGAACATATATATTGTACATACCCTGTTCAAATTAACAATATTTTAGTTATTAAAGATGCTATATCATAATAAGATTGCCTCTAAGAATGACAATCTGTACTATATTTTTTTATCTACTAAGAGATGTTCATACATAATATATCAATGATTTGTGAATACATGTAAACATATTTGAACATTTTGTTGTAAGTTTTGTTTAAAAAAAATTTAAAATGAACAACTGAGTGACCTGCCTGCTGCTCATAATATTAACATTTTCACGTTTGATTTTTATAAAAACTCAAATTGGTAATTAAGCAGGGACAGTTATCCTTAAAAAATCAACTAAACAGTTAAGGTAGAAAAAGAAAAAATTGCTGGATACAATATTAATACATAAATTGCATTAATATTGTTATTCAGAAAGATACTTTCTTAAAAACTTCAAAGGATATGTACTTATTACTTGAGAAGAAAATAAATTATTACAAGAAAAAAATAAAATAAAATTGATATGATGAATTTTGTTATAATCCAGCTACCGTTAAAAACATGTTTCACAGAATGTAAATTACACAAATTGATGAATATAATTTGCCTTAAAACTATTTGCATTCACATTAATGTAATGTCACAAACAATAATATACTATACAATACACCTTCAAGGCAAGGATAATTCTTTATTTTATATCTGTTCATATTTTTTTTATCTATACCAGTATTTACTGTTTAATGGATAAATACAACTCAAAAAAACAAAATTCTATACAGATTGTGTGACTCTGGTTAAATATATAGTTTAAATACACAGAAGTGTATAATAAACAGGGTAATATAATGTAGTATATTATTCTAGTACCTGTATTTGACTCTGATAGATTTTACTGAAACACTGACTCACACCTGGTGATTCTGTGCCTCATATGATTCTGGCTTAGCAAAATCCACTTATATCAAATATAAGTTCTACATAATAAAGATATTCTTATAACCGTTTTTTATCAACTTAATTAACACCTTGGTCCTAAACAGTTGTATCTTATCTACTATATTACAAATAAGTAAACATCATTATGCATAATAGCCTTGAAATGTGGAAAAACATGATCATTTAAGGATAATTGCTTAGATTTGTTCATTATTAAGTTATATTGTTGACATAAAAATCTGTAATCCAGTCCGTATGAAGACAATTTGTGTTAGTGACAATGTTCGTTAATATCCACCACGATCGCCTTTCGCCATCCAAACAGGAAGTAGCCTATGCCAGCACCGAGGATCACGCTCAGACATAACCAGACGTTGTAGGTCATGAAGACCAACATTAAACAGTAGCTGATGAACACCTGGATCATGTGAAGTACCGTCTGAATGAAGTGGCTACATGTCATCATGTGCAAACTGAAAATGATAAAAAGAAATTAACTTCATTTTGTAAACAAAAACATTAATACAACAATTAAAGAACCATATAATTATATATTTTGAAAAATAGGCTAATGAATGGAAAAACATGAATCTTAAACACAAAGAAATAAGCTTTATCTCAACATTTTATTATTTTGTATTATTTGGCTTATAAAAGTAAGATTATTTTATATACATGATTGTACATGTATAACTTTCATATAAATCTATAAACTATTTAACACTCTCTATACCCCCACCCGAAATTGATGAATCACAAATCTAACTGAGCATCTAAAATTTATAGGAATAAAGTTTATACCCAGCTTTAAATTTAAATGACAGTCTTTGATTTAGTGACTTAAACATTAAGCAGGCATGAACAAATACTAAAGGCAAGATTTATAAAAAAATCTGATTTCATAAAACATTTTCCAATTAGTACAGGTAATTACACGATTGCTGTAAACTTGAACAAGTCTGTACTGGTTGAGATTTTTTTTTTTCACATGACATAATTCAAATCTTTGCTTGTATTTTATTTTATAACTAGAAAGTTCATAGTACCAGTCAGACCTATTTGACATTTTTTTAGTACAAAATGTCAACAAAAAACTTATAAAGTAAGTAACTTATCCTACATAAAATCAGTGACTGTGCAAGACTGTACCTTGTACACTTACATCATAAAAAGATTAAGCTATTTAAAACATTTTATCATTACTTTTACTGTAAAAATTACATCAGCTGTCAAATCTCGAGCTAATGTATTACCTCTAATCTAAATCATAATAACACTGCCACCCTGTTATAACATTGTGCGCCCTTATTACGCTAACCTCAGTATCACGCTCTCAGACTGTGGCGCCCCCTACCCAAATTTTTTTAAATTGCATATCATATTTGTTTTTCATGTATATTTATAACACTTGTTGTACATGTTATAGAATATATATATTATATATATACATGTATATACATGTATACAAAAAATGAAAACAAGTGCCGGAAAAAAGTCACATATAAATAAAACAAAAAACACAGTCCATGAGTTAACTTATTTAATTATTTGTGTTTTTTGTTTTATTTATATGTGACTTTTTTCCGGCACTTGTTTTCATTTTTGCATATATAAATCTCTAACTTGCTGTATATAATCAAAAACACTAATTAATTTTGCCGTAGCTATAATTGGCCTTACAACTTTCTTCAGTAGCATTTGTTATACATACAGATATATCAAAACAAAACAATAGATAGTGACGTATAACATCATTGAATGACATAAATTTATATGTATGGGTTTATACATGTAATGCACTGCACTGATTTAAAGTCTTAAATCTTATTATTGTGTAGAAAGTCAATGTTTGCACATTTTGATGAATACATATATTTTTTGAAGAAAAAAAAAGAGGATATTTAAGAATCCAAAGGTAAAAGTTCTAGACTGTAAATAACATTTGGTTGAACAAGCTAAATTAAAGAGAAACAATTAACTGAGCAAATAATAAATAAAACAAACAACTAGCTAGAATATTTTTCTCAACATCAAAATCAAATAACAGAATGTATAGGTAAAAAAACATGTAATTCCACCACCACAATGCATTATGTAATAACACGGGATACTACTTTTGAAGGTTATAATTTCCATTAAACCAATGTCTAGCCATAAACTACATGTATTATAACACTCAGACTAGCTTAAAAAACTAAAATTTCAATTAAAGGTAAGATAATGTGTCACAAATTATATAGCTGATCATCTTATGAAATTTCCACAACTGAAAGAGCTCTTTTATCTTCAGTATGCTTCATTCCATGTTTATTTTTTTTAATAAATAAAGCATTTACAAAATTTAACCCTAAAATACAATGCTGAAAACCAAATATCAGACAAGTGTACTACATGAAGGCCAGCCTAGTCTGACTCCATCTTAATAACTCTGAAGTCAATAAATTGGACTGTTCAATGATTGGAAGGTGGACAAGTCCATTTCACCACCTTAGTGCAGTATTTCGGTTAAGTCCTTCAGTTAACCAATTTTTGCACTAGCATGATTATTTCAGAAATTTGGCAGGTTAAGGCTTTCTCTGCTAATAATTTTTACTATGAACACAATTTATATTCTTAAATATGCATACACTTTTTTGTTCTAATAAGGCATGTATTTCATCTGATTATTTTCATTCATTTTAATCAGCAAGGTTGTTCTGGTTATTTCAATTTACCAATGATGTAACTGTGCAAGGCATCCACTTACACAGCTCATATTCTCCCTACTGTGACCTTGACCTTCTTTAAATAATGGTGTAGACTCATTTGGCTTATCAGTCCTAATAATCGTATATAATATAATGACAATGAATTTAGCATTTGAGACACAAGTTCTAAAGATATTCTAAATAATCATCTCTTATCTAATCTAAGAGACATTTTCTACAACCACACCTGGAATAAGAATTATATAAAACTAGTCCTATAATATAAATAAATTCTAAAAAAAATATATTAGTAATGCTGGTTAGATAGGAACAAAACCTAAACATAGAGGCACAGCCAGACAGTGGCTCTTAACTGTGTTGTTATTTTTTTGTGTTTAACGGGGGGGGGGGGGGCCGGAGAGAGGGAATTTTAATCATTGTGTGTTGTTTTTTATCCCTCAGATATTCAATAGTGATTGTCACTGTGCTATGTGACCTATATTGTCTAAAAATACAGAGTCTTCTTTTCATTATTTTTTTCCGTATTTCAAAATCTCAAATCAGCAACTTGTTCAAATGATATCCTGTAATTTTTGGAATATCCTCTCATTGTATTAGTAACATTAAACATTGAAATGTTCACCTTTAGATCCTGTTCTTGTTGAACTTAACTTTTTATAACTTAAGATATTTAGATCACAATGTAAGGCTGAATCTTATGGCTGTGCCTCTGGGGTTATTATATTAAAAGTTCAGTCACCAGCAAGACACATCAGTGCTAGGTTTTTGTTGCCGGGGACCAGAAACTCCATTCTGCTGGGTCGAACTGTTAAACAAAAGTGAAACTATAACATAAAATATAACAGAAAAAATAATGTCATTCTTCCACCTTTGACCTCCGTGCAGTTGAGTAAAAATAACTTTCTCCATAAATATACATATTTCTCTGGCTGCTGCCACAAAACAATATTAAAATTAAAATTTTGAAGTTTATTTAGCACTGTCACCTTTTAAAGACCCTAAAATATTTAAAGTTATTTTAAAACTTAATGAAATCAGAGCTGTTTATAGTTTAAATATATATTAAGTACAGTCAAGACTGCCTTATCGACCCCCTGAATTAAACAACTCCCTATCTGATGTGACGCTATTTTATGCCTTGACGCATTATTTAATAAATATAGTCTAAATTCTTATGTGACAAGCAACTGTGAAATCTCAAACTCCCAAAGTAAATGGGTTTTTGTCATCAATAAAGAAAAATGTGGTTTGTAAATTGACATTCACAAATTGTCTCAATACTAGACTTTTTTTACAATTTACAGGCAAATATATTCTGTTCCACAAATCAAAAAAGGCCAGGCCCCTTCCAATTTAAGTAAAACAAGAGCTGTGACTGCCAGGCGATGATAAAAGTGTTCTTTTGTCCATACATAAATAACAAAGTTATGACAATTTAAGTAAATTTCAATAATTTGACCTTGAAGGTCAATTAAAGGTCAAGGTTATATCAGAATAATTCAATGTGTTGGTTTTGTCATATGTGTTCTTTTGCCCAAGCATGAACTAAATCTGTAAATGTATAACAAAGTAATGACAACTGAAGCAAATTTCAATATTTTGAACTTGAAGGTCAAGGTCATTTAGGAGTGAAGGTTAAGTACAGTCTGGTCAACTTGAAGGTCTTATTGCAAAAAAACAAAAACATGACCAACATTTTACTTATTGCATGACTCTAGCAATAGCTCTTTTTTTATCTTCGAAAAAGTCAAGCTAAAAAGCTCTGCACAGTGAGTGTCAACCTATTTGCAGCGTTACATGAAGCAAGGATTTGATTTGTGCTCGGAAAAGTCTGCATCATCACATACAATAGACCTTTGTATGATACAGAACTAACAACTTGGTTACAGATTTATTTCATGCAATACATGGGTGTAATTGTTTCAATCACCAGAAGAACACGTCAGATTTAGTGTTTTGTGACATTTGACCAGAAGAGTCCCAGGCACTATTTTTCCACTCAGAGTACTTCATTCTGCTAAATGTATAATGTTACATAATGTAAACTTAAGTATTCAAAGTAGTGTTATAACTTAAATTTCGCCAGTACTTAAAAACTGCTATTTTTTCTATGAAGTAGGATCTACTAGTATACAGGTAACCCAACAATATGCAAAAGGAATAATTTAAGACAGTTACAATATCATGAAAATTTATTTAAAAAAAAAAAACCATTATTTAAGATGTTTTAGGTCTACGCAAGATGAATGTCTAAAGAAATTTGAATATATCAGGTAGCAATCCTGTAGCTTTGGGCAATGAAACACCAATAGACCCATAGATTTATACATTATTTCAGGCAACTACAGAATAATTATTTTCTGATAAATCACCCTAGCTTTATTCAACCATCATATAAGAATCTTACACCGGCTGCCGGTACAGACCGGAATATCTAGCTCAAGAGTAACTGTTTACAGCGGTAACGAGGCTCTGCCGAGTTTCCGCTAAACAGTTACCCAAGAGCTAGATATTCCCGTCTATACCAACAGCCGGTGTTTGATTCTTTTTCTTGCATATTACATGTCAATTATTTTCGGAACAGAAATTATGAAAACTTATATTCTCATTACGCACTTTTTTCTTATAGTAGCGTATGAACATACAACTTCATTCATAACGGAAAAATGACGTCATCTTAAGAACGCGATTCATTCATAAAAGGCGCGCGTCAATGACGTCATTTAAAGCGTGCGACTTGTCTTACATGGAGGGTGTAAGACAGAGTTTTCTAGCACCGGTGTAAACGGTAGATAATCCTGTCTGAGATGCAAGAATATATGGGAAGAACTTGATTTGAAACTAAATTAAATATCTATCTTCATCACTTGGCCCGTAAACAGATAAAAAATATTGTAAAATATTTATTTGTTTATAAAATAATTTTCAAAAAGGGGAAAAAAGCATTATAAAGTCAAAATATGCTATCAGATTCTCGTAATTTTCGCCCTAGATAAAATACATTATAAATGTTGCATGTGTAAATCTGATATAACACCAGCTGCTAAAGTGAAAAATAAATTATTTCTAAAGTGAATGAAGCATGCTCTGTTCCTTTGTACTATTGTATTGTAAAGTAAATGTATAATCGTGAAAGACTGAACAATAGTTGACTGTATTATTACACCGCAATGATTCAATAGAGTCACAAAACAAAAACTCTCATCGTAAAACTTAGATATAACAAAGCTGAGGAAGCTGATGCATTCTTTTAGCAAGCCATTATAGCATCTGCTGCACATTCATGACCTTTCCTCAAAATAATAGATGATGTCTACATACTTAATACATTCTTCCCGACTTTATGTAAGGTATTTTAAAAGTAATGTCCAACAACCCTTCATAAACACATGCACAATAAAATCCTATATCAAGTAATTATTACAAGAAGTTTGAATTTTACAAATGATTTTAATTATTCATGTATACTCTAAAATGAGTCAGAAGCTTAGAAAACATAGCTACAGATGAACCCTTTGACATTTTGACCTACTTAACCATTTCCAAATTCGACACATTTTTTCTGTTATCAACCTAATTTTAATCACAGACAGCACTTTTGTATCATAAATTTTGTCAACAAGCAGGAAAAGATAGTCTTGTTTTTGTAAAGTTTGTGAATTTGACCTTGACCTACTGACCCATAAATTTAGAGACCGAAGGTTATAAGTGAGAGAATTTTGCTTCATAGAGACAAGGATAGGAAGTTTTGCTGAAGCTGTTATAAGCTTTAGTGGTAAAGACAGCAAAGAGATAATGAAAGAGGGATAATGGAAGACAGAAAGATAAAAAAAGTTTGCACCCATGAACCAAACATTTCTAAGGTTAAAATGTTTTATTTTCATAAATTATTATAATACAGTCAAACTTGGCAATAAAGACCACTTTTAAAAGACCACCATTTTGAAAATCAAACTGTCCTTAGTTCCACACATTTTTACCCTTAACCACAATTGCACCTATTCCACCAGAGCAGACTTGAAGATCTGAGTCAGCACATATTTGCTGTCTTCTCATGGTCTGCACTGGTCACTTTCAGTCAGTATCAATTTGAATTGTTTCCTAAAAATGATGAATGGTTTTGTCCAGACTGATAGATGGAAAAGTCCATTTATGATATTGAGTGTTGTAAGGGTTAAATATTACATTGACAGTAAATAAATAATGCCTTTACCAAAACAGTTTTTTTTTTAAATTTTCATACAGATTATCTCAAGGTGGTCTTTTTGTTTGGTAGAGAGGGCTACTTTTACAACAAGTTTGACTGTATTGTTGGTTTATTTTTGTTAACTGTTATGGCTTTTATTATAAGCTTTTAGTAAAAATAGCACACTATTAGCACTCTTTACAATTAGGAGGAATTATACTCAAACACATTTCACCTTGAAAACTTTGAATCCTTTGCCCTATATAAAAATAATGTATTGAAACACTATACAACAAAAATATCACGTGCAACAAAAGCTTAAAACAACAACAAAAGGTTAATTCAAATGCAGAGAAGTACTTAGTATTACATAATACATTAAGTACCATAAAAGTGTTAACTGCTGAAATCTATACAATTAACCCATAACCTGCTGAATTTTGTATACACTAGTTCTGGAATTAAGAATTTTTGTTTTATTCCAAGCTAATCCGTAGGTACAAACAGTACAGTAACAGATTTGAAAATAAGTGCAACAAGTTGACTCAGGTACTCACCCTGAAGCTATAATGGTAAAAGTTTGTTTGTACATACGGATTAGCTGGGAAAAACCCACATTTGCCGAATTCAGGATAAATGTAATAGTCAAACTTTTTTTCCATTTTTGGAACTGTCCATATTCTATATTGAAGATATTAATAAGAAAATTTGAAGTTGGTTGACCAACAGTGTAGGGCCTGGTCAGACTGCACTGATGCATGCAGGTAATTGCCGGGCTCAAAGTTGGTGGTAAAGTTTATTATGAATTTCAGGTGAAGCAGGTTAAGGTTAAGATTATGCTGCATTGAATATGAATGATGTCATAAAATATTAAAATTCATATTTAAATACACAGAATAAGTTTGGCATCTTTTCAAATTTAAGCAAATATAACAGTTAAATTTCTTGCCTTATTTACAATGTGTGCATTTTATAAAAGGCATTCAACAGATCTGAATAAAATTATTTTAACACTGGCAAGATCTGTGAACATAAATATCCTTTATCATGTTTTTGTAAACATGTATTTGAAGGGTATGGTTATTATAATGTTTAAATACACCATAAAACCCAAATAAACATGAACTGCTTTTTTCCCCCAAGTTTCAGTAATGAAATATGAATAAAATTCAGTTGTGGAAATGTCTCAAAATCAGTAGAAAAGACATTCTACAACACTATACTGAAATCAACTGTACAAATTTCTTGATCGCTGCATTTAAATTAACAATTTGAACATGAAATATAATAATAATAATAAGACGAAAAAATAAAAAAAACTTTCAAAAACCAAATTAACCCATACCATGCAAATGATTCAGTGCTAGGCTGAAATCTTTCAAAATAGAAGACATGCTTTAAACATGCATGGTCTACTTATCTATGTAACATAATTTTTATTTTAACAATGCACAAATGGAACAAAATTTTTATCAAAAGCACAATTAAAGTTGGGTTTTTTCTCTGTTAAGTGCATCATCGGATACCCACGGCCGAACCATTAACATTCATCAGATTGCATGTTATGTGACATGTTTATCAATCGTGGGTATCCAACGATGTGTTAAGTGAAGAATAAATTGATCAAGTCAGCAAAGGTTTCAAATAGTAAACTAATAATGGGTAAGCCCCCCTCTGATAAGATTATCCATTCAGCAACAAGCTTACTTGGCAGTAAGCTTAAATACTTGGCTATCTTCTGATTTTTAATAAGTCACCAAGCAATACCATACTTTAGATACTTTTGTGTTAAGTTTTCCCCACTTTGTAATGGTGGAGCAATACACAAAATTTAACCAAGGCGAAAATATCCCAAAGTACAGTAACAAGTTCTTACAACAGATGGTAATATTAATGAATCTGAACTATGAATACAATATTCTATACAAAGCAAGCTGTGTTTCTTTAATTATTGAAGCTACAATACTCAGCTATGAATGTTTACATGTTAAAATACAATATGGTTTATACTGTTTGAACAAAAAGCTTCTTTTCCTGTCTCAAAGGCTTAATCGTACAGTTTTTAAGCAACTGACCTTCCAAGTATTGAAATTCAAAATTGACAATTGTTTATCTGTTTGAATTTATGACCTTTAACCTGGTGGAGCAGAAAGTGACTAAGTGACTTAGTCAATGACACCTGAATAAAGTCATGCCAGTCTGCAAAACTATACACTCTGACTAGGCTCTATACTGATGATAGGTCAATATTTGCACATACATGTGAACTTTTTTTCATAGTCAAGTGGGAGATTTTTCTTCAAAAAGAGGGAGATTTTAGAATTTGCAATAAACAAAGAAGGAAGTTCTGACATTAAGAATAGGTAGATTTTTTTAAGTTGTGAAAATACCCCTTATTTCAAGAAAAATCTTTAAAAATATGGCTGCAGAAATAGGGAGTCTCCCGCTAAAAGTTGAAGAGTTCACATGTATGTTTGTATTCTGATATAGCAATCTCCTTTAACTTTGAATGGACTGTTCCAAATTAAAAGCTAGGCAAATCTGTTACACAAATTTAGGAGATTAAGAGTTAAATCACACAGCCAACAGTACAGACTGGCTGAATACTATTGGCGTGTGCATGTTATTTCTGACTCCAGTTCTGAGGTAAATCTTATTTTCCCTAACATCTAATTTAACAGTCAATTTCCTTATTTTAGTTAACATGAGATTTACCCATAAATAGACCTTGTTTTTAATTAAGTATGCACTATTCAAAGACTAGACAGTTTTGGTAAACAAAAAGGTTCCGTTACATCTTGATTTCAAGGAAACTGTATCTGCTTTCCTGAATAAAACACAAGTCAAATTCATTTTTAGCTCGACTATTCGCAGAATAATCGAGCTAATGCAGTCACCCATTTGTCGGCGTCGGCGTCGGCGTCCCTGTGGTTAAGTTTTTGTATGTAAGCTGGTATCTCCATAACTACTGAAGGGAATGGATTGAAACTTCACACACTTGTTCTCTGTGATTATCTAAGATGATTGGCACAAGTCCCATAACTCTGATTTGCTTTTTTTCATAATTATGCCCCTTTTTCAACTTAGAAATTCTTGGTTAAGTTTTTGCATGTAAGCTGGTATCTCCATAACTACTGAAGGGAATGGATTGAAACTTCACACACTTGTTCTCTGTGATTATCTAAGATGATTGGCACAAGTCCCATAACTCTGATTTGCTTTTTTTTATAATTATGCCCCTTTTTCGACTTAGAAATTCTTGGTTAAGTTTTTGTATGTAAGCTGGTATCTCCATAACTACTGAAGGGAATGGATTGAAACTTCACACACTTGTTCTCTGTGATTATCTAAGATGATTGGCACAAGTCCCATAACTCTGATTTGCTTTTTTACATAATTATGCCCCTTTTTCGACTTAGAAATTCTTGGTTAAGTTTTTGCGTGTAAGCTGGTATCTCCATAACTACTGAAGGGAATGGATTGAAACTTCACACACTTGTTCTCTGTGATTATCTAAGATAATTGCCACAAGTCCCATAACTCTGATTTTGCTTTTTTACATAATTATGCCCCTTTTTCGACTTAGAAATTCTTGGTTAAGTTTTTGTATGTAAGCTGGTATCTCCATAACTACTGAAGGGAATGGATTGAAACTTCACACACTTGTTCTCTGTGATTATCTAAGATGATTGGCACAAGTCCCATAACTCTGATTTGCTTTTTTACATAATTATGCCCCTTTTTCGACTTAGAAATTCTTGGTTAAGTTTTTGCGTGTAAGCTGGTATCTCCATAACTACTGAAGGGAATGGATTGAAACTTCACACACTTGTTCTCTGTGATTATCTAAGATAATTGCCACAAGTCCCATAACTCTGATTTGCTTTTTTACATAATTATGCCCCTTTTTCGACTTAGAAATTCTTGGTTAAGTTTTTGCATGTTAGCTGGTATCTCCATAACTACTGAAGGGAATGGATTGAAACTTCACACACTTGTTCTCTGTGATTATCTAAGATGATTGGCACAAGTCCCATAACTCTGATTTGCTTTTTAACATAATTATGCCCCTTTTTCGACTTAGAAATTCTTGGTTAAGTTTTTGCATGTAAGCTGGTATCTCCATTACTACTGAAGGGAATGGATTGAAACTTCACACACTTGTTCTCTGTGATTATCTAAGATGATTGGTACAAGTCCCATAACTCTGATTTGCTTTTTTGCATAATTATGCCCCTTTTTCGACACATGAATTCTTGGTTAAGTTTTTGCATGTAAGCTTCGTTGTCTCTCCATAACTACTGAAGGGAATGTATTGAAACTTGAAGAGTTTGTACCTTTTCGGACAATTTTATGTATTCATATAGGTAAGCATTATTATACTCAATGAAACACCCTTGTGACAAATTTTCGAATAGTCGAGCGTTACTGTCCTCCGACAGTTCTTGTTGATTTTCACAACCTAAAAAGTGTCTCATTTGACCAAATAGTTACCTAAACATTTTAAAAGATTAAAAATTTACACGTGAAAAAAAACCAAAAAAACAAACAATCTGTCAAATATTGCTGTAACCAAGTACACTCATTCACACTGCACAACAAATATAAATCATTAAAGGCCCAAACCAACATCATGCTTCACTTGCATTTACCATCCTTTTGTTTACAGACTTAAGCGTAATTAATTACAAAAGAAAAACACCGTACATCTCAATTAGCAATGTCTAAGGATTTACGTACCCAACGTTTTTATTACTGATAACCATGGTGTCAGTTGAAGCTGTTCCGTTGGATATTGAGTATTTGTTGCCAGAGATCATCGCTTTTTGTAGCAACATTTCACGAAATACTTTGAGTCCCTCGTAAACGATCGCCAAAGCAAATATGGCCACACATGCTCCCACAAGTCCTGTAAGATATCAAAGAATAAAGATAATTATAAAGTCATGTACAATAAAAACTCTGAAAACTGCACCCTGTCCGGACTTGACCAAAAGTCCGGTTTTAGAGGATTCTGGTTTTCAGAGTTTTTACTGTATTATGAACCCTACATAGAAATTTTCTTTATGTTTATCATCAGTGTTTATGTGATATTCACAGACAGAAGAAGTATTGGAGGGACTTGCAGTGACTCACTTATGTTAAAAGGACCTTTCGATCTCATCTCAGAACATAGGACTTACATCTTACTAGGAGGAGCACTGCCTGATAATTATATTTTTTGTCTCTTACAGCAGACACTTTTAAACCAAACATCTCAGTTTTACATGGGTTGTCTGAAAAAAATTCTGGAATTTTTTTCATACAAATTTCAAATTTTAAAGAAGTATAACAAAATTTTGTAAGATTCATATTGCATAAAAAGTGTTAAAATGTCCATCTTAAATTACCTGTAACATAATTTTGGCTTTTGTAAAGTTGTAGCATACTTTTAAATATTGCACCTCATAAACAATTTTTTAACAATACACATCAATATTTGGTTTATACAGAATTTATTTTAGTTTGATTGTGTACGTAACTAGGAAGTTAGAAGCTTATAGACACACTTTCGAATCCATGCCAGAGACCAACCAGTACTGCGCAATGAGTGTAAAGTTTCCTGCTCAAGGAAACAACAACCTGCCCCTAACAGGGTTTGAACCCATGTGGCCTGTGATCAATAGATTAACAGTCTGACACGTTAACCACTCTGCCATGCCGCAACTAAAATATTTTGTAGACCTATTCAATAATCTAAATTTCATAATAATCTTTACAATTATGCTTACACATTTTTCATTTCTCTGATTGTTTTTCAGAATTTTGAAAAGGCTTTAAAATCATAGAAAGTACATTAATTCAATTATCCTGAAAATTACCTCCCTTCACAACTCTCCACTGAAAAGGTCAATGAAAACTTCTATATGACACAGATGTTTAGTTGTTATTAGAACAATCAGGACAATCTTATTCCTATTGTTGCAATACTCCACACAGAAAATACTTATACAATAAGCAGTGCTGCTATCAATAGATTTCAAGCAGCTGCTAAATTATTGTGAATGTTAATGAAAATCAATTCTTAGCATCATGGAAGCTATAGTTCCACCCAAAGAATCCATGAGGATCTCTTCTAATAGAAAGAGAAAGATGGGTTGTTTTGTTTTTTTTATAAAAAAAAAAAAGGTACCATAATATTATAACATTCACATTTATAATATCTTTGTATTTGTAAACATTTTTTTCCTTATTCAAATAAATTTACTACAGATTTTTAAAATGACACCCAAGTCATGTGAAGCAAAACAAAGGGCTACAACTCTGTTTAAATTGAACTGGAGTTACATGTACCGGTATATGCAGGACATGTACAACTATAATAGGATTGTAATTTTAGAAGATGTGCAATGATAGCATCAAGCCTGCATAACAGCAATACACTGATTGTTATACAGTACAATAAAGTCATACAAATACAGCTATAACAAGAAAAGCATTGATGCAAAGCATCAAAGGGCGTCCAAGCAAGAAATGCAGAAAGTGAAGATGAACTAGTAGACATATGATGACAAGATATTCTTATAAACTTTTCAATGGTTAATTGGTTTTTACCAGAATGAACGGACGAAAGACATTGTTCATTATGAACTTTGATTGGCATGCTAGAGATTAGAATATAACTTGTTATTTCTTTATGATCGTGATTATTAATAGCAACGGATATACATGTATACAATCATTTATAATCCATATGTGTAACGCATGATCAACACGACACTTGTTGAATTGTCCCTTATTATGTTATCGCTATTAGCGAAGACCCCCTCTTAAGGTATCTGTTCAGTAAAAATATGATACTGGTTATGAACATTGATCATGTTGAGCATAATTGTTTATTACACAATAATTGTAATATCTATTTTATAATAAAAATACAGATTTTATGAATATTGTTTTCCTCTCTTTTTTGTGTTTTATGTGCTATTTCAATACTGAGTTTTTTATGTTTACTACTCTTTTTTATTAAAAGTGTAAAATAAATTTTAAGAATTCAATTGTCATATTGACCGACGATTATAAGTCAAAACTTAACTGGAAAAAGTCAGTAAATTATGGTTAATCTTTCAAGATATAAAATTGTTTATTCTTAAACCATGTACATGTACATTGGTATTTTTCTTTATCATTTTTTAAATTATCAATCGATTGAATAATTCATAAAATCTAATTTGTAACTTTGAATAATTCCTCGTCATCTTTACTTAACACAAGTAACAAATTAAATAAAATGTTTCAAAGTTGATAGTGTCATATTAATACCATCAAAATGTACCTTATTTCTCAATTATTGTACATATTTATTGTTTTTATCTCATATAGATAAAATAAACATGCTATTGTTGTTTTTTTTTTTTTCGAATTGTATGTTTATGTATAATAATAATCAATGAATTTGAGAGTTGATCTATGTTTATTAATTATTGTAACCAAACTAAGTGACAAACATTCATTTTGGAAAAAAAGCTTATTTATCTGTAAAATATTTGTTCATCAAACATCTACTCCAAAACCGGGAGAGACCGGGCAATAAACGTGCCGGTCACTAGTAAATTCCGGTCAAAAAAGACCGGGAGAGACCGGAAATTACCGATAGGAGTACATCCCTCTATAAATAGATTTTCGGAATGTTTAGGTCATCAACTCATTATTGTATTTTAATAATAACCCAATGTGTTCTAAAAATGATAAATAAAAAAACCGAAGAGACGGAAAAGGTTATTTCATTTGAAAATGTTTGCATTGCGAAATTCTCCAGTTCGCTATTCATTGTACATATTACATATCGCGACTTTATAATAATCAAGCACCCTCATACCGATCGGAATGATCGGCTTTTATCATGACCGACTAAAAGGCTCGAGAAGTTGCTGTCGCCCTTTCACAAAATCTCATTTCATTCCATAAGGCGCCGCGCTTCGGAGCGGACGCCAATAATGTTTATTTTGGATGTTAAACGTTCTACAAACTATTAGCAACACTTTTTTTGTAAATATGTTTGAAAGGCTCATGTATATAATTCTTAAGATTTGATCAAACATCAAAAGGTAACACTGTCTGTATATTTATAAGGTAGCCATGCTTGAAAAAGTTGAAATTTGTCAATATGAAAAAATTATGTATTTTGATAATACATGTATATAAAAGAAAACATTGTGGTGCAACTATTACCACAGTAGTTTTGGCTCAAAAATTGGACTGTAAATATTGGAATGTCAATATGAGACTGTAAATATTGGACCGTCAAGACCGGACTGTAGATACGATTTAACTGCAAATATTGGACTGTAATGAATGGATGGTAAATATTGGACAGTAATGATTGGACTGTAAATATTGGCTTGTAAAGATTAGACTACAGTATTGGACTGTAAATACTGGACAGTTAATTTGGATTTTAAAGAATGGACTTTGAAAGATGTATGATAATTAGCACATACATCAGCATGACTGTACTATTACAATAATGATCTCTATCAAGAAATCATAACAAAAGATTGTATGTACATGTATGCAACGTACATGATAAAAATCATTATCACTATAGCGGAAATGATGTATGATGAAATATGCAACTTTAGATAACAACCACGATATAAATTAATGTACATGTATTAATAAAATATCAGATATGCATGGTAATCTATATATGTTGTTGTTAAGGGACAGCCTAAGGTGCCATTTTCAGTGATATCTTCTTACTTGACTTATAATGACAGAGTTCATGTTGTTTTTGTTTTTTTTATTTTATCATATATTTATCATGTATGCACTCACGCAAGAACTGATAATTTCCATACCTCAACCAAATTTTTTGCATTGGAGTTGCCCTGTTTTAACGATGGAACAAATTTTCATTTTATTCTAAAGACAAGCTATCATCAGTAAAAAGTATTGTTTAAAATGTATGGATATGCAGTCTACCCTAGCATAAGTAGCATATAGAAATCAGTTAAAAATACAGAAAACAGAAATATTCAATGAGTCAAAAGGATATGGCTGACTTCTGTTTTTTGGTTGGGGTTTGCATCAACTTAAAATTTGTATATACACAATGTACATTAGCATTTCAAACATACTTACATAAAAGTGTTATTGTTTGTAGGGTTTTTATCATTCGAAATAAACATTATAGCTGTGTTTTTATTACTATATGTACTATAAATATTATGTACTGTATAACTATATTGCTATATGCAGGCTTGAGTCTGTCATTGCACTTGCACTAAAATTACAATCCAATCATAGTTGTACATGTCCTGCATACATGTAACTCCAGTTTAGTTTAAGCAGAGTTGAAGCCCTTTGTTTTGCTGCAATTGCACTATTTCAGGCATAAACCGGAACTTGAGTAGAACCACCGACGTTCCCTAAGCTTGCTTGATAGCTTCCTCACATGAAAGAATCCAAAGTCCCTGTCAGGATTTGAACCCAAAGCTGTAAAGAGCAAGTGGTTTGAATTCACCAACCATAACTTCTTGGCCATGGAACTCAAAGCTTAAACTTTCAATAATCATATTGCGTACTGCAGATATAGTGATTATAGATATTTAAGGTATACTAGAAGTACATAAGCTAAGGAATGTGACTTTCAAATAAAATTTAGACACTGAAATTAAAGATAAAAGTCCCCCCTCTAGTCAGACTCAACACTATTTTCACCAGATGTTTATCTAAAATCATTGTCTACACTTGAGTGACGTCTAATGACACACTGCTTCCAGCAATTTGTTGGGGTTTTTTTGTTGTTGTTTTTTTTTTCTATTATCAAACTGTATTAATCTACTTTATCATCTTGTGAATATATTTGTAACTAAGCCCAATATACACAACATTTTGTGTAGCCTGACTAGACTTTAGGCTCTAGACTACCAAATCTCAGCATTTTTTATATCAAAAACCCCTTAAAATAATAATGGATAGTTCTAATTTCAATATAGGGAAAGTCCATTTAACAAATTCAGTGTGACACAGGTTATTGCTTTATATCATGACACAAGCTATTATAATGTCACAAAATCCATGGAGTAAACATTTATTTTTTGTCAAGTTAACTGATAACTAATGCTGAAAAACTTACAAAATCACTTTAAAGTATATATAATTATATAAAATAATACTATAAGTATATAGAGGAAGCCAAACAAGTGTTATTCAAGAACTGAATTTGTAAAATGAAGAAAAGACATTGCATTAAATCTTTTAAGGGGTTGTAATATCATTGTTCTGAAGAAGTCTAAGAAATTCAATTTTTCCAGATTTTATCACATACCATATTTAATTAAATACAAGCAACTTCCTTCTTATTAGCCCCTCCCCCAGTTATGAATTTAGTGAGGCTCAATGTCAACTCCCACTTAACGTTCGGTTTTTTTTTGTTTGGTACCAACACAATTTAGGTAATATGGCGCCAAAACCAGAAAGATGATTTTGGCTAACCTTTGGAGAAATATGGTTCTGCATACATGCTGATAAAATGTAAGATGGAACAGAGATATTTCACTTTTGTTGACAGCAGTGTGAATCAGTTTAATTATTTGCTTATTGCTAAGCTTGACTGTGCAATATTGTTTCTATAGAACTGTATAAAGCTACACTTGGGTTAGATTATACAAGTATTAATATGAATCATAAAAGAATAGAAATGCAAACATTCAGTATATAGATACAAACCTCCAACATCCTTTGTCCTCAGTGTCTCAAATAAAATAAATTCACATTTCCCTGTGTGGAAAAACATCTGAAATCAGAAAAAAGATAGAAAGTTATTTCATACAAATACATCAATGGCCTACTTTGATAATTATGCAACTCCCTATATGAAATAATGTCTTTTAAAAATCTTTAAATTAGAAGTACTTTTTGTTAAATTGTTTTCCTGCTGATTTTAATTAACTCATTTTTGGTTATACTATTTTAACAATACATTCAGCCTGCTTTCCTAGACCACTCAACACTATTACCAATATCACCACAAGTGAGAGACATCTGACCATTAGACTTAATGCCCGATATCAATTGATAACAAGTGATAATGACTGACCTTACAGAATACAGTCTGACTAAAAGTTGCTCAATTTTAACATAATGATACTGAAATCTTTTATGTTAATTTTATTTCACATTTGACAGTCCATGTGTCCTCATGATGTGTTAGTGGTTTCTGAATGGCGAAAGATATCTGTCCAACAGCTGTATTTCAATAATACCTAATATAAGGCTATTGGAAAATCAAGGAACCTAAAGTTCTGAGTACTAAATACTATATCATACAGATTTAACAGGATATAATAATACATTATACGGAATGAATACCTCGTGAATAACTGCAACAGATTTGCCAATCTTTGAATTTTGAACAGTCCATTTCAAAGTTAAAAGATTTATACATTGAATATAAATATTGAGCGAGCCTGGTCAGAATACATGGCACTGCAAGCTGGTCTGGGTAAAGGCTTTAGTCACTTTAGGACCCAGATGGATAAAGGTTAAATATATCAACTATATTATTAACATACCAACATGTGACCAGCACATGGTTAAACAGTTTAACTATATACGTACCAACATGTGACTAGCACATGGTTAAACAGTTTAACTATATACGTACCAACATGTGACTAGCACATGGTTAAACAGTTTAATCATATATGTACCAACATGTGACCAGCACATGGTTAAACAGTTTAACTATATACATACCAACATGTGACCAGCACATGGTTAAACAGTTTAAGTATATACATACCAACATGTGTCTAGCACATGGTTAAACAATTTAACTATACATTTGTATTATATATATATATCAACATGTTACCAGCACATGGTTAAACAGTTGAACTATATACGTACCAACATGTGACCTGCACATGGTTAAACAATTTAACTATATACATATCAACATGTGACCAGCACATGGTTAAACAGTATAAATATATACATAATAACATGTGACCAGCACATGGTTAAAAGTTTAACTATATACATATCAACATGTGACCAGCACATGGTTAAAAAGTTTAACTATATACATACCAACATGTGACCAGCACATGGTTAAAAAGTTTAACTATATTCATACCAACATGTGACCAGCACATGGTTTAACAGTATAAATATATACATATCAACATGTGACCAGCACATGGTTAAAAAGTTTAACTATATACATACCAACATGTGACCAGCACATGGTTAAACAGTATAAATATATACATATCAACATGTGACAAGCACATGGTTAAAAAGTTTAACTATATACATACCAACATGTGACCAGCACATGGTTAAACAGTATAAATATATACATATCAACATGTGACCAGCACATGGTTAAACAATTTAACTATATACGTACCAACATGTGACCAGAACATAGTAAAACAATTTATCTATATACGTACCAACATGTGACCTGCACATGGTGAAACAATTTAACTATATACGTACCAACATGTGACCAGCACATGGTTAAACAGTATAACTATATACATACCAACATGTGAGCAGCAAATGGTTAAACAATTTAACTATATACGTATCATTATGTGACCAGCAAATGGTTAAACAGTTAAAAAGTTTATTTATATATGTATCAACATGTGACCAGCACATGGTTAAAAAGTTTAACTATATACATAACAGCATGTGACCAGCACATGGTTAAAAAGTTTAACTATATACATACCAGCATGTGACCAGCACATGGTTAAACAATTTAACTATATACAGACCAACATGTGACCAGCACATGGTTAAAAAGTTTAACTTTATACATATCAACATATGACTAGCACATGGTTAAACAATTTAACTATATACGTACCAACATGTGACCAGCACATGGTTAAACAGTTTACAGGGCTGCAGATAACATGCGTATTTGCGTTATTACCCAATTAAAATGTCTAAAAACCCAATAGAAATAATAACTAAGGGTAAGAAAAAGTAAATGAATTCTTATTTATACAAACTACATTTGAACTGGTGCGTAATGACGAAAATTATTACTTAACGCGTACATCAGGCAGATCATACTGTTTCAGACTGTTTTAACCTTTAAATTATATAAGGCAACTTGGAAATCTCCTAGGCGAATAAACCATAAAGCAAAGTAGTAAGTAGCTTTTTTATTACCGTACAAATGACTACAATGAAGGTCAAAAATTTTGGGTAAAATGCATGAACTTGTACTTTATAACCCAAATTGGTTAGAGGGGGTAGGGTAAAAAATACAGAAATAACTCAAAGAAAATAGAAAAAACCCAATAGATCACAAAATAAGGGGTAATTACCCAATATATACAAAATGTTATCTGTAGCCCTGAGTTTAGCTATATACGTACCAACATGTGACCAGCACATGGTTAAAAAGTTTAACTATATACATGTACATACCAACATGTGACCAGCACATGTACGATCTGTTTCATTCATATCCATTTCCAACCCCGAGTGTAAGTGACCTGAAGGATTCCCAGATCCCATATCTCCATGGTCCATATCCATATGGTTCATTGTAGTAGTTGATGTATTCTATAAATAGAAAAATTATTATGTTAAAGTTTTGAGTACAGATTTAGATATTGTTATCGGAAATATTTTAAATTTGTGTACTAGGAAAAAAAGTAATTACAATATAAATAATGCTGTATGAAAGATTATTGAAAATATTACAACATTTCCAGAGCAGCATCATTTCGGAAAAAATAATTTTGGTTGCTGTTTTATTTGTTTGCCTGTTTGGTTTGGTAACTCTGACCTGGCTGTGGTAATTAACATTGGTTCTTAACAATGCCTTGTTAAGGTTAAAATTTCAGAAAAGTTTGAAGAAATTCTTTCAACAAATACAGATTTTATAGAGCGGACATAATGTAGATGAACTGATCAACTGATCAACCAATGCAACAAAGTGATTTCCGTACAGTGAGCCCCTTCTTCATAATGTGGTAAGCGTCTTTGGGTGTTTTTTTTTCAGTTGAGTTACTTGAAAAAATTAAAAATTTTAATTTGTTTTACTTTGCACCAACACCGTATAGGTCATAATAATGGCTACTTTCCAGCTTTACTGGTGGAGGAAGACCCCAGATGTCCTTTTGTGCACTATCTCTGGCATGACCAGGTAACAGTGTAGAACCACCAACATTCTGTAAGCTAGCTAGATAGCTTCCTAACATGAAAAAAATCCAAAGTACCGGTCGAGATTTAAACCCACAGCAATGAGGGGCAACTAAGTTGTTTAAAGTCAATGTCCCATAATGAATATAATTATCATTAATATAAAATTACTGATAATACATATACAGTATATCAAATTAATTGGAAATAACTATTTTTGGTGTTCTATTTCTATATAATCTAAAGTATAAAATGTAGCAACCTAAAAATAAAAAATCTATTATGCAAATGTATAATGTATCAACCTAAAAAAAAACTAAAACCGTACCATTCTATATTAAATACAGATTTTTTTCTACGTGGTAAAATAAGCCAAAATAAAATACATGTACCAGGGAAATAAGTACCGGTACAAGGACTATAGTCTGTAACAATATGACCTGATCACATTTTAGATTATTATTAAAAGGATATAATATTACTTAAATAAGGGATAGGAAGTAAATTAATACTACAGAACATTATTAAATAAAATAAAATACCATAAAAATGTGTTATTGTACAATAAACAGTAAAAATATTTTCAGAGTCACTCGTCCTGCAGGACGAGCAGCAATATTTTTCTATTTGTCCTGCAACAAGTTCTCTTAAATTCTATTTGTTATTATGAGGGGACAAGTGGAATTTTCAATCTCTGTATCATGCAATGTTTGTGACCTTCAAAAAAAGGTCAAACTGTTGACCCGAACAATAAAAAAAAGAGGTCAAGTTGAAACAGACTATAGTTAACATAACCTGTGGCAGTTCAACCAAAGCTTAAAGAAAGCTGATACAGTAAACTCAGTTTATAACATTGAATATTCAGGGGATGGTCTAATTTATGTCTTTAAATATATATTCGACAGGCAACCAATTTGCATGAAATCAAGAGTCAGGACCAAGGCAACAGCACTGTTATAAGCAATATTGTTATAAGTGGAGTTTACTGTACATAGTATCTAGTTTAAACAATCTAAATATCTTAAATGGACTTGTCAATCTTTTGTCAATCTGAACAAAACCATAAATTTTATCTCATTTTAACAAAATTTCAAAATAAGTACTGACTGTAAACAGTACAGACCATGACCAGACAACACAGATGTAAGTGCTGATCTTGGTCTGCATTGTTTGCACTGGTAAATTAATTTGACGCCAGCTAGGTAAAGGTTTAAACACCAAAGGAACACTGAAACAGAGAAAAATGTAAATGTAGTAACTAAATCAGGTACAAGAATGAAATTGGTTCAACATATGAGCTGCGTCACGACAAAACCAACATAGTGCGTTTGCGACCAGCATGGATCCAGACCAGCCTGCGCATCCGCCCAGTCTGATCAGGATCCATGCTGTTCGCTTACAGACCCTATAACAAGTAAAGAAACTGATAGCGAACAGCATGGATCCTGATCAGACTGTGCGGATGCCCAGGCTGGTCTGGATCCATGCTGGTTGCAAACCCATTATGTTGGTTTTGTCGTGACGCGGCTCAAATTTCTTGAAATAAAAGTAGTTAATAAATCCACCAGATCTGATCTTCTAATTTGGTTCACTGTCTGATAAACAAAGGTTGTTTTGGTGTTCAAAATGTATTTGTTTTCCTTTGTTAAATGTTGAAAGAATAGAAGATAAAAAAAATATCAATTACTTTATATCACTGCATATTTCTAACATGAAATAAAGTTTATCAGACAACAAACAATCTGAAGATCATGCTTGTTTCACATCTACAGGAACTAAACACATCCCAATCGGGGTACACACCTGAAACGCCATAAAGTTGATTAACAAGAAAGCAAAAACGATGACAACAGCTATCAGTGCCAAATAGACACGCTTCAACTGTCGTGGATATATCATCACAATACTTCATCTTTGCCTCTCCAAAATCTGTAAATGAAGAACTTATCATAATACTATTATATGCTTCAATGCATTGAATGTATGTTTATCAATTGTCCAAAAATTTGGGAATTTAAAATATTCTTACACAAAATATTACCTCACTTTTATAATAAATATTCTTAAAGCATTTTATTTGACCATGCAATCGCATGTTTTCTGTTCTGATACATAGCTATCCTAGTGTAATGTTCGTTTCTTTGTGTTTCTGTTGTTTTTTTTACTACAGTATTTGTACAGTTAAATAGTCCAATGCAAAACTAACAAATCCTGGTTCAAGACGCACACAAAGTGAATATTAGCCAGTTAAATCAGAGTTGTTAGAATACTCTATAGACATTGTAAAAAATACCTTTTAATTAACCTTGATGATTCAATATTTCAGTAAGGATGACTGTATAATTGGTTACAAACTTAAGATAATGACTTAGGTACAGAATAAATAAGATCACTGTTCTAAACAATTTGTTACAATGATGTAGAATATATTTAGTCAAATATTATAAGGTCCACTAAGCTAGGTGCTCTTTGTTTTGTACAGACAATGATGTTAAAATAATTTTATAGTTATTACCGGGTATTTGCCAAGTAGCATTTCAATGTAGATACAAAATATGCCACATGGTTTTGTTAAATGTTTGTTTGTTTCATTTTACACCTTTTCCCAACAGTATTTCAGTCATATAGGAGGGTTGTTCCTGGAGAGTTTCACCAGTACCAGACTACCTCCTCTGTGCTTAACTACCAAAGCATCTCCCGGGGATCAAACCCACGCCAGAGAGGAAACTGGAAAGTCATCGACTCTGACCCCTGGAGGCGGTCATGCCAAATGGTAGATATAAAATTAATACAATGTATATAAACTTACAGTAGTCATTCAACTATGTTAAGTACAGTACATGATATAAGGTGTTAGATAAATAAATTATATAAATAAATTAACTTTTGATATCATATTTTCTATAAGGCGGTGACAGGTAATTATTTACCTGTATAATATTTATAATAGAAAATGAGAGTTAGTGTGAGATGTTACATTAATTTTGTACTTAATTACATTGCTTTCAATGTAATATGACCCCTGTGTCACAATATGTATTACATCTTTTGTTTTAAATGAATCTACCACACGTCTTTAATAATTACATAAGGTAACAACATGAAATTACACTTTCCTTTATTATATACCTGTATCATACACAGTTACATCATGTAAATAAACATTGAAACGAACAAAGTGGCACATAAAAGTGATCCTGGACACTACCATGGTATAAAATATTAACAGATTTAAAAAGATCATTTAATAAAAGTTGAGAACAGTTTTGCAGTCAAAAACATATTTATCATAATTATCTAAACAATTTTTACATAATTATGAACAGTGCCTGGACATTTAGTACCGGTATCAATAATTGTCTATATAAAAACTGAAAAAAAAATTACTGTTTATTCAAATAAATGTAAACCTGATGTAGAATAGTCCTCAATACTTCATCAATTTAACCTGTTGAATTTGTGAAATTGATTTGCCAAATCTCCTTTAATTTTCACAAGTAGAAAATTTGGGGGGGTCCCTCAAGTCTAAAGAAGACTATCTTTTAAACTATTCAAAAAAAAAATGATCAAACAAAAACATAATTTTCATACATGACTTAAACATGAAACATAAACAACACAAAAATGACAAAAAAACATTCAAAACATGATATATAAATTACACACCTTTGAGCTCATTAAAGGACATGAGAAAGTTTGTTTTGTTATTGATGGTTGTTTTTGCAATGAAATTCTGCATATGCAAAATATTTATTATCTAAATAGTTTGATCATTTTTTGTATAAAATTTCCAGACTTTTTGTCTATGCCTTGTTGAAAACTTGTTTAATAACTGCCAAAATTTAATGGATTTGAAAATGTATAACTATGTTTTGGAAAACAAAAAAAAATCTCGTAAATGAAAATTAAACACGCACTTGTAAAAAATTTTGCCTTGTAAATATTTCTGTAATCCTTCTAACACTATGTCAGCAAAAAACTTATAATAAAAATAAAAAGAATTTTCAAATAAAAAACCAATCATAAACCAACAAAATAGTGCGTAAACTCAAATTCCTGTTTTCAAATCAAAGCATTCAATACCTTATTATAAAAGAACAAAAATCATGTAATATAGATTAATACTAAATAGTTCAAATATCTAACAAATTTAGCAAATTTTACCTTGTGCAATTATAATCAATGTATTAAACAAGATTTATTATATCACTGTATAACTCAGAAATCCTGTTATCTATTTCACGTTTTTATCTTTAAAATTGTCATTAAACTGATTACTGGTATAAGTGTTGAACTATTAACTCTTAATCTTTAATATACTTGAAAGTATGAAACTCAAAACAAAAGTGCATATATTCGCACGTTGTCGTGAATTTAGTACTTTTACACTCAGATTATTCACGTTTTATTGACATCACAAACTAGTTCAAATCATCATTGCCTTGTTGAAAATTCTTACAAATCTTGACCGTTTTATCTATAGTTTGCCTCATTCAATATCTGCCGTACTAGTCACATACTTAAATTTACTGTCTATATTTAAATTTGTCAGACAAGATTTAATTAAGTCACTATCAGTTATGTATTTCTGTTTAAGTGTTGTACGGATTCTTACACCGCCTGGATTCTGCAATATGTCCAGATAAGTTACAACCTATACTGACATCAGACGAGTGTTTATGTTTTCTCTATTCTAATCTAACAGAATAGATCCTGTAGTTTGTGTAACACAGGATCTCACTGAAAGTACATGTCAACAAAGCTAATACATATTTCCTCTATAAGTCATACGTGAACATTTAAAGTCACATGTATGTTTATCCCATTCTGTAACAAAAAATTTATTGATGCAAAAATTTGACTATCACATGCATACACATGAAAACATAAACATGTAAATTAGACAAAGCTTATTCAGGAGATGATATTATTATTATAATGAAGCAGGTGCTTCTTGCAATCACTTACAGTGGAATAAAGATGTGGGGGAGCATTTACATGTATTTTTCAAGTGTAAAGGAAAATTGGAACTAGCTAAGAATTCTTTTTAAAACTTTGCATGATTAAGAGAATCATGATTGAAAGAAATTTATAGAAAAAATTAGGTGAACACCAACTTCCTTTTACCTGCCCTTGGAAACGAGTTCATTTTGCGATTTTAGATCATTTTTGAGTTTAAAATTAAGGGCTATAATTATATCCAAAATTCATGTCAGAGTAAAATGGCCTTTGAAAATGAATATTATGATCTCAAAGACAAGTGTTATTGACAAGAAAGTATTTTAAGTGGAAGATATGAAATAAGATATTGTGCAAGAAGGTGCACATGAAACTTTAACCAAAGTACACTGACACTTGGGTTGAGTCTAAGGATATCCCCACTGAATTCTTCCAACAATCAAGTTAAAAAAGCAGGGTTGCTTTTTTCTCCAGTTTGTTGGAAATCACATTCCAAAACTTTTTGACAATTATGACTATCCAGCTAAAATATCTAACACTACAACTTAATTAAATCTTTTTTACTTAACATGAAAAAAAACCTAAGTAACTGTTTTTTCTTTACTGTACTCTTTTTTTTGTGTTTTAGTTTTTAAATTTTCCTCCTATGTATTTTTCTTTTCTAAATTGCCCCCAAAAAACACCCTAGTTTTCAAGGAATTTATTTATTTTATTTTAAACGAGAATACATTTCAAGCTATCTTTTAGTATGACAACCCGTACAGAGTGAAGGTCAAATGAAAATGTGCTAGTTTGAAACCTCATTAAAAGTTTATATTGTTATAATTCACTGATAAAATGTAAAACGTGCCTATGGATTTCTTTTTACCCTTGTATATATAAAGTCAAAGTCATATAAGTGCAATCATCATGAAATGCACCCAGGGCATGATATTGTCTAAATGGGTTACAAAGGTAAAAGATAAATATGGGTCACAAACGTAAAAGATAAATATAACAGGGTCATAATGGCACAGTGACATTGTGTAACTGGTAAACAGTGTTAAAAATTATATATAAGAAGTTTCATGATGTATTATCACTCAAAGCAATTTAACATTTAAGCACCTAATGATACAGCAGATATCAAAATCATCTCCAGGTCTGCTGTAACTTCATGTTCTTACATTATGTATAATTTAAGTCATTTATAAGCTGTTTATCTTCTCAAAACTCACTGTCAATATTATAAACTCCTAAACAGTGAAATCTTTCAAAGGCACTGGCAATATATTACAATAAATATTAAGTCAAACTCCAAAATGACTCATACATTACAGGGATCATATGGTCAGCCTACACATCAGTCTGATTGCATGTCCATAATTAAGCATGGTAAGGGTTTAAACACAACTAAATTCCTCATAATGTAAAGTTAAAACCAATGATATAAATATTTTGCAATAGTACTGTATAACCTACCCTGTTTAACCCATTACTTCATATACACGCCTTTTAACGCCTTTTTCACCCCCCCCCCCCTTTTGTTGTCTCAAATGATAAAAAAATGCCTTATTTAGGCCCCAAACACTTGTTTTTGTTTGAGAAATGTTGTTAAAAAAAGTGACCTCTTTTTCGGCGCGGCCCCCCAACCAAAAGATACATCAGGGGGTTGCCAGAAGGGGGATGTGCCCCCTTCTGTTTGGGGGGGGTTTGAAGGGGGGCGGAGTTCCCCTCATCGCCAAGAAAATTTTGGACTTGCTAGAGGCTGTAAATGACCCCAGATTGATCATAAGGTAACGTGTAACCAACGCTGAAAAGCATTTGACTCTATCTCAATCCATTGAGAAGTTGCAGCACTTTGAAATCAATTTTGATGGAAAAAATCAACGCAAAATAGTGATTTTTGGCAATTTTGAGATGTCCCCTCGTTGCCATGGTAACAGAAAATTTAAGCCTGAGCATGTTGTTGCAAGGGCAATGGTCCAGTCAACACTTGTGCCAAGTTTGGTTAGTGTTGAAGCAGTTTTTATAGTATTATAGCAATTTGAACTTGTAACGGGAGACTTTTCAATGAAAACAGCCATTTTTCACAAAATGCTCATGAAGCAATGGGTTAAATTATATATTCATACAGAAAATAAGGTTTTAAAAAACTATTTCGCCCAATGATCTAAAGTATTCAAATAAGGAAGTTTTTATAATCACTGTGTGTTTAACTGACATCTTAAATCTAACATTACAATCATGCATATTTCAATGCATGCATGAATGACATTATTTCACCTTGCCACTAATCAAACATACAGTTTGTATCTTGAAGTGAAGATTTCCATACATTTGATGATTGAAAATAAATAACTAGAGGTATTACATTGAAATATTAAGATGGGATTTTATCACAACACATCCATGATCAAAGTATTCTTTAAAGGCACATTATTATCACTCAGAAACGAATAATAATGTTACCTTGATCTTACGAAAAATCAAACTTAAGTTTTATAATATTTAAATAATCATTAAATAATAATAAGAGTATGTTAGATGCTTATTACCGAAAAACAGTATTGCTGATTAATAAATTTTAAAAAGTAACAAAATGTAAACAAAATAGTATTTTCACTTCCATACAAAATACTTAATTATTATTTTATGCAGATAGTAAAAATGACAAGCGCTCTCATTCTGCTAAGCTCAGACATATTCTCGGCATTTTTTTAAGGATTTTGGGATAATGACCCATACCCATGGAATTGGGAATTTTAGCGGTGTTTTGTTAAGAATTGGGAAGAAATGCATGACTGAAATTTTACAATGATTAAACTGATGCAAACAATAACTGTCTAGGATGGCATCTTCAAACATTTTAAGCACTATTACAGTGAAGGAGCCCTCAGATTTTAAAAGATTTTAGAATTTTTATTCAATATTTTTATTTTGTAACTTGCAATTGGGAATTTTTTCCTGTGGATTGGGAAAATAATATACTATTTTCAATTGGGAATATGACCCAATAACGGCTATAAAATAAGCCAAAAAAAATCCCTGTTAATTCTTAAAACTTTGAATGACGTTGATCATAGAAAAAAATCTTTCAGCATAAATATTTATTCAAATCTGTAAGTTAATTTAAATCTTATCTCAAATAAAGTAAACTTTTACAAAACTGTTTATAAACATTTGTTGCTTTTCATTTCTTTAAGTAAGGCTGTAATTAATAATTAATTTGTTCAGTTACGCAATTCTATTTAACGCTGATTCTGACCTACTTTTAAAAATAACTGGGTTAAAATATAATGTTGACAGTTTAGGCTTTTACTATGATTCCTAAAACACCAACAAACATGATATATACGAACATCGAACAAAAAGTGAAATGACACAATTAATTGCGTTAATGTAAGCATTTTAAGACATCAACGTCAATGACGTTTATGACCGTTAACAACACTCCAGTGAAAAAATAATGCGGATAAAGAATGACATGCATTTCGTCGATTCGATGGAAGATGCCGTCACATCAACGTAAAATATTACAACAGTTTACGACATTGTTGCGATGAATGTACTGTATTTCAGAGGGTGGTATTCATAATATGTTTAAAGTGCAAAGGTTACTTCTGTTGTTGAGCATTTAGTTCATAGTTATTTCATCATCACGCATAAAACGTACATTTGTTATCAAGATATATATATATTTTAATTACAAATGTCTGTATCATAGCATGGTACTTTAAAAGTACTATATGAAATGGAAAGAAAACACCACTTAATATATGAAAATATGTCCAGAGCTCATAAAAATATCACTCAATATGGAAAACATGATCTTAAATTGAAGAAATCGTATCAGCTTAAAGGTACGGCTGCTATGAGCTGCAGTTGGTTATATTTATTAAGGACACTGAAATAACACTATGAATATTAAATTTTTAGGCTTACATTTGTATGCAACTTTTAAGTCCCAAAGAGTTCCCAATTTAAAAAAGTTTATGATTCATGCAATGTACCTTGCGATTGTAAAATTTTGTAGCATTTGCTTAAAATAATAGCATTTACATAATGGTTGTTCTCCTACAATAGTGACAAAAGTATGAAAGAATTGTCTTTTTCTGTTGATTAAAACAGCTCACAAATTTATCAGTACTATTAGTATTGGAACTATGGAACTTTTGTTTTATTCACCTGTTTTGATTTAGAATTTATGTGTAAACAGTTGGATAAAATACACTTAACAGTATTCAATTATTGGCTTTAAAATGAGCTAAAAACAAACTCATTAAAATCATATCCTAACTGTCGCTCCACTACCCTTCTCTAGGTAGCGAAGTGCAACAGATTGAAAATGCTGATCTGAGATTGAGCTAAAAACCTTTTGAAATATAGATGAAAAAAAAGATAATATGAATTATTTTGCCTTACCGGTACCACATTGTGATGATGATGATGGCCAGGCATCATAGATGATGTATTCATTGTCATATCCATGGTTAACTCTAGTTGTAATAATGTGAAGATCTATCTTACTATTCTAATGCTCTTGTGGTTCAATTCTTGTTCTGAAAATATAAAATTATAATTATTATAAAATGATGCTTATGTTGTTTACTTGATGTAAACCTAAGGAGGAAAATACATGTAATTAAAAGTTTGAAATGAAAGTTTAAAGTAGACATATTATCATTTTAATTTTATTCCTAATCATATTAATTTAAGTACACATTTATAATGTTCTATGCATAGCAGGTAATATTGACCAGTGTCCAAATGAAATTTTACCCTTAAATTTTAAATCTGCAAAAGAATCTTGTGGTGAGAATAATGTTTCATAAGGGATGACTAGAAATTTTCAGGAAAAGCAACCTTATTACCAACAAAAGACAAACTACTGATTAAAATCAAAAGACAAACTTACTAATCGAAGAGACCAGGCATGTATTTAACTCAAGGACAAATGATTTTATTGGTAGAATCTATAATAACACATTCCTTTATCATAGTAGTCAGGCCTGAGCCCACACATTTGTTGGTAGGTGAACTTAAGTATTTAGATACTGAAATGCTTTAAGCTGCTGAATAATGAATTTACATTTGTTGAGCTTTGAATTTTGAAAAATCCATTCAAAATTAAACAGATTTCAATATATCAAGATAAAAAATTTCAGCAACCATGCCATTGTAAAGAGCCTGGTCAGACTGCACTGAAGTATAAGGCTGGCCAGGATATAAATTTGTGCCATAAGCTATTTATATTTAATTTCAGCAGATTAAAAAATACTTATGAGTTTATTTCATAAATGGACCAGTCCTTAAAAGAGTATTAAGTTGAAAAAACTGATCAAACCAGACGTAAATCAGACGGCTTCCACATAGATAGGGAAAAATATATAGGACAGTTGTGTAAATAAGTACAAAATAACAATGACTAAATGTACTAGAGCTTTAATGTAAATAAATGAATAACATAACAATATTGTATTACCAGTATAATGAGGAAGTCCAAACATTCAGAGTTCATGTCAGTAAACAATTTAACAGTCATGATATTATGTGTAAGCTACTTTGTTTTGGTCAGATATCAAAGCCTTAATAATTGCCATGTTTACAGGCAAGTTTACAAGTATATGTTTTATGTTGAAGTATAATTTACTGTCATGTTTCCATGATCTGAGTGGAATAAATAAATTGAAATTAAAATTATTATATCATTATACAGCTGGCAGCTACAAAACCTACCCACGCTACCAGTGCATGCACAACTGTACCGTCTGATCATGGTCTGCACTGTTTGCTATTCAGTTTGTACAAAATTTTGAAAATTTCCCTTAAAGTGATGAATGGCAGGTTTCTTACAGATTGAAAAATGAACAAGTCTATTTCAGGTATTAAGCATGGTTAAGGCCTTAATGAATAAGTGGTACTGGATCATGTGACAAAAAAAATTATATAAAATAGCCTACTTGAATATTGTTTTTGAATCATTAATACACCTGACCTTGACATCACTCAGATAGGACCTTCATCATATATCACTATACTATCTAATATCATCAACCCTGATTCTGCTAAATTTGTATAATGGACTCATCCTGTTTTCAGTTTGGAACAGTCCATTATAAATTCACAGGGTTTCAGTATCAAAAGAGCTCAACAGACAACTTAATTTATGTACAGAGCAGACAAACATAATTATAGGGTCTGGTCATCTTGTCCTGGCTCTATATTATACAATAATGACAATAATTATGTAAGTTACTACTGGTATTCTATAGGTTTAAATAAAAGAAATTCAAATACATAAGAATTACAATCTGTGATGAACATGAATATTCAAACTCATCTTCATGAATATAGAAAATTGTGTTTGTTTGTTAAGGAAATTATCATGAAATTTGAAAAAGTATTAAAAGTATCATTTCTTTATCATGAACATGTACTTTAAAAATGAAAGACTGATGAGATAAAATGCAGATTTTCATTTTCTGTACATGGTATATTCATTGTAAAATTTTCTTTGTTTCACTGTTATGAAACATATTTTCCATATTAACACTTCTAAGTGTCTTGCCAGATCACTAAGTTCTTCTAAATTCAGTCAACAAGGAAGTGTTTCGATTTTTGTAAGGTAAAAAAAGAACATAATATTAAAATTCAAGTTGTTTTTTTATATACTGCATGAAGCGTGGAATGAAAACTATCATATTTCACTATGGTTATGGCCATTCATGAAACCTTTTCTTTCATACCATTCCATGAAAATAAATCCTGTTTTCTTTGGAAAAAAACTGAACATCCTCTATATATAGTATTTTCAATTGTTTACTGTTCTCAATGTCTCCCACAAGGGAAGTTTTACATGAAGCACAAAAGTGTGCTATTTCAAAAGACTGAGGTGTGGATCTTTCAGTGCAAATTTTTTATCAATGCAAGATCTGCAAATGCCATTAACAATAAATTCATGAAACAAGTCCTGTGTATGGTCTGTTACAGGGTAAATTTTGTCCAGTCATCAATCAAGGTTATAATGTGGGCAATTCACCAATAACATTTTATTTGGATGGGCCTACCTAACTTGGCATTATACCCTGTAACAGACTATTTTAGGCTTTGACCTCCAAGTGTGACCTTGACTTTTGTGGTAGGGGTCTAGTTTTTGCGCATGACATGTTGTCTTATTATTGTTTTATATAATTTGTGCTAAGTTATTTTATAATTCTTTGATTGTTGAAAAAGTTACATACCGCACACAAAATATACCCTTAAATAGACCAGACCATATTAAGCTTTGCTACTCAAGTGTGACCTTAACATTGAAGGTAGGAGTCTGGCTGTTGTAAATAACACATTGCCCCATTATTGTGAACATTTTTGCCAAGTAATTTAAAAATCATTTGAACAATAAAGAAATTATGTACTGCATCCATAAAAGACCATGTTAAGCTTTCATCTCTAAGTGTGGCCTTGACCTTGGAGATAAGGGTCTGGTTATTGTGTCTGACACATTGTCTTATAATTGTCAACATTTATGCCAAGTGTTTTCAAAATCTATTAATGGATGATAAGTTATGCACTGGAAGCAAAATACACCCAATAACAGACTATGTAAATCTTTGACCTCCAAATGTGACCTTGACCTTGGAAATAGGCAACATGTTTTTGTGCATGGGACATTATCTTATTTTTGTGAACCTTTGTGCAAAATAATTTCATAATCCCTTGATCTATGAAGTAGTTATGGACCATATACATATATACCCTGTAACAGACTATGATGTATCTTTGATCTCCAAATGTGACCTTGACTTTGGAGGTTACTAAGGCTACTGGTTTTTGAGTATGACTCTTCATCTCATTTTTTCGAACATTTGAGCTAAGTATTTCCAAAATCCCTTCATGGATAAAAAAGTTATTAACAGAACACAACATATACCCTCAAATAGCCTATGTTGACCTTTTATCACCATGTGTGGCCTTGACCTTGGAGATAAGGGTCCAGTTGTTGTGCATGATACATCATCTTATAATTGTCAACATTTATGACAAGTATTTTCAAAATCTTGTAATGGATGAGAAAGTTATGCACTGGAAACAAAATATACCCTATAACAGACTATATTAATCTTTGACCTCCAAATGTGACCTTGACCTTGGAAACAGGCAACTGGTTTTTGTGCATGGGACATCGTCTTTTGTGCCAAATATTTTCATAATCCCTTGATCTGTGAAGAAGTTATGGCCCAGATACATATATACACTGTAACAGACTATGCTTATCTTTAACCTCCACCTGTGACCTTGATGTTGGAGGTAGGCTACTGGTTTTTCAACATGACATATCATCTCATTATTGTGAACATTTGTGCTAAATATGAACATTTGTGCTAAGTATTTCCAAAATCCCTTCATGGATAAGAAAGTTATAGACTGGACACAACATTTACCTTCAAATAGACTATGTTGACCTTTAATCACCATGTGTGACCTTGACCTTGAAGGTAGGGGTCAGGTTGTTGCTCATTACACAAATTATTATTATAAAATACATTTGTGCCATACTATTTCCAATTCCTTTGATAAATAACTTAATTATGGACCGAACACAAAAATGTGACAAACAGACAGACAAAGTTGGATGTGGGACAAAAAAGGGCACATTTCTCTCCCTTTTGTTTAGATGATTTGCAATGTTTAATATGCCTCTTTATTTTCTATATGCATATAATTATAATATAGGTTATACTGTTATGTATTGACATAAATAAAGATTGAAATAAACTTTGAATCTAAAAAAAGAGTACTTCTGGTATCTTTAAAGTTGTAATATTTATGATCATTAAAATGCTAATTTATGCACTCACACCAATTAAGGAAAAATTTAATTTACTCCACTCTAGACTTACTGTGCAATGTATAAAATATAAAAAGATCTAAAAACAAAGAAACAACAAAAAGACAAAAAACAATCAGCTCATATGTCAAGTAAATACATGTTGACATCATATTTGTTGAAAACAGATTTCATCAAGTTCACAGTAAGTACTAGATATAACCTGTTTCAGCCAATTCTTCCATTAAGTATGAATCCGATGAGTATTATTTCTTGCAAGCTAATATAGTGAATTTAGTATTAATCGATCATTACTACAACATTGAATTCAATAAACTCACAAGAAATGATATATTTAATTCAGTGACTAAATTCAAAATAAATAATGCATGTTGAATTCAATAAACTCGGCACTGATACATGTTGAATTCAATAAACTCTGGAATTGATTGATACTTGTTGAATTCAATAACCTCTGAAGAAATAATACATGTTAAATTCAATAAACTCACAAGAAATTGATACATGTTGAATTCAATATACTCTAAGGAAAATCAAAATAATAATGTACAATGTATTATCTTAAAATTGACATATTCATAGTTTACATCTTATATGATACACTGACATTTACCTGCCTCACCTTACATAAAGAAACATACTTTTACTTGAATAATCTTGTGTCTTGAAACCGGTGTCTGAATATTACAGTTTGAGTTAAATTTTTATATATAATACAATGTTTTTCAAAACAAACTACATGTATTTATTCTTCATAATTTAAGGTCCAAATTTTCAATTGTATTTAAAGCTATCAAAATATAAATTTTTACAATAAATACATATCAAACCTACCTATAAGCAAGACTAATTTACCATTTAAGAGTATATGTCAATATTTACGATAAATTTAAACATTTAAGTTCATATATTGTAATATATCACAAAAAGAAAATGAAAATTTACATTGTTTACATTAAATTATACTCACACAAATTTTTGTACAGATTTAAACCATACTTATAATCCAAAAGTAACAAAATGTGTCTGACTTACACAGATCAACATACATATGCCTTGTGAGAACAACATTCAATTGATCAACAGACGAGAAATAAAAATACAAATTTAACGATACAAGTAAACTTACTCAAGCGTAAAGCTAGATTAATCCCATATACAACTGCATACAAATGAAAATACGAAGCACTCTTACCAAGTTGGTATGAATATTAGCCAATCAAGCTTCAGGTTTTTTTATCATTATCATCTAAGCCCTTTGTTACGATGTCAATTTATACATCATTTTCACCTAATATATAAATAGTATACACTTTATCACATGATCTCTGCACAGTATTAATATATAACTCCTAATAGCTGTAGGCTATATATAATATACAGCCTTTTAAAACAACTGCAGTCTACGTCGCCATCGTCATCAATGTTTAATGTATCAGACAAAAAATCTACAGGTTCTTTAAATAATTGTGTGAAAAACAGTGACATGTGACAGAAGTTTTTGTGATTCAATTTTGACTGTGTTACATTTTGCTGGTAATCACAAGATTCATTAAAGTGTCTGTCCTTATACATAACCTTTATTTCTATTGGGTTTTTTTTTCTTGTTCAGAATCAAGACAAGAGTTCAGTGACTGGGATTTAAAAGATGCATTGAATATTTAAAAACAAAATAATGTGGTCTAACTTCATTATAGATTCATGTTCTTTGTCTACATTATCAAAAAATATGCAATAATAGCATTATGATTATAATTATGATGGTATTAACAGAAAGAGAATTGTTGTTCATTAATGATTTTTTTGAAGGTTTAAGATATTTTATAAACATAATGATCAAAGGAAACATTTTCCATGTCAAAATTATAAGCACTGGTTGCTTGGAGCAGCCAGCAGAGGGTAAAGGTTAAAATTTTCTACAACATTAAAAATGACATGCTTTAAACATCTTCAAAAACGGATGTATTTTTATATGAACAGTAAACACTTCAAATTGACGGCCTATATGTTATAACAACATGCATTTTCAGTGTTGTTAACTTCCTGATATGAAAAACTAAGTGTACCTAAACCAAAAACAGAGTGTTTTAGGAAAACATTTAATTACTCTGGGCCTACAATATGGAATGACATTCCAATACATGTTAGAAATTCTGAAACTTTGAAAAAATTTCAAGCCAACTATATTCATTGGCAATTTTCCATTTAAATGTATGTCAATTGTGTACATAGTTTACTAAATATGATACCAAGATGACTATTACTTCTATAACTGTGTTGTTTTTAACATTAGTTGTATTTTTTATTGATTTTTACTTTGTTTGTATTTTTCAATATTGAAGTTTTTGAAAATGCCCTAAAGTGTAAAAATTAACAGTTTATTTCTTAAATGATGTTTTGTAAATGTTGACTGTATATAATTTAAGTTACATTGTATCTATATGTTGTTATGTTACATTGTATGTATATACTGAGGCCCACATGGAAGATCGGGAAACCGAATGTGCTAGCCTCATTTAATAAAGTTGTTACTTACTTACTTACTTACTTACCTCCCTTGGCATGTTTGTACTAAACTAAGACATTAGATGTATGAGAAAAAATGTTTATATTTATTTCTTAAACCAGTGACCTTGACCTTGACCCTAGAGACCGCTTACTCCACAAAAAAATTAGAGGACCATCAAAGGTATCTATCTACCTACTAAATATGAAAGATATCATTAAAGAAATTAAGCAATTAGGAGAAATTTAAGATAAATCCAACTTGCCGAAATAGGTTAACCAGACAAGGCCCTATTTTCATAGTGAAAAAAGGGAAATAACTGGGAAATATGGATGACAAAGTTATATAACTTGGCAATATCATGTACTTCATATTGATAAGTAAGTGTGGAAATTATAAAGCCATTAGTATAGATAGAACTTAAGATATTTCCAACTTGCCGTTTTAGGTTAACCATGATTCATTTTCTAAGTGCTGAAAAGGGCAATAACTTGGTAAATATGAAAGCCAGAGTTATGTAACTTGCCCAGATCATGTACTTTGTATTGATTAGTAAGTGTGTAAACTTAGAAGCCATTGGTACAGGTAGAACTTAAGAAAAATCCAACTTGCCGTTCTAGGTTAACCTCATACGGACAGACAGAGGGACAGACGGACGGACGGTTCAATTTCTATATGCCTGGGGGCATGAAAATTACCACAACTTGGAAAGGTTTGAAAACAGCCAATAGAATATATAATGAGGTTACAATCCATACTCAAAACCTGAGCACAGTTTTCAAGCTTCTGGCACTCAATTAATAATAGAAAGAAGTCCTAGAAGATGTGGAAGTATTATCATTTGTATGTCTTTATCCTGTTTTACTTTAAAAAAAATTCTTGTGGTCCCGCAGGCACAGTAAGGCATTGGTAATACAGTAACACTTTAAAACCTGCGTATATTCAGCAAAAAAAAATTTTTAAATGGTAAATGTGAAAATATTATATTTAGTGCTTCACATATTATATTTAGTGCATTATAAATTCAATAGTAGATATGGTCACAAGTTTTATCTATCTGTCTATCTTCAATTCATGTCAAACCCCTCGCGGGTACGTGGACATGACTCTAGACTAGTCACTTCAGAGGCAGCTATGAGGTACAAAGGAATCCAGTAACCAGTTTTACTAATATCCCTTAGTTCTTCACTAGTTAAATTATGATACATGTATTTTCAAATGAAACATTGAAATAAAACAAGGGAAAGAATTAATAATAAACATACCTGTCTAGGAATATTTTAATTTTAAGCTACCTTGTATAGTAGATACATCAAGGTAAATTTAGTATGTCACAGATTTTAGTGACTTCAGTCTTGTAACATTAAACCATTGTTGCGGTAAAAAGACGTCAACTATACAAAAATTATTTCAATGTCATCTGCACAAAAAACTTTTTATGGTCATAGACAATTGACATTTGGGCTTTGTCCATCAAAATATCATTATCAATTTTAACTAGTCCAAAAATTCTAACAAAAGTTTGTGGCCAGGTTTTTCAAATTTACTTAAATCTGGAGAAAATAATGCAAAGTGATATCACTTGATAAACATTTACTTCTGATATTCTAAGACAGTAGACAGAAAAAAAATCAATATTCATATCCCTATCAGGAAAATTTTGTGCCAATACCTTGAAAAAATCAATATTTCCCTCAGTCATTGACTGTACAGTACAGCTGAAGTGATTTTTGCACTTTCCACTTTGTTACCACATACACTTTTAACAGCTAGTGGAAAATCGCTGGGGACATACTATGGTCATATACACTGGCAAATCACAGCAGACTGGTTAAAAAAAATCTCCGCAATCCCCAGTGAAATATATATACATGCATATAGATAGATATCGCATATAAATGTTCACGTACATGTACAATGTAGTCTTGTTAGAAAAAAAATCAATAACACATACTATATCTTTGCTTTAATAACAGCCGTAATAAAATCTGTATATGTATAAAAATCGGTTGTTTTAAAGTTCCAATAAATGTAAAAAAATCACATTGATTCAAAATGCACTTACAAGTAATATTGTCAATAATGGACATGATAAGATAATTATCCAACAGATCCTTTTGGAGGGCTGACTAGTCATTTGTCAGTGGTCATCTCGTGTGTAAATTTTATGTATATTATTTATCAATGGAAACATTATAATTCATTTATTTATGGATGCTACTTTAAGCGCAAGTGGTTTTTGTATATAATTTTTATAACCCTATGAAATTTCAACATTGGCAATTGGTAACCAACAATTAAATAATTTAACATTTGTAAAACAGGCGGGCAAATATCCAACCTTCAGAAATTTCTCCTCGACAGATGTTACGTTTGTTATTTATTACAGACACAAGTAAATAAGTCAATTGATATAATTATGGTCACTCGAGAGAGCAAAATGCCCCTGCAATATTTCACAGTTATCCACGGTGACAATATCCCGCAGCCCGAATATCACATGTTGGGTGATGCGTGGAAAGTCACAACTGTCCAGAGCAACAGATAAGCTTTAAAAGTGAATTGGGTATTACTCCATCATTTCTTTTGGAATTGGGTATTGGTTCCATTTAATTGGGTATTCCAAACATACCAAGACCATATGATTCAAGATCAATTGGGTATTCAACTATGAAGATATGAGTTTTATGGTTTCTATCAATAAAATTTAAACTGTTTTAAAAAGAAAATAGGATTAACATTTCACAATTTTTTATTTTTTATATAAAATGCTCATGTTATATTTCATAATATTTTTATTAAGTTTGTTTTCTGACTGATTTTTGATTATTTACGACTGTTTTGTTTCAAATCATTTTCCCTTTTGTACAAAGCCATATTGCTTTCAAAGCGTCTATTGATACAGCTGGGACCTACTTATAGACGGTCTCCGCAAAATAAAAGGTCTCTGCTGGTCTGTAAAGACCGTCGACCTGAGTAGACAAATCGACGGTCTCATGCTTAATTGATATGGCTAAGTCTGTCTCTTGAGACCCGGGTTCGTCGAAGACCGGAGACCGTTGATTAGTTAGCATTGATTCAGGAATATTCGGATAGCATGCATATCAATATAATTTGTCCAAAACTATGAGCGCACGACAGATTAACAGTGTTGCATCTAGAATTTCAAAATTATGGGGGATTGTCCCCCACTTAATCGAAAAATGTGGGGGATTTGAAAAAAATTTGGGGGACATACATTTACCTTACAATATGACATACCGAATAGAATTCATTTATTTTACATTCAGGCATTTTTGACAGCTATCGTCCGCTCAAAAACGGAAGTAGAAAAAATAAAATAATGACAAATACTACAAAACACACCCGAGATGACTTAGTCGGCTGCTACACGCGATTTAGTACGTATTTTAGTCATAACCACGAGTGAAAACAAACATGGCTGAAGCGTTTAAGATACGATGAAGATAAACTGAATTAGGTTGAAAAGATAGTTAGATGCGCGACTTGGCGCGCACTGACTTCATTAAATTGCGCGATCTTCATAAAAAATTTTGCAAATCGCGCAATCACGCGGCCAAGATGCAACACTGGATTAATTTTGCGGTGATGAAAATGACAATTCGCATGGTTTTTAAGACAATTGCGTATTTTTCTTTTAATGGGTTTTGATATTCTTAAAAAATCAATTGCGTATTTTATAAAATTAATTGCGTAAATATGCAAATAGGCACCTTATCTGTTGCTCTGTCGCAAGGAAATAACAGTGACAATCCGCCATAAAAAATCGCAGAGATTGGCAGACTTTTGAAAAATTGTTAAAGCTGTACAGTAAAATTGTTGTTTTTTTACAGATCTCAAAACATTGCTAGACTGTCGGACTACTCTCCATATATTTTATGTTTGCCCAAAAGAATTTTACCAGACTGGGTCGATGCTTATTTTTCGCAGACTGCAATGTCAAGTTGAATATTGTCTTCTATTGAGGCCAACTTCATCAATTCATGTAAAGTTTTGTACAGGTTATAAATCAACTACATTACAATATCAAACTGCAGTGCACTAGAATTTAACCCAATGATAAATAAAACATTTCAAACACTAGTTAAACTAAACCTTTATCTGGGATAATTTTTACACAATAACTTTGTCACGTTTACAATGAATCATTGACATTGAATGATAATATAAATAAGCTGTGGATCAGGTGACACTGTAAGTGTAATATTTCATAAATCAGATTAAATGTATACCATAAATTCTACATATATAGAAACTACCTACTCATAGAAATCATGCACTAAGTCCTATCTCAATGTAATTCTTCCCGATTTCAATGGTTCAAAATAATGTTGACATAAATTTTGTCAATAAAAACATTACAATGTGAAGAGTAAGTGTCAAAGGGAGTTAATTCAATACTGGTACGAATAGTTTTTGGAAATGTTGTTGTCATCACAAGCTAAAAAATACACTTAATTTTGTTTCCCACATTAAAATAAAAAATTGATTATAAATTGAATAATCTTAATTATTTTTTACGAAAACAATTCTATATCTTTCAATAATGTCCGACCCCTCGTAGGAAACAAAACATTTAAGTAAAGGTGTCTAAAGGATATTTTATTAAATTCTCATTTAGTATTTAAATACATGTACTCTGAGTTGTGATTTCTAAGCTACATTGTATTTTGGAACTGCTCTCGATTTCATATATTTTAAATTGTTTTGCTGACACTGAGGTGAATTTATTCAATGCTCAGAATAACAAGGACTTTGATTGAAAGATTTCAAACCTTTGGTAAAGATTATAAAGACTAAACTCAGCTCCAGTTAGAGTAACATCATAAGGTTGACATAGCCCATTTGCTTTTTAAAACAAAACCACAATAGTGGTATGGTAAAACTGAGCTCATTTTTCACACTTATGTAATCCCTCACCTCTCACTTGTTTTTCATATTGTCACATGATGATATGTCTACTGCCTGACTTAACACAGTAAATTCTTCAGGCTTATTGATACTTAATTTACATGGATTGATAGTGTAAATTACTTTCTTTACTGACTCACTTCACAATATTTCACTTTAAAAATTACATTTCAATTTTTTCATGAAAATTATTAGGATGAATCTGGATGCATCAGCTGCTTTAAAATTGATATAATTATCTTGAAACCAATAAAAGAAGACCCGTTCACGGACAGCACACTCAATTTTTCTCAAAGGCATTTTCAAAGGGAAAAAAGGAAAATAATTAAGCAGAAACCAGGCTTTCAGAATTATCTGCCTTTTAGAAATGCATTTCAAATTTGGTAGTGAACAAGTACTCCAATACTAAAGGAATATCTACATGTATATGATATTTTTCAGAAATAACAAAAAATTAACCAAAGTAGAGGATTTACCTGCCCTTTATAAATGATTGGAAAATTTTTACAAGTTTGGAGTGATTTACCTTATAATAAAAAAAATATTAAAAAGGGGCTCATCAGCTTTGCTAAAAATGAATTTTAGGGTTATCTGCCCTTCTGAAATGGTCTCATGTTTTGATAGTGAACAATCATGTATATTAAGTTTGAAGTGAATAACTTCCATAGTTTCTGAGAAAATTGATCGTGACAAACAGTAACTTGGTTGAAAAAGGGGTGACTTTGCATAAAATAATTTTAGGACTATCTGCATTTTTTAATGGTGTCCTTTTATGACAATAAACATGTATGCCAAGTTTAAAGTGAATAGCTTTTATATTTTCTGAGATTTTATTGTTGGGTTGCACCTGACAACAGTTTTGACCTTATGGTTACTTCTTTACAGGTGGAGACTTTCCAGCTTTACTGTTGGAGATTTGCAGCTTTACTGTTGGAGGCTTTCCAGCTTCACTGGTGGAGGCTTTCCAGCTTAACTGGTGGAGACTTCTCAGCTTTACTGACTTTCCAGCTTGGAGACTTTCCAGCTTTACTTGTGGAGGTTTACCAGCTCTACTGGTGGAGACTTTCCAGCTTTACTGGTGGAGGCTTTCCAGCTTTACTGGTGGAGACTTTCCAGCTTTACTTGTGGAGACTTCTCGGCTTTACTAACTTTCCAGCTTTATTTGTGGAGACTTTCCAGCTTTACTGGTAGAGACTTCTCCACTTTACTGACTTTCCAACTTTACTGGTGGAGACTTTCCAGCTTTACTGGTGGAGACTTTCCAGTTTTAATGGTGGAGGCTTTACAGCTTTACTGGTGGAGACTTTACAGCTTTACTTGTGATGACTTTTGAGCTTTACTGGTTGAAACTATCCAGCTTTACTAGTGGAGACTTTCCAGCTTTACTGGTGGAGGCTTTCCAGCTTTACTGGTGGAGACTTCTCAGCTTTACTGGTGGAGACTTCCCAGCTATACTTGTGGAGACTTTCAGATTTTACTGGTGGAGTTTTGCAGCTTTACTTGTGGAGACTTCCCTGCTTTACTGGTCGAGACTTCTCAGCTTTACTGACTTTCCAGCTTTACTGGTGGAGACTTCCCAGCTTTACTGGTGGAGACTTCCCAGCTTTACTGGTGGAGATTTTCCAACTTTACTGGTGGAGACTTTCCAGCTTTACTGGTGAAGACTTCTCAGCTTTACTGACTTTCCAGCTTTACTGGTGGAGACTTTCCAACTTTACTAGTGGAGATTTGCAGCTTTACTTGTGGAGACTTCCCAGCTTTACTGGTGTAGACTTCTCAGCTTTACTGACTTTCCAGCTTTACTGGTGGAGACTTCCCAGCTTTACTAGTGGAGACTGTCCAACTTTACTGATGGAGACTTTCTAGCTTTACCGGTGGAGACTTTCCAGCTTTACTGGTGGAGACTTCTCAGCTTTCCAGCTTTACTGGTGGAGATTTTCCAACTTTACTTGTGGAGACTTTCCAACTTTACTGGTGGAGACTTTCCAGCTTTACTGGTTGATGCTTTCCAGCTTTACCGGTGGAGACTTTCCAGCTTTACTGGTGGAGACTTTCCAGCTTTACTGGTGGAGACTTCTCCACTTTACTGACTTTCCAACTTTACTGGTGGAGACTTTCCAGCTTTACTTGTGGAGACTTTTTAGCTTTACTGACTTTTCAGCTTTACTGGTGGAGACTTTCCAGCTTTACTGGTGGAGACTTTCAAGTTTTACTGGCGGAGGTTTTCCAGCTTTACTGGTGGAGAATTTTTCCAGAACCATAAGCTAGCTGGATAGCTTCCTCACATTTAAGAATACACAGTCCCTGTACATATTTGAACCCAGAGTGGTGAGGTGCAGGTTGTTTGAAGTCAGCTATCTTAGCCACTTAGAGACAGTCAGTTGGATAAAACAATCTACAACCTTTCTGATTAGTCTAGTTGTAAGGTCTAGTCAAAGATTGTAAAAGTTTTGATAGGCACTCAGACAGTAATCAAAATCAATGTACAGTAGTCAAAATCAATGTACAAACAGGGAACAAAAAAAACTATTGAACATGAACTGATGAAAATTGGCCCAAAATTCACACAAACATAAAAGTTCATTGTAAACACTTTTTGTTCACAAAACTCATATAGAAATAAACTACAAGAATTTTTTTTATCATTAGCATATTTATTCATCAGCAATAACATCAATCATTTAAATTTTCATAAATTACTACATCAATTTCTTATACCTAGTACACATGAAAATATATATGAAAATAACATAATAATAAATGTTTGCACTACTGGATATAGGCTCTCACTTTCACATTTTATATCAAAACAAAGTACATGCATATGTATGAGAAATTATTAAAATGATTTATTTGGCCCCATACAAGTATAACTGATAATCAATACGAAAATGGAAAAAAACAAACCCTTCCTCACGATACACATTTTCTTCAGTTAAAACACCTGGGACATATCATAATGTGACAAGCAATGCTGACATTCAGTTAACAGCTAATAGAACAATAAGCATAATTTTGAATGTTATGTATGTTATCATAGTTTTGCCGCTAAACGCCATAACGTTTTCGCGCGTTTAACGTGTGTTCCGTTATGACGTCGCTTCCGGTAATTTTATTATGTTTTGCACTGATGAAGGCATATAGCCGAAACATATGCAATAAAATTTAATTACTGAATGTTTGTGTTTGTGTGGCTTGCTTGTTTATTTTTGAATAAGGTACATGTATTTGTGAATTTTATAATATAAATAAGTTCAATGAAAACAAATGCTTTTCTTTTTTTTTTTTTTTTTTATATTTACATTAATAAATTTTCTGAAAATTATGTTAATATTGACTTAATTTTTTTAAATACTTAAGGAATGTTAAAATCTATCTTATTTACAATATTTACCACAGACAATAACAATGACCAACAAGACAAAATGGTGTAGCCTTGGATGAGAAAAGATAAGGCGGTCCTAATATCACTAGTTGTTTGTTCCATTATATTATGTTCTAGGTAATTTATATTTTTCAACATACACAATTAATCAATGACCTGCACCAACATTGCATGAAATATACTGCCATATACATGTATATACACATATGTGCTGCTATTTTATTTTTATTTACTCTTTAATCACTCGTAAATAAGAGGCTTAATACCATGCTTCTCAGTGGCCAGTGAAATATCAAAGTATATGTATAATTAGTAAGATATTTTGCATGCGTATGCGAAGCAAAATCGTGCATTATAAATTAATGAAAATTTTGACAGCAATAATCTCTATTTTACTTCTTTAGTGAAATTATAAATGGTTACTGGAAACACATGGATAGGTTAATAGTTTAATGAATAACATATGTCTTGAAAATTTTCAAGATTATTGTTTAGCAGAACATTTTGTCACCTTAGTGCAGTAACAGGCTAACTCCTATTGTATTTTATAGAAGTTAACCCGTTACTGCACTAAGGCAACGATTTGTGATACTGATGAAATGCTGAAAGAATCTCCGTGATATAGCACTGCAACAATCAGTAACAATGAAACAAATCCATTATAAAGCAGGAAGCAAATAGAAAATTCATTTGTTTGATTTGTATACAATATCATATCTTATTTTAAACATGAACACCAGCTGTTATGTTTTCACTATTAGCTATACAACTCATAAAAATATTGCATCTGGTATTCAATATACATGTATGAAATATACTACAAACAGACTACATGTGTGTATTGTAATATGTTTAAAAAATGGTCTTTTAACTCATCGATTTTATTGGTCATACTACAATCAAACAAACATGTTCTAAACTATGTCACCTGTCACAGTTCTCTCATCTGCTGCAATGAACTTACTTTTTATTGTCAGAACTTTCAATCAAAAACAGATTATTTTCATTGATCTGCATAAAAAACCCACATGAAATCTATATCAAGTATAATTGTAATTTAAACTTCATGTTTTTATAATAGGGTAAGTAATCCAGAAATACACAAGCTTTTCATTGTTTCATAATTATTGCTACTTCTAGTAGTCCTTGCCATAATTTTTTGTCTAATGAGAATGACTTAATGAAAAGAAAAATTTAAGAGTCTTTAACAGCTATAGTTCACTAAGTAGGTCCTTCTCCTCCTTAATTGAGCTGTTTAAACTGTTAAATTTGTTCTTAATAGCATCTAACAATCATTTGGTGGCAATTTAAAGAGGACAAGATTTGCCATAACTTACTCTGAATACAATGTTCAAAAATTTAACAAAAATCACAGATTTGTTTTCTTCTTAACTGTTACTTTCTTATACTTTGTGTATTCCTTTTTTAATATAGTTAAGGTAATACAGCATTCATAAATGTAAATAAAAAAAAGAATTATTATCAACTTTTAATGGCTCGAAAATACATAAATGATTAGCACAACAATTTCACTCTATCTCTGCAAATTTAAAGCCGTTAGTATTGTATACTTATGATTTATTATCTTTAACCTATGCCAAGTAACTGTTTCACATTTTCATAGACTTGAATCACTCATACAAATGAAGTACATGTATTCACTAATATTGTATAAACCTACATAATAAGTGTATAATATACATGTATAAAATACATATTAAAAACAAATGTTTGAATATTCCATATTACAATTATTCATATCACATTTTTCAAAGTACAGTCTCTTCTGTTTATTACATATCTAAATTCATATAATATCTATCCTATGTTTTGGAAGGTACGGGTTAACTTAGCCAGTCCAAATCATCGTCATCATCATCATCTCCAAACAGTGGTGGGGGAGGCTTTGGTTTCATATGCTGTAAAGAGATTAAAAGAAAATCATGAAGACATTTTACATAACAATCTTGAACTATTCTTCTATAATGCTTGAAAATACAAATCTAAATTGTTGTTCCATGTTATTAAAGATTTCATATATAAAAAAACAAGAAACGTAAATATAGAAAATCATATAGTTGCAACAAATGTAGACCAAGATCACCCGGCACATTCATGCTGTCTGATCATGGCTTGCACTTTTTGCTATATTAAGTCTGTATGTATTTTGAAATTTTCCCCCCAAAATACAATGATAAATGGTTTTGTCCAGATTGTAATTAATACAAATACATGTATAAAAGTTCTGAAAATATTGTAAGAATTTTTACTTGCAAGTGTTTGATCATGGTTCAAAAGCTGCTTAATATACAGAATATACTGAAATTCAAATATTTGCAAGTATCAAACAAATGCAAGTTTATTTTTGCACTATCCGAACATATAGTGCACTGTTTCTAAAAAAAACCTTATCTTTGGTATCTAAAAACTACAAAATTTGAGGAGAACTCAACAGTTCTTTATGCATTAAAAGTGATAAAGTAAACAAAACATGTACATTGTATATGTATATGAAACATATATTCATGTAACATATTTTAAACAGACTGAATTCCCTAATATACCCAAAGCCAAAGGAACATGCTAACATAAAGTCATTTAGGAATAAGAGCACCAAGGTGGCCACTTTAAGCTTGCATACTGATGGCACATGCTGTTATTACTTATATGAGTGTTAATTTTTTTTTTGGGGGGGGGGCAGTTCTGAAATAAATAAACCACTGGTTAACTCTAATGTAGCCACAAGTTAAAAATAAATGGCAGGGTCATAAATTATATTTATCATAATTATATCATTATTAGGTAGGTAAAGACTGTAAAATGTCACTAAAAATGATTTATTTAAAGAGAAACCATCTGATTTTTTGTTTCAGGAATTGTTAGAACAGACTCTGGATAATATTGGGAGCATTTCATACTTTCTCTTACATCTGAACTACTGGATAGAGATTTTTGGCGCGTTCCTTTCCACAGGAAGCTGAGAGCCTGCTAAAATTACATTTTACTACAGAAAGAATCAAACAAATTGCTACATAAGTACATACTAGGAGTATAAGAGAATGTTATTTTCATCATAACTTCACCATAAAGGTATTTGACATTCAACAAAATATAAAATAATTCCACTCAGTGTATTTGACATTAAACAAATGTAAAATAATTTCTCCCAGTGCATTTGTGACATAAAACAAATATAAAATAATTTCTCCCAGTGTATTTTGACATTAAACAAATATAAAATAATTTCTCCTAGTGTATTTGACATTAAACAAATCTAAAATAATTTCCCTAGTGTATTGTGACATAAACAAAATGTAAAATAATTTCTCCAAGTGTATTTGACATTAAACAAATCTAAAATAATTTCACTCAGTGTATTTGACATTAAACAAATCTAAAATAATTTCACTCAGTGTATTTGACATTAAACAAATCTAAAATAATTTCACTCAGTGTATTTGACATTAAACAAATGTAAAATAATTTCTCCCAATGAATTTGACATTAAACAAATTTAAAATAATTTCTCCCAAAGGATTTGACACTAAAAAAAATTATAAAATGTCCCTTTCCACCACTGTAATGGGCATTAAACAAATATTAAATAATTACCCCAGTGTATTTGACATTGAACAAATACATAATAATTTCTCCCAGTGCATTGGGCATTAAACCAAATACATAAAATAACTTCTCCAACTGTAGTGGGCATTAAACAAATAGAAAGTAATTTCTTAATGTGTATTTGACATAAAGCAAAAGAAAAATATTCCCCTGTCGTATTTGACCTTATATACAATATATTGTATTAAACAAATTTAAAAAAAAACAACCTAATCTCTGTGTATTTGACATTTGGCATTAAAACAAATAAATTCTATTTTTTCCTGGATTAATGTAAGTACGTACAAGTATATAAGAACAAATCTAATAGTACATTTTATGAAAAGTATATTTTATGAATTTGTATTTTACATGTATTTTATTTTTGAATAAATATAATAATGTTCATATCAACTGATCAAATCTATCACCAATGATCAATTAACATGGTATTTGAAAATGTGCATCTTTAATAATATCTTGACATTTTGGTTATTGTTATACACATGTAAATTGTATATAATGCAGAGAAAAGAAGCCATTCAACAATTACATAATGAACTTATATGAGACGTGAGAAGATGTCCAAACAAAACAGTGATATAAATTTTGAGTTACGTTACCAGCAGTGATGACTTGAAAAGAAAGTCAAGATGTGATCTTGCAAAGAATTTACTAGTTGGGTACTTTAGAATATTAGTTATAAAGATTGTTGACAGGTTATATGGCCCAATATAAATGGCTATTTGTAAATATAACCTGAGCCGCTAGTTTATATAGGGCCATATAACCTGTCAACAATCTTTATAACAAATTTATAATACAGCAAGCATCATTTTTTAGAGAAAAAAGTAAGATTTCTTCATGAATCGACAGCAGCCGTGAATATAAAACCATATAAACGTCACGATTATCCAATGAGAAGTGACGTTACAAACGTGCAGTATTATGATACAAGATATAGCGAGCTCTTGCCAGAAAAAGCAGTACACATTTATTTACATACATTGAAAATATTTACCTCAATATATTCCTGTTTCTCAAAATTAATCAATGTAAAAATATTTACTTTATCTTGTATTGTGTTTCTTAGCATTAATCAATGTAAAAAGATTTACTTTATCTTGTGTTGTGTTTCTCAAAATTAATCAATGTAAAAAGATTTACTTTATCTTGTGTTGTGTTTCTCAAAATTAATCAATGTAAAAAGATTTACTTTATCTTCTATTGTGTTTCTTAGCATTAATCAATGTAAAAAGATTTACTTTATCTTGTGTTGTTTTTCTCAAAATTAATCAATGTAAAAAGATTTAAGTTATCTTGCATTTTGTTTCTCAAAAGTAATCAATGTAAAAAGATTTACTTTATTTTGTGTTGTGTTTCTCAAAATTAATCAATGTAAAAAGATTTAAGTTATCTTGTATTGTGTTTCTTAGCATTAATCAATGTAAAAAGATTTAAGTTATCTTGCATTTTGTTTCTCAAAATTAATCAATGTAAAAAAATTTAATTTATCTTGTATTGTGTTTCTCAAAATTAATCAATGTAAAAAGATTTAATTTATCTTGTATTGTGTTTCTTAAAATCAATCAATGTAAAGGTGGTTCTAAAAAAACAATCTATGTAAAAGTGTTTCTTTTAATCAATATTAAAATATTAAAATAGTCTTGTATTGTGTTTCCTAACATTTATCTGTGCTACAGAGTTTGTTCAATTTAACTTACACCTTTTAAAAATCTATCAAAAATAGTGTGAACAAATGAAAATTCCCACAACATAAAAATAAAAATCACAAAGACCCTCTCATTTCTTTCCTATTATCACATCATACATTCAAACTTGTCTAGTTAAAAACAAAGCCTTGCGTGTTCGGAAAAATTGGTTGATGTATAATACATACATGTCTCTCATGACAGGGTTATTTGTATTGCAACTATTTAAAGGGTCTGAAACACATGTTTGACTGTAGTAAATGAGATTCACTTTGTGAGAATTCTTAATAAAACAGATTTTCGTTGCTAAACCAATGCCCATGTTGCTCTATGTTAGTTTCACAACACAACACATTGTAATATTATCGTATATGTTCACTGTCACTATACACAGTCACTTTACAAATACATTTTGTAGTCAATACCAATACATTGTATATCAAATGCAGGCTAAAAATAAATAAATATGCATGTATTCAGTATTATGGGTTTATAATACATTTTTTAGTTTAATATACTGAATTCTATTGGTTAAGCACACAGCCAGACGAGGCACTAGCTGAGTGCCATACAGGTTTTTCAGCTGTGTACAAGTCCAATAGAATCAGTATTGTTCTCAGCAATGATTACTGGCCTCTTTATTTTTCATTTGATGACATTTTGTCAAAACTTTGCTACTTTAGATATAAGGAATTGATTAAAATTTTTGACCTTGAAAATGGAAATAATGTTAGATTAATAGATATGATGTGCAATTGATATGTTGGACTTTGAAAATAAAAATAAGGCTATATTAGGTACAATATATATTGATATAGATACTATGGACTATGGAAATGAACACAAGGCTTTATTGGGCTTGATATGCATATAATATGGATAATTTGGACTTTGGAAAGAGGCTGATTTGATAATGGATCCGACAATGATTTGAGCCGTGTCATGACAAAACCAACATAATGGGTTTGCAAACAGCATGGATCCAGACCAGCCTGCGCATACCCAAAGTCTGATCAGGATCCATGCTGTTCGCTGTCAGTTTCTCTATAGGGTTTGTAAGCGAACAGCATGGATCCTTATCAGACTGCGCGGATGTGCAGGCTGGTCTGGATCCATCCTGGTCGCAAACACATTACGTTGGTTTTGTCATGGCGCGGCTCATTTACTTTAGAATTGCGTTAGTTTTATTTTATAAGGTATGAAATAAAAGCATTTACATATTTTGATACATGTTCAATGCTTCAATGACATGCGCAAATATAACCAGGTGACAAGAAGAAAAAGTGTTGTAATTGAATGACAATGCTGACTAAGCAACATTACCTGAGATTGAATACTCAGTTAAAATACAGGGAGTTATATAAAAACAGGGTAATTGTTAGTGGTTATTGACCTATTGATATACCACTTGTATTTTGATCTCATGAATTTTACTATGTAACACACTCAATGGTTCTGAACTTAGATCCTGAACAAGCAAAATTCATTCAAGTCAAATTAGAAGTTTCAGATCAAGACACTATTTAAAATTATAATACATCTTTTAAGTTATCACTTTTTTTCAAAAACTGATGAAAGAAAAGCAATTAAAATGCAAACTAGAATTATAATTAGAGGGATAAACTGCTGCACCTCATCATTTGTAGACTGCTTCTCTCCCGATTTGTTGACTGTGTCACCATTTACTTCTGGTTTATTGGTAATGCCTAAAGTTTGTGCTACATTATCATCATCACTGTCATCACCAAATACAGATCTGCAAGCAAAATTTTACCTCAATTTTTTTTAAGTTAAGAATGGAAACTATATACTAGATACATAAAGCTTTCATTTCTAGTTAGTTTAAACACATTTAAAGGAACTTCATCGAGATTTATTGACATGACTGGACTCCAAATATATTTTCCAGATTTTTATGCTATTTGATGTAGGTCTATATCAATAAATTGCCGAACGCTCACTCTATTTTATTCCATGAAAATCTTCCTTATTGTGCAAGAAACGAAGAGTATTTTAATGCTTTTAAAGAATTGCACTTTAAATTTACACTGTATATCCTTTTCCTTTTCATATTTTCTCATTTAAAGTGCCTAAAGTTGACTTATGCAAGATTTCCATTTTTTATGTTTTCAATTTTTGGACCTCAGTGGAGCTCCTTCAAGATCTGAAACAAGATCTGGCAATTTACATTAATCACGTTCAAGTCTGTTTCCTTGAACTCACTTGTATTTATTAAGAGACTTTCTTTTGAAGTTAACCCAAAGCAAAATATAAGGTGCTTTGCACATTGTATGCCCCTATTTGCTACTTTAATCCAGACATACAAAATCTTATTTTTACTATTTTGAGACAGGAAATCTGAAAACCTGATTCAGAGTACTAATATTTTGAAAAATTTGCATACTTTGTCCTATCTTTCTCAGTGATTTTTTCATCTTCACTTTCATCAGTTAATGGTGGTGGTTCTGTACTAACTAAAGGTGCTGGTACCGTCTCCGCAACTTTAGCTGGCTTGCTCTCTAAGGCTGAATCCAATAAATCTTCCAGGGAACCAGCTTTCTTCAAGTTTGAATCCCCTGACAGAGACTGATTTTGTATCACGGGATTTTCTTCATCTAAAGATAAAAATAGAACAAGGAAAACATGTAACAGTAGAAGCACAAGACACAGTTTAACCGAGGATACAGTCAGGAGAACCAACACAAATCTGTCCATCTCTGACAAAGCTCTATATCGTTGGTAGCTTAATTTTTATATTTGGATACTAAAATCCTTAAGCTCTGAATACGCTTATCAGCAAATCATTGAAAATTTGGAATCAATTGTAAGTGATATGTACCAGGGACTATTCTCTGATGGATAAAGTCTGATCCCATTCTGTAATTGACAAACAATATGGTATGAAGAGTTTAATGTGAATGGACATGAAGTATGTTTTATGAATCTAAGTGTAAAGAATAATAAAATGCTTTATCACATAAACCACGGCACAGGGGTGTAATAAAGCCATTTAATAAAACAATATTACACTAGAGTAATAACACTTTGACGTGATGTCATTTGCATTATATACAAATACAGCGTTAAAGCGTGCTAATATTAGCGTAACACTATACAATGAAAATGACTCATTTAAACTGTTAACCGCTCTTATTTTGAATATGTGATATAGAGGATATTTGATTAGTTCAGTGTAAGATCGGAATATATTTCACCGAGTGAGCACCAAAAGGTATATTTCACGAGTGGCGCAGCCACGAGTGAAATATGAACTTTTGGTGTTCACAAGGTGAAATATATTTCGATCTTACACTAAACTAAACAAATTTTCTTTTTATTATATGCAAAGAAACGTTTTAAAAAGACATTAAACCTAATACTGAATAAAAAGCGCGCCAAATAATAATACAACGTGACGTCATTTACGACGTCACGTTATTAAGTTGGTACCCAGTGCTGTGCACGCTGGTATTTAACTGAAACAACGTAAGGGGCTTAAATTCAAAACAGTGAAATTATCAAAGTGGTAATTTCACTGTTTCAAACAGTGAAATTACCAGTTTTATATCACTGATATATTTCTATAAACCACCGAAAAGCATGTAATAACTAGAAATGTGTCCATAGGACACGGGTGCCCCCACCGCGCCACTGTTCTGTCAATCTTTTTACTAAGTCAAGGGAAATAACTCTACAAATACTGGATAAATCCACAAGCGAAACCCCAGGTGCAAATCTAAATATGCTGAGCAACCTGCCCATAAGGTTTAATGACTATGTCAAATCCTTTTTGAGTAACTTGCGATCACATGCTGATCAACATTCCTGTAAAGTTTCATGACTCTAAGTCAAATACTTTTTGAGTTACATGCGACACAAGTTGAAAATTGCAAAATTTTACTGAGTCAAGGGCAATAACTCCAAAAATACTTAAAATATCCAGACGAAAATACCCAGGTGCACAACTACACATGCTGATTAACATTCCTGTAAAGTTTCATGACACTAGGTCAAATACTTTTTGAGTTACGTGCGACACAAGTTGAAAATTGCAAAATTTTACTAAGTCAAGGGCAATAACTCTGAAAATACTAAAAATATCCACATGAAAATACCCAGGTGCACAACTACACATGCTGATCAACATTCCTGTAAAGTTTCATGACTCTAGGTCAAATACTTTTTGAGTTACATGCGACACAAGTTGAAAATTGCAAAATTTTACTAAGTCAAGGGCAATAACTCTGAAAATACTAAAAATATCCAGACGAAAATACCCAGGTGCACAACTACACATGCTGATCAACATTCCTGTAAAGTTTCATGACTCTAGGTTTAATACTTTTTGAGTTACGTGCGACACAAAAGTGAACGGACGGACGGACGGACGGAAGGATGGAAGGACGGACGTTCTCACAGGACAGTAATTATGTGGCTACTCTATTGTTCTCTCTATTGTTCTTTTAGCCACGCAAAAGAAAATAGCCACATAAAAGCATTACGGAATGAATGACATCAAAGAGAACCTATTGTCCCTCTAGCCACATAATTACTCTCCTGTGAGTGCGGACGGACGGACAGACGGACGGACGGACAAGGGTAAATCTAAATGCCCGCCACTAACGTGGGGGCACAAAAATAGAGTATTATGTTCATGTAGATCCAATGATAAATTTATTGAACTTGTTGAATAAAACAAAATTATATTTGCCACAGCTCGCATATGATTTTATTCAACTTGTTCAATAAATTTAGTATTAAATCTATACACATTCAATATCTTCTATTTCCTTTTATTGGGCTACTGTAAAACTTCCATATATAAGGCTTAGAGAAACAGAGCAGTTTTAGGTAAAATTAAATAGGTATTCCTTATCAAACAAAATTTCACAGTAACTATTATTGTAAATGCTTTAAAAAAGACAAACCTTTTTGTTCATCTTTAACCTCCTGAGTATTGCTATCATCTTCTGTATTCTGTTTTAATTCTGAACTATCACCAATTTTATTAGTCTCTTCACTGTTATCTATTTCATCCTCAACATTTTCTATTTCTTTATCAAGTTCATCATCATCATCACTACCTTCATCATTAACACTGTTTTCAGTTGCTATATTGGCATTAGCAACATTAGAACTAATTGCACTTTCTACATTGTCAGATTGAGTATTACTAGATGCCTGCACTTGTTGAGTTTCTACTCTTTGTTCTACAGTTTCCTTAACTTCTTCCTTTACTGGTTCTGCAGTTTCTTCTTCTTCTTCTTCATCCTCCTCGTCCGATTCTAAAATGATTTTCAAGCATGTTTGTGTGAAAATAAACTTATCTAAATGATCCTATATTATCAACATTTTCATAATTCTTCTCTTTTCTAGTTCAAATATACAAAAATAATCAGTGAGTGATTAAAAGACAGCAATCTAAACCTTTAGGTCACATAGTCTTCCTAACTCTACTCAACTGTAACATTTTAATGACTTTGAAGACAATGTGCATAACACAATTATCTGACCTTCTTCTTCATTTTTCTATATCAATAGCCTGATATATATATATATATATATATGTGTGTGTAGATACCTCTTACTGTCCTTTTGACTTCATCTATGGTGATTTTTTCTCCTTTATTTTGGTTAATAAAAAGATTTATGAAAAGGCCAACCTGTTTGAAAGGTTGATATATATTATAGTACTTCTATAATTATTTTATAGCTTATACCTTCATCATCTTCTTCTTCTTCCTCACTTTCAGCTTCTTCTTCCTCTTCTTCACTCTCTTTATCCTCTTTGTTTTCCTGCATTCTTTTCATTAATGATAATGTTGTACTCTGGAGACAATAATATACAGTTGATGATTAATTTCACGACCATAGATAATCATAACAACTTATGTTCCTAATTGTATAATTCCAATCTCTTATTTGCAAAATTTATGTATCCTCTCCTTGTATTGTCAGTCATAACCCTGTTGCGCATTCCTCAAATAACCAATTTACATCGTTTCTACACTTCTATTTCATTTACAAGTATCTTTATCCTTAATATTCATTACATCCACCATAAAATCTATAAATCACATTTCCTTGTAACTCCTATCTTAAACATTTTGCATTCCCTCAATCAAAAACTCACCTGTTTCATGTAATTGCTACATTCCCTAATCATAAATATCTTTAACCAATGTTTCAAACAATCTTTTTATCAATAGATATTTAAGAACACTTTCGGCCATTACAGGAAGGAAATCTTGTTCGTAAGTATCCATATAGCATAAACCCAGCCAAAACTTTTGATCATCTCTAACAGGTACTCTCTAAATTAGTGATTCCTGTCTGTACAGGTAGCCAGTGTAAGTTTCTCACATTTAAAATTTCTAAACGACAAATAATAACAAACTTTATAAATGTTGCCATCAGGAAAGTCTACCTAATGTATTTCCTTTTTTATACACAATCAAAATAGGTAACATTTAGGCTACAAGATATACAATGTATTCTTCAAACACTGGCAAAATAAAAAGCAGACATTCCTTTATAAGGGTTTAAATATTACGCTAGTATTTTCATTTTCCCGTATTTCTTTTCCCCTGCTTTAAAAAATGTCCCTCCCTTTTTTTATTTTCGGTGTTCATGATCTTTTTTCACCCAAATATACAACAAAAAATAAATTTGTTTTTTAAAACATTCCTTTTATGTTGCTTTCAGCAAAAAAAACTTTAGAACCCCCCCCCATCTTTCTTTTGTATGGTTAGTTTTCCCGGAACAGATTTGACAGTGTCTCAATAAGCCTATAGCTTCCAACACAATCTAACTACAGTAAAATAAATTACTATAAACTTAACTAAAACATTGCCTTATTATAATATTATACTGTAAAATCATTATTATTTGTGGGGCACGAATTTTCATGGTTTTCGTGGGTAGGTCAATCCACGAATTTAAGATCCAACGAAATTTTATCCCAACAATTACTTCTAACCATGTCTCTATTCTATACATGCGTCGCCGCTTTTCAGGTGAATTATTGTGTTATGATGGTATGCAGTTAATCAGGTAAGTGACAGATTAAATCTATAAATAGTTTAGGTTTGCAATTTTTAAGAAACTTGAAAGCAACATCACTGAGACTGCTTAGTTGTTGTAGGCTACTTGAATGTGTTATCCAGAATACTTGACATAATCGAGTGAAAATGGGAAACCAGTGCAATTATTAGGGCTAATATAAATTGTCAGTTTGCTCTTATTAATTGTTAATAAAATGAAAGAAATCTTTGATATTAATGTTGTAAGCTGTATTTGTGCGACTGCTATTCCATAAACATCAAAGACGCTGCCGACTCCTTAATATATCCGCACAATCTCGTACTATTTACTCATATTAATTTATATGTATGTAAATTTACACAGTCAATGTGATGTTGCCTGTAGTTACTGTCAAATATAGTAAGACCAATTCTGGGTGTAAACTTTTTAAACTCGCTGGTTAAAACGTGTCAGGGGTCGTATAAATTATGCAATGTTTACATCGGCGAATCACAGGGGCAGTGTGTACAATGGAGCTGCATATCATGTCATCTAGATGTGTTAATTGCAGTCAATTATCGGCAGTAAATGCTATCTTTATATTATGCCTAGAGGCAAGGATTAGATTATTGACAAGCGCTGTGTGATACGTAAAGATATGTTCACGCGGTATTAAGTAAAAATGCGCGGTGATTAATTAATTGTAAGATTACTTTTAATTAGGTTATTTATTTTTTTACAATAAAATGAAAATCCACGAATTTAAGAACCCATGAAAAGGCCCGTTTTGATAAAACCACAAAATTTTATGCCCACGAATATAAGTGAATTCGCAGTATGCTTAAAGCTCTATTTATAGCCTAAATTAGCTTACTCAACTAACCCAAAACCACACTTGGGGATAGTGGTTCATAGGAGGGACAATTACAACAAATACTGTGAATTCACTAAATTTCGCGAGCATGTCACAAAGAATATTATCATGGGTTCACAAATTTTAGATTGTTTATTTTTCCCAATTGTTAAAGGTTTTGATGTTTTTAATCTGATGCAAAAAATCTTACAGCAGACAAATGAAAATTTGTTGGATCTTAAATACTTGGATTGACCTATCCATGAAAACCACAGAAATAAGTTCTAAACAAATATTAATCATTTTGCAGTATCTAAGATATCTGTCAATATATGAAGGTAAAAAAACACAGTGCAACAGAAGGCTGGACAGAAAAGCAAACTGAAAACTATATATGATGAGCTCCAGCAAAACATATTGGGAGTATTCACACTGAGCTCAAAACAAACATTTCATGTTAAAAACACAAAAATTTCAACTAATAGATAGAGGATATTGAATGAGTGTAAGTTTGATACTGAATTTATTGAATGAGTTAAATAATTTCAGTATGAACTTACACGAATTTAATATTTTAATTTATCACATACCAAAAATAAAGACTGAAAAAGAACCAGTTTTCATTGACGCATCCATAGTATAATGCTTACATTTAGCAGGTCTTAAGGCTACATGTCAAAATATATGCATGGCCGCACAATACCATTTTTACAGAGTTGAAAAGCGGCAAGGGTGTGTGATAAATAATCACAAGTTTTTCATTCTTTTGAACATCAATAACCATAAACTTACTTCGTCTAGCAAGTCACCGGACACTGCCAAACCTGCCGCAGTAGAACCTGTACCTTGAGCTTTAGCGGTCTTTAGTTCTGTCTGTACAGTCTCCAGTTGTTCACTGAGATTGTCTCGCTCACTTTCTATCTCTTCAATACGTTCCTCGTACCTTTCTTTCATTGTGGCAACGTTAGATCGCAGTGACTCATACTATGTATATATGAACAATAATAAAAACATGAAAAATCGTATCCCAATGATACTGTCAAATTTGAGGGAAAAAAATATGTATGGACAAAATTTAATCTTTAGAGCGAAAGCAGTGGTTGCAATAGTGCGAAAAGCCCACTTTTCACAATAGTGAAATCCAAGCAGACTATTATTATGTTGCTTTTCAATTTCATTAAAAAGTTTGTATGATGCTGTTTCCAAATTCAAAGCACAGGAAGGTAATGATTGGTAAAGGAAATAATACTCTTATTATTTAAAGCTGTAAAGCATACACATGTATCTGTACACAAATCTGGAGTATGTGTAAAGTTGTATTATCTATATAAGACATAATGACTACCTTATCTTTCCATACAGTCAGTTGTTCTATCTGTTCTTGTAAATCCTGCACTTTCTCCTCACTTCCTTGGCTATTGTTCCTTATTGAATGAATCTATAAGAAAAATAAATTATCTATTACAGGAATATGGTGATGGTATAATGCTTATAGACCAATTTTAGCAACTATATACCTGACAGACACCCAACAAATTGACCCTTGAATTGAGCCCTGGAATGACCTCTGAATTTGATCTGATCATTTGGTATACATTTTTTATAATTATTATATAAGTCATAAATCTGAGAAAACCTGGGTCTCCAAGGTCTTCTAGTGTACACTTGTAATCTAGACTTCATTGATGTTAATGTGTCCTTTAATTAAATTACATGTAAGTCACACAGGCACTTCAAAGGGCATATGACACTATTCCAGTTTTAATGGTAGAGGAATAATTAAGGTGCCCTTCCCTGCATATAATCAGGCACAAGTGGGCATCAGGGTATAACCATCAACAATCTATTACACAGTTTTCTCTCAAGAAAGAATCCAAAGTCCAGTGAGAGGCAAGTGGTTCAAAGCCAACAACCTTAACTACTTGACCACAGGCACCTCTTGAGTAAAATGATATGCATGAATTTTTCTTTATTTAACTTTCTTTTGCCATGAATTTGAGGGGAAAAAATGGAAGTATAATACTTCATTGCTCTGGGCTCATTCCTACAGTGATTCAGTAAAATCACTGTTCAGGCCATATGGTGATTATCTCAAGTTTTAATTGATGGCTGAAAACCCAATAAGGAAAATGAATATGAAAACTGGTCATAGTTTAATTCTAGGACAAACCTTATTTTCAAGTTGATTCACTTTTGTTTCAAGTTCTTGTTTCTCCTCTACCACGGCCTGTAGTGCCCGGTTATGTTTCTCCGTGGCAACTGCCAGTAGTCTGTCACTTTTATCTTGCCAGTCTTTATTGATCTCTTCCTCTATCTGAGATATCTAAAGTACACATATGTATAACTCCATTCATTTATAACATGCTTTTCAATATAAATAATAATTATGAATAAAATAACAAGCTATATTTTGAAAATTAAGTTTAAAAAAACATGTATTTATCTATGTTCAATTGTGAAACAAGCTCTGTGTGTGTTTTCTTCACACTAAACACTAGTACTAATAAGGCTGTGATTTATAATATATCCTTACGATGCAAGTAGAATGATAGAAGATAAAAATAATTGGTTGATAAAATTATTTTCATGTAAACCAATATACACAGTTATTCAACTTCATTGTGAAATAGAAGTTGTTAAAAAAACAAACAACATGTTTTCATAAAAAACACCAATGCCCAAATTCAAGGTCTAGTAATAAAAAATATAGTTGCAATGAAATTTCCTAAATTTTAAGCACTTAATCTTGAATGTCAATGCTGTTAAGAAATCAAGGTCATATTTCAATATGTCGCAATGAAGATCTTCAGGAATATTTTGTGTCAAAAGTAAAATTATAACAGAATCCCTAAAGAACATTCAAAACAGCAAAATTGAAAAATGTTCCAGTTTCATTTTGAATAAGACTATTCCAGCGTATAAAATGTAGAGTCTAATGACCATGATTAAAACTGTCTGTAAACAGACAGACAGACAGACAGACTGACAAATAGATAACGACAAAAAAAATATGCGCAAGGCTATCAATTGATAGAGGGGTATATAAACTGATCATTATATTTTACCCACCTGCTCCTGACTAGCAGCACTTGCTGAAGTTTTCTGTTTCCTCAACTTCTCCTTCAGAGATTGTATCTCAGCCTTATGAAATATAATAATGAAAATTTTTTAAAAATCATGTTATTAACATAAAAATAACGAGATAAAATACAGTAGAAAACATAAATATAGGGATTATTCAACCAGTCGGCTATTGATTCTGATACATGTAGGTTGTATCACTTCAGTTGATTTAAAAGTGTGAATATAACTATACACAATTAACAAAAGGTACATACAAATACATACAAATACAAACATTCATTGAGAAAAGCATAATCATGGACTTTTCTAAAAAAAAAGTTTTATAACTTCTGTTATGTAAAGAAATTAAATCTCAACAAAACCAAAGGAATTATTTTTCCTTATGGTGTATGAATATAACGTCCTATAAAATGTCCCTATATGATTAAATTATCTATGATAAACTTAAAAAGCTCACTTCAAAATTAGCTTTAACATCTTCTAGTTCATCTTCTAATTGTCTCCTCTCTTCAGCTGCTTTACGTTTTCTGTCTGATATATTCTGTAAATATAAACAATCAATATTTTAATCCTACATTCCATATTAACAACATACAGGAGTTGTATAAGAATATTTTCTTCAGACTTCAGGTGACAAGCATCTCTCATGTTCAAAATCTATTATTTTAACATTATAAATACATATTTGCCTTTTGTCACAGAATGTAAAATTTATTCATTTCTGAGGCTTAATGTGCCTTTAACCCACATACAATACTAACAACCCAATTGAAACTCCAAAGCACAGTGTCAGAAAGTTCGTCAGGATGAGAAAAGTGTCTTTAGCAATAGTTAGTGGTGTACAAATAATGGATTAGATTAGATCACTCAAGCATAATTTCATTGGCTTTATTTATAATTCAATCCTTAACATGCTGAATTTCTTGTATGAACATATCCAACTTATATAGACAAAAAATCTTTTATCAATTTTCAGGAAATCAATATGAAAATTTGAAAGACAGCTCACAGCATACAGACTGGCCAGCCTGCTCGAAGCAGAATGATCATTTCTTAGAATATAAATATTTCTAATTGTCAAGAACACAAAAAAAAATTGAAATCTCTATTTTTGGGATAAGAATGTTTAAAGTCACATTACATTGTTCAAGACTGAGAAATAAATCAGGTAATGCTCTGTATAAACATAACTATCTAAATACATATAAAAGTATCCCCCCCCATGAGACCTGGCTGCACAGGGGCTCAAATCAACAGATATACAATTAAACATGAATTAATGAGTTTTTTTTGAAGACAAAAAAAAGAAAAGAATTCATTTACTATTCAAGGCATCTTTTAGGCAAGGAGACAGAAGTTTTAGAACAAAATGTTACAATATATACTTTTTCTAAGGCTCGTTTAGCCTCCTGTAAGTCAGACATCTCTTCTTGTAACTGTGTTAACGAATTTTCTGATGTTTTTCTTGCATGTTTTTCCTCTTTGAGCTGCCTTTGTAAATCACCAATCATGCTTTCATCCTCTATAACAATATAAGATTTCATAAATTATTAGTATTAATTACTTTCAATGATTACCCATATACATTTACTTAAAGGCAAGTTAAGATAAAGAAATAATATGCCGAAACTCAAGAGATTAGACAATTCATTTCACTTACATGCAAAACAGAAAGACTCACTTTATGGACTGTATTATTGTTTAATTATCTCACATGTAGGTTTTTAGTATTTACAACGCTAAACCTACACTAAAATCAATGAACCAGTGCCTTTCCAGCTTTACTGCTCAAAGAAGACATTAAATCCCAACTTTGTGCATTATTTCATTAGTAAAGTGACAGCTTTAGAAGTTTAATTACTTCCATAATCAAGCTTATAGCTTTTTCACATGAAAAATAAAACTGAGAACACGCACCTTAAAGATTTGGATGGAAAAAAATTATCTTAATGGCTTAACATGACCAAGGTTTTATATTTTTCATTCTAACCTTTATGTTGAGTTTTCAGATTTTCTAATTCTTCACTCTGACGTCTAGTGTTTTTCCCGCCATTCTCCAGCTGCTGTGACAGTTCAAACTCTTTTTTCTTTAAGACTGACGTCTCTAATTGTAAGGCACTTATTTGAGATGATGCTTCTGATAGCTGTTTTGTTAACTCAACCTGTTGTACAGAATCAAACACTGTACATTTGTAATTTTTCTATTTATTCAGTTTTTACTGATGTTAATATAATTTTTGATCCTAAGACTCAATCTTTAATATGATTACTTTTTCAAAATAGTGAAATTCAATATACCTTTTTGACCTTACAACAATAGGTACTGATATAGTATGTGGATATATGGACATAACATAAGAATTACATAACATTCACAATCATATTGATATCTTAGAATTTTTTTTTTGGAATATTTCACATCTGAATCAAAAAGGTATAAAAACAATTTTTCAAGTTATCTCCCTTCACAAAAATGCCCTTGTATTTTAATGAATGATAACTAATGAAGGAATTATATAATATTAATTATTACAGAATGACTCTAACCAATAATAAAGATTTTATCATACATTTAATTTTCAATTGGGATAATTGAAATGTTTCATGAAAAAAAAACAAACAACACCCGTCAAATAATTCATTACTAATAAATGAAATTACCTTCTCTTGTTCAAGGGAGAGTACTCTATGTTGAGTTTGATTGGCACTAGACAGAAGACCTTCATTCCTCTGTTCCATCAATACTTGACTCTTCTCTACAAAACTGCAATTTTGCACATAAATGAAATTTTAAATGTTTTTTCGTGATCCTTATGAACCTAGATTTTGCCAGAAGCTGTGAACATCACTGTGCCATGTTGATTTTTGTTCTCATATATTACAGTTTTGTGTATCAGAAATTCTTACAAACAATAATACCAGTAAAATTCAATTTAGAAATACTTCACTGGAACATCAATTTTTTCCCTTAGACTTCTGAGACCAGTTAGCGATAAATTCCTTGACATTCTACTAATAAATGCCACCATCCACTGCACAAAATACTTGTTAAAGCAGACCACCTTTTAAGAAAAGCCTCTTTTCCTTATTTTGATAAGACTATTTTATTCAAATTTTAAAGTTAACTTATTGTTTGACTTTCTTTCATGCATACAGTACAACTTATAGACAGTATTATTAGTAAGTAATTAGATTCAACAAAAAAAAATTACCTCTGATTTCGTTGTAACAATTCTGATATTTTCTCATTTTGTGACTCAATTTTCCCACTCTTTTCAAAAACATCTTTTTTCAATCTTTCATTTTCCTGAAATATTTAAACACAAATTATCTTGTACATCGAGCGTGCATAGAAATTTAATGCTATCAGAATCAGAAAATGAAACCTCCATTGTAATGAAACAATGTTATGTGTTATTTTATGATATCATGTAAATTGTCACAATAAAAGACTGTGGGAATATTGTGAGTGATTCTACCCCAAAAATAATTTAAGAATTCTTTTTAAATCAATTAATCATTTTATTTGACTCTAGCATTAATTTTTAACCTATTTAATTCCCTTTCTTATATAATGATGTCACTTTACTCTAACATTCTTTAGGTGCTTTGTTTAACCTGTCAATAAGACACATAAAGTTTCCTATAAGTCTTTAAAGAATATATTACTTGACCTACAATGCAAGTAAATAAAAATTTCCTTCAATTTTCATTTTTTTTTCTTTTTTGAGCAGCTCTAGTAGGAGGGGATTGAGTTGGGGGAATGGCTCATGCCTTTCTCTGCCAATAGCAATAACTTGCTCATGTAACCAGTAAAAAACCAGACCAGCCTGTGCATCCACATAGTCTGGCAAGATTCTACAGACTGTTTGCTGTTTTTCAAGCATTTTTCAAATTAAAATCCCTAACACTTACAATGGACTGTTCCACATTTAAAGCAGGACAATTCCATTATATTAAAATAGCTGGGTAAAGGTTAATGTAACACCACTGCAGACTTGTTATCAAATGTTAGTACATATTTTATCCTACCTGAACAATTCTGGTGATATTATGAAGTAATACTGATGTTTCCATATTAGGTAACATGGCCGTGCCACTATTTTGTGAATTAGCATGATCAATCTAGAAAAAACAAAAGTAAATTATAAGAATAAAGTGGAACAAATAAATCTGTTATGTTGTAAACATTTGTAACAAGGTTATTTGGAAAATATTTACAACTTCTGTGCGTCACATTTTAATAGTTGTCACACCAAAATAAGTCTAAATGCCATGTTTTGAAACTTCCATCATAAAAGACGCAAAATGTTTAGCAGGAATATTCTGGAACTTATTTAAGCACAATTAAAAGATAGTTATGTAATAACACTACAGCAAAAATTAAAAAGACAACATCAAGTCCTCAGAAAAGTTTTAAAGACACAGGTCCTTTACTTTGTTTTAACTGAAATATATGGCACATCTAATGACTTTCCAACATCTGAAACTTAATATCCCTGCCATGTACTTACAAAGATAACCTTAAATCGCTAAGATAAGATGTAATAGTTCAAGATAAACTAGGTAGCACCAATGACTTTCAATGTATAAGTTCTAGGGATGGCAACGAATACCAAAATCAATTCTCGAATACTCAGTCATTTTTCCGATCGAGTACTCGGTTACTCAGATGATTTCCAATGATCTTACAATATCAACACCGTCCGCATGCTACTTTTGTTTTTCTACTTAAATTAATAGAATTCGTAACTATAAATAGGACTGCACAGGAGATAAATTAATTAAGATTGAATCAACAACATTATATTATAACGTTTTAATTATTGCAATATCAAGTTTAAAACATGTATAACAGTTCATATATCTTTTTTTCTTCTTGAAATAATATAGACTGATCGCTGGCAACAAAAGTTTAATCAGGTCTAAATACTAGTTACCTTTATTCACACATTCATAATAATCGGTCCTTTGTTGTTTTCATAACAGTTACTTCGGCTACAAACTGTTACACAATTTAAGGAAATTAAATATCATAAGAGGCTGGATGTCATAAGCGACACTGGTGCGCGTGTCAAACTGTTGATAGCCTCGTTTAATTTATGATATCATTTTCGCACGTCTGCAAGGATGTTTTGATTGCATTTAACAGGTATTTGTCTAAAGATACATGTACATCTCCGAATTTCTGAACTAATTGGAACCAATCTTTCTAAATCGCAAAATAATAGAAATTATATATTTTTTCTGAGTAATCGAATATAAATTTTGTTAACCAATATTCGGACTTTTGATCCACAGTCCTTCCATGTTCTAGTTCAAGATTACCTAGGTAGAACTACCAACATTTTATGTACCAGTTCAAGATTACCTAGGTAGAACTACCAACATTTCATGTACTAGTTCAAGATTACCTAGGGAGAACTACCAACCTTCCATGTATTAGTTCAAGATTACCTTAGTAGAATCACAACCTTACATTAGTTGTATGAATGAATACAAAATCCTTGAGAATATGAATTTAAAGCAAAGTAGGACAAGAGAATTAAAATCATAAACCATTACCAATTGGCAACTGAAGCCCCTGGGTAAATGTTTATTTGACTGCTTTATAAACCTTTGTCATCTGAAAAAAGCAATGTTGTTAACCAGATGGCCATTACTTGCCCTTGCACCTTATCAATGATGAAACATTAAGAAAGCAATCACCTTTTGTATAACTTGATCCATTTTATCTGACATTTTTGAGAGTGAAAGCCTGACTTCCGTGTTCTGCTGCCTTGTTTCCGATAGCAACATCATATCTGTACCCTGAGACATTCCTACAATATAAAAACAAGTTTCAATCTATTCCTGAACCTACTTTTAAAATCTCTAAGCCATTTTTTTCTTTCAATATCAAAATTGGAAGTGTAGCAAGATTTGATAAAAAAAACAAAAAATCAACAACAGCAGAAACCAAGAGTAAAATGTGTATTAAAACCATCATGTATATACATAGAAGAATATCTAAAAAAAATATTCAAAACAAAGCAAAGCATGTATCAAAAGGCGAAGGTTCAATTTTATTAAATGCAGTTTTATGTTAAAAAAATATTTCCTAGAATTCCTGAAATTCAGTGTAAATATATTATATGAAGGTAGGCAAATATAAAATCAAGGGACGGTGGTATGTGCAAAAATAAATGATGCAGTGGGTCAAGAATAGGGCCTGGTTCTTGTGACTATATGGGTTTGTGTAATGATTCAGCTTAAAAATGTTTCCAATGTACTGGGTTATATTGTATCTAGATGTCAATTTCAGCAGGAAATGGTCTTAATTATCATGATAAAGAATTATTTACTTATAACCTTTGTCTCTAAATATCTCATAAGAACAACATATTATTTAATTATTCTAATATTCAATGCAATATCTGTAATTACACCAAAACAAAGATTTAATTCTATTGTTTAATAAAGGCCATTAAAATGCATTAAAAACCCTGTACTGATTTCAAACATTGTGTTTTTTGAACATTTTCACTACTAAGACAAACATAACCATGTTTATATTTATATTTCTATTATTGCTTACTTAAACATCATAAAAAAGCCTCTAGAAATATGCTACAAAATTAATTGTACATGTATGCGCACAAATTTTCTCAAAGTTTTAATTCAGTATCAATATCTAAATTTTGAGCAAATATAGATTATATCAATAAATCTTATTCTGTTTCAATATTATTTAAGGTATAAAAATTAATGGTTTTTGTCTAAAATATTCTGCTAGTAACAACTTTTATAAGGTTGGTTGATAATCATTAGAAAGTAAATACTACAAACGTGCAAGTCTGGGAAATGCGTGCTAAGAGAATATACCTTGAACTACATAGGGAGGGAAGTTGCTACCTGGAACAGCTTGTTGTGTCTGATTGGGAAACATCTGAGTCTGGAAACCAGGCTGAAATATACATGTATATAGAATAAATTCAAATCTGTTCCATATTTACCAGTACTTTTGTTTCATAGAAATTTGAAATTTAACTTTTGTGAGTATCTCTTCAAAAAATGAGATCTTAAGATATATTTTTTACTTTTAGCCTAAAGTTGCTTGTGTAACATATTATATGATAAATTTAATTTTTGATATTAATAAAACTTACATTAATCTTGCTATATGTTTTACTCAGACAATTTTCTTAATTACCAAAAAATCATGAGTGCCTTCTAACATTAGAGTTTAAATAAACGCATGAGTTGTACACCGTTAAGTAAACTGTATCTGCTAATGAAAAATAACCCATAAATCACCATTTAAATGTTTTTGCATTCATGGTATAGAGCTTCATATGACAATGAGTAAGATCCTTTACACCAATGAGCTTGTAAAATGGACAAGCTCTGCTTTGAATTTGGAGCAGTTTATTTTTTGTTTTAAAGTAGTTTAATTAATTACCACAATGATAAAATTAAGCAGACAACATTACAGAGTTCAGACAGATATAAAATGGTCGTTTTTTGTTTTATCATATGCAACTTAAAGAGTGTTTTTTAAGTTTTATGACAGCCACAATTGCATTTGAGACAGTCATAGTGACCTCCAGTCACCTCTCAATGACAACCCTGTATTCCATTAGTACATGGGTACATATTTTGAAAATTTCCCTATAAATGGTAAATGGTTTTGTCCATATTGAAAGATGTTGAGCGATGGACAAGTTCATTAAATACGTTCAGCAGAGACAGATTTAAGATTACATGTACCTGCATCATATTAGCCTGCTGTTGTTGCTGTAAGAAATTTTGTTGAGGTTGAAATACTGCCATTTGTTGAGCACCAGGTAAATCTATAAATTATAAATAGAAAATATTGAATGAATGTAGGTTTCATACTAAATTAATTGAACAAGTTGAAAAAAAGTATATAATGCTAACCTTTGGCCAGCATAAAATTGTTTTTATTCAACGAGTCCAGCAAATGACATCATATGAAAGTGTTATTACACTAGTGTTATGTCAATGTCGTTTTTATTAAATGGCTTGATTACATTCCTGCGCCTTAGCTTATGTAATAATTAAAAACCAATACTTCTAAAACATGATTTGTAACAAGGAGATAAAATTTAATAAAGTTGTTTTTTTTTCATACTGAATTCATTTTGACAGTTTAGAAATCATCCCTTATATGTGCTTTGTAACAATAATTTATTTCATTGAACAATATTTGCTATATTCTGTAGAGGTAAAAAAAATCTTTAAAAAAACAACAACAGTTTACTTCTAAACCGATGATAGAAATAGATCAATTATTACTTTAAAAAAATCAATATTTTCCAACTGTTTCATATCAAATTTACATTCTATTTTCAACCTACTTTGTAAAAACGCAGGTTGTGTTTGGACCTGACTTTGCATTGATGTTGGCTGGAACATTTGCTGGGGTTGACTAGGCACAGGTGCCGCAGTCTGGGCTGCAACCTTAGGAACTGGGCGGTGAACTTCTTTAGGTACTGGCTCTGATGCTACAGGTACTGGGGACTCCTGTGAAAAAAAAATAGAATTTATCTATCATCCTTTGATTACCAGATTTTAAAAATAAAGTTTCTGCTCAAATTTATAAATTCAAGAATTACTATCTATTATAAACAAGAGGGCCATGATGGCCCTGAGGTCGCTCACCTGTATATAGGCCCCCCCCCCCCCCCCACCCGGGCAAATTTTTACCCAAGGGCTTTTATTTGTTTATTTGAACAGACTTGGTAGTCACCCATAAGAAGATGTTTCATGCTAAACATCTAAGTTCTAGCTCATTGGGTTTTTTAAAAGAAGATTTTTAAAGTTTTTACTATACACATATAGTTAAAAACAATGACACCCCTGGGGCAGGGCTAGTTTTGACCCCCAGGCTTTTATTTGAACAAACTTTGTAGATATTTACTTAAAGATGTTTCATGCTTAATATCTAAACTCTAGCTATTTGGGTTTTTTCAAAGAAGATTTTTAAGTTTTTGCTATACACATATAAGGAAAATCAATGACCCCCCCCCCCGGGCGGGGCCAGTTTTGACCCCAGGGCTTTTATTTGAACATACTTGGTAGACACCCATTAGAACATGTTTCATGCTAAATATCTTAGCTCTAGCTCCTTGAGTTCTTTAAAAGAAGATTTTTTAAAGTTTTTACTATATGCATATAGGGAAAATCAATGACCCCCTGGGGCGGGGCCAATTTTGACCCCAGGGCTTTTATTTGAACAAACTTGGTAGACACTCATTAGAAGATGTTTCATGCTAAATATCTTAGCTCTTTGGGTTCTTTAAAAGAAGATTTTTTAAGTTTTTACTATATGCATATAGGGAAAATTTATGACCCCCTGGGGCGGGGTCAATTTTGACCCCAGGGCTTTTATTTGAACAAACTTTGTAGACATTCACTAGAAGATGTTTCATGCCAAATATCTAAGCTCTAGGTCTTATGGTTCTTTAAAAGAAGATTTTTTAAGTTTTTACTATATACATATAGGGAAAATCAATGACCCCCCTGGGGTGGGGCCAATTTTGACCACAGGGCTTTAATTTGAACAAACTTGGTAGACACTCACTAGAAGATGTTTCATGCTTAATATCTTAGCTCTAGCTCTTTGGGTTCTTTAAAAGAAGATTTTTTAAGTTTTTACTATATGCATATAGGGAAAATCAATGACCCCCTGGGGCGGGGCCAATTTTGACCCCAGAGCTTTTATTTGAACAAACTTGGTAGACATTCACTAGAAGATGTTTCATGCTTAATATCTAAGCTCTAGCTCTTACGGTTCTTTAAAAGAAGATTTTTTAAGTTTTTACTATATGCATATCGGGAAAATCAATGACCCCCTGGGGCGGGGCCAATTTTGACCCCAGGGCTTTTATTTGAACAAACTTGGTAGACACTCACTAGAAGATGTTTCATGCCAAATATCTTAGTTTTAGCTCTTTGGGTTCTTTAAAAGAAGATTTTTTAAGTTTTTACTATATGCATATAGGGAAAATCAATGACCTCCCAGGGGCGGGGCCAATTTTGACCCCAGGGCTTTTATTTGAACAAACTTGGTAGACACTCACTAGAAGATGTTTCATGCCAAATATCTAAGCTCTAGCTCTTAGGGTTCTTTAAAAGAAGATATTTAAAGATTTTTCTTTCGGTTGCCATGGCAACCAGAGTTCTGCATGGAATTAAATTCTTTGAACAATTTTTAAAGGTGACCACCAAAGGAACATTCCTGTGAAGTTTGGATGAAATTGGCTCAGTGGTTTATGAGGAGATGTCATTTAAAGCAAAAGTTTACGGACGGACGACGGATGACGGACGGACGACGGACGGACGCCGGACGAAAAGCGATCACAAAAGCTCACCCTGTCACTTTGTGACAGGTGAGCTAAAAATCAGTGTGGGAAAAATCATACATATTTCTTGGACTCCTTTATTTTCCACATGGACTGGAAACATTAAGTATTTAAAGTATTGTAATAAACATTTTTTTTATAAATTAATAGAATATGAATGACCATTATCAATTATATCTCATAAAGAACAATGCTGAGAAAATGGACCTTAACAAAAATTTTGACACCAATACCAATGAGAGGGTCATGACAATTGCTCCATTTTTTCTTTGAAAAAGTAGTGATAAAAAAACAGATCTAAAGGATAGTTTTAATAAAAATTCTGTTTCATTGGTATAAAACTTTATTCATACAAAGGAAATGTAAGAATATATACCGGAACATGTTCCTCCTCGCTATCTGGATGGGCTGCCACTGCCCCTGATAATGGTAACATGGGCCGCCCCATCTTGGCCATGCGGGAGATCAACTTTGCTTTACTTGTGTCAGGAGGTGGTGACTGAAAATAAAACTATTAAATTAACTGTGATATCTAAATTTATGATTATAACTTAAGTTAGGTACTATTATATCAATATTAAGCCCAAGGCATCATAGACTTCATTAAAGATCATGTTTGAAAACTATTTTCTGACTTTCATATCAGACAGGAAGTAACATTCCTTGTTGAATTTAAGTACTGGACATGGCCAACTTAGCATCTAGAACTGTCTATTGTTATTTAAAGGGATTTCAATACCCAAATACTAAAAGTCAGTATAGTCTGGAATGACTGCAAATATGTTCAACAAGGCCTTAACATATACATGTACTATTGGTATACACAAGTAATAATCACTGTAAATTTCCAAACTGAAAGAAAACTATGAGACCATTTTCTTCAAAATTAAAAAAGAAATTAAAGGAACTCCACTGAGGTTTATAAGCCTAAAAACATGAAATCTTAATTTTTCACATAGATAAACATGAGCACTTAAAACAGAAATAAAAATAAGATATAATTAAGTAATTTATAAGAAATATAATTAAAATCATACGTTTGTGCTATTTTCGGTCCGATTTGAGTGAAAAGCGTTTAAACGCTTTTCAATTTTGGGTCATTTTTCACTATTATAATAATTATTCTGGAAAAACGGAGCGAGCTAATGATCTGAAATTTTGCACATATGTTATTGGTATAGATCTACATCAAATGGAGTAATATTCTCAAAAAATTATTTCCAGTTCCGTCATGTCAAAAAAACCTTAGTGGAGTCCCTTTAAGGGAAGATATAAAATGATTTATAGTTTTCTTTATTTCTTTAACACATAATGTTTATGCAAAAAAAACTTAATAATAATGATCTAAAACAACAAATATACATTACATGGGTTAATTGTTCTGTAATTGACTTTGTTCTTTGTTTTACATTTGGATCATCATCATCAAAATCATCAGCATCTCCAGTCCCGCCTTTCTCAGCAGTGGGCGGAGCTTGTACTTGCTGGGAAGGTGGTGCTGGAGAAGGGGAGGAGTCTCTCCCCACAAGCTTTACCTGCAAAGAAAAAATGTAAATTTGAAACCATTTTACCATTTTAAAGTTTTACTGTTTGTTCATCATCCAAAGTTATCATATATTTTACCAGATTTTTATAGCTTGAGTTTATTATCTGAAGCATTGAATTGATTTAGTATGAAGAGATGCGGCCAGATGGCTGCATGTGTTTAAACCCTGACAGGATAAAGCTCTTGCTTCCTTGAGCATTGAGTAAGAAACTTTACAGCCTTTGATAAGTACTGGTTTGTTCCATGAACGGATTTCCGGGTGTGTGTATACGGTAATAGTTTCATACAAATAAACTTAAATAAATTTTGTATAAACTAGAATGATCTTCCATAAAAGTATTGTAAGTAACACTGCCTTGATTGACTAGTGTTAAAACACTAGACTTTTGAAAGAAATAGTTGCAGTGTCAACTACCAGCCATGTCATTCAATATGCATAAATAACAGAACTATACCTAGCTCAGCATAAATATATAAAAGAGTACTGGTATTTTCTTTAGAATCTTTTACTTTATCAGATATGAACGATGATTTACATAACAAAAAGAACATTTTTGTTTATAATATCAATACACTTCAAATACATCAATATAGAAAAAGAAAGAGTTTTCATAGATATGATAGAAAAATATACCCGAACAACTTCTATTTCAAACAGCAGCGTTGCATTTGCTGGAATTCTGCTGGGCATGCCTTGACTACCATATGCTAAACTAGGGGGTGCCACAAGAAACCGCTTTCCTCCCTTCTTCATTCCAACAACACCTGTGTCCCATGCCTGAAAATCAATTAAATTTTTTAAGCATAATTGATTCATTTCTTTTCTTATCTTTCATGAAAGATATACCATTTAAAAGTCTTATGACAACTATTTAGCTTCACTGGTTGTGTAAGACCTCCAGTGCCCTTAATTGCATTATTTCTGGCATTACTGGGCATCAAAGTAGAACCACGGCCTTCCATAAGCTTACTGAAATTCTTCATTCACCTAAAGGAGTCGAAAGCATCTGTGAAGATTCCAACAACAAAGTCTGAACATTTCTAAAAAATTTCATTTTTGATCTGAAAAGTTTTTATAGTTTTAGTTAAAGTAAAACCTAAAGAATTGAAACAAATATTTGAAAATAACCAGATTCTTCACTTATAAAATATATGGTTTGTTTACATGAATACATGTGTATTAATGATTATCATATTTTAAGAATTTTATAATTCATCAATTAATTCTAACATTTTACCTTGATCACTTTTCCAGCACCAAGTTTAAATCTAAACAATTTGTCGGCATTCGCATTGGAGTCAAACACCTGACCAAAAGTACTGTTTGTAAGCAACTTTCCGGTGTATTTCACCTCCACCGAGTCACCAGTCTGTAGGGCCTCCCCATCTCCAGCCACAAGCTCCTGTGTGAAGAGTGATGTTGGGATAGGTCCTGTAGATAATGCTTTTGCTAAACAAACCTGAAAACAACACATAATATATATTTATAATTAAAATTATCCAACAATTCATTTTATAAGATAATAGGTAAAAACAAGAGCTGTCCGTAAGACAGCGCGCTCGACTTTTTTATTGCTTGCCAATAAAAAAAGTTTTTGCAGTAAAAGGCAATACAAGAATCTCTGTATTTTTAAAGTGAACAATGGCCATGAGCATTAAGATATTTAGTGAAGAATTATTTTACTGAATTGTGTGATACCCTTGAACACTGCAGCAAAGTTTGAAATGTTTAAGTCAAAAGAGGGCTGGTAAGAAAGAAAAAAAAACTGAGTTGAGTTTTTTAGTGCTTGCCTATAATACAAAACATTGACAGTTAAGGACCATAATTCAAATAAAATCTTTGACAGAATTACCTTCTCCTGGACATGTTTGGGAATCATGATTGTAAACAAGTATTCCAACTTTCAAATTAATATCTCAAACAGTTCAGTCAAAAAGTGGACTGGTACTAAAAACTTAACCAAGATTCTAAGTCGATAAAAGGCCTTAATTTTTAAAACAAATCCTTGACAGAGTTACCTTCTCTTGCGTACAGATGGGGGTAATGATGTGAAATAGCATTAAAAGTTTCAAAGCAATATCTCAAAGGGTTAAGGCAATAAGTGGATTTTACCCATATTCAATGTATTTTCTAAGTCAAAAAGGGGCATAATTCTGTCAAAAACCTTGACAGAGTTATGTCCTCTTGTCTGTTGATGAAGGTCGTGATGGTAAACAAGTATGGTCAGTTTCAAAAGCAATACCTCCAATGGTTTTGAAATAAAGTGAGGTGGTACAAAAAACTTAACCAAGCTCAATACACTTTCTAAGTCAAAAAAGGGCCATAATTCTGTCAAAAACCTTGACAGAGTTATGTACTCTTGTCTGTAGATGGAGGTTATGATGGTGAACAAGTATGGTAAGTTTCAAAGCCATACTTGTAATACTTCTGAAATAAAAATGGGGTTGTACGAAAAACTTAACCAAGGTGTGACGCCAACGCTAACGCCGACGCCGGGGCGAGTAGGATAGCTCCCCTTTTCATAGAAAAGTCGAGCTAAAAAGTAATAAAACAGTATATTATGTAATACAACAATTTCTAACTTCTTAACCAATGAGTCAGAGCTATAAGGCAATAGTTCATTCAAAGAAAACAATAAGTTATGACTTAAAATTTCTAGTATATTCTCAACATGCTGGCTGATTTAACATATTTCTTATGATCAATCTATTTTTTCTGCTCTTGAAGAAATCCAGGCACATGACAGCACCTGAGTTTGGTTTAAACATATCTATTTAAGCTTGATTGCAAAAGTAGTTCTTGCAACTTATATTGATCACTTTCGAGTCTGCTTCCTGAAACCAACCATTACTGATCTCATGGTCTTGACCTGATAAGGGCTTGAACCCATGATCCCTGGGTAATTCTTCTGAAACTGTGGTGAAAAGCTCAGTCACAAATGGCAGTATTATACATGATATAAACTTCTGCAGTGTAATTTTGTAAACCATATTTACAAAATTGTATCACTAAATATTGTGGCATGGCAGACTGGTTATGGAATCTTAGGATTGCTGGCTGCATGCGTTCAAACCCAATCAGAGGCAGGATATTATTTCCTTGATTAAGAAACTTTACACTTATTGCTTAGTAATGGTTGATTCCGAGAATGTATTCCAGAATGTGTCTAAAAGCTTATAGCTTCTTACACTATCAAACTAAAATAAATACTATATAAACCAAAATCTTACCATATTTTTTAAGGAATTAAAAATAGATTCTTACATATTTTGCAAACTCATTAGCATTCTGTTCATTTTCAAACAACACTGACCAACTTTGCCTGGCATCATCATAAAAGTTGGCATAATTATTGGCTTGGACCTGAAAAAACAACATAAGATTGATTGTCTTCTTTAATTTAAGGTGTCATATGCTATGTGAAGCAATGTGGAGATGATATTGTTGAAAAGGAACTCAAACAATCTTTTATAATACTGTATGTCTTTAATTTTGATTTTCATATGATAATTATGATGTTTATATTACCTAGAGCTGTCATTGATTCAAGGCAGGGCATATCAACCATATATACATATTGGATGACAAATATCAACAATACACAGGTATATCGATTATTACCTAAAATTACTTGTCAGCCATTTACTTTTAAACATGTTTAAATGTATTCAGTTGAAAACATATTCTGTTCAGTGTCTTGTTTATAAAAGCCAATTGTATGATTTTTATCCAAACCATTTTTTGTCATCATTGTTGTGAAATATTTTCGCTATGTAACAACAGATAATGTTATACATGGACACCTGCTTCTGTATATGTTTTGGGTGAAATTTTCTAGACATTTAATCAATAAGTCAAAATTATTGATTTTTTTAAACAACAGATAAATATCTATGATACATCAATATTGTTTCTATCGATGACAGCTCTAATATTTCCTACATTTGTATTTATCCAGCTACTGTAAGTTAATATATTGTATACATTGTAGATTTTTCTTTTTCCTCAAAGGAAAAATTTTTCAAAAATATCAGAAAATTTGGGCCCCCAAAAAATTTTCAAACAAGTGAATAGCTTTTTGGGGAAAATCATTAAAGTTTACCAAACCAAAAAAAACTCTTCCCCTAGTGGCTTGGGGGTTTAAAAAAAACTTATGCAAATTTTTTTCCCGGGACAAATAAAATTTTTTAAAATTTTTTTATACTAAAATGTTCCCCCCCAAAGATTTTTTCAAGAAGAGCTTTTAACTTTTATAGGGCCCCCCTGGGGTTTTGAAAAAATTTTCATGAAAAATTTTAGTCCAGAAGAAAAATTTTTGAATTTTTTAAAATTTTTAAAAAATTTCCCAAAATAAAACAAAAATTAAAGTTTAAAAATAACAAAAAACAGACTTGGGGAAAATAATCCCAAAAATTTTAAAAAAGCCCCGCCAAATTTTTTTAAATCAGAATAAAAAAAAAGGGGCCCCCCAGTTTTTGGGGATTTTGGCCCCAAGACCGCTGGTTTCCCCCTTGGGAAATTTAATTTTTTTTTTGCCCTAACAAACCCTTGGTTTTAAAAATTCTCCCAAAAAATTTACTTCAATAACCAAAAAATGTACTTAAAAATCTTTTCCCCGAAAAACCCGCCTTTTTTTAAAATTTTTTTGTCAAAACTAAATTTTTGTTTCTTATTGTTGGGTTTCCCCCGGGCAGATTGGGCCCCCAAAATTAAATACAAAAAGTGGGGGGGGTATTGGGTTAAAATTTTCAAAATCATGACATAAAAACCCCCACTTTAAATTTTTAAACCCGAGCCCCCCAAATTTTTGCCCAGATTTTCCCCCGGGCAAAGGGCCCTTTTTCAAGGGAGTTTTTCCAGTACTAGTTTGTCTTTAAAATTTTTAACCCAAGGGAAATGATTTTCTTCCCCGTACATGGGCCCGGCAGAGGTTTCATTTGTGGGGAAAGAAATTTTAAAAATTGAAAGGATTTTTATGGGTAAAATTTAAACAAAAGTTTTAACCCCGTGCAAACCCCCTTTATCCGATTTAACCCGTTTTTTTAAAGGGTCTACCCATTTTAAACTAAACCGGGTGGGTCCCCAGCTTTAAAAAATAGAAAATTTGGTTCCCAAAAAAATTTAAATTAAATGTTTTGAAACCAAAAAAGAAATTTAAAATTTTAAAAATTAAAAAATACTTTACAGTGTTAAAAAAGCCCAAAAGCCCGGAGGTTAAATTTTTTTTCCCAAGGTTTTTTTTTATTTTTTCTTTTTTCTTTGGGGGAAAAATCATCAATTTGGGGAATTTCTGAAAATACATAAAAAAAATTTTTTTAAAAAAATAAAAAATATTTTCCCCTGGGTTTTTTCAAGATTTAACCAAAAACAAATTGGTTTTTTTTTTTCTTATTTGGAATAAGTAATCTGAAAAAATTTTAAAAACAAAACAGCCCATACCTTGGGGTAAAAAAAAAAATAAAAAATTAAAAAAAAAATCAAAATTTTTTGTTTTAGAAAAGGGCCTTTTAAAATTTTTTAAAATACCGGTAAATTTTTTTTTTAATAATAAATTTGGGGTTTTTTTAAATTTAAAAAAAAATAAACAATATTTAAAAAAAGAACAAAAAATTCCCCATAAAAGGGTTTTTTTTGGTAAACTAAAAAAAACAAAGTAAGACCCCCTCTTTCCCTTACTGCGAAGTCTGGGTTTTTTAGAATTATTTTTTTTTTTTCTTTGGGGAAAAATAAAAAGTCCATATTTTTTACATTAAGAAAAACATCTCAATCTTTCCAAAAAAACCCGGTGGAAAAAGGCCCCAAAAAAACGGGCTTTTAAAACACCAAACAGAAAAATTAATTTTTTTTAAAAAATAAAGGTTTTACACAAAAAAAGTGTGGGGGTTTTTTTAAACTTTGGTTTTTAAAATTTAAAAAAACCTTGGAAAAAATCCCTCACTGGAACCAAAGGGTTTTGGGTAGGATGGCAAAACCCCCCAACTTGCCCCTTTTGGGTTGCAAAATTTGTTTTTTCCACACTAAAAAACGTATAAAAAAGAAATGGGGAAAAGTAAAATTTTCCCCCAAAAAAGATTTAAAAACAAAAGAATGTTTTAAAAAAAACCAACTTTAGTAAAAATAAAAATTTTCCCTTTAAGTTATATTTTTTAAAATTAAAAATAAACAGCCCCCGCATAGAATTTTGTACCCTGTAAAATTAAAAGTATGGGGTTTAAATTTTCCCCCAAAAGACATTTTTAAAATTTTCCCCTTATCCAAAATTTAAAAATTAAAAAAAAATATATTTCCCAGGGAAAAAGGCCCCCAAAATTTGGGGGCTTGACCCTTGTGTCTTAAAGGTCCCCTTTTTCTCACACTTTCCGATTAAAAAATCATTTTTAAAAAAAGTTTTGTTTGGGGGAAAAATTGGGGGAGTAAACTGGTTTAAATTTAAACATTTTTTAAAAATTTAAAATTTTAATTTTTTAGCCCATAAAAAACCCCCTGGGAAAAAACAACAAAACCCAAATTTTTTAAAAGGAAAAAATTTAAAAAAAATAACCCTTTTTTGGGGTTTAAAAAAAAAAAAAACAAAAATGACTCATTTTTTGGGAAAACACTCCAACCCGGGTAAAAAGCAAAAAAACTGCAAAGGGCCCCCCTTTTTTCCCCGGTGGGTTGGCTCTAAAATTTAAAAAAAAAAAAAAAAGAAAAATTTTCCCCAAAATTTTATCCAACCTAAAAAATTTACTTTTTTGCCCAAAATCCCCTTTTTGTCATAAAGTAATTGCTTATTCTGACTTGGATTCCCCCAAAACATTTTTGAAGTTTTGAAGTCCCTGAATATTGCCTCAAAAGTCGGGGTGTCTGTGCCAGGTTGTTGTAAGATTTGTTGTTCCTTCTATTTTTCTTCATGAAAGATTCAAATCAAAACAGACATACAATATTCATCTTTAGAATTTGAATTTTGCCTGCTCTCTGAGCGATTCTCCCCTTATATTTTTTGTTTTTTACAGGTTAAGTTATCAAAAAAAGCAACAGTTTTAACTGATATCTACGATTTATGAAATTGCTTATAGTACAAAGCTTTCAAATGCTTGTAAAAGTTTCAATATCAAAATATATATATTTAGGTTTGGCAGATATTTTATTGTCTTGTAAAAGTAAAAATTGCAGTGAAAAAAAAATTCAAATATAGTTTGTAGTTAACACAATTATGCTTCATTAAGATTTGACGCTCCAGGATTTCAAACTAAAAACAACAAGAGAAGATCATGGTAAACATCTAGTAGGGTTAGATTTTATAAGTCTGTTCTAAATAGACATATTTAGCAACAAATTTTATACAGATATTGTCATAATGATAATATATGCTTCATTAATGGAAAAAGAATACAGATGCATTAGGTTTTTATCATCCTTTTGCATAAAAGTTTGAATGACAAATTAGGAAATTTTCGAGTCATTAAATTAGGGTTTTTGTCTTCACAGGTAGGGGAAGAAGCCCTTCCCATTATTGGGGGGGGGGGGGGGGGGGGTGAATTATACATTTTTTTTTTGTAAAAGAGGGAGAAAAAACTTTACATAAATTGAATTTAGGGAAAAGAACTGCATGATTATAAAGGGAAACAGTGCTTCATTAGCCCCTACCAGTTTTTACAAAGACTAAATGTGCACAAACCTTTTTTCTTTGGTTGTTTGGGAGCTGTGTAGGTCAGTGATTCATTTCCTCCTTTATTACCGGCTTTATCCATCCCAAATAAAGCTCCTAACTTTGATCTGTAAATAAATATTTCTTTAAATGTAAACAAAACTACATCATGCTATAATATCAATAAATTTATGTTATTGGTGATTCAGTTTTCCAATTTAAGAAAAAAATGTGGTGTACTGGTATGTTTGTCTATAGCTAATCGCCATCAGTAAACTATCTAGCTACTTCCTCTAAAAAGTGTTCAGTTTAATATAAGAAGTTATTTTAAACTCTGATTAATACTCAGTAAGTAGCTTGTACAATACGTCATGTATGCTTTACCTGCACAAAAACAGAATTCAATGTTTGATTTTTTTGTTTTGTTTTTTTTGTTTTGGGTTTTACGTCACATTGACACAGTATAGGTCATATCGCGACGTTCCAGCTTTACTGGTGGAGGAAGACCTCAGGTGCCGTTCCGTGCATTATTTCAGGCACAAACGGGTTTGATTTTGATAGAGGACTTTTGAAAATTTAGTTGGACATTCAGGAGAAATTGAAATTCTGTAATTATGGAGTTTTAGTCTGATTACATTGGGCTATATATATTAGCCTTTATTTGGAGTTTTAACCAATTACTTGCACATTATTTAATTATATTTTTTTTGGTTGTGTTTTACGTCGCACCAACACAATATACGTCATATGGCAACTTTCCAGCTTTGCTGATGGAGAAAGACCTCAGGTGCCCTTTCTACATTATTTCAGGCACACATGGGCACCTGAGTAGAACCACAGATGTTCTGTTAGCTAGCTGGATAGCCTTCTTACAATACATGAAAGAATCCGAAGACACTTGCCCGGCTCAAACCTACAGTGGTGAGAGGCAAATGGTTACTTGCATATTAATATGACTTTCAAAAATCAACTCATATGTGAGTCATCATGTTTTATTTCCAGGATAGTGCAACAACAACCACATATATAAATTAGTATGACCATTAGTGCATCATGTACTACCAATGTTCATAGTCATCTAAATGCAGTAATAGGTTAACTCCTTAAATATAATAATTCAATTATCAATAGGAGTTAGCCCATTATTGCACTAACATAGCACTTTTATAATGTCATAAGCAAACTTTGTAAACCTTCAGAAAAATCAATGTGGTTGGCATTTATATGATATCAAATTAATGTGTCTGTCTTTGTACTTTATCATATATAATTGCCTTGTTATTATCTTGTTAATTTTCTTTACTGCCCTGTATACATAAATATCACCACATCCTAGTAAACACCATATATGACATTACTTTTAAGCCACATCCCAGTATAAACTAATTATAAATGTTAGTGTATATAGGATGTGCCTGAAAAGTAATTCTCAATAATATTTTTGGCAGTTTGTGTTATATGGATATTATTTGATTAGTTTATGACTATTTAAGGACTCAGATGCTGAAGACTGAACCATACCTGACATGTTTCATTTGTTAAATATTATCTTATGTTATTTGTTAAATGTATCTATCAAATTTGAAACAGAGCTTCATGAAAATAATTTCTCTACTAAGATTGGCAGTGTTGTATCTAGGTTGCGCGATTTGCGCATATTTTTTGCAGATCGCGCATTTTAATGAAGTCAATGGGCGCCAAGTAGTGCATCTGACAGTCTTTTCAACTTAATTCAGTTAATCTTCATTGTATCTTGTCAAGCGAAGTTCTGTCATGTCTGTTTTCTCTCGCGGTAATGAATAAAATACATGTACATACTAAATCATGTGTAGCAGCTGACCAGGTTACCTTGTGTGTGCATTAACGGTTTGATCTGCCCACTTTACTAGTCAATATTTCATTTTTTCTATTTCCATTGTTTAGCGGACGATGGCTGTCAAAATGCCAAAACTTAAAGTAAATAAATTCTTTACGTTACATCACATTGTTTGGTAAATGGTCCCCCCTTTTTTCAAATCCCCATTTTAAATAAGTGGGGGGAAACCCCCCTAATTTTGAAATTTTGATGCAACATGGATTGGTAAGTGCCCCGTATGGTCGAAAATCTTTAAAATGTACTTGCAAATTTGAATGATATAGATATACCTTTAAAAAATTTTTAACAAAATGTTATATTTACATTTTTGGGCCCATTTGAGATTTCCTGGCACTTAGTACACATTTTTATAAAATTTATTAGAAACTAAAAAGAAAAATAGCTATCCAAGGAGTAATAACAAAAAAAATGAAAACCCCTTTTTCATTCTTTGCATTCTTTTACGAGTCATCAAATAATCTTTAAACTTACCCTCCAGGATTAAGGAAGTCTGTATCTTCATCTTCCTTATCAAAGAACATCTTCCTTCCAAATTAGTCTCACGAAATATCTAAAAACATTCAACAGACACCCTCACATTTCACCAGGAAGTCATGGGATGTTGACAAAATGTACAGAGCTAGTTTCACAAATTAATTTCGAATTTGGAAAATTAAACGCATCGTTAGAAAAAAAGGATGCATATCTATATATGGTCACGCTCATATATCTTATTGATTTTATTATCATATGTTAATAGCTTTTCTTCCTTAATCATCAAAAAAAATATTAACGATAATCAATTCTTAGGTTGAGCACCACTAAAACTGAATACAGCAGGTGCTAGTGGCATTGATTTGTTTAATTAACACTGTAGGCCCTAATTCATGCAATAAAATATCCATATATTAAAAAAACAAAACAAAAAAATCTGTATAATATAATATATTTTTTATTCTCTAATAAGGGATAGTTGCATGGAACTAATATATTGATTGATTTTATGCCAACTAAACATTTTTTTTTCTGTTTAGAAATGATTTTAAATAGGCTGTAATTACGAGTCTTAAGCTTATTTGATTGAAACACAATTTGTATGTCTGTCATCATTGCTGTCTCTTAAAATTGTAACTATTGAGTGTACAGTACATTTCTGACTGTTTTATTTGATATTTCAAAATATTTCACGTTACTGTTGAGCATTATTTGTAGCCTACTAAAATTATTAATTTGATTTTTCAAAATTTATTTATGGAGTCAGCTGTGTTTAAAGTGACATTTTGCTAATTTTTCCACTATGAAGCTGAGAAAAATTCGTTGAATATGACAAAAGATTGATTATTTTAATGGCGACTGAACAATAACATTACTGATAATTACAAATGTTTTTAAAGATAAACTTTAATTTATATAACAACTGCCTTAGATATAAATAAAAAAAAAAGACTACCCCCACACTGTTTATAAAATAAACATTACTGATAATTTCTGATGATATCGTGCGTTGAACATAGTGTTCTCGATTTATATAAAATGTTTCTAACAAGGTTTACACGTCGTTCATTTTATGAGTGAGTGGTGAAAATTTAATGTATGAAATTGCGTTAAATCATTCGCATACAAACTTTATATAGTTAATATTCATTTTAAAAACAATTTGATTGACCATAATTCATTTCTACCTCAAGAAGACTTACTCCGGATACGGGAAAAGTTAACCCATAAATCAAAATATACGGAATTTATATGTATTACAGCTTTTTTGGAGACTTTTTTACGTGAAGTTGGCCGGCTATATAAAATATTTTCATATATATGCTTCAAAATAAAACTATTTCCCTTTCAGCTGTGTAAATACATGTATTTGTGCATTCACTGTAGAAGTTCAGTGTAGTGTGTGTTACTCTACAAAGTATAAATTAATTTGAATAAAGTTAAATATATTGTCATGTACGTCATGTTAAATGATACTAATATACATTCTATACATTATTTTGTCATAATAATGTACATCTCTTAAATTAGTTTCAGTCATGTATATATTATTTGTATCATAGTTTGGAGACCTTTCTGTTAAAAATGTGTCAGGGTTAAATCGTATACATATACATGCACAGTGCGTTAACTGGAGTGCGGGTATTAGTTACCCGCACTCCAGAGCATGCCCATTGATTGGCTCATTTTTGCTGGGGGTTACATATTGTGACGGCAGAGAAAGGGAAAGCGACAGAAATGTCATATTCAGATGTTCGTTCATTGGTTCATTTTTGCCGGGGTTTCATTTTGTGACAACAAGGAACGTGCTTTTATGTTTGACTATGATACAAAAGAGAAAGAACACCAAAACACTCGGCAATCTGATTAATACTCGCGGGGCTACGCCCCCTCGTACAAATCAGATAGCCTCGTGTTTCGGTGCTCTTTCTATTACATACTATGTATTGTTTGGCTTTGACACAATGATGTATAATCATATTATGGAATAAGAGAGAAATTTCTAAAAATAAAATTCATGTTCTATTCTGTTTATCATAAATTTCCGTTGATAAATTTTATGTACAGTTAACTGACCATTCATTCCATATATTTCTGCCTTAGGTTTATCACCAAATAGGAACACCTGTCTGCAAATATTTATGATAAGGTTAATTGATATCAGTGACCCTTGTTCAATTGACCACATTATCTCGTCAAAATTTAAGAATTAAGTGGTCAATAACAGAAGAGAGACATGTTAAGGGTTATTTTTCTGTTCCTGTTTCTATCTCAAGATGCTGCACAAGGTAAGTTCAGCTTTCAGTCTTGTAAACCCAATGCATCATCTGAACAATACCGTTTACTAACATTTCATTTGAAAAAGGAAGGAAAAAAATCTTAAAATATCTGATTTTCTTAATTAGTCATTCATAAAACAAAACCCTATACTAAATAAGAACATGTCCATGAAACATATATAGAGACGCTTGAGAGCCGTCATTCAGTAAAGTATATGCAGTGGCCAACGTGGTCATTATTTCCTGAACTACGACAATTACTATGTGCCGCAAGAACTCGACTTGTTTTAAATACATGAGTTATTTCAGGATGAAATTAAATTTGAAAAGCCCTTGTTTTAAAGAAGATCTTTATTGACACCATTATTATGTGAGCCTATATTAGATGGGATGATACAGCTTTTAAAGATCGAGAAATTTCACAAATTCAACAAATAATATATAAGGTTAGAATGACATGACTTCTCGATACCACTTAAACAATATTAGATCATGTTGCCTTGTCTTTCATGCCACTGTAATATGGCACCGCACAATACATATAAGCTCCTTTTGAAATAATGAAGGATTTGACCATTTCCCCCCGTATGTCACCTGTCCTAAGCTAATCAGAATGGAGAATTTATTATCACTTGATAAAAAAAGAGACGACAAAAGGACCTCAAAAGGGGCGCCTACAGGGCACGCTATCCGCCATGTCTTTGTCATGTTACCTCCATACGAAGTTCGAGGCCAGTTTGAAAGCCTGTGCAGGCTAATCAGTATTTTGAATGTTTCTCTTTAAAGAAGAAAAATTAGCTACATTGTTAAGGAATGAGTCTCTGACGGAAAAAAATAATACAAAATAACAACATCAACAAAAACAGAAAACAATAATAACATTTTTAACGAATGCAAAAATGCAAAAATCACGGAAATTGACGAAATCCCGTTTTCCCGCCGTTCAAATCACGATCGAATTGAATTTAGTGTTTTTTATATCGTAGTTTTACCTAATTATACATGTATTAAGTATATTTTACTTGCTACATGTGTATGTTCAAACTTATAGACTAACTAATAATAGTGATGATGATGATGATGATGATGATGATGATGATAATGATGATGCAAATGTAATAATAACAGCAAGAAAATGATTTAATTCGTGAATTGTCAAACGGGATGAGAACCGTGTTTGTAAGCTTTAATTGTAAGCCCTTGTACTTGTTGGAAATACTAATACTTAACAGTTTTAATTGGAACTTGTCGAGACACTAGTGATGAATTTTGAGAATGGAGAAAATGGGAGTCCGTGGCCAAAATTAAAGGGATTAGATAAACAGAAAATTATTTACCGCTTAAAATCATATACATTTTGTCTGCTGATTAACATTATTTTCTCTGTGTGTACATGCGTGCGTGAGTGAGTTATACTTATTTATATCAATATTTGAATGCAATTCAGGTGCGAAGCGGAAAAGGCAGTTATTTACCCCTGGTGGTATGGGATCTCCAACGTTTAATGCTGATAAGGTTAATGCAAACCTAATGGGGAGCTTTAATCCAGGTGCAATGAACCCAAACATGGGTAACTTTGGTGGCAGTAGCAATGGTTTTGGTAGTTTTGGAGGATCAACCTCTGGTGGTTTTGGAACAGGTTCTGTTGGATTCGGCACTGGAAGTGGAGGATCAACTTCTAGTGGTTCTGGAACAAGTTCAGGTGGATTCAGTACCGGAAGTGGTGGATCAACCTTTGGAAGTTCTGGAACAGGGTCAGGTGCATTCGGTACCGGAAGTGGTGGATTCGGTACCGGAAGTGGAGTTTCAACATCTGGTGTTTCTGGAACAGGGTCAGGGGGATTCGGTACCGGAAGTGGAGGATCGTCTACTGGCGGATTTGGAACTGGTTCAAATGGATTCGGTACTGGAAGTGGAGTTTCAACATCTGGTGTTTCTGGAACAGGGTCAGGTGGATTCGGTACCGGAAGTGGAGGATCAACTTCTAGTGGTTCTGGAACAAATTCAGGTGGACTCGGTACCGGAAGTGGTGGATCAACTTTTGGTGGTTCTGGAACAGGGTCAGGTGGATTCGGTACCGGAAGTGGAGGATCGTCTTCTGGTGGTTTTGGAACTGGTTCAAGTGGATTCGGAAGTGGAGGGTCAACCTCTTTAGGTTCGGGAACAGGGTCAGGTTCTGGAATTGGGTCAAGTGGAGGTGGAAGCGGAGGATCAACCTCTGGTGGCTTTGGAACAGGTGGATTGAGTTTTGGTAGTGGAGGATCAACCTCTGGTGGTTTTGGGACAGGGTCAGGCGGATTCGGTACCGGAAGTGGAGGATCAAGTTCTGGAGCTTTCGGCACAGGTTCAGGTAGTGGAAATAGTGGAATGATTAATAATGGAGGATCTAGCTCAAGTACTGGATCCGGATCGAGCACAAATTGGAATGGTCATTATACAGATGGATCGAAATCTACCAACAATGGTGGAAGTTTAGCTACTCTTGTCTCTGGTACCGGAAACAGTTTAACTGGTGGCAGTAGTAGCAGTGGCGGTGGAGCATCTGGAGGCGGTTCAACATCTTCTGGAGGAACATTCGGTAGCTCTGCAAGCGGAACAGCAGGTTCTGCATTTGGAACCGGTGGTGGATTTACCGGGTCTTTTGGAGGTTCAAACTCTGGTGTTGTAAGTAACTTTGGAAGTGGGACAAGCACAGGTTCCGGTAGTTCCAGTTTAAGTGGAGGTACAAGTACAGGTTCTGGATCGTCAATAATATCAGGAGCAGCATCCTCGTTTGGAAGTGTATCTGGAAGTGGAACTGGTTCTCTTACTGGAACAACATCCACGGGATCTAGTAGCTTGGCAAGCACGATTTCAGGCGGGGGTAGTTTTGGCGGTGGAATTGGAGGGTCGACTTTAGGTGGTAAAGTAGGATCATTCGTTTCTACAGGACAGGTGAAAGTTTAAAACCTGGAGGTTTTGGTGGAACTAATGCCACAATGGATGGATTTGGCGGTTCATTTGGAAGTTCTATGGGAGGATCAAGCCCCTCTGGATCTCAGAATTTCGGTATGGGTGGTGATGGTCAAGCCGGATCATTTTATGGAAAACAAACCAATGGTACGTCCACAGGTGCTGCTGTTGGATCTCAGGTTGGAGGTGCGGTTGGTGTTAAAACCGGAGCTGCGGCTGGTAGGTGAATTTCTAAAATGAATGCAAAATTCATTGAAATGGAGATATTTTAAAAAATTGTAAATTTTACACCGTTATAGGTACATGTATTATATACATTGTTTGGGCTATATAAATGGATTCTGTTTTCAAAAAAAAAAAAAAATATGTGTTTATCCTATACTTGAGTGCTGACATGAATTACAACATTACTACAGCTTTTATACCATCGTGCTTGTTTCAGGTGCTGCGGTCGGCAATGTGTTGGGTGGCGGTGGCAATGGTAAAGCAGACATTGATCCAATGAAATCCGGAGTACTCAATGTTGGGGGTATAAATCAATTCTTTTGTGTTTTAATCACGTTCTGTTTACTATTTTCAAATTACAAGTACCAATATAAAGTCAAGTTTGTCAAGAATTAAAAATTCAGCATTTTTTCACCGATTCCTTGTCTTCTTTAATATATTAAGCGTCCTAAGCGCCAGGAGTAATAAAACTATCTTGTGTTCAGGCCGCTTTCAAAGTTTATGCACGGAATTGAAATAATTCCAAGCATTTATAAACTGAATACCTAGGTTTTGTTCATAGTATTTGCTCCATCAGACAATTACGGGTGCAAACAGTTCTTTTGTTGTTTTGTGGATATATACTAGTTTCGAATTAGGTATCCCAAATCGTTAGATAATATATCAAAATATATCGCTCTCAACCAAATTTATAAGTAAAACACCCGGCAAATACATTTGTTAATTTGCATCCCCGATCCCCTTTTTATCTTTTATATATTAAAAGGTTACAAAATTCCTTGGAAATGCAACAGAAAATGCTTACTTGAATGCTAAATATCTGATTCTGAATATTCTTTGAACTTGTATATAAATCTCTAAATTGCAGTATTGTATGTTGACAAGCTTGTTTTGTCTGAAGATATTTGTTTGTATAATAAATGCCGCTGAAGAGAATCGAAAGACAACAGAAAGCTACGGCATATTCAAATTAGCGTTTTAAATTAGATTAATATATTCATATTTGCAATATCCCCAAAATGAATATGAAATGTCTAAGGTAAAATAGTATGGAGGCTATTCGTTGCTTCAGATGATAAAATTACTCTTCAACGCTGTCACTCGCCCACAGTTTAAAGATGAGGAATGGCAATTCTTTTGATAATCAACAATAACTTTATTATTATACGACGATAGGTGGTGATATGGTGAACAATCAGGGCGGCTTTGACAAGGAGACTGGCTCCTACCAGCCCGGTAAAGGGTCCCAGCCGACTTCTGGAAAGTACAACTATGCCGGGTTTAATCCAGAACAAATTGATGGCTGGAAAGGTAAATGAAAATGAGGATATTTATGCAGTGCATATCAATACAATATAGATGAAACCATCTGACATTTACACAAAATCTTTTTTGTTGTTGTTGTTGTTGTTGTTGTTTCTTTGTTTTTTGCTTAACGTATGTGATAACAAAGTATATGAAAACAAAGATCAACAAAGAAGGGCGGCATTCAATGCAAACACTGTGTTAGTTTAGGTATATTATTGCAGCCTGTCAAAGCTCTATCTATTGGTGACATTTAAGCGTATCATATTTGCCTATTATACACTGATTATTCTCGAATTTGAATGCATTTTCTTACGTAATCTATTTCACAAAATTTAATTTCAATGACTAGGTCGGGACAAGGACATGAATAATGGTGTTGGGGGATGTTGTGACGGAGATGGCACGGGGACAGACGGGAGCAAAACCGGTACCTAATCTGTTAAACTTTCAAAAGGAACAACAAACTTAGGCTGTCCAGCGTCCTTAAAATTCCTAAAAAATACTATTGTTTTCGGTTTGGCTAAAACTCCTAAAAAATGAAAACTGCAAAGAGAATTCCTAAAATGCCCTATTTTTTCACTTAATTTCATTTCTTCTTTTTTTTGTTATTATCATACTTGTAACTTCTAATTATCTTTTAATATTCTATTCAGAGTAGGCATTTAAAGGCAATTGACCAGTGAATCCATTAGTCAGGTTGTTTTTGGTTGTGACTGGATGATAGAGATGTAATTTCTTAAGGATGCAGCCAACAACACCTGATGACTATGGAACACTGGTAGACATGTTTGCTATAACTAAACTAGAGCAATATTTGTGACTTACTTTTGTGTCAAAAAAGCAAAGGTCAGCCCATATCCTAGTCTTTTGGGACCATAGTTTAGTTATGAAATTAAAGTACAAATTTTAGCCCTAAAAATTCTGTTATGTGCCCTAAATTCCTAATTTTAGCCCTAATTTTTCTAAAATATTGCCCTAAAATTTCCCCTAATTTTTGTCAGAAGGTGCTGGACAGCCTGTAAAAACTATACCCATTAGCTTTGCTGCAAGGCGTAGCTCTGCAAATGAAATTACATGGAGGATTTTACAAATCACTGCGATTGGTGAGGTGTTCAGTTTTGATAATTTATTTGGGATTTCATAGTGTTTATTGAATATGGAAAACCCTATGATAGATTGTGTAGTATTATTACCATAGATTAATATACCAGGTATGTGTGTATTATAATGCTTTATAGATGTACATTCCATTCCTTCCCCTATTATCTCATATTTTATATATTTCTTACACAGAGCCTACATTTTTTTTCACGTTTTTCGTAAAACCAACATTAAATAGCGATTTATGAAGCCAATTTTCTTTATTATCAATGACAGTAACCGGTATTCATATCAACAAATGTGCATGTATTCGTTATGAGTTAAACTTAAAAAAGTCTTTCAACGGTTTATTTCAAGCCCAAAACATGGGATGGTCTGCCGGTTCAAATAGTAATATTGTCGGCTGGGGAGGTAGTGGTGGTAAAACAGGAGGTAACAGCCATGGATGGGTGGATGAGAATCAAGGATCTAAACCGTCAGGTGGCGCTGTTGGTAACGCTGCGTCTGCTGCAGTTAATGTGGCAGCAGAAGCTGCAAAAGCAGAAGGTAAACATTTTGACAACATGTAGAATACATGTAATATTTACGCAGAACAAATAAGGAGAGGACTAAAACAACAACGTTAAAGCATGTTAACTTAGTCTAGTAATTATGCAGTTTTGTTACAATTATATTTACAAAAAAAAGTTTGATTTACAATAATATATTATGGTAGGTTTTGATATGAAGTAAACGTCGGAGATAAAACCAGAATGATTGAAGCACAATTAGTTAAGGTAGCACTGTAATTTTTCTCTACCATTTATCCTATAAAAATTAATAATTATGTAGGACAATGGGAATCATTACATTTTTATTTTGTAAAAATATTAGATTACCATTTCAGTTGAGCAAAATTATTAAATCCCCGTTTCCTATTTTATTCTTTAAAGTGAAGGCATTGGCCAACTGCTTCAATCCCGTCGGTATGGCAATGGCGGGTAAGATTCTGGTAGATCCAAGAATAACGCTGGCTACGCAACACGCCGATAATCATACTGACAAAGCCACGGCGTTCCAGGCCACCCTTGACTGGGTGAAAATGCTACTACCACCTTACCCTCCTAAAATACCACAGAGATCTAGGTATTGTTATAAAGCTATTTGATTCTTTATCCGTTAATGCACGTGCTTTAAGAATCTGATATTATTTGGAATAGATGTATAGATCTTTGCATAAGTTTGGAAAAAATTATCACTTTTAGCGTCTCTTTTAGGGCATAATCCTACACAGCGACGTTTTTCTTAATCATTACCCCATTCAGGCCGTGTATCCCTACCTGATAGTAAGAAGCGACTAAATGTGTTTGAATTACTGGAGTCTATTCATCTCTTAGCTCTAGCAGTTGAGTTGACTCCTGGTGTTGCTTTAAGTTTGTAACACCGGAGATTAGCCAAACGCATATTTCCTGTTTCGGTGTCATATGGCCTTAAATGTGTTGGTCCAGCGTAAAACAAACCAAACAAAAAATTAACATTATCAGTCACTGACGCTGGATGTTTATGCCAGTGTTTACGAGCTTGTCATTGATGGTTTTATAGGCATTTTAAATTCTACAGAATAAGGGATATTACTCCTTTACAAAAATATAATTTGTAATAAGTTTTCACAAAACTAGCTCGAATGATGATTATATTAGATACAAGTCTTTTTTCGTAGTATTCTTGTGAGGCTAGCCATGTTATCCTCTTAATATATAATTTACAGTTACTCATGTCCAGATCGGTGTCCAATACCTGCACCAGGACTGTACGGCTGTCCAAGTGTTACTGTATTAAAATACGTCAGTAAGCTGGCGGAAAATGGACCAATCACAGTAAGACATTTTATATGTGTTCACATGTTCAGCGATCATTCCTAATAATCCATGTTGTCCAACAAGCATGAAACCAACATCATGTAATCATATTCCTATTGAGGTTTTATGGCATGACAGGACTGGAAATAATTCATTATTTCGACATGAATATTCCATTTGATGTAGGTCTAGACAAATAATTTGTGCGCAAAATTTCAGATCATTTCCTTTCTCCGTTTTTCAAAAATTATTAATTGTGAAAATGACTGAAATTGAAAAGCGTTGCAACGCTTTTAATTCAAATCAGGCAATAGCACAAAAACGAGTTTTAATTTATTGCCGTGTATATTTCATTAATTATAATTTGCATATCTTAATTTCTGTTTTAAGTGCCCCGGTTAGTCTATGTAAGAAATTCGGATATTATGATTAAAGGCTTTTGGACCTCAGTGGAGTTCCTTCTATGTTACTACATGTATAAATATCACATACGATTTTAACAAGTAAATTTGTACGAACTCGATATTTATTCTTCATTTAAATCATTTACAACTTAATTCTTATTGCTTTTATACTGTTAATAAATATATATGTATATTTGTATACTTAGACTATAAAGTAAAAAGATGATGAACATGATGTTACCTAAAACTAGAGTTAAAGTCACCTTTCTTCGTTGCAGATAAACGATTTTTGTGGTGGATGTCATGATTGCAATTCCCCACACTACGCCGGTGATGCAGTTGATCTGAAGAAGGACATGATTCGTACTAGTGAGTTTTGGGTAGAATGCCAGAAAATGGGCGGATGGTTTTTTGACGAGGGAGAAAGTTTGCACTGTGATTTCCGTGCAAAGAAAGCCGGAGTTGTTTAATGTATTTTACAATATAAATGTTTCATACTAAATAATTTTAAAAATGGATTCAAACAAAGTGATAAAATATTAAAATATAAAAAATGCTGAATGTTGTTGGGAATATTTATTGATCTTGATTATTTAAGCGACCTTAACTAAATATGATATGTTATTTAAAAGTAGCAAGCTATTGTACGCCAAAGATCGGTTGTATAAAGTTTTTTAAGTGTAGATACGAGTATGGTGGTAACCGGCATGGATAAAGTTTCTATTGATTTCCGGTGGCAACTATCAGCTTTTCTTGTGTCTGAAGATTTTTGGTGACTCACAGTGCACTATTTTTGTTGAAAATCTGTCATTTCCTAGTCTTTCAATCTTTATCGGTGAAGATATAATAAGGTCAGAAAAAGTTAAATTTGATCACATATCCTAAATTGACTTAAAACTAACAAACAATGAAGAAAATACAGTTACACTACGTTCGCTCGAACTCGGGTCGCTCGAATACCTCCCCTCGCTCGAACTAATCGTCCATTTCCGGCAAAATTCATATATGATATATAATATATAAGTTTGCAACCAAAATGCGCTTGGACACGATATTTTCATATATTTAAACTTTATTTTGAACATGCAAATTCAAACATTTACATAGCATAGAAAGATATATATTTTCCTTTGTTTGGTGAACTTTAAAACTTACAGATGTGAATAAATGAGCATAAAAACTGCCAATTATTGTCACTTGTCGAATCTTAAAATATGTACATGACCATTTTATACCTTCAATTATTTCGTCATATCAGAAGACATTAAACCGAGTGTACCACACATATTGATTTAAGGAATAGACACATTAAAGAATTTCAAAATAACATACAAACCCACATACCTGAAGAAAAAACGTGCAAGCGCTATAAATTTCAATGACTCTGTAACCATTTTGTCAAGTTTGCAACCAATTGTCTTGCTTGAAACAAGTGTGCAACCACTTCTAGTCCTGCCCCTTGATAGTTTAGAAAATATTGAGCGTAGGAGGTCACAGTTTACATTTTAAAGGAAAATCACATGATAAGCTAAGATAAAACCCTAAATATTAATTTCACAATATTTCACCAAAATGTCTTATATACCATTTCCAAAAGATTATCTTTATCCTAAGTACATAGACTTCAATAACAGCATAAAATTATCACATTTAGCGGTTAGGAAATTGGATTTATAGCGTTGGTACTAGTACCGGTTGCCCAACGTATACAGGGGTAGGTTAGTTTATGTCTGGGTGATAGCGAACTTGACTACTAGAATACAAGAAACGGTAATACGGAGTATTGAACTTTGTTTGGACTGTGAGAATTCGTTAAGTTGAGAGTCGGATAGGACAAGTGGGTAATCTCGGTGAGAGTGATCCATTCTCCCGGAATAACAGTCTTGTAATTTTAATGTTGTTTCATGACCGTCATACTCAACGATCGCCAATGTTGTACTTATACAGTACAGAAAAGTTATACACTGAATATTTCGAAATCGAGAATGTTTTACAGATGATTCAGTCCAGAAGTAGTAAACAACAAGAATAAAAGATCAGCTATAAAGATTGATCCTTTATTAAAACCAGGTCTTAATATCTATAGTCGCAGCGAAAACAGTTTTGAGGGTGCCACCTTTGAGTAAATACAAAAACAAAAACTATTTCGGCAACTGTATAGTTCTTTGACCAATGTCATTGCAATAGATTTTTATTTTGAAACAAAAGAAAACCGTTAGAAATAGGCAGTAGACAGGACCCTGTTTGTTGTGACGTTATCACAATATTCGAAATGATTTGATATTATTGCTTTAAAATATGCACAGCAAGCAATAGACAGTAAGCAAAACGCTGTATTTTGTAGAATTCCTTAGTATGTTTTGCTTATTAACACCGATTCCTAAGTGATATTATTAATATCTTAGCATCAGAATATCATATTTTTTCAATCTACTGTTATGTAAGAAACAAGTTATTTGGAAATACACCACATCTGATATCTTGGCACATATCCTCGAATCAGTGAACATTTCAACTTAAAAAAATGCTGAACTAAATGTACCAGAAACTCTTGTTAATTAACATGCTTCTTAGAGGAAATTATTTCCATCATGTTTTCATTTACATGTGCATCGACCAAAGGTCATTACTTTCTGATTTGCTGAAAAAGGAAACCCTATTGATACTACACAACTACAGAAAATATTATGAAAAATGAAAATATCGAAAATTATATGTTGAATTACGCACCTATGTCCGGATTCAAAGTTGAATTTGGCTCGTTTAATAATGAAAAAATCTCGTCCAGTTTGTAAAGTGGATAAAAGACATACATCATTTTTACATCATTTATTGATAAATTACAACGTTATATTCGGTCATAAAATCAATTATCTAGAAGTATTCGGCAAGCATTACGAAAGCAACCGATTTTCGATTGTAAATTTAAAATTTGTCTAAAGATACAATTACATATCCGTAGCTGTTTTACTGAAATTTGAAACATTCTCCTGTCGCTATTGCTCCCGTCGAAGTTTCAAATTTCTGTAGAACAGCATGGATGAACACTACCATATACATATAAAATTGTCTACTTTCTTTCTATAACATGTCCCTATAATTTAGATAGACTGCTTTACTCAATCCAGTTAATTGTGCTATTTTTTAGCAATTGATGTTTAATAACAAAATCAACACTGAAAATAGTCATGTTGTGGAAGTCGTCATACATGAATTGTTGAAAATATATTATTCATGTCACTGGTGCTACTGTCATCTTCACGTTTTATAATTTTGCTACTACTACTGCTGTGCTACTGCTACTGCCAACTTCACGTTTTATAATTTTGCTACTGCTACTTCTGTGCTACTGCTACTGTCGATTTCACGTTTTATATTTTTGCTACTACTACTGCTGTGTTACTGCTACAGCCAACTTCACGTTTTATAAATTTGCTACTGATACTGCTGTGCCACTGCTACTGCCAACTTCACGTTTTATAATTTTGCTACTACTACTGCTGTGCTACTGTTACTGCCAACTTCACGTTTTATAATTTTGCTACTACTACTGCTGTGCTACTGCTACTGCTAACTTCACGTTTTATAATTTTGCTACTACTACTGCTGTGCTACTGCTACTGCCAACTTCACGTTTTATAATTTTGCTACTACTACTGCTGTGTTACTGCTACAGCCAACTTCACGTTTTATAAATTTGCTACCGATACTGCTGTGCCACTGCTACTGCCAACTTCACGTTTTATAGTTTTTGCTACTGCTACTTCTGTGCTACTGCTACTGTCGATTTCACGTTTTATATTTTTGCCACTGCTACTGTATGCTACTGCTACTGTCAACTTCACGTTTTATAAATTTGCCACTGCTACTGCTGAGCTACTGCTACTGCTAACTTCACGTTTTATAATTTTGCTACTACTACTGCTGTGCTACTGCTACTGCCAACTTCACGTTTTATAATTTTGCTACTACTACTGCTGTGTTACTGCTACAGCCAACTTCACGTTTTATAATTTGCTACTGATACTGCTGTGCCACTGCTACTGCCAACTTCACGTTTTATAGTTTTTGCTACTGCTACTTCTGTGCTACTGCTACTGTCGATTTCACGTTTTATATTTTTGCCACTGCTACTGTATGCTACTGCTACTGTCAACTTCACGTTTTATAAATTTGCCACTGCTACTGCTGAGCTACTGCTACTAACAACTTCACATTTTATAATTTTGCTACTGCTACCGATTTCCTACTGCTACTGCTGCGATACTGCTACAAGCTCTGATAATAATATAATAAAATGAACACTAAGGAAATTTTAAAAGTAAATTGTTTTTTGTACTATTTGTGAAATGTAATTTTTAGTAGTTTCCTATGACTCTCGGGATCTGTTATCTATCATAAAACTAACCTCTGGTAAAATTATACAGCCATATAGACACTTAAATTTTCAGAACTCTGAACAACAAAAATGCATTTGACGTAACATCCGAGATACATTGATATACATGTATGTCACCAAATAACCAAAAATCCAAAAATGTTGTTAAATCTTGTTTGTCACGTGATATTTTTAGAAGAGCACTTGATTTTATTATTGGAAAAAGTTAGTTAGATAGATAGATAGATAGATAGATAGATAGATAGATAGATAGATAGATAGATAGATAGATAGATAGATAGATAGATAGATAGATAGATAGATAGATAGATAGATAGATAGATAGATAGATAGATAGATAGATAGATAGATAGATAGATAGATAGATAGATAGATAGATAGATAGATAGATAGATAGATAGATAGATAGATAGATAGATAGATAGATAGATAGATAGATAGATAGATAGATAGATAGATAGATAGATAGATAGATAGATAGATAGATAGATAGATAGATAGATAGATAGATAGATAGATAGATAGATAGATAGATAGATAGATAGATAGATAGATAGATAGATAGATAGATAGATAGATAGATAGATAGATAGATAGATAGATAGATAGATAGATAGATAGATAGATAGATAGATAGATAGATAGATAGATAGATAGATAGATAGATAGATAGATAGATAGATAGATAGATAGATAGATAGATAGATAGATAGATAGATAGATAGATAGATAGATAGATAGATAGATAGATAGATAGATAGATAGATAGATAGATAGATAGATAGATAGATAGATAGATAGATAGATAGAATTTATTGGCGTATACATATTTGTACATAGTCATAATACAAAACACGTAATACATAAATCATAAGTCATGCTACGATCATATTGAAAATAAATATTATTAAACAAAAGTATATATGGAGAATGTTCTTAAATCCATATTTAAACAATACGAAGTTGGCATTACTCTTATTAATACGTTGCAAACATGACTTTCATATATTTAATATATAGTGATATGTAGTGAATACATGATAAATTATCATGCACATACTCGTAAAAATAGTTTTTAAATGGTAATATTAATTAGGTCATATCGACGCTTAGTAGCAAAGATGATGTATTTAGCAAGTACAATTAATGCG